AACAACTGAAGGCTTTCAATAATTAAAAAAGCAATTGGAGGAAGTACGTTGATATTATATCTAAATAGACTAAAATTAATGCAGCTAAGTTTGAACAATTATTATTGCCCTTAAAGAAGGAGAATTAAAGAATTATTAATGAAAATAATTAATTGCATATGACAATGATTCAAATTAAGGAAGAATGTGATACTAAAGAAAATAAATGGAGATCATAAGTAAGGATGCTAGAGAGTGAGAGAAATGACTGGAAATTTATATTAAGTTAAAAAAATAATGCTGAAAAGAAATTACAAGAAGAATTATTTAAAAAAAATAATGAAAATAATTATTCATAAAGTAATTAACCAGATAAAACACTAAAATTAGTTGACCAAATCTAAGAATTAGAGAAGAAGTATATTTATTATGATTATCATTTATAGATTATTATAAGTGCAACAAGATTCAAGAGATAATGACAATTCAAAAGTGTTATTGGAGGAAAAATGCAAGCATTTGGAATTTTAAATTGAAAACAGAGAAAAGGAAATTTTGAGATTAAAGTCAAAATTGGATATATAAGGAACAAATATTGAGAAATTAGCATAAGAACATATTCTCTCAGAAGCTTAATAAAAGGCATAAAGAACTTAAACTCAATTAGATTTGTTAACTGAAGAAAACACAAAATTAAATGATGAATTATCGAATTTAAGAAAAGAATTATAAAGATTTAGGAAGAAGCCTAGTTAACCATAATAATCAAGCCCTAATAAATCCGATAAGAAAAATGAATTAAATTAGATCAAATAAAGATTATCTGTAATTGAGGATGAGAAAGAAAAAAATCAAGAACAATTTAAAAAAATATTAAATTAATTAGAATATGAAAATTCTTAGTTGATTGAAAAAGTATAATAATTGTAATAATAAAACGAATAATTGCAATTAAAAGCTTTAAATGCAGAATAAGTAGTCTCAGCATATTAAACTGACAAAATGGTGTTTAGTAAGGCTGTGAATAATTTGAAGAGTGATAAAGAGAATACTGTGTAAACATTAAAAAGTTTAGAAGAAGACAATCAAAAGTTAAGGTTTTAATTAAATGAGATGGATGATTAACTGCAAATTCAAAAGTCTGAATATTAGTAATAATAAAGAGAGAAGGAACTTTATGATAGAAATTATAAGAAATTGAATGATGAATATGAAAGAGAAAAAGAATTTGTTTAATAATTGAGATAAGATAAAAGAGACTTGGAAAGAGAATTAGATTAAGAAAAATAAGTAATTAGAGAATTGAAGATAGAATTTGAAAGAATGGATGTTTCTAAATAAAATTTGGATAGTTTATTATAAAAATTTAAATAAGAATAAAAGAATTAATAATAGTCTCAATAGCATAATCCTAATCAAGGTTAATAGCTTATGATTGATCAATTAAGGAAGGAAAATGAATTATTAACTAAGGAAGTGTAAACAACAGAGAATCTTATTAAATCTATAAAGAAAGAATTAGGAGAAAAAGATAGAGATAACTATGAGTTAAAATAACAAAAGCGGTTATTGAATGATCAACTCAGCGAATTAGCACAAAAGAATGCTAATTTGGATTCATAAATAAAATTGAAATTGTAGGACATTGCCTAATTAGAATAAGAAGTTGAACAATATAAAAGAGAGTAATCAAAGATGAGATTAAATTAATAGAATATCTTAGAATAAAAATAAAAGATTGAAAATGAGACAGTTGGAGAATTAAAATTATTATAATAATAGAATAATTCTCTAAAATTATAAATTTCAGACTTAGGAATCTTTAACTCTTAATTAGAAGAGAAACTTAAAATAGCTTAAGAATTACTCAATGAATAAAGATTAGAAAATGATAAGTTACAAATGAATTTAAGATAATAAAGCGATGAAACCTTTAAATACTAATAAAACGTATTAAGAAATAAGGATAAAGAAATGGATTACTATAATTTGACTCATGAAATAGAAAGGTTGAGAGATCAAGAAAGAAGGATTTTAATTGAAAAAGAAAGATTTTAGAGTGAAAATTTAAAACTAGAATCTGTAATAAACCAATAAACTAAACAAATGGAATTTTTAAATAAATTAAAGGAGGAGGCGATGAAGGAAGCAAGAGAATTAAGATAGATGATTAATGGATTGAAGACAAATGATCATGAGATTAAAAATACTTCTATCAAATTATCAGAGAAAGTAAATAATTATGAAATGTCTTTATAAGATATTAATGAATAATTGTAAAAAGAGATTTCAAGATCTAATAAATTGTATAATGAATTAACTGAATCATAATCTTAAATATCTTCTCTTAAATTATAAAAAACTGATTATGAAAACTAAATTAGATAATTAAAATTATTATGTGAAAGTTTGGAAAAATAAAAGGAAGAATTGCTTTAAAGATTATAATAAAAGAACAGTACTAAAATAGAAGATGAAAGATAGGTACTTTAATTGAGAGAATTGAATGAAAATTTAGAGGATAAAGTGACTTAGTTATCAGAACAAAATATTTAATTAAAGAGATCATTAGAGCAATTAGATTTAGAAAGAGATGAAGTCTAAAATCAATTAGATGAAGTTAGAGAAACTAACATCTCATTGTAATAGCAGATCAAACAAATGAATAACGAAATCTAGAAACAATAATCAAAATTATCAGAGGTTAGCACTAAAGGCGAACGTGGATATGAAGCTGCTTAATAATTAGAAGAAAAATTGAGAGATTAAATTTATAAGAATCAAAAGTTATAGAATGAAAATGACAATCTAAAATACACTTTGTAAATCAAAGAAAAAGAATTCCATGAGATGAAATCTGATATTTAAATTTTAAGCAAAGATAATCAATCTTTAAATAATTAACTTATCAAATCTGTTTAGGAGAAAGAATTACAGTAATAGTAAATCCAATTTTTACAGTAATAAGAAATTAGACTTAAAGAGCAAATTAAAATGTTTGATATGGAAATGCATGATTTGCAACTTAATTATAGTGAAGTCTGTGCTGAAAATCAAAGACTTACAGTTTCAATATAATAAATATCATTACAACATGAGGAGGTGTTACAGAGAGGAGTAGAATTAGAAAAATAAGAAGACTTCTTTAAAGTTCAAATGCAAAATGCTTCAAAAAGAGAAGATCAATATTAAATATAGCTACAATAATATGAGCGTGAAATAGAAAGATTGAATAGAAAGTCAGAAGAATACGAAAGATAAATTAGAGAATTAATGAAAGACAGAGATGTAAGAATTTTAATAATATTCTTAGTAATTGGGAAAAGAGTTTCATTCATAAAGAAAAATATCCACTGGATTTTAGGCAGCCCAGGAAGACTTTAATAGATAAATGGCTTAATTAGAAAGAGAAAAACAATATATTGAAAATGCTAACAGAGACTTATAAAAATAAGTAGACCTTAAGGATGCTTAGTTGTCTTGGGAATAAAAAAGAGTAAATGAGATGGAGCAAGTTATCATTTAAGAAAGATAAATTCAAATGAATACATTATAAGAAATTCAACAATTAAAAGATCAAAATGAATAGCTTTTATAGGAATTAGAGAAAGCATATTAACCTCAAAAATATAGTTAAAGTAACAACAAATAATCTATGAATTTAGATTATAAAAATGAATCTTCTTACGTCTCTTAATAATCCTAATAAAGTGGAATAAAGGACAATAGTTAATTAGATTAATCTTCTGGATGGGAAAGATTAAAATAAGAATCTGAAAATTTCAAAAAAACATTGAGTTAAGCAGCCATTTCATCTTAAAACTTAAAATAGAAAATGAAATCTCTATAGAGAGAATATGAAATACAATAAAATCCTCAAAATTAAAGATACATTTGAGAATGATAGATATAATTATATATGAATGCTTTATTTAAAAACAAATAATTTTCTCAATGATGATTTATTGTGTTGATACGACCAACCTTCTTTGTCTTAGGCATATCTTAAATAAATTTATCTAGTTATCCCTCCTTTTTTAATTTCTCAAAGTCTTCTAAATATTCTCTTAAAACTTTGAATTTGAGATCCAATGGCTTATTTGGATCATATTCTTCAATTGGATATTCTGAATATTTCTAAATGTTGATAAATAATGAAAGAATACTTTCTTGACAATTTTGTTGTCTCCCAAAAGAGTTAGTTTTCTTTATTTTAACGACTCAGTTAATTAGATAATAGCTTCCTTTGTTATAAGAATTGATTTAAATTTAAGAATTTTAATAATATTGAACTCCCTTACTGTACATGTTTCTAAATTTTCTAAATTACGAGATGCTCTTAAAAATAAATCATCAGGATCAACACTGGTAACTATCAATAATGGCTATGTAAAAGATTCAAATCCCTTCATTAATTAAACCAAATGTTTAGTCTTTCCTTCATTTAATTTTTCAGTGTCTATAACAGTGAATTTACCTTCAATAAGAGCAGCTGTCAAACCAACCTTGTATGCTTATAATCTAACTTTTCTTGGTAAATCAATTCTTAATGATCTTATCTTTCTTCCATGAGCTTTAATACCTTTATTTCTACCAGGCCTTTATCTGTGTCCTTAACGTGCTCTTCCTGTCTTTTTTTGTGGATGATTTTTTGCCCCTGATGCTGCAGCATCTCTCAATGCCAAGGTTGCTTTAGTGACTTTTTTATCATACAAATCAGTATATCTCACCAATCTCTAGACCAAATCTCTTCTGATAGGCTAATTAAATATTTCTATTACGAAATATAATTAATTATATACCTTAATCTAATGCTATTGATTATCCAGTTGGTTATGCATCATGAAATCTGATAATAGGTAGAGATACCTCAGTCTTGAATGGTCTCAATGACCATGGTGTAGCTAATGAGGGGGTATTTGCAGCAAAGCTAAACCTGAATATTTTGAGGCACTGCTATAACATATTTTAATTATCTATATTTAATTTTTATATTCATAAATATATTATCAAAATATTAATCATTATTTTTTATTATTATTTAATAATTTGCTATTGCTTTTCTTTAAGTAAGTAGCCAATAGTCTTTGGGTCAATGGTTATTTGAGATTGTATTTTTCACTTCTGATCAACATTCTTGGTGTTTTAGATTCAAAAATGCTAAGGCTGTTTTTTTTTAAGTTTTCAAGATTGCTAAGATTTGGTAAATAAAAATTTGGTTTTTTTTACTGGTTAGCAAAATAGTAACTAGATACATCTGTTTTTATTCGATATTGAACTGAATTTGGAGATTGTTTTAAGGATTTCTTCTTTAATAAATCTCTTTATTTAGTGAAATCAATTTCTTTAGGTTTTTAAATTTAGGTTTCAATATGTTTACTCTAGATGTCTTCTTTGTCATCCAGTTTCTTCTGCACTTTATTGAATAAGCTTTCAGTTTAAGTGTTGATTTTAGATTTCAAATCTTGCTCTATTTTATGAGTTCTACTTATTTTTTTCATTAGGTTTTACGCCTATATCAATTAGATAACTGGAATGAGAGATTCTCTGGCACTTCTCTAAACGACCTATTTCTGATGTTTGTCGCATAAAATTAATTAATATAATACTAAAATGAGCTGAGGAACCAATTAAACTCAGATCTTTGTTTGAGGGTCTAACTGTTTGAGGTTAAATAGATAACTTAGGTGATGCTGGATATCTTGATTTGATAGCAGAGAATTGATTGTTACTTAATTCTCGGTTACAAATCAAAATTTTCTTTTTAACTTTTCCTCCGCATTCATTACAATGACAGCTTTAATTTAATTCTCTGTTGTCAAAATAATTGGTTTATTGAAATGGAATAGCAAAATTCTTAAACAAACTTTTCCACCCTTATAGTATTGTATTCTTTACTTTTTTTAAAGCATTTATCAAATCCAAATAACTTATAATTGTTTTCACTATTCTTAAATGAGACTCTCTTATACAAGAGATTATCAAAGGATTTTTCCTGATCCATTTCAGGATAAATTTCAAATAAATTCATAATATATGATATAATTATTAAATATTATATTGTTTTCTTTAATTTACATTTATTATCAATAAGATCATACCTCTTTTTTGACTTTTTAATTTTTTTAACGTAACTATAATCTTGCTTGTATAGATAATTCTTAATTCTCCAATTACGATTAAATTTATTATTTACTTTCTGATTATTTTACAGGTGTCTATTGTGCTACGGTGGGGGTTGAATTGAAAGACTTAGAATAATAATTATTTGAATTATGACTCTCTCTCTTCATTGCTTATAATTCCTACTATTATTATTGTATAATCTATTATTAGATATCAATTTTCTTTTTAATTTCCTCATGTTTATTTAAATTATTCTTGTAGAGCGTTTCTTCATCCCTTGGTGTAACAAATTCAGTTAACTTTTCACCTCTATCTGCAAAATCCTCAAATTCTCTGAAAAAAGGTTTTTAATCATTTAAAGTTGTTCTAGGCAAATTGTTTGTAGATACAGATTAGACATGCTAGGATGCCGAGTGATTTCTTCCTTAAAACTTATCCGTCTAATTCAATATATTCTTGATTTTATCAACGAAATAATATTTGATAGGATCCAATAATCCATCATAAACTTAAACGCATTCTTGATACATGGCAACTAATTCTTCAACCAAAGAATGCGATTTTACTTATTACAAATTAAAAGTATTTTCAATCGTAGACAAAGAAAGAAAGAATTATTTCGATAATTTTTTTGTTCCATCCTATGAAGGCTTATATAAAAATTCTGGAGTCATAAATTATTCATCAATAGTAAATGTACCATTAGATTATTTTAATTTTTCTTAGTTATTGTCCTATTCTTTCTTTCCGAATGCTGATTTGAATAGCTTCATAAAATGGAAATTGAATAATATTTAATTTTTAATTTATGTATTCTATATATATCGTGTCTAAATCAATTCTAAATTCTTATAATATACTATTAATATTGTTATTAAATGATATGCTAATATATTGATTTGTGAATGAATAATATTAATGTATCACCATTCTGGCTTGGGTCTTTGCTTTTTCGCAATTTCTCCTCTAGCCAGATCTGGGAAATTCTCTTCACATGACAAAGGAACATCCTTAAAGTAGTAATTTCCATAAGTGTTATTTTATCTCTCTCTCTCATATGACCATTATCTTTCTCCCAATAAGCAATGCTTATAGAATTTGTTGCCTGTCATTTTAGTCACTTACCACCATAAATAAGATGCTCCAAATAAATACAACCCATAACCAGCTAATCCAACATATCCAAAACTTTAATCAAATAGAAATAAATCAATACTTGTAAAAGAATGAAGTTTATTTAATACTTGTTATACCTCTCTATCCAATTGGCAAGAACATTTATCTGTGTGTTAAAGCAGCTTTTATACTGATTTCTTTATTTACCTTGTAAAAAGAATCCAGTCGTACATATCCAAACAGGGAAAATTCGAACAAAGTTAAAACATTTCAAATCTCTTTCAACAAAATCTTAGATATTTCTTGCTACATGGATTCTTTATTAATTTGATAAACTATTTACCTTTGCAATTTATTAACAAAATAAGTTCTTGGATCTATTTGTTTACCCTCTTAAGCGTTTTCCTACATTATTTCAATATATCTTTTATAAGCGGGATTGTCGCCATGTTGATAAAATAACAATGGATCATATAGTTTTTGAATCTCCTCTTTCAATGTCTTAGCGTCTCCTTTGGACATTTTTATTTTTATTTAATTAATATAATAAATATAAATAAGAGAAATGCAAATTAAAACAAATCTCATAATCTAATTCATAAACAATTGATCATATCTGAATTCTTAAATAGAATAAATTTAATTTACAACCAAGGTTCAAATTTACGATATTGAATGAAAATGTAAATGTATAAAGATAAATTGCTAGTTTTGAGTAATAACTCATCAAACGGGAAATAATAATAATAATTTTTAATTTAATTTTTAAAGTGGAAATACTTAAATAGTAAGAAAACAATAATTTATGTTTGTAAAAGTTTAAGACTAGATATCAATTAAGAAATTAAAAATAATTATTTAAGAAAACATAATCATAACAATACAGTATAAAAAAGACAATTGGAGTTAATGCATATATACTCAATTATGATAAAATTTACATCATGAAAGCTACATAATTATAAATCAATTAAAACTATTTAATAGATTCATTTATAACCAAATAATTGAGAAATATAAGTTTTAAAATTAATGATTTCTGATATATACTAAAATAATTTCTGATTAGAATATAATTATGATATAAATTTAAATGTAAAATATCAAGAATATAAATGTTTATATCTTTATTCTCATTAATTAGTATTCAAATTCTGTTTTATTGCAAATTTATGTAAACATTTAAAGGATACTTTAGGCTTGTGATTTAAATAGACATTTTAATGTTATTATTTAATTAAATAATTCCTTCATTATTAGATAGAAGAATTGTTTTCTATCTCTCATTTGTCATGCCAATTAAATCTAAGACTACAGAATTAATTTTTCTTTATTTATCATATCCTTATATTAGTATAAATTTGGTTCTTATAATATGTAATCAATAAGTTCTTAAAAGATGTTATATACCGAAGTGAAGTTTAACTAAATAAATGAATGAAATCTACTTTATATTATTAAATTTCGATAATTTTAGAAATCACAATTAGTTTCCATTAAATTTTTTGTTTTTAGAACAAGAAAGTGGCAATCAAATGCTATTAAACAATAAAAATGTATTGTCTAGGGTGTATTATATATGAGCCATTCTAGGTTTCTAGTATATCGATATTAGAAAGCAATCATAATTATTTTTAATCTTAAAAAAAAGTGCTTTTGGAAAGGTTAATCTATTGAGCATCTTAACCAAAATAGTAATATAAACCAATTTACTCAATAACTAATTGATTTTTTTAACTAATATCTGTACTTATTGATTACTTATATTGAATAATTGGATGACTTCAAATCGGATATTTATGACATTTGGAATATAGTGGACTTGGCTTTAGAAATGTTAAATGCAATATAACTAAATTAAAAATTGAAGAGAATGCCATATTACACCAATTGATTTTTATTCTTAAAATAACGATACTAAAAGTCCACATTAAACATCCTTATTTTGCAAAGGCATTGTAAACATTTTCATAGATGTTTGTACTTTTTTAATATGAGAATATTAAAATAAATAGTGAAGAATATCTATAATTTTGACATTTAAATTCTGATAAGGAATGCACATCAGAAAGGGAGTAGACACCAATAGTATTATTATATAACATTTAAAATTCTATTATTTGATATTTCAATGGGATTTCTGATCAGGTTGAATTAAATTCAATCTATATTTTTGATTAATAACAAAATTGTCATTATAATGGAATGCAGAATAAAAATTTCATTATTAATTTATTTAATGAGTAACCCAACTCCAGCTGAGATCTACATTAACTAGATAAACGATTATTATTAGAGTGTGAGTACTGATGATGAGGATGAACAGTTCCAAATAGAGTAAGGAAAATTTTAGATTTTTAGCGTTTAGCCAAAGAGGAAATTTTTTGAGACAATTGAAGAAAAACGATAATATATTGAAGAATATACTAAGAAGAAGAAGACAGAATTGTGCAAGAACTTTGAATTGACCGGATTTTGTAAATTTGGAGATGAGGTATTTTATAAGGTTATTTCTTAGTGTTCATTTGCTCATGGTTAATTAGAGTTATAAGCTAAAACACATTTACATTAGAAGTATAAAACAAAACCATGCAATCGCTATTTTAATTAAGGATTTTGTCCTTATGGTATAAGATGCTAATATTTGCATGATGAACTAAAGGACTAATAAAAATTTGAGAAATTCTTATAAGAATCCTATTAACAATTCGGGATGAAGCCAATAATAGCAAGAAGTAAGTTATTGCATCCTAAAATAGAATATCTCAATAATTCTAAGAGATTAGACATTTAAAGGTTCCAATAGGTCCTACAAAAATTCACAAAAAATGGATTCAATGTTGGATTGCATACCAGATCGAAATTCTTTGTTTAATTATAAGAAAACAACCAAATTTGACTTCTCTATTCATTTTTTATTATATTGAATTAAAATAACATGACTTCTCATTTAATTACTGAGGCTTAGATGCCAATCCTAGAATCGCTTGATTAGAATGCAGCTAAGAAATTAAAAGAAATGTGCAGAGACATTGAAGGTTTAATGATTAACACCAATTCCAGAATCTCAACGCTATTATAGAATTAGCAAGCAAGCTTTTTTAAGGCTTTTAAAATAGTTGTCGAACAAATCTCATCTGATTTTAGAAATCTATAGTAGAAATTTGAAGAATACATAGCCTATCATGAGAATGAGACTGAAGTATATAATTCTGATTATAAAGAATAGGTAGTAAATGCTTAAAATAAATTAGTCTTTTTTAGGAATGAATGTTAAGTATTAAACAAGTTGTGCACTGAATTGAAATGTGAAAACTAATAACTCAAAGTTAAAATCAAAGAAATTGAATAGGTATTTAAAATACATAAATAATTTTAAAGGAAGTTAATAATTAGAAAATGATACTACTAAAATAAGCAACCTAAAATTCTTAATTACAATAGTTAATCCTATATTATAAATAAAAATAAGAGGCATAAAATTAATAATAAAAACATCCACGAAACGATTCAATAAAATTTCACTCTTTAATCAATAAAGATTCAAAATTGAGGGTGCCTCAATTGAAATTGCATCACCGCTATCACACTGAGATCTAAGAAAATGATCACAACTCTATAATAACATACAGTTAGAAACATTAGACTATCAACATTTGCAAAACAAGCAAACCAAAACCTAATTTAAATCTCTTAAATAGAACAACCGACGATATATTGGAGACACAAACAGAAAAATAGAATGTGAAATAATTTGGTATGAATTAAAGTTAAAGTAGACCAATTTTATGAGAGATCTTATAAATCAAGAGCAAAATCTCAATAGTAAACAATGAAAATACATGAAAACAGCGAGACAACCTAGAAGACTCAAGAAATCTCCTCATCTCTTATCAAAAATATTAGAGTCAATCCTTCATATTATTAGCAAAATCTAATTATTTCCTCTTGATTTATTTTTAATTTGACATCACATTTTTTAAATAATACTTATTCACAAATTTCGCATATATAAATATCACTGGATTAACAAATTTATACTCAAACAAATCACGCTAATTTCTTATATATAACAAATCTTTTGACATAAATAACTTAACAAGTAGCCACAATAATTAATAATCCAAAGGTTATACCAGCAAACCCAATAATTTTTGTTTGAATGTCTGTAAAACTATTCTTTCGTTTATTTTCTCTATCAACAATTAGTAATTGCTCTCTAGATATATCTTATTACAATTATTCCATTGTTTCTAGAGTTTCATTTAAATTAAGAACATGCTATTTTTTTGCTAATAAGTCTTAGTCATATACTTCAGCCCCTAATATTAATGTCAATTAAGTACCGCTTTCATAAAATAAATTAAAAGTTATAACATCAGCATAATCATCTGCTTCAAAACACATTGAAATTTCTCCTGACTCCTCCATAACATAATGAAATTATTGATTGATATCAATTGAGTATTCAATTATGACTGACTCTTAATCCTATTAATTTATAACCTATATTTAGATATAAATTTGTTATTACACTCAATGTAAAAGTATAAAGCGATGATGTTGTATCAAAATTTCCATAAATAAGCGTATTTTATGACACAGAGTCTTTGATACATTATTATTAACCAGGTGGTACCTTGAATTTTAAAGTAATAGATTGCACACCTGTAAATAGCAAAATTAATTCTAAAATCATTTATTATAAATAAATATATATATATTGTGTCAAATTAATACTGTTTCCTCTTGTTTTAAGGCTTACTTTTATTAAAATTCAAATTGCTTAATAAGTCTGTCAATTTTTTCTTCCTTATAGTTATTCCAATCTTCCTCTGTTATTTTGGTTTATTTTTTCTTTTTTTGATTATTTACTTAAGCAACAATTTGATCTTTGATTATTTTATTGAACCCATCCAAAGGATTATTACCAGATGGAGGTAAATTGATATTTTCAATTGAATCAGAGAGTTGAGTGATACATATTTGTTTCAAATGATCATATTAATAAATAGAAGCAGTAGGTTTAACATGGTATTACAAAGTCTATCTAACAAATTAGTAATCCTAATTGCTGCCAAATACGAGTGAACAATTATTCGTATGTGCTAGATATCTTAATCCTCTTGTTATCCACTTTCTGGATTCTAAATCTAGATTTTTAGAGAATAAATCATATTTCCATCCTACAATGATGATGGGTACATATAAAGGCACAATTCTGTTTTTGTCATGATGCATCATGATCTTATCATAAATATTTAATTCCAGTTGTTTGAAGGTGTTGACATCAATTGATTATTATAACTTCTTTTCTGTTTCTTCTCTGATATATCTAATTTCTGCATTGCAAACATTTAATATTTCATGAGGGTTATCAGATAAATCGATTACTAAAACATAACTGTGCTATTAGTATGATTGCTTGTTTAATGGCAAAGTCAATAACTATTTAAATGCTTATCCCGAAATCTCAAAATATTATAGCACTGCTTAGTAACCAATAATGTTTGTCTTTTATTATGTGTATATCAAGCCTGCCTGATCCTGTATTGACTGAGATGCTAATTTGGAGACCTAAATTGAAACAAAAAGTGTACGATTGTTGATTTCCCAGCTTGATTTTGACCACATAAAACAAAAGAATGCTGCAATTATGATTAAGGCACATTTATTTGTATATCCTTAAGAATAGTAAATAAAGAGTTCATTTTAATAATAATAAGTTCAATTCAAATAGTTTATTAGAAATACACATCAAATGTACACAATATCAAATTAATGAATCATCATATTAAACAGTCTTTTATTTTTATTATTACTCCTATGTTTTTTGATCTCCTGACTAGAATTCACCAAAGTCATCCTCTTATGAATTTTTTCTTTGCTAATGATTAAGGTTATTTATTACTATCTATGTCAATGTGTCGTAATTCTTCAATATATCCTCTATCTCAAAGATGGAGGCTCTGTCCTTTGGGTTTGGTTGAAGCATTATCCCAATCAAATTAATCATCTTATTAGAAAACTAATACATTCAAATTGTAATGAATACTTTATTGTCTTTTGGAATGACATAGGAGGCTTCAACAATAGCCAATTTTGAAGATTCCTAAAAGGGTGGATTGTAAAAGCACATTGTATATAGAATGCATCCGAGCATCCAGATATCAACTTTTTCATTGATTTCATACTTTAAATATAAATCAGTCATCTCAGGAGGTCTATAAATTTCTGTTGTCTATTTGGCAAAATTCTCTTCATACTGAGAAATCTGATGTTTATTCGATGAACTATTCTTAGATAATGCTCACATACTTCAAATCAATTTTTTCAGTGCTAGCAGAACCGAAATCACAAATTTTGAATACTTTATTATGCAATAAGACATTTTCCACTTTCAAATCTCTATGAGTAATTGGAGGTTGTTAGGTATGAAGATATTTGATTGCTTATACTAATTACTATGATAAGGTGAAAAATAACTTTTAACACTAGGAGGACTTATTATTCACTCAACCTTTTTTCATTGTACCTTTTCAGTAAATCAATTAGTGTTCCTCCTTCACACAATTCCAAGACCATGTATGCTATAGTCTGATTTAGTTTCTTATTAAATTTGATAACTCCATTGTAACATTTGACAATGTTGGGATGTTGGAGTTTTCTCTAGATTTAATATCAATAATTATGAAGTACATGTAAGTCCAATTCCAATTAGGCTTATTCGATTGCCTCTTTACTTTGACAAATAATTTTCTTAATAACGCAAAATTTCCTGGTTTTGGTTTCGATTGCTCTCCAAATAAAGCCGTAACCTCCTTCAGCAATCAAGTTCAACTCATGATATTCTTAACCGTTGATTTCATAACTCTCTGGTTGTGGCCCTGAAGAGCCTTATCCGAAGAGATTCATAAAGAAATTCATTTTAATAAAATTATTGATATATATAATCAAAACTGCATGAAGATTGACCTACCTTTTGGGTTGTTTGCACACTTGGTTGAATGAGGTGCACTCAAATCATTAGATCCTCTTTTGGATTTGGATTGTAAAAATAATTAATAGGGATTGGTTGAGGTTTAGGGCATCCATTAATAATTAAGGCTTCTCTTGTGATCATTGGGTTATTGTTTACTTGAATTAACAATTTTGAGACCGTCATGATCATAAATAGTCTAAACGTTTCTTTAGTAATTCAAAGAGAAAATATTTTACTTTTGTTGATGAGTATTTCTATTGGAAGTAGGAGTTAGTTTTTTTTATTGTTCTGATTATAGAGTTAATAATTACTAATGTATTACAATATAAGATTGGCATTAGCAGGTGAAATCGATTACCTCTTACCAGCAAACATTGTAGTCTAATTTAATAAGGAGTCTGCATTATAATTTGATTCAGTCCTAACTTTTGATTTTTTTACATTTGATGACACATTCTAAGAAAACGATTTACTGCATTCTTAGTCCGAGTCCAAACTATCTTGCCGATAGGATTATTTTAGTTGAATCAACCTATTGAATTTCTCCTCTTATAAATAATAATGACCTCTGTTTTATTAGGTATGCAGTTTATTGTTTTTACGACTTTTTTGATTGGTTTGAGACCTGTTAGAATTCAAAGTTTTGAGCATAGATTCATCCAAGAACCCTGGAACTGGATCTACATAGAATACATAGAATTGGTTACCTTTTTGCGCCCTTTGGATTGGATCTATTAATTTTGAATCAAAATAAACAGAATTAATATCAGCTGTTGATATGCCTCCATTCATCAAATGTCTCTTCATCAATAAAAAGTAAGAGGTAGTTACATTGTTTTATTTATTTGCATCCAAACATATTTTAACATACTCCTCGTCAAATCCAAGTTCCTTTAAATGTTGTACAATATTGTTATCGATGGGAATCCTGTGATATCCAATGATGATCCCTGGAGGAATAGAATGCGATCTCCTAAACAATTTGAACCATGGGTGTGATTTTATTTACTCTAAATTAAACCTTTTCTCTGGATTAATATTCAAGATTCCCTTTAGAAAATTGATGCCTTCCGGAGATATAAAATTAGGAACCTAATATTCTCCATGTAGAATCTTCTTGTATAAGGCTGAAGTGTTGGCATCTTCAAATGGTAAATAACCACAAATAGATGCAAATAAAATTACTCCACATGACCATATATCGACTAATAGGGAATCGTATTTGTTCCCTTGTATCATTTCAGGTGCTGCGTAACATGGACTACCACATGCAGTCTTTAATTGTTCTCCCTGTTTATATGTATTGCTTAATCCGAAATCCACAATCTTTAAACTCTTTTGATAATCTAATAGCAAATTTTCTGGCTTCAAATCTCTATGAACTATGTTCAATTTATGGATATATTCAATCCCAGATATTAACTCCTAAATGAACTTGCATGCTTCAATCTCAGAGAGTCTTTTATTAATGATTCAAAATCTTACTTCTAATGTTTCACGATGTAGTCAAAGAGTTCGCCTCCATCACAGAATTCCATCACCAAAAATATATACCTCTTCGTTTCAATGATCTTAGTTTATTTATACATCCAATACCTCATATAATTGAATCACATGTTTGTGGCGAATCAATTTCAAAATATGTATTTCCCTAGTTACTCTCTCAACGTCTGCCACATCTATAATCTTTGATTTCTCCAAAATTTTAATTGCAACCTTCTCTTAAGTTATTTAATGAATTGCCAATTTGACTAAACCAAATGTACCCAATCCCAGAGTTTTAACTACTGTAAACCTAAACATCAACCTAACAGATAATCTCCTATCTATCGTTATTTATCAGATTCTTGCTCCTACTCCTTTATAATCGATTTCTTACTATTAACTAATTGCATTAATTAAATTAATCCCTTCATTATGTAAAAGTAATAAACTAATGATATCTCACAATGGAATAACAACAACGATGATCTCTAGACCATCACTGAACAAGAAGTTGATGAATTCAAAACCAGTTATGTTAGTTTTTAATAGTAGCAGAGCAAGTATAAAAAGTAGAAATCCATAAAAGTGAACACCACTAATTGCAGAGGTGAGACCAGATTAATACGTAAAGTAATTGCCAAAAATAATTGGAAGGAGGTTTTTAATGATGGCGATGTGTGTTGGCTCGGATTACCATTTAAATACCAAAACCTTGAAGAATATTTCACTTAATATGTTAATCGGTTTGCAGGAATGGATTTATTAGCTCATAAAACTCAATCCTCCTTTTATCTCAATAAATTTGCAGAATACTTCCCAGAAGAATACGAGTTCTTTCCTAAAACTTACATTATACCTGATGATATTGATAAATTTTAACAGGAATATAAAAGCACTCGGACTTACATAGCTAAACCAGATGCAGGGTCCTAAGGAGATGGAATTTATTTGATAAAAAAGTTAAAAGACATCAAGACCAATGAGAGTATGGTTATCTAATAATATATCTCCAAACCTCTATTGATAGATAAAAAGAAATTCGATTTAAGATTGTATGTTCTCATCACATCTCTTGATCCTTACTTATGCTACATTAATAAAGAAGGTTTGGCTAGATTTTGCACTGTCGATTACGAAAAACCTAATGATAAGAATCTAAGGAATCCCTTTATGCATCTAACCAACTATTCTCTCAATAAAAGAAATACAAACTTCTAAGTCTACAATGGCAAGAATATATTGGATATCAATGAGGGAACCAAAAGAACTTACTCATCAATCTAAAAAAACCTCGAAATCTTAGGATACAATAATTAAGATGTGGAAAATTAAATTGATAGTTTAGTCGTTGCTTATTTGAAGAGTCTCCTCCCATTTCTTGCATTCAATCAAAAATTAGTCTTTCAAAAAAGAGTGGCTGAAGTCAAATGTTTTTAAGTCTTGGGATTTGATATTTTACTCGATGAGAAAGGTAAACCCTGGCTATTGGAAGTTAATTCTAATCCAAGTTTACAAATTGAACATGAAGTCTATGGAGCGAATGGAAAGTCCATATTTGAAGAATCCTACATTGACAGCTATGTTAAAGAGTTAGTTATGGGAGATGCGATAAAATTGGCAATGATTCCTAAAGAAACTCAAGAAGAACTGCCAGGATTTGAGAGTTATAGGAAATTGGAAGTGGATACGGCTGAAACAGTAATCTCGAAAATGATGCAAATATATGGTTTCTTGTCTGGATACAAATTTCAAGAATATCTGACTTCTTCTAAATTCTAGAAATTGTCGAACTTTCCATCCATGACATCATAAACATTTCTGAAGCATGATTATGATTTACTTTTCCGAAAAATCCTATTGAAATCGTGTAATAATAACTAAATGGATTTCTTTCAATTTATTAATGCAGTTGAATAATTGGCGAGTAGATTAAACTAAGACTTAGAGGAAATGCTAGATAGAATAATTTAGAATATTTGATAATTATAATATTGATTTTATTGATTATTATTTAGATGTCATTTTAGCAACAAAATAAAATATATCTATTATAATAGAAATAAGTTATCATAATAGTATTTTTTATACTAAAAAATGGAAGTTTCAATATTTTTTAATTAGATATCTCACACATAGATTCCATTTCAGATTAAGTAATATTTGTTATTGGTTATTCTCTTCCATTTTTTTTATTTTCAATAGTGAAGTATGTATTCTTATCGGATAACTTTATGAAAATATTCATTATATCAAGGTATTAAGAATTTTATTAATTGAAGAATGTGTTTTCTTCTTTAAGATTCTGTCTGATAGAATTTTTAGTTAGTAAAATCTTTACTTTTATGCTTATAATAGGTGATAAATCATTATAATTTATATAATGAATTTAAGAATTGATCGATTTATATAGGCATTGTTAGCCAAATCATAGCATTGTCAACATGGGTATTATGGAATGTTATAGTAGTTGTTCATGCTTTGAGCACGTCTCTATTCAAGGTTTACAAACATTCAAATATGCTTATGTTTTGAGGACTGCATTATCACTGCTTTAAATCTTAGTTAAATTCAAGAAGAATAAGTTAAAATAGATCCCGAAAATATTCACTTCTAAAGATAATATAAAGTTTTGCTTGTTCTTATCCTCATATACTCTGATTACAAAAGGTTTCTGATTGATTTACAAATAGGTTTGCATTGTTTACTCAGAAATAAATACGAATAGGATTCTCCTAATTATGCATTTTATTGTGGCTTATTGGGTGGAATGATATCGTTGTCCTTTTTGAAATATGAATAAAGAAAATTTTGGGCTTTATATATGATTGTGAGAGCTTTGGACACTAGATTTCATAAATTGCAAAAGTATTTCTTGATATCATAATTGAAATAAGTACGCCTATGTCATCATTTATTCTTTCATGCAACTGATAGCTGCTTATGCCTATTTCTTTGAAGAAGATTCTTTCGGAGAAAAGCAAACTCGTTTATGGGAGAGATTTCAAAATTTAAGTCTGCGAGAATCCTAATACAGAGCACTAACTAATCTATCAGTTTACGCTAGATGAAACAATAATATTTTCATTTTAAACATAAATTTTAATAGTCACTGTAATATGCATTCTTATTTAAACTTTACTTTTATCTTCTTTATTTTTCGTAATTACTTAATTGAGATAGATTTACTTTGCTTTGAACTCTTTCGGTTTGACTAATTTGACTATTCATATTAAGATTGTATTGTTGATTGGACTTTGAGACATCTGTGGGCTGAATTGAAGTTTTTAAACTGTTAGTTCTGAATTTCCCACTTATTATATATTTGGAAAACCTATTACTTAAATCAACCTTGTTTTTTTTCCATAAGAGTTCTTCTTGTATATCAAAGGTCACTAGAATCTGGATTGGACAGTTCTCATTATTGCATCTTATTTAACCTCCAAATATCTATCCCATTACAAAAACCACAGATGTATAACAACACTTGGATATTGGACAGACCAAACAATCTGTGAAGTAAATGTAAAACACTTTAGTAATCCTGTGTTGGCATATCAATATATTTTATTCTCGAAACTCTATTTCATACATCAATTCTCTTAGTAAACCGTATAAGATAGAATTCCTTTTATCACTTGGTAACAATGACGTCACATTTTCTTCAAATCTGACTAAAGTATTATCATAATTTTACTTTCTCTCATCAATTATCTGCAGGTTCCTTTTAAAATTAATAATCTGTACTTTTTTGAAAACAAATCATGGGAAACATTTGACTGTCCTCCACATCCCGAAATATACTAGGCAATATAACATCATTCTGATATTTCAACTATTTATCATGTCTTTGAGAATCTATATTTAATTTCCCCAATTTCAAGTCAATCTCCTTCCTGTTCATTACTTCATTTAACCATAACTTAAGATTCATATTATTACGAATTGTGACTCCCTTCATCAATAATCCCTTCTGCTATTTCTAGGTACTAAGTTAATTACATTATGTCAACCTCCGATGCTTATTTGAATGAATTGAAAATGTTTAAACCATATCAGACATATTAATCATTATATCAATTATTTTATAATCATCTATAACTCTTTATTTACTTTTAAACTCTTCAATCTTAATTTCTCCTCCTCGTAAATCTTCGTCTCTTTCATCAAATAACAAACCTCCTTATTCTCATTCACCATCCCCAAAAATTTCAAGAACTCCTCTCTAAACTATGGAGATTTTCTGTCCAACACACTTATCAAATTTGAAAATAATTGATCCTTCAGTAACTAATCAAACAAATTGCTGCTCTCTTCATATTAAACCATTTTATACTTAAACTGTTTTAAAATTCAATCAAAAACTTAATTGTGCTTAAATTTATCTAATCTTCCTGACATGCTAAATCCTTATAGATTATTGGTAACAACAAATTGAATTGTGATTACAAAAGCTTTGCCATTACAACATTCTTTTTTAAGATGCCCACGCCATATTGATATATTTCGATTCTTTCGTCCTACTTTAAACAATATTGAAACAAGGCACAAAGTAAAGTTGTAATTGACTATAGCTTTTGCAATTCAAATTAATATTTATATTGTAATTGGGAAACATCTAAATCTGGTAATGTTCTAGTTATGATATCTAATAGATCTATCAAAATTGTTGAATTCTCAATAAAATAATGATATCGATTTCTCTCCAGCACCTTTAATAAAAGTTCATCCAAATGTAGTAATACAAACTCCAATTAATCTTGATTATCTTAATTCATTAATCATATTTTATACCATTCAATATGAATATGTATTATTTAATGATATTCTCGAACAGCCCTTCATTTTTAATTTCTTATTCCTCAAAATATATATATTATTAATTTAATGCCAATAGATATTGTTGTGAACATGTTGATTTACTTAAATCTTTTATAATTTAATACTTACTATGATAAATCAGAATAATCATAAATAAATTTGTAAAATTCTACAATTGATTTTCTAACAACCTTCTTAATTTGAATTTGTATCTTAAATTAATTACCTGGCAACAAATACAATCCAAATATCAATGGAAATGTAAATACAAAGGCCTTTGTAAGAAATCTAATTTATTTATTTCTTAAATTTATGATGACTTAATAATACTTCTTCAATATTGATAAATAGCTTGAGGTCTTATTTTAGTTCACTGGGTCGAAGTAAGCTTCAAATAGTTGTTCAAATTTTTTCTTTTCCTGAGAATTATAATATCTAAAATTAATAATATTTCTCTAACTTTGGTTTAAAATTGAACATATATAATTTTTATTATTATATTCAAAATTTAATGAAAAATCATTTTATGGAAAGTAGACAAGTATTGGATATGATTCAAAAAATAATAAATTTTAATTAATTCATTTTTTATATTTTGAATCTTTCTCAAATGAATTGAGGATCTTTTTTTTGATACTTGTTAAAAAATATTATGTTTTTGCCAATAAGCCTTAATTTTTTTAAGCAGACTATAATAATTTCCATATAATTACATCTATTTGATGTTGCTACAGTTTTTAAATATTCTCATCTTATATTTGTTATAGTTTTTTCATCTATTATTGCATCATCTCAAAAGTCTTATTAGGAATGTGCCATTAAGCTGAACTTCCCCTTCTTTAATATCTACTTTCTGAAAACTACTTGGCAATCTCTAACACTCTGTTCTTCATTTTGCCAAAGATTTAATGATGAGGTAACAGATATTATTGGGATTAATATTGTTAAACTTTCTAAAAATATTCAATAGAATATACCTATAAGTTTTCAGCCCAATGAGGAACCTTTTTATTATTGCAGTATAGTCTCTTCTTCTTAGGAGTAAATTAGTTTTGATTTTCTAATTGTTGAAAATTCTATTGCACATTTATACTATTAGTACAGAAGTCTTCTGGAAATGGAAAATCAAATACTGAGGATTAAAATTAAAATTCACAATCTTGCAATAAATTTTCATCCTCAATACTACTGCTTTTCCATTTATAAGAATGATGGTCCAAATTAGAAGACTCATTTGTATTATATGATGTAGCTTTGTATTCGACTGAAGAGCTGTCATACCATTCTGATTTTTTTGGAGATGTTCTCTTTTATCTTTGACACTCTTCAACATTTAAAACAATTAGTGGTTCGCTAATGTTTATAACTGACTCCAATTGATTTTGGTTTTCTTATGGGTAAGTACAAATCATCTCTATGGATTTCAATTTTGTAATTAATTCTTCTGGATCAACTTGGTCAATCAAGATCATTAGTTCTTTTTATTCCTGGGCTTCTTTTACCTTGTCTACTTTGATTTAGGATAACTAATAAGAAAGAAGAGATTGTTTCTATGGTTAGATTGGAGTATCATCTTTGAGATTTTTATTTGGTTGATTCTCCTCCATTATTTAGTATATAGTTTTTGATTTTTAAACACTTTAGTAACTAGAATTGGTTGATTTGACTGACAAGTTGGGATTACAATTTTCTTAACACATCTAATTTTCAATTCTAATTTAATCTAATCGTTCGTCGTTAGTAACATTGAGCTATTAATCGATATAACACTCTTTTGTTTTTGAATCTTTTCCACAATCATCGTCGAATTCCTCTATAACTGCGTCCAAATGAGACTATTTTTATGATTACATCATAATCGAATTGATAATCCTGAAAGTTTAGTCTACACTCTCTAAAACACTATTTGTAACTAAGGTCATCCTCTATTGAGTTTAGATAGTGATTAAAGAAGCAGCCGCAGCAACGTGGATGGAAAGAGCAAGCACTTCTTTTGATATGTCTTGTGTCATTTAAATTTAAAAATTAACAATAACAAGCGCAAAAATTAGTATGCTAATGTTTATTAGTATATTTTGTATTGTTAATAATCATAATAATATACAAATATGTAAAACTGTATTTTAATTGATATTCCTTATGGTTCTTCAATAATTACAATAAAGGGGAACCATCACTAAATGTTATGAATTTATTATATTAAAAAATAACTCAAAAACTGTCAACTGAAATTTTCTAGATTATTGGTACATTCGTTCCTGGTGCCTATTCCTGAGAAAACAATTGAACACATTATGAAAATGTTATTTACTGATTATTGTAAGGATCTATCTTATTCAAGTATCTCTAGATATCAAAATCATTGGTTCCCATATTCAAATCTGCAATCAACTATCGAAATTCATTCTACTTATGAACATCTAATACCTCATCAATAATTCCATTCTAATCCTAATCTTGTTGTTTGAAATGCAAAATAAATTTTGACAAGTACTTTTCATGTGATTTCATTTGAAAATCCAAAATAACCTTCTAAAATATCGAAAATTCAATCTTAGATTTATCTTTCTCATTCACTATTTAAAATTACTCCTCTCTAGTCATTCGTTTCTCTACATGCTTTGCAGGCTATATAAAATACTATTTCAATTTGTTAAGAATTAACTCTGAATCCTCTTGATTATACATGTATTTGATAATATCCTCGGCTTCTTCTTAGAATATAAAACTATTAACTCTTTAATTCATCATTTCTTTGATATCAGCATTTGTCTTTAAAGGGAATTTCCCTCTCAAATACATCTACCATTATTAATTTAAAGTTTTACCTTCAGCAATTCCAAAATCGTATTCTTCACCTAACCCTACACAAATCTAAACTCCTCATCACATTCATTCCTCAAAATCTTACCAAACACTGCAACATCATTATCGTCATTTCCATATCTCTTGAGTGCATTGATGATGCAAGAAGCCCATTCCAGTATTAAACTCTTCAATCCATATTTCTAATTCAAAAATGTGTACATATGCTGCTCCATAGTTTCCCTTGGTAAATGAGAATCAGAGCATTTTTAATCAAATTTCAATTTACTCTCATATATTTCTACTATTAAATCTTTGAATTGTTTTAGAGTTAACATCTTAACCAATTAGGGAGCTTAAACCAATACATTTGATTATAATTAATTATTCTTACTTTGAATAGACGCATATTAGGTTTATTGTGGTCTAATCAAATTTAGAGCAATGGCTTTGTCATTATTATTCTATTGTATAAATTGAGACGAATTGTCTATATTTTAAACTTCAGTCTTTTACTAATTATTTAGAACAGAGTTTAATTGAATCTTTTCCCCCTTTCCGAATTTAATTAGTAATTCTAAGTAAGCCTTATTTTCTTATTCAATTTCCCTTGTATATTATTACAACTCCTAGAGTTCTTATCTAAGTCTTTATTCAGTTCCCTTGTCTTAATTTGATTAGCCTGAATTAGTTTCCAATAATTTCTTTTGGATTGATTAAATTGATTGATTGTCCCTTACATTCATTATGACGTTAGACATATCTGTAAATATCTATTGATGTTAGTCGTGTAATTTGGTTAGGATCTATTCTAGCTTTTTATCTGTCAATTTAAAGTATCTTATAAACAATTAAAAGCAAACTTCAGATAAATTAAATTTTGCCTATTTTAAAATAAATTTAAAACTTTGAGAATTGTTAAATTTGTTATATGATCAGGTGATTTTTGTGCTAGCTTGGTCTGCAATTCCTTCATTATTGTCTTCACTGAATTCTCGAAAACTGAAGAAATCTATTTTTCTGATTCTTCATCTTCCTTTCTCAACTCTTTGATACTGTCATGAAGCATCTAATATGATTGGGATATTAAGTACAGCCATCTATTCCAGATCCTCTTATTGTAATGTTATTTCCAATCCTGTTCCTGATCTCTCTGATTGCATATCACTTTATTGTTCAGATTGGTCCTCAATTTTAATGGCTTATTGATTTAACATCACTAATTAAGGCAGATTTTCAATGATAAATTCTTCTTCTTCCTTAGATTTCAATGCTATTTCCAAATGATTCAATGAGGGTAATGTTTTTAATGAATGAACTACTTATTGTAACTAAATTTAAAACAAAAGAATACATTTTCAAACATATTATTGGTGATATCCAATATTTCAAGATTCTTTAATTGAGACAAATCATCTGGCAATTGTCTTAATCTATTTCCATGCAAATTTAACTGTAATTATATGGATTGCTTACTTCTTTGAGATTCTTAAATTAGACGAGCAGTGGAAGCACATCCTTCAAATTTTCGATTTGTCTGATATAGTACTATTATTATACTTGAATTCTAGATCAAGAAGAGACAAGTTGGTTCCAGATTTTTATATTATCTTTTACAAGTCTTCCATTTCAGGAATAAATTATAATTATATATATAAATATAATATATATATTTATCATTAACATGATTGTCATTTTTATTATCCATTTTGGAATTTAATATTTGCATTACAAAGTTGCTGTTACTGTTGAATCCATCGTAGCATCATCATCTATTACTCTTATGTCATAATTGGATAAGGCATATAATGCATGTCCTAATTGTACAACTACGGCATTTAAGTTAAGAATTGTTATTATTGGATAAGCATTTACTGCATAACAGCAGCTTAATATTACTATTGATCAAACTGTTTCAATTGTGAGTGTTGTTACAACATCATTTATTACATCTACTATTGATATAAGGATTGCTATTATTGTTGCATCTGCTAAGGGGCACTCTATTGATTTTAAGGTTGCTTTAGATTCTTCTATCCTTTATTATTATTGCTCTTCTCCTTGTTGTTTTTGTTTAATTCTGACTATACAATCTTGTGAGTGTATCTTTTGACAGAATAATTGGCTTAAGCGAATTTCATGACTATTTAACCATGATTATTCAACTGATTGTTGCCATGTAATTTATTCAAAAGAGCAATAAACTCGTTTCTTTGTTGTTGTTCCAAGTACTCGAATAGTCTTTATACTGGATAATTAGCAAATTGATCATTTACCAATTTCTTAAATGAACTAGAATGATATATCATAATTATATCTACCTTTCAGAAATAGAGACTTCTTCTTCCCATAATTTCAATCTCCACTATGGACCTGCATAAATGATAGTCTTTTCTGCTACATTGCTACCATACTTATCCAAAGCCATTGAAATAAAATCTTTAATAAGATATTGATCCATTAACAATCTTTTATGGACTTCTTGTCCTTTCTCCAATATTTGTTATATAATATAGTTAGCATACTATCTCCTAGTGAGACAAGAACAATTTTCGATAGCCCTAACTATAATGTTATTGCAGATCGACTTGGTTTATGCATCGAATTATTTTGGATAGATGTCAATGATCTTATTGACGATGAGACATCCGTATTGATCAGTCGATAACTCGAACTTTTCATTGTTGTTACTGAGAATCTAGGTAATATTATCATTCAATATTCATACATATTTAGATAGAATCTAAAGTAATTTCAGTAGATTATTTCCTTCTAGGAGTTCCAGACTCTTTTGAATAATCTGATTAGCAATCTTATCAACGTAGATTTTCTTCATTTAGACAGTGTCTTGATGTATGAATGCAAGGTAGTTCTCCAATTATTCCAGAGAATCTTGTGGATTTAATATCATGACTTCCAAACCCTTTTGCATAACCTTACAAGCATAGAGATCTTTGATGAGTTTATGTATTTAATTATAAATTCTATCAAGAATGAGATTTTTATGGGATGGAGGGCCTAAACCATAAGTAATCCAAAAATACCAACTTCAATTATTTTCTCAAGTATGTAGTGTTTGTATTTGTCTAAACTAAAGTTTTCAATATCATTTTTAATATAAGTGTTGAATACAAATTCTTTCTCCCTCAAAGTGGCATTCTAATATTCTTATTGCATCTTTCTAGAGTTTTTTGTCAACTTCTCATGACTAAGATATGATGACCTAATCGTTTTAAAAATTGAATTTACATGTCAGCTGTAAAAGCTTAGGCAAGTGAAGGTTTAAATGAATCATTTAACAAGACTTAGTTTAACTATTGATTTAGTTCATCAAATTCATCATCTTAAATAAATGAAAAAGGATAGTACCATCTTAGTGTAATTGGTCTTCAAAAAACTATGCACAGAAAGCTTTAGAATTATTAGGATTCTCAAAGAGTGTAGGAGTGGCTGTGGAACCACTTTAGGAAGGATGACATTTCAATTCATCATCATCTTTATTAAATTCAACAGGGATGTGAGGATTAGCCATGTTTTGACAATAATAATTATTAATAATAATATTTAAGCTTCCCCTAAAAATCCAGCAAAAAATTCCGTTTAAATCATTATATACATAATAAAGACGAGACAGATTAACCCTATTAAACTAAGTAGTTGCAGAAAATAAACAAAAGAAGTCAAGCCTTATTAATCCAACCCTCAGGGATAATCTGCACATTGGTTTCATCACTACAACTAATCAACTTTCCATTGACCCATTCTCCGAATTTCTTCTTCCCCTCCTTATTAATCATCACTCCTTTGCCATGTTATTTGCCATCAAACCAATAGCCCTAATATTGTTTGCCATCAGCCCATACGAAAAAACCAAACCCACACTTCTTATCATATTCATACTCCCCATCATAGTATTTCCCATCCATCCACGAATACTTGCCTCTCCCATGCATCTGATTCCTATTCCAATTCCCCTAATAACACTATATATACATTTATAAAATTACCCTACCATCTGACCATTCGTATCTTCCATAACCATGGATCATATTCTCCAACCACTCTCCCTCATACATGCATCCTTAACTCCACTTATATATTCCGTAGCCCTGTTTTTTGCCATTCCTAAACTATCCCTCATAATTTGATCCGTCTGGCCACATCTCCTTGCCCATCCCATCAGATTTCCCATTAACGAATTATCCACTGTAAATAGGGCCTCTTATATAATAATAGACCCCATTTCCTTAGATGATATTGTCGATGATGTCTCCTTCATAAATATCACCATTATTTAGCCATAACTTTCCTTTGCCATTCGCCTTCCCATCAACCACATTCCCTTAATATCTCGATCCGTCCTCCAAGATGATCTCTTCTCCCCTTTGTTCTTCAGTTAAAGCCATTTCTTTATTCTCGATCGTAGCAGCTAGTTTGGGATCATTTTAATCATAGTATTCCTCCTTCCCCAGCATTCTTCCTCTCTTATAATAATCCAAACACGGTGGCCTATCTTTCATTTCATTTATAATAATACTATGTTTTTTAACTTCATCCTCCTCATCTAAAAATGATTACTCCACATCAGGACTCTCATCACCCAAATCCTCATCCATGTTCTTCATGTCAAACTCTTCCTTAACCGAAAAGGCCTTGCATTTCTGACATTCCTGTCCCATTTTAATTTATATATTTTAATTTAATTCGCATTTTAGATTCAAACTTTATATGCGACACATGTAAATCCAAGTATTCCTATACTAAAAAGAATAGTAAGAAAAATTGAATTTAATTAACCCCTTCCTAATACTAAATTAATTTAATGACTTAATCTTTATCAAAAATATAATCAAACATAAGTACAATCTTTTGTCTTATGAGGTATCTTGGTGAAAGTGATGGGTTTTGAATGAGAGAAATAATTGTGTTATGATGAAGTAACTATTTTATTGCTTAAAGGTGCTAAAGGCATAGGAGATATCTAATAATCGATGGAGTTGCTAATCTAAATTCTTTTTGCAGAAACAGACCGATCCAAATAAAGAGATCTTTGAGTTTCCAACAGTTGATTATACTTCTCCTCTGCAGTTAATTTCTATTTATTCATGATGGTTTATTTGGGAGATACTGAAGTGTTCAAACTTCTTTGATCTAAAATAACAATAAAAAGTACAACATTCTAGTGTCGAAGATCTTTCCTTGTAGAGATCCAATGAAACCTACTTAATTGTTCCTAAGGTATTTTTTTATTTATGCATTATTCTCTATTTAATCTGAGTGCCAACTCCTAGTCTCTCAAAGATAGGCGTTCTCTTTTTAAACCATTGGATAAGTGTTTCAATAAAAGCATGTTCTCTGATTCCATTATGTTGTTGATTTGTGTATTGGATCTGTTTGATGCCTGTGTAAGCCTTAAACAGTTTTTCAGTTTACTCAGGCGGTACAATAGTATCCAACTTGGAAGTCACGAATATGGCAGGACATTTAATTGACGAAATCTTTTTGAGACAATTGATTTCTTCTAAATCAAATCCCGCTTACTTTTTGAGTTCATTTGATACAAAGGTGGATAGACTCTTCAAAATGAAATTAGGTATTTTAGTTTTACTTGATGCCATTTGCAATATCACCTAATTCAATTTAAGCGTTTATTTACATCAAGCAAGCAAACAAATGGACTATCCAAGATCATTCCTTTGATGAGTATGTTATTGAACTTTTGCATATATTGGAGAGCAACAGCAGAACCCATCGATCTTCCCCAGAGTATTATTTATTTATATGATGATTAGAAGTGATTTATAACAGTTTGCAAATCTCCAACCTCTCTATGTCCATAAGTCACGATCTCGCCATCTGACATTCCAGACCCAGTGAAATCAAAAGAAATCAATCCAAACCCATTTTTAATTATCATCGATACATATTTGCTCACTTCCATTCTAGAACCATTGGCTGTATGCAAATATATAATGCAAACATCGCTTTTTTATTAGCCTGTATATTAACTAACTTTGATCACTTCTTGTCGAGGATTGATGATATCAAAATCCTCCCTTGTATACTGACTATCTTCCTAAATCTAATAAGAAGCTGTTCATAATAATTATGCTGAGCTTACATAAATCATATATTGTGTATTCTGCTCTTGCTGGTCTAATTATTTATTGGCAAATTTGGTTCAATCCATTTTGGAAATACTTCATTCGTTAATTAAATTAAAATATATAATACAATGAAATAGCAAATTAAACAAGATGACTCTGCACAACCTATGATCATACTGTAACCATCCTAATACAAGTTCATGATTTTCATGGATTCTTCTCTCCAAAAAGACGTCGACAAATTATATAACAAACTTACCAAACAAGTGTATTCAACAAATCCTTATTCCATAATAGCATTGATAAAGAGAGAATCGAAAAAGTGCAATCAGTCAAAGATCAAGTGAAGGCTTTGAGAGAAATCATCAACGATTATCAGACTTAATAAAACGAAATCGACAGTCTCAAATCACAATTACAGAATTAGATCAAAGCTATTCTATCAAAAGAATAAATTATAAAAAATATCGAAGACACTTACATGCAATAAATGGAAGAAGTAAAATCATCACACCCTATTCATAGATCAAAACCAATTATGAGCAACGTCAATTTGATTTGGTGAAAGAATGCGAACAACTCAAACTCAGAAATAAAGAATTAGAAGAAATCAATATGAAATACCTTGCTTAAAATGATCTATTACTAAAAGCCAACAATAACTACTAATAAAGAGTTAATGAATTAGAAATGAAACTCATTTTGGCAGAAAAGAACAACCTTGTTACATCATCAGAATTAGAACAAATGAAAGAAATTAGAGCCGGAGCCCTCTTTATCCAAGGAGCCTATAAAATATTAAAGTACTAATACCAAGAAAGCAATATCTACACCCTATTAACCAACAAATACAAATCCACCATCTTATCATTTCTTGAACCTAAAGACATATTTGATTTGATGTTGACAAGTAAATAAATGTATTTCATCATCTAAAATAATCGATCTCTATTAAATTATATCGTCAACTACAGAACCTAAGTGTTGAACAAAGAAATTAAGTACTTAAAAACAGAATTTAAGTAATCTTTCTATTTAATTTAGTTATTTTAATGATATGGTTTATCAAATCCCAGAAGAAATCATTTAAATTGGCATTGCTAAGTTCTTAGTTTTCAAATTCAACATTGGACAATACATGAATGAGATATTTAATGATGCATATGAATTAATTGAGGGCAAATTCCAAAATCAATAATAAGTGTTATAACAATAACAACAACAAACCTAAAGTGACTCCCTTTATTAGAATGAAGACTTACTGGGATTAGGAGAAACTGATGAATAATAATAGTAAAAATAACAGAACTCAACATAGTACGTTGCATCAACAGCCTCCAGTATTTTCACCAAAATTAAATCATACGCAGGTAATCATGTCTAAAATTCTAACAAAAATATTAACACGTCCAGTCCCTCCTAACCCTCATAAAATAAATAGGCTAAATCCTTAAGTGATCTGTCCATCTAACTTCAATAAGAATATCAAGATATTGATTCATTGATCCTAGAATCCTTATAAGTTCCATTCCTTAAAGCTTAAATAATACAAACAAGAAGAGAAATGGTTGATCTAGTTAAAAAGAGTTTATAAATCAACTAACAATTATTCTAAACTGGTAGAAAATGCATCCCGACACCCACATATCAACCCAAATTTACTATGTAAGACTTCATGCAAGTCTTATAAATGACCTTTTCTAAATTCGTTGCTCATGGACATTATCTACATTTGGAATCCTAATAATTATTATAAACTTGTAATTATTTCTCAAAACTTTTACTATTGTAACATAAATAAATTTACTAATTAAAATCTTAAATAGATGATTAGAAAGTTGAATTAGATTCTCAAAAAGAAATGAAATATTATATCTAGGATAGAGCAAAGAGATTCGAAGAAAGAATCATTAAAGCAGAAGAGTAAATATTCACTTTAAATAAATTAAACTTTGATCAAAAATTATAAATTACATCATTGTAGAAAAAAGAAAAAGATTTAGAGGGCTTACTTAAAGAAAAGGAAACAAAGACCTAAGCTTTATTTTAAGCCGTAAAGTAAATTAAAATAGAAAAAGATCAAGTTGAAACAAAATTAAATTCAGTTTTAATGAACTTCAAAAATATGAAAAATGCTCTTGGTAAAATTGTATGATATTATTCATTATAATTATCTATGTTATTTATTTTGATTTAATATTAATATCATACTATTTTTTATAGAATCTTAAAATAAAAAATCAAATTGATTTCTTTTTTAATATAAAATAGTGTTAACAATAAACAAAAATTAAATTTCATTTTAAAAGGCATTTTAAAAGTGATTCTGATTGATTAAGTGAGTGAGTTTAGAGATACTAGTGGTTAAACTAGTAATTAGATGTCAAAATAGTTTATCTTCTTTCTAATGAATAAATAGCATTTGATCTTTGAATTCTGTTGAAAAATAATTCCATTACATTCTAGTGTGAGATATAATCATATTCAGCTAATTCAGGAATATCATAAATTACATCATTTGCTGGTTCCTATTCTAATGAATACTAATAGACATCCCATTCCTTACAGTAAAATCTTTAAATTTTATTAAATAAATCTTTTTAATAAAATTTTATATAATGATATAATTAATCATTATTTTTTACGCTTGAAAATACTGAACTACAATTTGTAGATGTTAATGATACTCCTGATGTTCCTAAGCTTTCTGCTACTATATTTTCTGAAGAATTTTATATGTCATCATCCATTAAAACCACTTATTTAAATAAAGCTCTAATTTTTATCTAAACGTTTTGTTGTAAGGACAACTGGTATCTAAAGTTCTAAATTTCATTCCCAAAGATACTATTATGCTATTCTTCAAAATTTTTCACTAATATTTTAGACATTTATTGGCATTCTTAATGAAATTGCTTAATCTCATATTTGAATTGTTCAACTCTAAATGCAGATGATTATTCAAATATGTAATATTCGTATACATACTATCCAAATATATAAATTAACAATTCCTCATGTTATGAATACTCGATATTTAATTTAGGAGTTAAATTTACTGTTAAATTAATTAATTAATTGAGTTCCTCACAATATTGGAAATTATAATAGCCATATTTATGAATATTATTTTGATTAGTGCTAATATCAATTAGATATTAAACATATTATCTTAATAATAAAGATTTTTTTTTTCTATTTCTACATTCTATCATAAACAAACTGAATTCTTTTCTAAATTTTTCAATGAGTTCTGCTTTATTAGCTTTCATCATCCATTCGCACACCATGAAGTGTCGAACAGTATACTTTGGTAGCTTGTATTAAGGCAGACTTTCATCGATGATTTTATTAAACAAGAATACCAAGTTTGATGTTTAATTTTCTATTGAACTTATCCACCCCTAATAATGTAGCCAAATTTATATAAATTATTCTAAATTACATTGAGAAAACCTTATTTCCAGATATTTACAAAAAATTTTTACATAATCATGTAGATTATAAATTAGCATTAGTAGTTCTGGTAATTATGTATGGATTTCAAACCCTTACCTCACTCTTAATAATATATCTGTGTTATTTGTTGCAAATTGCAGTGCTGTTATGTAATCGGAATTCTTAATAAGTTATTTTTCATCACTAAATTAATCTTCATAATATAGAATGGCCTTCTGAAATCCACTATAATTAATTTTATGTTCTATAAATAATGGGAATTATTTAGTTTCATATCTTACACTTTTTATTGCTTCTCCATAAGGTAATGATCTTATTGGAATACACATTACACTTTATAATATAATTTTCCAATTTTAGGATTAAATTATCTCGCATTTAACATTCAGAAGTCTTTAGCATGCTATTTGAAAACAACCGGATGTTTGACTGAAGATTTAATAAGTAGTTTTTGACACCTAAATTAGATTTTCAAACTCCTGAATATTTAAAAAACTTGTAATTAGTGATGAGGTTTTTTAAGATAACTTCGAAAAGAGACTATTATAAAATGAATTTAATGGGTACCAGTCCTTCTTTATTAAAAATAATTTCTTAATATGTTCCTTAGTCTTGGTTTTGAGATTTGTATGATTCTTACGCTGTGACTAGTTATTTCCCATTGTGTATAATTAAAATAAATATAGAAATTCTAAATTTTATATATCAATTCAAAATCGTGAGGGCCTAATTTCTATGGAATTTGATAAAATAGTAAATTTTTATAATGGCCCTCTACTAATTTATTATTCCCAATTAGGATCATCCATTTCTATACCTGTTACAAAGTATACAGCAATTTAATTATTTGAAATTACTTTCACATTGATAAGTTTGCTTTCATAAATAAGCACTCTTACCCATCATTCTCTTAGAGATATTCGTTCATAACATCCATTATTTGATCTCTAATTAACTGGATATTATCATATGGTTTGCATTAAACTCTTACCATTTTGAATCTGTGATTTAACAGTGGACTTGTAATTTTTATCATACTAATTAAATTAATTAGAATATGCATACATATCGCACTTTATATTATTCATAGCTAGCAGAATAGCATTTTGGAAAAGTAATGGGAATGGTGGTAGAAGTACTTGACTTGTATGGGCCTCTTCAATATTAAGATTTATTGAAATATTCACAATTTGATGACTTAAAATTTTTAGAGATTGTTATCACCCTTGGAATAAAGCATTAAATAATTGGTTATAAAATCTAGAAGCAACCAGATAATAGCGTTGAGATAAAATAATTATTTGCAGGAAATAAAGATCAAAAGTAGCAAAATGAGTCTAATTAAATTAAAAATAAACAAAGAAAAAAAGGATTAATATTTTTTAATCATATAGCATTGTTGGGGAGAGAATATGTACCAGAATTATTAAATAGCGAAAAATCATACAATGTTATTTTTGATTATGCACTTAAAAATGGGGTATTTGGAATTAAGAATCTCGTTTCAGAAAGCATAACTGAAAGTGATTTAGAATCTTTGGTGAATGAATTATTTGATAAAAGTTTACTTTAAATTGTTTAAGTAGATTAATAAGAAGAAATTTAAGAAGTTATTTATAAGGATACAAAAAATAAATCTGAAAAGAAAACTTAAAAAGCAAATAAAAAATTAGAAATTTCATCTTAAAAGTAGCAATCCCTTACATAGAATTCCCTTTTGTAAATAAATTGGACAGGATTAATGGATATTGTTAAAAATAATGTATTTTTTCCTTTAAATTAGACTATTATGTAATAACTAAAATAAATCTATGGAATTTCCAGCTTCTAGGATCAAAATTTATATAAATAAAAATAGAAAGAATTAAAAGAAAACTTAGAAATCAAATGGATAGAAGACAAGCATTCTTAAAAACATTCTAGAGTTTTCAATCTATTAAAATTGAAAAATTGCCCTCTTGATGAAAAATAAGTATGATAATTCTTTATCTCTTAGATTTGTGACTTCGCTCTTCTGAATTATTAGGATTCAAACACTATACTTTTTGAATTATTGACAGATTAATTGATTAAAACTCAAATACTGAAAGTGAATGATAAAGATAAACAGATGTTCCAATTTGATTAGAAAATGGTTGATGAAAAACTCTAACTGCATTTCTACAAAGGTTTAATAAGCTGCAAAGACAAAAAACTGTATTTTGGGATTTTGAATTAGATGAATCTAATGTAATTTGATATGAGACGTTGATAAATTGATAAAATGTGTGGTCATAGCATAAGAAATAAATTTTTGTTCAATAATCTTTATCCCAATTAGGATCTCTTGCTTTTTCTGGTTTATAAATGTTATTGGTTGTTGTAGGATCACTCTATAATTATATAGATAATTGATACTTTAATTTCTTCAGTAATGAGTTTGCCAGCCTAGATGGCTTTTTAGATTTCTTTGTCACTCTATAGTTTGCTTTTAGGCGGGAGATATGGTGGCTTTAAATCTCTGTTCATTAATGAATCATAATCAAAGTGTTCAAAAAATTAATTGTTTTTTAAGCTTGCGTATGATGATCCTAATCTTAATTCAGGAGTTTTGCTTAAGAGTTATTCGATTAACTTCTTAGCCTTACGATCTTTTAGGACAGAAGGGAAGTTCAAGGCTTTTTTTTGGATTTCCTCATAAATATCATATCTAAATAGTTTAAATCAAGCTTTACGGATCTTCTGCATCTTCTGCATAGGGTACATTACCGCACATAAATTCATACAAGCATATCCCTATAGACCATAAATCAACCGAATATGTGTATCCTTTTCCAGACAATATTTCTGGAGCCATATAATGAGGAGTTCCAATAATAGTATATGTTCTACCATTCTTATTTTTAAGATTCTTAGCAGTTCCTAAATCAATCAACTTCATAAACCCCTTAAAATATATGCATTATTTACTTTATCATCAACCATAATATTTTCTGGTTTAATATCTCTATAAATAATGTTATTGAGATGAAGATATTCCATACATAAAATCAAAGATCCTATGTAAAATTGAGAATCATAAGTATTTAAAAGTCCTATTTCTCTGATTACATCAAACAGCTCCATTCCTTTAATATATTCTTCTAAAAAGTAGATGTAGTTTTTGTCCTAAAAGCTCTTAACGAAATGCATAATGAGTGGAAAGTTGGCTGTCTACAACGTTGATTTCTCCTAGGCCAAATGCTTTTCCAAATTTTACTCTATTATCTGAGCCTTAGATATGCATTTGAGTGCATAATTTTTCTTATCGGATTTATTATGAACTAGATAGACATTACCAAATTATCCTTGGCCTAGTTTCTTTATTGAGATTAATTCTTCTAATTTAAAGTGATCATACTGATCCTTTTTTTATCCTTCTTCCTTTTTGATAAATCTGTCATGTGCTTTCTCATTTTTTAAAAAGATTTACTCTAAAGTACCACCAATAATTTCAAAAAACACTTTAATTTATATTTGACTTATCAATCCATCTGATTTCATTATCAAAGAATCATTTAATATTTAGTTTTGTTATTCCAAAAACTTATCACCAAACATTTACCCTTTCTCTATAGATTGTTATCCATATTATACACTGGCCATTAAAACAACGATCAAATGAGTACACTATTAACCTTTCTCTATAATCACTTCTCCTTCCTTATATTGTTTTTATTCCATAGTGCTTACTATCCTTTCTACTTATAGTTTAGTTAGTTATTTCAATATTGGATGACGTTCAAATGCCCACCTTTATAAATTCAAGAACATGATAGTCTATATTTTATCTCCCAAAATTCTTGTCAAATCATCTCTTGACAATGCCAACAGAATGACATCCTTATGAGCTTTGGCTGTTGCCCCTCTAACAGAATTACTTTACAAGGCTTATTCCCCCAGAGAATCACCCTATTACATGATTCTCAATTATTTGCCTCCTTTAGAAATCTCAATCTCTCCTTTCTTTATAATAAAAAAGGAATCTGCTTGATCTCCTTCATTCACAATTATCTCACCAGCCTTAAAATTAAGTGTTATCAGAACAGATGTAATTGCAGTTCTTTAATCATCAGTAAGTGACTCTATTGTAATATTTAAAGTTATTACCGAAAAATTGGACTTTCTGTATAAATTCCTTATTTTATTCGTAATCCTTCAAAGAGATTTCTTCTATCACCTTTCTCACTGTGTTTCTATCTATGGCCCAAAAGGCACAATCTAAAAATTACTAAATTCAGTACCTCCTATAGCTTTTACCGATGCAGATCTTGGAGCGTTGTACAATAATGCTAATTCACCAAATGCTTCTCCAGATTTTAAGGTTTTCTTTACATCATTATTTATTATTATTTAGCATTAACCTCTTTCAATCAAAAAATATGAACTTCCCTTATCTCCTTATTTAAATACCATCTCCTAATCTTTCACTGTGCAATAGAACATTTTATCAATAACCTTTACTCAAAATAATATTCAATTTTTGATACTTGTCGTCGCCTTACAACTGAGCAAATATGAAACTATTATTAAATGCATTCAGTAGTAATTAGTAATCAAAAGGGCTTTTCACTTTGTTTTGTTTTTAGATATTTTCATAAATTACTTCCTAATCAATAACAGCTGCTATTTATGCCATCTTTTTGTTTTCCCTTCTTTTTAGCTAAAGATCTATTTTTATTAGATACTTCTTAATTATTTTCACTTCTCATCTTTTACCCATCGTAATTATCTTGCTATTGTTTTTGATCGTCCGTTATAGATTCTTATTTTAAGTCATTATTATTTTCTTATTTGCCATTTGCTTTTTTTCTTTGTTCATCAATTTCAGCTTTTTTATTTAAATCCACCTCATTTTCCTCTATTAACTAAACCTATGGCTTGCAAATATTCCCCATGATGATATAATTATATTTATCACAATAAAAAATTGTTAATATTAATGAATTAAACTAATTTATTTAATATTCAATCCTACTCACTTCGAGCTAAACCACTTCCAACATATTTCATGTTATTTCCTACTCCCATTTCCAACAACGCTGTTGTTCACTCAAAACAAAGACATTGAGAATGTTTATAACAAAATCACAAATTCTTCACATTCAACATTTAAGGTAATAGATATTAGTTCTTAATGTTAATTCACAAAGCCTTAGTTTACTCTCGAAAGAATATATTAAGGATGTGCATTTTAAACATGTTCAAATCCTAAATGGAGTGTATCTTCTTATATAAATTATATTTAATTATAAAAGTCCCTCGATTATAATTCTTCATTAATGATCTTATATATAATTAATAACGAAAATTATAAACACATAGATATGTGAGTTAATGAAAAAAAAAATTCTTAAAATTCTTCAATAGTTGCTAAAAACTTTAATTATATGATTGTTTTCAGTTATTGCAGAATCTCATCATAAATATATTAAAATTTTTCTCAATTATATTGTGAATTAAAGGATTGTTTCATTTCAAGTAAATTCAAAATGCTCTCTTTGATTTATGATTCATAATTTAAGTACTTATTTTTATATAATTGTACCATACTTTCAAATGTGAAAAACCGAGTTTTTCTTCCATTTAAATTCGTCAAATATTTTAGCCATTATAAAAATCTTTTTTGTATAATGACTCATCCTTTATGAATAAATTTGAAAGAAACAGAGAATTTCAATTACGTGCTTGTCATCATGAAGTTAAATATTAAGCAATGGAGTTAAAAAGTAAGTAAGGGTTTTATCAATCTGAATAGCTTTTATTTTATAGTGTTTGTATTATTGGCTAAATTTTAAGGTTGAAAAGGAGGAAAAATCAAATTGAGAAGTGGAAGTAAAAATATTGATTTTCATCAAGTAAAGCATTTAATTAATGATATATGTTTATATATTCAATCTTAGTGATTAGCCGAATAGAGATTTTCAATAAAACGATCCATATGTTTCATCTGAATATTGTTTTGTAATCGAAACTTTAGGTTTGATTGACTTGAGAATTCTTCTTTGCACAATTGGATTTTTTGTAATCGAATACATCCTTGCGTCTTAATTCTCAGTATCATAGTTGACACCTATTTTAAGTTTAGCACTTTCCCTGAATTGGGGATTGGACACTTAGCAAATAACTTGATCAGTTGTTTAATTAGAACTCGTACATCCCATTTTTACTTAGATTAATAATTAATATTATATTGATAATAATTTGAACTGTTTAAAAATGTTAGACAAATGACGTATTACATTAGAGTCAAGTTGTGTTGGTCAATTTTTGATTGATGCTCATTTTTATATGAAATAATTGTTAGCTATTGAATAGCAACCTAATGTAAATAAACTACTATGGATCATAAAAATTGTTTATTTGGTTAAATATTAGATATTGTATATTTAATGATTTATCTTATTAAAGATTTACATAAAAATAAAATAAATGAATAGGAAATATATAGGTCATGAGATTAATTATGAGACAAGAAATAAAAGCCCATATAGATATTTAAAAAAAAAAATGAAAAAGAACTCTGAATTAAGTAGAACTTAAAGCAAATAATTAATTTAGAATTTGAGAAATGAACAGTTTAGAGAAAGAATTTGATTTACTTTTGAATAACTGGTATGATTATGAACATATTATTAATTATTATATAATGTCAGACGAAATCGAACCTCACATCTTAAAAAGATATGAGATAGTTAGTAAGATAGGGAAGGGAGCATATGGAGTTGTAATAACAATATTGTATAAGTTAAGGTTTGGAAAGCCATGGATAAAAAATGTAAGAATACTTATGTTGCATTGAAAAAAATATTCGATGCATTTTAAAATGCTACGGATGCTCAACGAACATTTAGGGAGATTATGTTCCTGTATGAATTGGACCATCAAAATATTGTTAAACTATATAATGTTCATAGAGCAGAAAACCATAAAGATATATATTTAGTTTTTGAACATATGGAAACAGATTTGCATGGTGTAATTAGAGCAGGTATATTGGAAGAAGTCCACAAATAATACATTATATATCAAATACTTAAGAGTATCAAATACATGCACTCAGCTGAATTATTACATAGAGATTTGAAACCTTCAAATATTCTGTTAGATAGTGATTGTTCTGTTAAAGTTGCTGATTTTGGTTTAGTAAGATCCGTAGCATGTCGTTAAGATGCGCCATCTCCAGTTTTAACTGAATATGTAGCAACCAGATGGTACAGAGCTCCTGAGATTTTATTGGGTTCTCACACATACACAAAAGGAGTGGACATGTGGAGTATAGGTTGTATTCTAGGTATCAATAATTTTAATAATATGTAAGGGGAACTACTGACAGGAAAACCCATATTTCCAGGCAATTCTACATTAAATTAGTTAGATCGAATCTTACAATTGACTGGTTGGCCATCCCTTGAAGATGTTGAAGCAATACAAAGCCCCTTAGCCTCGACTATGTTAGGGGCAATCATCCCTCCATAAGTAAAGCCCATTCATTAAATATTTCCCACTGCAAGCGACGATGCTTTGGATTTAATATTTAGTTTATTAAAGTTTAACCCCAATAATCGACTCACAGCTGAAAAAGCTTTAGCACATCCTTATTTTTCAAAGTAATTTACATCTAATCCTAATAGTTTTCACAATGTTGATGAGGAACCTATCTCAGACAAAATTATCACTTTAGCAATTGATGACAATGAGAAGTTCACAGCTAATGAATACAGAGACAAACTATATGAAGAAATTGCCATTAGGAAACGATATAGTATAAGAAATTAAGAAGATTTTAATTCTTAATTGCCTTCTCCTCCTCCTGTTTCTGATCAATTAAGGGAAAGACCATAAACTTAGAAGCTCAAACCATAATAACAATAAGAAAGTGAAAAATTATATGATTCTGTCCAATAATAAGATCCAGCTAATCCACTTAAGTAAAAGAATTCGGAAAGATCCAATTCTAAAAAATCCAAATTTTTATAATCAGCCCTACATGGATTTATAAATCCTAGACAAAACTCAAAAACAACCAAACAATTCTTTCAGACTTAACAACAACCTAATAAAACTTACGCTCCTTCTTTTCCTAATACATCATCAATTAATTTTTAAAAGAATGTCTCGTATACTCAAACAGAGACAAAAGTCTCATCTCAGTTACTCTATTAATAATATCACAAATTATTTAGTTCAGCATAAGGAAAATTATCAGTTAATCAGGATTCTGCACAATCTTAACAAAAAGTCAAAAAAGGACTTAGTGACTTGTTGGGATCAAATTAAAGTTTGAATAGATAATCTCAACATAAATAGAAAAAGTGATTTTAATATAAGTATTCATAATTGATATTTTGTACTTTTATTAAAATTAATTTAGATATGTAATCAAATTAATATAAACTTATTCTTTTATGATATAGTCTGGTTGTTAAATAACAATTTACTATTTTAAGTAAAACTTTAGAATATTTATTTAATTAAATCTATTAATACTATTTAAGAAAATGAGATTTATTGAATTAATTAATTCTAAAATAAATAATTATGATTTGCAGTTATATAACAAGAATTTCTTTAATCAATATTTAAAACTTATTTCTGCATTAGTAAATCTCAATTTTAATTTACATGAAATAACATTTTTTTTGTAGATCATACCTATTATAATTTAAAAGTTTAGTATAATTGATAATGAAATTTTTGAAATGCCTACTAATTCTTAATCTTTCAAAAAGTTTTGAAACTTAAAAATGGCCTTTCCTTATTAGCAAATTATGTATTACTATTAGATCAGATAAATTTCTCTTCATAAATTATGCATTAAATAAACTAGATTTAAATGGCAAAACAATATTTTTTTAAGTAAGATAATACTTTACCATAATGCACTTTTTGATATTTATTTAATTTATATAACATTCTTATTTCTTCAAAAAAAAGTTAGGTAAAGTTAATAAAAATCAGATAGAATTTAGACATTTTAAAGATTTATCATAATTAAGTCTACTTTTAAGATAAATAGATTACCTATCCATTTTAAAAAATAATAAATCACCTTTTAAATTTAAAAATACATTAGTAATAATTTTTAAATTAAATCCTTTTTAATAGAATTAGCTGTCTTTGATGAATTAGTTAGCAACACAAATCAAATTTATAGTTTATGTAATCCTCAAGGAAATTGTTTAAAATTGGATTAAGAAAACAAATTGAAATACCAATTGCTTCTTTTGAGGATAAAGAAGAATAATATTATCACAACATGGACGACCAGAAATAATGTGAAGAATAACTATATTGTGAATTCAAAAGAATGAGTATTTCTGAATAAACTGATGAACAACTTAGCTCCCTTAAAAAAATAAAGTAATAATAGGAAGGAGAGAATTTGATGTTTCTATATTAATCCAATCAATAAATTATGGTTGAAAATATTAATTACAGATCCACTAAACACAGTGTTGAAGTATAGGAAATTGAAATTATTGAAAATTCTTCTAATATTCCTGAAGAATAAACAATAGAATAATTTAATATTATTTAAGTCGACGAAATTGATTATGTTAATTAATTAAGTTTCTTAAAATAACAAACACATCAAAAGAAAACAAAATCTTAGTTTAAATCATTTAAGAAAAATAAAATTGATTGTTTTTCTATTAAACATAAAAAAATCTCAAAATGATTATGAAATTAATTTTGTTTTCTTAGATATCAATCTCTTATAATAGAGACATTAAGAATGATATAGTATATCATTTTATTCATACTGAAATTAAAGACAGGAAGTTCTCATCGAAAGTTTTCTAAAAATAATACATTTCTATTTGAATAAAATTTAAAGGAGAGAAATATTGCCTTCAATAAGATTATAAATCAATCTATATCAACGAATATCTAGAATGATTAATTAATAGTTTAATAGTTTAATAATGATAATATAAATTGTGAATCTATATTATAATTTATTTGTATATTATATCTTATCTTTCTAAGTTATTTATATATTTAAATTCATAAAAGTAGTATTAAATATTAATCAAGTCAATCATGAAACAATTAACATTTTTAAATAAATAACTTTTTATTTAAACTAAGAGGATGATAATGAATATTTTCTCCCATCTCAAATTAAGAATCAAAAGAGCCAATTAAGAAAAAACAAATACGGTTGACGTATTTTGTTAAATAAATATAAGAACCCAATCTCAAACCAAGAAATCAAGGCAGAAAACTTTTGAATAGCAGAACGCATAACTAAATAAATGTAGATGAATAAAAACTGAAATTGGAATTATCTATATTTTTGGAAATGAAAAATAATAAAAAAAAGTAAATATTTATAGGTGAAATGGAAATTTTTAGAAGTAAGTGCTAATTTGATATTCAGAATAGATCAAAAATTTAATAGAAAGAATGAAAATGAGGATACTTTATAGAATGACACAAAATTGACAATTATTATTATATAACAAATTTTTATGTTGAAAATGAGTGATTATTTAAATATTAAAATTATTGTAAAAAACAAGTATGGAAGCTGAAAAGGTTAATATATGGCTAGACTGTGATGTTGGCAACGATGATGCTATGGCAGTTATTTTATCATTGTTTCATCCAAAATCGAATCTACTTGGAATTTCCACATGTTTTGGTAACACAAGGTAGTAGTTTTTATCGAAAATAGTCTTGAAAACTGCACAAATAACACTATTCGTATACTGAGTTCATTAGGGCGTACTGATGTACCTGTGTATAAAGGAGCTGAATTTTCATTAAAATCGACAAGAGCTACAACTAAAATGCATGGGACATAAGGTTGATTGATCAAAATATCTATTTTAGGGTTGTATTCGGTTGATAAATTGATTTCTTCCTTCAAGCCCTTAGAAGACATAGAATTATATGATCTGATTAAATAAACTGCAGGGGATTAACAAGTATAAGTATATAATAACTTAGTTTACAATTGTCATAACAGGTCCATAGACTAACATTGCCAAGTTACTTCGGGATCACGAGGACATTATTCCATAAATTTCAGAGATTGTGTTTATGGGTGGAACATCAGGATTTGGGAATGTGACACCTAATTCTGAATACAATATCTATTCAGACCCTGAGGCTGCACAATTTGTTATTGATATATGCAAATTGCATTCATTGAAATTGGTTATGATTTCATTAGATCTAACTTACGTACTATACATTAATTTATAAAATTATTAGACATGTTAATTATTAGAACCACTTTAATAAAGAATCAAAAGCATAAACACAAAGTTTTCAGATTGGTGTTTGGAAATGCTCTAAGAATATCAAGCAGCATACAAGGCACAAGAATTTGATTTTCCTCCAATTCATGATCGTAATATATAGATTCTAAGTTTAGCTGTTGCTGTATTTTATGCATTACATCCATAATTGTATGTAATAAAACCTGTTTATTGTGCAGTTGATTGTGAATCTAAATTGTGTTATGGAAGAACTGTTATTGATAAATAAGGAATTCTTGGATAAGAGCCAAATATATAGTTTGCAAGAAAAGTAGTTGTTAATGAATTTTGGAACTAAATGATTGAGGCCATTCAAGTTGCTGCAAAGAATTCAAAAATTGAATGATTTGTTAGAATTGTTTTATTTAATTTATATAATAATACATGTTTATTAATATAATTTAATTACAATGGCATAAGCTTAGGCATTGGCTGGAGAGAATTATGAATTCAAAGCTGCCCCAGAAGTTGTGAAACCAAAGCCCAAATACAGATAACAAGCTTTATTATCTTCAGAGGATCAAAATAATAGGTTGGTAAATGATGATTATATTAAGTTCATTGTTGGGATGCAATATAATGTTTGATAAAAGGGTTATTAGAGGAAATACTTACGCAAGTATGTAAACATAAGGGGATAAGAAATTAATGACATTGAAATCATTCAAAAAACCATAACAAAAAGCAGTTACATATTAAAATTATGATCTTAGGCTTAATAACCATAGACAACCTACTTACATCCAAGCACTCCTAGACCATTTTAAAATCGTGTTAACATTGATATCTAAACTGATGAATATTTAGAAATATTGACAGATAAACCACCCGAATAAGAGATGGATGCATAAACAGACTACTATATTGATAAACCACCTGATAGATTGTTTGTACCAAAGAAGAATGGCATAGACAAAGTATAAATACTAAAAATTGTAAGGAAACCTAAATTTGGGAAGGAGATCTCTTTGATTTCGATTAGGAAGTAGAACCGATCTTATAGGTCTTAATGAATAAGATATTGGAACAATCAAGAATGGAAGTTTTAGAAGAGGAAGAAATTAAGTTGATGAAGCACTAATAGAAATAACATGAGAAATAAAAGACTTCTGTTTTATCAGAAATGTAAAGGTTGGAGGCTGTTCAATAAAGATTAGATTAAGAGGAGGCAAGAAGAAAATTGCAATATGAAACATTTTTAAAAATACAAAAGCAGAGTCATTAAAAAATAGTTTGCAGAAATCTATCAAAATCTCTAATAAATCCGCTTAAATAAAATACAATTAAGAAATTATAGGATTTAGGTGTTTTTCGAGATCCGTTGGAAACAGCTTTATTATATGAATATATACCTTGGGTTTATGAAAATGTGTTAAATTAGTTAGTTGATGAAAATGATAATGCTTCTAATTTTAATAGTAAATCATTAACATTATTAAGATGTTTTAAATAATATCGAGGAAACCATTACTATAGAGCATTCAAATTCATTAAAAAGAAGGTAATAACAGATCGATGACAAATATGAAGAAATTGCCAGAAAAAAAAGAGAGAAGGAAGAAAAAAAAAGAATGGAGGAGGAAAGGCGACTTAAAGAAATTGAAGATTAAAGATTAGCTGAGGAAGAAGCTGCTAGATAAGCGGAACAGGAGCTTTTGGACTAATAATAAGAAAATTAATAATAATAATAATTATAATCATGATATTTAATAAATAATTTAATATTTATGTAAGAATAATTAGAAAATATCAAAGATCTTTAAAAGCTATATTCAGCCCAAGGAAATACTCCTGAAGAAATTATTACCAATTTCAAAAATCAATAAAAGCAACATCTTTCAAAACTATTTAAATATATTTCTAATGAAAATGAATTAGATTAATTTTAATTAAAGGGATCTATCATTGGAGTTGATATTGAACATACGAATGACATAGGATTTGATGGATAAATCAGCATAGTATAGATTAAGGATGATGAAGATGTTTACATAATAGATGTGATTGAAATTGGAATAGACAATTAAAAATTGATAAATGTACTCAAGTAAATATTTGAAGATGATAAAATAATAAAAGTGTTTTATGCAGGGAGTACTGATGTTTTATGGTTGAAAAGAGACTTTTAAATTACTATCAACAATTTTTTTGATATAAAAGAAGTTGCAGATGAATGCAAACTAAGTAAAAAGTTTAATTATATCGTTAATAGAGGGAGGAAGTTCTTTGATTTACTTATGGAAACAATATTGTGATCATCAAGTTTCGAAATCTTACAAAACTAATATGCAAACATCTGATTGGGCTGAAAGACCTTTAACTTAAGAACAGTTAATATATGCTGCGTATGATTGCTATTATTTGCCATATCTGAGATATGTTTTACTGGAAGAATTAAGCAAAACCGAAATCAAAAAGCAAAGCAAAATTTAAAAGAAATTTGAGAAAGCTATTCTTAAAGATTACAAGAAACCAATTTTATCAAATCAAGAATTAGCTAAAATTATTGATAAAGAATACAATCTCTTAATGTAAATAGTTGTTGAAAATGATGACAAGTCTCCAATCTATTCATTTTTAAAGACTCAGCCTGTTGCTGTTTAATTGGTTAAGTTTATAGCATTAGAAATCATGAAGGTTAGACAGGATTATGCTATTCATCACAATGATCCCGTTGAGTGTTTAGAAGAGAATGAGCAAGTCATTTTAATTGCTATTCATATTTATTAAAGATTAAATATTCAAGATATTTCGATTTACAAGTTGACTTATCCTGACTTTTAGAATTATTCAAATAAATAATATGAATTGACATTGGAATATATCTAAAAATAGATTGATCAAGATTGGGAAGTTTATATTAAATCCTTTTGCAAAGGACTGTATTAGAGTTTCATATATGATTAAAATTTTATTAAATTTGGATTAACTGCAATATTTGAAGCATTGTAAATGTAACCAGAACCAAAGAACAATTAATCATAACAAAAAATGGATTAAAAGAAATAAAAGCAAACAGAATTTGTAGAAAAATATACAAGAAAAAAGCCAGCATATGGAAATTGTAAAATATACACAAAGGAGAACTTCTTTTTGTGCAATTGCGATGAAAAAAAAATAAGGTGGTACTTGAAACAAGGATTGGCCGATTTGATAAGTGAAGATCCTCCTACAATTTAATTGAAATTTGATCCAAGTGGATTTAAGGAAGAAGGATCTGATAAGGCCTAGTATGTAACTATAGAGAGAGTGAATTAATGTGTAATTTGTGGAAAAGAAAATGAACTTCTTAAATTTCATGTAAAAGTATTTTCGATTTTTAGATTGTTCCAGTTGTATATAAAAAACATATTTAAGGGAAAAGATCTTATGATGTGGTTTGTTTATGTTTAACTTGCCATCATAAGGCAAGTGCTTTAAATGATAAATTAAAAGCAACAGTTGCAGAAAAATATAATATAAATGTGAAATAAAATAAAAAAGATACATTACCAGAGATGGTCAAAAATTTACTTAAGGCAGTTTAAGCTTACAATAAAAAAAAGTAAAATCTACCTAAAGAAGCCTATTAAAAATTTTAAATGCAATTTCATAAGCAGATAGAATAATTAAAAAGTCAAGAATTATTCATATAAATTAATTAATTTGATTTGAATAATCTAAAATAGGAAGAAAACTTAATTAACATTAATGATGAATAGTTTTCAGCATTTATTTCGTATTTAAAATAAAATGAAGAGTTATTTAATTAAAATGATGATAATTCTGATTAAGGAAAATTAGTTGTAGAATAATTAAAAACAGAAGAAGAAATAGATGAATTTTTGGTATTTTGGAGAGATAACTTTTTAAGTATTAATATCTATCTATTATAAAGATGAAATGAAACCATAATATTTAAATGAAGCTTGGGCTATAGATCATAAATTTAAAAGAACCTTTGGAGACAAGTCTTAATACAATCCAAACAATTAAAAACAAGAGAAACAAATAGATGATTAAGATTGAGTGATTTATTTTATAGTACATTTATATATTCTTATAATAATTAGTATACAAATTAACTTAAATATAAGATTAAATCATTATGATTACCAGTATGAACTATTCCTATTTCTACCGACTTTGTACTAAATTCCCCAAATTGTAAAACTGTATCTTTTGGTGGAATCGATAGATTCTCTATGAAATTAATATATATAATAACATACAACAAACTACAATAATATATAGTAACATACTTTATACAAGAATTAAATATAAGTTAAAATTAAAACGAATCTTAATAATGTTTATGCCCTCAATCCCCATTCTGGATTGTTTTAATCATCACTAAACCACCAAAACTAGAAATCAAATTTATCATACATTGTATTACTTCATCCATAAAATATCATAAAAGATAGAGCCAACTAGGCCTCCTCCAACAAGTTTTAAATGGAATGTTTCGAACATATCCATGAAGATTGTGAACATGAGACCATGGTAAACTAAGACCTTCAATACAGATTATTAATATGTACATCTAAGAAAGAGGGTTTAGCAGAACAAACAAATAATGTGATCAAACCATATAAAGAGAATATAATGACACCATGTTGCAAAATCTCAGGAGCATCTGGTGTTTCATCAAATTATTCTAAGTGTTTTTCTGATTATAATACAGATAGTATTTATTCTTTGTGTTCAAGCGCCTATAGTTAATTTGGAGTTGGTTATTCTCCCTATTTCATTTATTGATGCTGATCAAATTATTCGAAAACGTCATTCTGTTACTATTTGAAACTCTACTCCTTAATTAATTTAATCTTAAATGGTCTCTCAATAACATCCAAATCAGTTCTGTACTCATTCAAATCATTTTCAAGAGTGAAAATCTTTTAGTCGAACTTCTGCAGTTGAGTCTGCAAGTATTGATGCTAACAATCTTTTAGAGTAATACTTTATTTAGTACTATCTAGGCCTCCACTTCAATGCTAGCCCCAAGTTCTCTTCCTTATTAATCCTTCAATTGCAGTTCTAAGCACTTTAAAGCTTGATCATCTAATTGTTAAATTTGCAAATATGATTATCCCCACAAAAAAGGAGGGTTCGCGTTAGTCTAAATGAAAAACTGTATCGTGAGCGTTGTTATCATTGGAGGAATTTAGCTTAAATTTAAGTTTAAGAATTATTTGATTACAATTCAAAATCTTAATTAAATTGTGGATTTACTCTATCATACTATTATTCTGGTTTAGCTATTTTATTTGTGACACCCAAAATTAACTATATCTGACAATTTGTGTATTTTAGCTTTAAAGGTATGTTTTTTGCAGACAATAATGTCAAAAATAAGAATCTAGTGTCCGAATAAACAGCTAATGATAAGATGAAAGCAAACATGTTTCTGCCAATTATTTCTCACAAACTGCCTTATTTTAAGAAATTTGTTTTAATTATTGTTCTGCCTTCTTAATCTTTTCATATAGTATTAGGCTTGCATCTACTAAAGTTTAACTAACATCTGCTAGTCTGTATACAAATTTCAAATTTTCTTATATTGGACGACATTATTCGAATATTTGTTAGGCGATATCTTGATCGAACTCTCTTTTTCCCATATTGTCCAATTTATATAGAATTTCATCTTGAGTGAATTATTTATCTTGTCTCAATCCATTTTCCTAGAATGCTCGTAAAACAGTTTATAAATTTAACATATTAATTTTATTGATAATATAGAATTCATCAATTATTACCTTTTTATTTCCAATTTAATTAAAAATCTGTTTCTAATGGTCCTTCCTCATTAAATTCAAGTTCAACCTTCTTTTATTTCAAACTTCTATTCTTTAAAATCCTTTCTCTTCTTTTTTGAATGTCTTACTTCTCATTCAAAATATCAATATCTTCATCCACTACTTCCTTTTATTCTTTAATTTTCTTTAATTACTCTTCCTACAATTACTATTGTATTTTTGTTTCTACTTCAATTTAACTAATATTATAAAATTGAATATGTACTCAAAGAAATCTTCAGGCAATTCATTTTAATTCTTCTTCTCGTAAGTGATTTACTCAATCTCAGCAAATTCTTAATCAACTTCCTTATTTATTCGATCAATTTATTGTTTAGTTAATTTTTATTTTTTCATTTTCTCTTCTCGAAATGCTTCATTCTCTAATCTATTTACATCTATTTAAGCATTTCTTTTCAATACTTACAAAGCATCTTTATGTCTTTATCCAATCAGATGTCTCTTGAAATCTGCAAGAGTCTCATTAATTTATTCACATTCAACACACTTAAATGATAATTAATAAAGCAATACGAGTATTTTTCCTTCCACCAATTGAGCATTTTTAGGCAATTCAACCTAAGAGACTTTTTATTTTCTCTTTTCTTCCATAAGTCTTTTTAACTCATCTTAATTTGACATATTTATAAATTAAACTTTATAAAATGAATAACAATGCTGCAATCACATTAACAATAGAAGAATTAGTTTAGTTATTATTGAGTCCCCAATTACCCAATATTTAATCAAGTTTACTATCCTTATGTCAATTCGAAATTAGAAATAACCATTCAGAAGTAAATAAAGACATTTCAATCAATAAGTAAGAGTAATTCAATCATAACCATCAATCCAATACCAACAATACATCACTATTATTGCTAAACAAAATTAATGGATTGCAAATTGAGAATGATAATCTCAAAAATAAATTAGAATAGCAGATCATATAATAAAATAGTTTGCAAGAGTAACTCAACTAATACCTGTCACAATAACAATAATTAAAGTAAGATAATCATATATTATAAAAAAAAATGGATGAAATACAAATATCTTATAATAATACAAAAGTTATAAAAAATAGACATGATGCCACTTCTAAATCTGTTCATCAAGATCAGAAAAGGATCGTCCTAGTAAAACCTTTGGCACTTAATCAGCCTTTGCTTAAATTCTCAGGTTGTAGTGGTGTTGTAACTTAATATCCATTTAGGAACTCAAAGCGAAACCCTAATAATATATAAACTGCCAGGAGTAATTAATGATAGTTAAATGCATTGTATTTTATTACTTTCTTCATACTCCAATACTGAATATATGGCAAATTCACATTGTATGTTCCCTTATTAATTTTTATTAATGTTTTCATATTATATTTTATCTACACTATTAGGATTAACTTATTCTAAGTGGACAAGAACGCCAGAAATAAAAATCGACAATTTCAATTCAACTGATTCAGCTGTCTCTATGAATGTCGATAATTTTCATCATTTAATGTATCCTAATGCTTATGATCTTGACTTGTATTACCGATAAGGTATAAGCAATTCAAGGAATTTGAGTGATTATGAAAGGATTAATAATACTCAATTACAAGAGCAGGGATGTTCATATTATGAAAGGAAAATAATTGTTGAAGATCAACTGCAAATTCAACTCCCTGATGATGGCAAGTATATTTTTACTGATTTGGTTGTTATTGAGCAATCAGCATTTTTGTTAAGAAATGATAATAAGATCTTCTCTTTAGAAGTTGTATCTAATGGGAAAGAATTGCAAGTATATCAAATGTCAGTATATTTAGAAAATTCATGTATAACAAAAGCATTTAGATATATCTGGAGACTTAAAAGTGAACCAATAGAAGAAGGCAAGGTTCTTGAAAACAAAGGATTTATTATTCGTCATTTCAGAAAATGGTGTCATAAGTTTCAATTCAAAATAGTGGACAAACAAAACTCTACCAACTGTAACAAAGCATGCTAATCATACATTTACATCTATCAATCACATCCATTATGATGAAATCTCAAATAGAGTTTTTGTTGTTTCTGGTACATAAGGAGTAAGTGTATTTAAGATAGTAAATGGAGAGCTAAAGGAAATGTATACAATAAATTTAGGTTATAATCTAATAAAAGTGTAAACTAATGACAATAATCTATTCATATTAGATGATAAGAAAGGAATTCATTTTGTCACTTTAAAGGAAGACAATTATGCTGTTGATTGTAATTAAAATAATTAATAAAATAGAGTTTTTCATTCCAATTGAATATCCAATTTCCTTTGTTTACAGAAACAATTCATTTTTAGTTGTTTCATAGACTGAAGATAAGGTTAGATTTGGAATTGAGATCTTGATCAACTTTTAAAATCATGAATATTATTATAATAAATTCTATTTAGAAGACATGCAATTGAAAGATGTTCAAGAGGCAGGAGAATATAAGGTGTTGATTGGTTATGATGTGCATAAATTGGTGAGAACCAATATTTATCGTGGTTTTGTTGATGAGACTTTCTATCATGGAACCGATTTTATGATACCTTTATTGGAAAAAATACAAGAATTTAATGGTGTTGTATTAGAGAATTCCAATTCTAAGGTGCGTTATTCATTAGGTCTCACTCCTCATTACTTGTTTGGTTTGGGTATTAGGGAGAAGTATCCAGAAATAACTTGTTCTTCTTAAAGTTAGATTGAATAGAGTTATATGATAGTGATTAATTCCACTTAATGCAACAGCACAGAGAAAAATCCATTTGTAATTTGTCAAGAATAACATTTTTTGAGTCTATCAATTAACGAAGTATTTTTAGACTTTTAATCTTAATTACTTGTGGAAGTCGTTTTAATTTTAGGATTTATAATTTTCATTATATTTCTAGTATTCAGCATAATAATGTGTCGAAGATGGAGATTTGCAATACAAAACATGAAGAGGAAGAGCAAATAGTATGTGAATGTGTAAATGTCATGATTGATATATTATTTTATTAATTATAATGTGGAATATAATCTCAATTAATCCGATATGTTAGAAAAAGAAATTGGTTTCTGATTAGGAGAGGTTATTATTAAATTGTAGAAACATGAAGAAGACAATCAATAATGGAGAACCATGGAAGCCATCTCATTCATTATCGAAAGTTAATAACAAATATAGTCATTGTAACTAAATTTATATAAATTAACAAAGAGGAGGAGAATAAAATCATGCATCAAAATAACATCTTGCTATCTAAAATGATGGATATTTAGAGACATAATTTGAGAAGTTAGAGTTCTGGATAATTGCCATCATCATAATTATCACATGTGAGCAATCTAAACCAAAGAAAATTCGAGAAGTTCAAAATCAATCAAGAAAATCAAAAGTTTCTCTCTCGACTGCAATCTGCTTCGTCAATTTACAACAAAAATTATTGGTAACCTGACAATGAAAAGAATGAAATTTACAAATAAATTATATTAAAGAGGACAAGTTATTTTTATTTAATATTTTAGAACTCAATCAAGATTATAATGATTTAGCCAGAAAATCACTTGAAAGTAGATCGACAGGAAGAATGCTTTCATGTAATGACATATCCTTATATAAGCAGCCCAATAATTTAAGCGTAGACAGATGTCTGATGAATAATTCTAATTATAACAATCGCCAGAATGATTTAACATTCACACATTATTAGTATTTTTATCTTATTAAGATTAATTTCATTTGATATCATGATTTCTTTTATTATTTAAGTTTTCATCCTATACATTGCTAATTTATTATGAAATTTATATTTCAGATTAATTATTTAAATTAGATGATTAAATATAAAAGTAGAAGAGGAATACAAGTTTTATTTGCTCTTAAACATCTCATTACTGCAAGTTTCTCTTAAGATATCTATCTCATAATAATATCAGCAGCCAATTTAATAGTGTAAGTCATTTTGCTGAAGAAGAATCTACATTCGATTTGGAAATACATAAGAATATTACTCCTCCTAGAGTTATGTTTCTTCGATCACTAATTTACACCTCCAATTATTGCATCTATAAAGTTTAACATCAAGTTTAAGATCGTAATACTGGTCCTTTATTGTTGTCGTGTAAGCTTTATTTATTTCTAAGTTTTCCAAATCATAGATTGGGTTTACTTAGGAATTCTATTTGTATCATTCACAATCTACATCTACTCCCATGTATCAAATTATTTATTTTTAGGATAGTAAATAACTAAACAGTAAGAATTAGATATCATCCGAAAGAAAATTGTCATATCTTAACATAAACTCCTAGACAGATTAGTAGGACGTATTTGATCTCTTTAATTTTCTACCATTTGGAATTTGCATTTTGGATGATAAATAAAACATCACAAATTCTAATTACAAAGCAAAAAAATATTGTTCAAATATCAAAGAAGAAAATTTTTAGTCCCAATTGTTTATGATGATTTAAAAGTAAATTTGTCTTTATACTTCAAGGGCTTGCCTTTAATAATTGGATAAAAAATCCATATTCAATTCTTCGGAAGATTAGATGTCTGAGTTTTAGATGAAAAGATTATAATCTTTCAGTCAAACTAGAAAAAAAGCCTTATCTTAACAGAGGTAATTTAGTAATTTTATTGATATTTCTCAAATAATCAACAAACACAAGACAAATAGAGGAGTCTCAGACAGTTTTAATCAAAATGCTCTCAAATATAGGGATCCCACTACAACCAAGACATATGAAATTAAAATATACGAGATTACTTAAGGAAGTATGATTTGTATACAAAACATATCAAAAAAGGAAAGACAATTTGAAATTCGAGAAAGATTTCGGTTTTAATCAATGCTGATAAACTCATTTTCTCATGAATTGAAAACTCCATTAAATTGCTCATTGGCACTCTTACAAATATTAGAATAAGAATTAAAATCTGAAAAATTATAATAACACTAACAAATCGAATAGGCTTATTTAAAACCTGCAATCATTTCAAACAGAAAATTGTTACATTAGATAAACGATATCCTTGATTATGCTAATTTTGAAGCATAAACATTCTAATTAAGGCCAACTTCATTTAAAATATCAACTCTAATCCAAACAATAGATTATTATTTTAAGGATGAATGCCAATAAAAATAAATTAACTTTGTTGTTCAAACTTGTGATGACAGCACAATAAATAATGATTATGACAGAATCGTCTAAATTTTAGTAAACTTATTAAATAATTCAGTCAAATTTACCAAATAAAATGGCCTAATATAATTCAATATAAACAGAATGGGTTCGATTTATTCATTTGAAGTGTTTGACACTGGTTGTGGGATCTCGGTTGAGAAACTTTATTTGATTAATAAAATCCTCTAAAATCAAGAAACTGACATCCTAAAACGAGGGGATGAAGATTACATCTAATATGTTGGTCTCGGATTAAAGGTTTCAAGTTAAATCGCATTAAAATTGTGTCATAAAGGTGAGCTATCTATAACGAGTTCATTAAATTAATTTACAAAGGGAAGATTTTACGTTTAAGATCTAAATACATAGGAAGAGATTCTTACAATACCGACTGATGAATTCATTTAGATACCATATTAAAGTAAAACTAAAAAGTAATGTCATTGCAGTCATGTTTTGATTGTCGATGACATCCCCTTCAATCATTTAGCTTTCATCACAGTCTTAAAATATTTTAATATAAAGTGCGATAGTGCTTATGATGGAGTGATGGCCATCGAAATGGTTAGGAGAAAGTATGATAGTTGCTAATGTGGATATAAATTAATTTTCATGGATATCGATATGCCTGGGATTGATGGTTATCAATGTAGCAAAGAAATTTCATAGTTTTTATAATAGAAGAACATTGTGTCATTCATTATTATGTGTAGTGCTTTCGATAGCAAAGAAAATATTGACATAGCATATAAATCGGGAATGAACGATGTTTTGCCTAAACCCATAGATACACAACAACTTAAAAAAATACTCAGCAAATATTATTTTTGATCGATATTTATTTCTATATATATTATTATTATAAGCCAAGGGAGAGTTACTTTGTGAGAATGTCTACGATTGGAAACAAAAAATTAGTATATAGATATATTTAATAAAATAAATGATAATTATTATTGCCACATTGATTTTATAATCCATTATACTAGCAATTTATAATGGAGTTACTGAAGAAACAGATAATTACTATTTGTTAATGGATTTACTATTGGTATTTGGATGTTTTGGATAGAAAATATTATTGGTTTTGCTTATAGGAAGTGTGTGTCTATCATATGAATTGTTAAACTTGGATAAAGATGTAAAAACCATTTTCTAAATTAGACCTTAGGCTTCTATATAAGTGCTAGACTCTTATTGAGTGCTTTCATCTTACTCGACACATCAAAAGTAATTTATTTTGTGTTTTGCCTCTTCTACTTCCTTTTTAGGACTCATTTTTACTCATAACCGTTGGCATATCTAACCATATTCGGATATTTGATCTTGATCATTCGAAGTAGTAATTTGAATTTATAAATAGCTATGTATATAAAACACAAAACACCCAACATTGAAAAACTACAGATTGATCAAATTTTTGATTTCTTTTAGGAATCCCTTCCTATATCTGTTTGCATTATACAAGACGAGTGTATGATATGAATTTAATGCTAGAATACAAGTTCATGACCAATTAATTTAAAATTGATTATTATGGACTTACACCTTAGATAATCAAAAACATTACATCTAAATCCAATAAGGAATGTCTGGGGACTTACTTAAACAAAAAAAAGTTTTTAAAAAAAAGATAATATTAATATCACAGTAAAAAGCGATTTGAGCATTGCACCCTTGAATCCTTCACTCCAACTCTGTAGGAAAAAGAATAAATTAAGAATTACTTCCCTGCTGATATCGACGTCCTCGAAGTAATTTGGGAACAATAACCAGCCATTATGCTGATTTTCTAGTCCCAATCTGAAAAACAATAGCAATAATAAATTGAAGAATTAAAATTGAGAGATTAATACAAAGACGATCTCTTAGTAAGTGTGTCACATGACTTCAAGACTCCCATCAACGGAATTGTAGCCATTGTGTAATATTTGGAATAGTAATTATATTGTAATAATTTCCTTAGAATAGTTGTCGATCAAATTGAAATTCATTATTTAATCATACTAAAAAAGTGGGCTCAATTATTATTGTACATGATCAGTGATATCTTGGACTTCTCCAGAATTCAAAAGAACACTCTAAGATTGACTAATACAACCTTCTACATTCAAGCCATCGTCTAAGAAATAATCGATTTGGTTTCTTTGTAAGCCAATCAGAAGGGCATCGTTGTCTAGAAGAATATCACTTTTGGAGACAGATTGATGTATTCTGATCCCAATCGGATCAAATAAATTTTATTAAATCTTTTAAGTAATTCTCTAAAATTTACAGAAAAGGGTAAAATAGATATTGTTGTTGATTATAAGTATAGTGAGATTGAAAATTAGTAAGTCAGGCTCATCACAATAAGTGTTTCAGACACTGGAGTGGGTATTCCTGATAATATTAAACCTAAGTTATTTTAAATGTATGGAACATTTGATTTCACCAATAATGGTTCAAATAAACATGGCATAGGTTTGGGATTAGTTATTTGCAAAAAATTGGTTGGCTTGTTGGGGCCAACGGATAACATTGAATTGATAAGTCAAGTTGGAATTGGTTCTAAATTTAGTTTTGATGTTTATATTAATAATGATTAAAGAAATCTGACTACCATTACCAATTCCAAAGAAATGACCACCTTTTATAAATAAGATACTAAATAGATATCCTATGATCAAAACTCTGCTAATTAGTTGTTAACATCACAATTTACTATTTTCAATTAATCTCTTTTAGCACCTTCTTTGCAAAATCAAAAAAAATTAAACAAAAAAAGCATTTCAACTCTTTAAGAAATTCAAGATAAAAAACTATCCAACTCTATTTACCAATTAAGAAAGGTTTAGAGAAAGAAAACTTAAAAAAAGTCATTGATAAAACGAGAAAATCAGGGTGGCTTATATAATTTATGTAACTTATGCAGTGTTGAAGACTCTGATCACTCTAAGTCAAAGAATATAGAATAATATCTTGAATTAAGTAGTGAAATAACAAATGCTAAATAAATTTAAAAAGCCCATAAATAAGTAGATAATAATAGTCCTTTGAATACACCAGGATATCATATTGATAGTACGGAGTCACCAGCAATCTAAAATAGATAAAGAAAACCCTTACAGATAAAAGAATCTATTGATGAAATGATGAGAATGCTATTTCCAGAGCCTTGTACTATTTTAGTTGTCGACGATTCACCTGTGAATGTGATCGCATTTAGATTGATTCTAACAAAATATGATTTTATCACAGTTGAAGAAGCTTATAATGGAGAATAAGCGATTCAAAAGATTAAATTGCGTATGATGAATGAACTAAGATATCAATATATATTTATGGATTTGACGATGCCTATAATGAATGGATATGAAGCAACAGAGCAGATTCGATTGTTGGTATTCATATTATATAATCAAGTATAGGAAAGCAACAATCTCCTTCCTAAAAGCTATATCATTGCGTTGACTGGATATGACGATTTAAAAGAAAAAGAGAAATGCTAATAGAAAGGGTTTGATGCTTTTGTATCAAAGCCAATCAAGATTATAGATATAATCTCTGTAATTAATGAAGTCAAAAATTCAAAGGAACCATAAATTTGATTTTATAATAACTTATATTCTAAATTTAATGAATTCGCGTGTTGACCATTATCAAAAGACTTTTTAATCAAATAAAAAGAACTTGGAATAGTTTGTGGAATAATGTAATTTTATGGATAAAATAGCTTAGAAATGTTGTATGACAATTTTAAATAATTCTCAAGCGATGAAGGAGAAGACGAAGAATAAAGTGAGTAAATCTTGTGTTAATATTTTCTAGTATTTTAGGGAGACAAAGTAATTCTGTATTACAAAGGCCAATAATATACCTTCCCATTAAGCCTTATGGCATTGGCTTCTTTAGAAAATGTATTGAAATATTTTATCGTAGGTCTTTTCTGCGGAAAATTTCACAAAACAAGAGATTGATTCTTTATGTTGTCTATTGCCTGAAGCTGATTTACAACTATTCTAAGATGTGATTGAAGGCAATAAAAATTTTCATTTCGGGAGTCCATTAAATATTTTCTTGATGAAAATGAAAAGTGGATATTTTACCAGAAATAAAGAAATTTGTGAAAAATTGGAGCTGAAAATCTCACGGAACCATTTAAATGAATACTATTCAAATCTCTATGATTGCTTTCATAAAGATCAAAATAGAATTTAGAATGCACTTTAAAGAAAGAAAAGAATCATATTTTAGCGATCTCCATCATCGATTTCAGAGGATTACGAGATAAATAAATAGGTGAAATTAGATGAAAATGATGAATTGGAAGATGATGGATTTTCAACATAAACATCTCAATCATAATCCTCAGCAAATGTTTAACAATATTCCTTATAGCCTCAACCATAAATCCAATAGTAGTTTATTCCATCAGCACAATCCTTATTTATCATAACTCCAATAACACCATTGCCACCTTTAACGTCAACTTCAATTGCTACTACAGCTATGACTCTGGCTTTAATGCAAGCAAAAAAATCAATTAAGCAGCAGAATAAAAATCAAACATAAAATTTTCAAGAGTCTAACATTCCCAACGGACAAACCAATAAAGAATGGCTGGAGTTCTATTGGAAATAAGAAAGAGAAAGATATCAAAATCCACTTCAACCTTACACCTTTACCTGCATAGATAGTTCTAAAGTAACAGTTGCTCCTGTGGCTAAGAAATTAATATCAGGATCGAGTTAAAAGCCAAGATAACATGAATTACTTAAGAACGAAAGACCTACCTATGTTACTATATTATCTCTTGTCAGAGATGCATCAGCAAGGTTACCAAAGGGATTTGGTACAAGAGCTGACATTGTAAATTTAGTTAGAGACTCTTAATATATAAATGAGAATTTGCCAGAAGAGAAAATGAGTTCTATAATTTCAGGAGCCTTAGACAGATTACATTAATCAAGTGATCCATGTGTTAAATATGATTAAGAAAAAAAGATATGGATGTATTAAATTATAAGAATTTAGTTATTTGCATCATGATAGAGATTCCTCTTATCCTGAATGGTAGGTGGCAACTCCAGCCAAAAATAATAGTAATAAGAAAAAGGGTTAATTCAAGGATGATTAAGAAATTTGATATTTTTTATTTGTTTTGTATTTTAATTATGTACAAATGAATAAACTTCACATCCAAACTTGATCCAAATTGCTCTTTCCACTTTATGGTCTAAGTTCTCTGAATCAATTCTGTTGTGCCAATTTCATTCCATTATGATATGATACCCTATTAATAAATATTTACCTGTAAGCACAATTTGTGATCTCATACTCTTTTTTTCTCTTTTTTCCTACTTTTCCAAATCTGAATTCTGATTCCATTTCCAATTTTCGATTCCTAAAATCCAATTCAATTCTCTGATCCAAATTTTCCTATTCCTTCTTTTTAAGCATGCTCACATTCCAATAATGGCCCTTTTCATTTCTCTCTCTATCTTCTCCTTTCAGATCTCTCTCTAATCGGCGTGTCTATTGTCCATTTCTGATCTCTCTTTAGCAACATTCAAGGGATTTTTATATCAAACACATCAATGTGTTGAAGGGACGTAATTTCACACACACACAATTCTAAGGCAACCATAAAATCTGTGGGAAGGGACCAATTTTCCATGAATTAATATTCATTAGACACAAATTGGATCTCCAGAGGGGCAACAGGCATTTATCACAAACTGCATTCTTCCAATTTGGTTTGGTGGCTCAAGTCACACAACTCATTAAAGGGGGAGGCACAACTTTTGATTGGCATCTCTTTAATGGGGTAGCACACTTTCAAACTCAAATTTTCAGTTCATTTCAAGGAGGGACATAAGGGAATTCATTATTCCAAAAAGTATCATCAAATTAACAAAAGCAATCTTAAACAGAGTTAACAAGGGTCTTTAGTCTAAGGATAGTTCAGAATCTTATATTTAGAAATAAGGGTCTCATTTGGTCTATTGGGGTCTTCAAGAAATTAAAGGATGGTGGCACTTCAATTTAGTATTCTAGAAAAATAAAGGACTTTCGAGTAGTCAAAAAAAGCACTAAAATAACAAATAAGCATCTGCATTATTAACATAATCTTTCGAAACTTTCTTTAGGTTCTTAAAAGGAATTCTTGTTGCTCTTCGTTATGACATCAAAATTTGTATTTAAAAAGAAATAATCTTGTTTGGCTCTTAAAGTATAAGGGAACAACTCTCTTTGAAAATTAAAAGGAAACTGTCTTTGCATTAAGTAATTTAGAAAAATCTTGGGGCTCAACAAGGTTCGGTCAATAAGATATAAAGGTAAAGGGTGGATCTTAGATTGGTCTGCAGTAGATTCTTCCATCTTCGTGATCGGTCTAATATTAAGGAAAGGGGCTCTTAGAAAGATTAGTCTCTAGTCTGAATTATTAATTCGGGGCATCTGACAACAGGAAGTTGGGGAATCATTCTGAAATGGGAATCTTAGAAACTTATTTCTTAGAAAAGAATCTTGGGGACTCTAAAATAGTGGGTGGATTCTCTCTGGATACTGGCAATGTAGTTTTTGGTGTCTCATTGGGTAAACCGTTTGGTTCTCAAGAATTATTGATTATTTGGCTCAACTGGAAAAGAACAAGGTAGAAAACTTCTGTGTCTCTCAGTTGTCTGTCTCTTTTGGCAATTTTTGGGATCTCAAATGGCACTAGAACTTGTCTCAAGGCTGAATCTTCTGATTGTCTGTCTCTTGGTTTGCTGGTCTTTTGGTCTTAGTCCATAGATTCTTAAGGTTCTGGAATTTATAGAAAAGAAGTTAAATCTGATCAGGGAAAAGACTTCGGGTTCTGTAGGGTATCATATCTTCAATTACAACATGTATTCTCTGATTTTGTTATGATAAATACTTAAAAACTTAAGTCTAAATCTTCTAATTCTTCTATTAAAAACTTCTATTGACTACTAGTCTCAGTGAATCTATTATAGAATCCATTACTTAATAAAATAGAGGTTAAATCTTCTTGAAATTATGTTCTATTCTTTTTCTGAATCTCTTTCTTTATTTGAATTTTGATTATCTTCCATTTCCATTTTAAAACTTCATCATTTTACTATATTTTGAATTATTAGAAATCTAAATGACATTTATTATTCAATTCTGCTAAACATACATCAGGTGAGGAATCTAAAATAAGGTAAGTTACTTCAATTAATAAATTCTTCATTGAAAGAAACAATAGTTTTGAAATCTTTGATAGGGTTTATTTCTTTAGATTTTTAAGAGTTCAACTAGTGAATCAAACATTATGATTTGAACCTAAAATTAATTTATCTACTTCAAAATAATTATGAGTTCTTAGTTTCAGATCTATCTTTTATTGTTAGATTGTAATTCAGGGGTCTTGATAAAGCACTCCACTCTAGGGACGTAGCCTAATAATAATCTATCTACGTCAAATATCTAAAGGGAATTGATTGGTTATTGGTTTATTATAGTTTAGTCTCTCTAATCCTTAAATTCTCTTCCATCTCTAAAATTCCAATAATCAGATTTCAGTGGTAAACAAAATTAGTGTTTCTTTCAATATAGTTTATTGTCTCTTTTATCTTTGACTATCTTCATCCAAATTCCATAGAGTTTATCCTAAAATTAAGTTAACTACATTCTTTTCCAATTTGCTCTTAATTTCCTTCTTAGTTTTCTATTCTTCCATGGTGTTATAGTAAGTTGATTCAATAGCGCACTAGCACTAGAGTTTGGTAAATAAGGTTGAAACAGAAACCAAGTTTGGAATCCTATTATAAAGTAATCTACTTGAAATTATTTCAATTGAACAAATTCAGGAATTCAACAAACTCACTCTTAGTTTCTGCTGGACATCAGTCGTACTTAAACTGCATATGAAAACTTCAATTGTTTAAAAATTCATACATAAAACAACTAACAGCAATTGCAGGGTAATAAAAGGCAATGACTAACATCATAAAATTTATGTATTATAATAAATACTAATTTATTATATCTTAAAATACCAAAAAGAAATCACTTTTTTCAATATTTTAAACATAATCACTTAATACCTAAAATAACTCATAATTTTATTTCAGTTAAAATCATCAAAATAATAATAGTAGGCTAAAACAATAATATAATAAGGTAATAAGTTCCAAAAATACAATATTCCAAAAGTAAAGTAAATATAAAAGATCCAAATATAATGAGTATATCCTTAAAAGCAATTCATATCATAAGTTTCTAATTCTAATTATTAATAATCTTAATAGATAGTTAGTAAAATCTTAATGATAGTAATTTCTTAGTTCCTAAATATTTTAGAATTCTAAATTATTAATACATTATTGAGTTTAATTACTCTCTTTAAAGAATCATATTCCAAAACAATAGATACTTCCAATAAAAGAACAAACGTAAAAAGATTGGTAAATCCAAAATGACTTCTCAATTTCTATTAATTAATTATACATATTCTTAAGTTCCTGAAAGAAAAACACTTCCAAATAAGGAAAATTAAGAAAATCTTGAAAACTCTAAAGAAATTTCAATTGTTATTCAAATCTTAATTTTTCATAACAAATTGCAACATTTGAATTAAAACAATTCTATATTAAAATGAGAAAACAACTAAAACTTCTAGATTATTAATCTAATTGGGATCAGGTTAAATTTCTAAATTATTATAGTAATTAGTAAATGTTCCATTTTTTCAATGAAAAGCATTTTCATAAACATATAAATAATACGGTAAACAATAATTAATAATTTTTGAATTCTAAATAGTATAAAGGTATTAATAATCTTCTAAACGAATAATTGGAGAAATAATTTAACAAACTAGGCACAACACACAAAAGATCTCTCTGACATATAGAGTGTTAAAATTCTTTTTTCAGTTTCACGCATCCAAAAGATTTTTTCTAAACTCTAAAATGCCAATCTTCAAAAACTTTAATACTAAACACTTTTTCTTTAAAATATATATATTCTTGTATTTATTTTGAGAAATCCATCTACAAATGAACTTAGAATCCGAATGAATATTTCAATTTTAATTTTATAGGTATATAGATAGCGTTTATAAATGCATCCATATAATTAATATCAAATCTTTTTCCAAAGTGCACTTCTTGCTATCCTAAAATTCTTCTTAGTAAGGTACGTATACTTCTATTGGTTTTTAAATACCCAATTTTTGCTTATATATAAAAAGCAAAAGTTTGAAATTATGGGTTTGATTTTTATATTAATTCCGAATTAATCAGTCTAAATTCAGATATAATAGTTATAATATAATTTATATATAAAATAATAGTTCAGCATCACGCCTTTGCTCCTTCCAATTCTTAGATAACAATAAAGATAATATAAATTTCAATTTAAATTAAAAATACTTTTTACCTATATATGTAGATTAAATTTGAACAAATTCCTTGTTTTGAAGATATATAAAGAAGAAATGACTTTATCTTTTTCGGTTATCTCTGTGAATTTGTCTACCTTAATTGTCTTATATAATTAATTAGAATAAGAAGTATATTAATAATAATAGAAAAATATTAAAAATAATGTCCAATTTTGAAAAAGAAGAAATTTTTAACAATCTATTAAAAGTAGAAGTAACAAAGGTAGCTCAAGGAATACTTGATTAAGAAATAAAAACTTATAATTTCAATAATATTGATGAATCTTAGAAAAAAAGTAATTCAATCTGCGATACAATTTTAACGAAATTGAAAGACCTAAATAATAAGCACTTTAAATTTATTGTTAGTTGTCTCATTCTTTAAAAAGCTGAGTGTGGACTCAGTGTCGCAGCTTCTTGTTATTGGGATAATAATACAGATGGATCTGTTGCAGTAAGACAAGAAAGTGATAATGCTATTTGTATACTGAACATATTTGCTTGCGGAGTTTGAGGATAATATTTCATCATTATACATTATTATATATTGTATATACTAAACATTTTATTAAAATAACTTAATATATAAATTTTGAATAATCGAACATTAGATATCAGCTAATACTATATGAAATAAATGAATTAGGGATCATTAAATATTATATTCTTACCAATATAGGCTTAAATTTCTAAGATTATTATTTATAGTCTTAATAACTTATAAAAAGTAATTGAAAATTTTAGAAAAACTTGCAGTCAGCACAATATAATATAATTAATTTAATGGTTATCTTTAAAAATTGTAAGTATATGGAGTATAGCATTTCTGATATACCAATTTATTTGGATCTTAGTATTCAATATGAGAGACTTTGAATTATTTATTTTATTTTCTTACTTCAAATTTGAGATTCTCAACAAAAACTATCATACAAGATATATATAACAAATTTTGCATCCTATGTGTTATCGCTAGATGAAACATAGAGGATAAATTCTAGAAGTTCCAAGCATTAAATTTAGCTTATTTTAACCACATGAATAATAATTGAGTTGATAATGTTTTTAATCTTGTATAACTTAGAATTAGAGTATTATGAATAGTTTTATACATAAATTTCAACTAAATTATGCCAATATTTTTAAGCAAATTAATGAATTAGAATAATTAATGATTATATTTATTAATAATAAGAATATTATTGGACACCAACTTTATTTATAACATCATGGGTACTTCATTACTTACCATCTCCTTTATTCCCTTGATTCTCTTCTTCAATAGGGTTTTTTTCTTCTTTTTTTTCGTCATTAATGCTAAACAGAATTCAACTTTAAAAGTACGAGCCGGCAGAAGACTCTGAATGTTATGAGTCTTTTGAAGAGCCTCTTGATGAGGACTTTGATTTCCTTTTTGTACTCTTCTTCTTATTCTTTTTCTTTCTACTTGATGAACTACTTGATGAGGAATCCGAACTGGATGAACTCTTCTTTTTTTTATGTTTCTTCTTGTGTTTTTTTCTAGACTCACTAAAAATTATTGTGTTTAATTCATTACCTACTAGAGCTAGATGAACTGGATGATGATGATCTATGTCTACAATTTTTAGCGCTAATAAAATGGTAAATGAATAAAATATAAATAAATCGTATTCTATATATAAGGAAATGGATGCTTTAGTGAAACTTACAAATGTCCAGAGCGACCGCATGAATAGCATAGGCCGTTATTTTTGCTCGGCTTGTTTCCACGAGCCATCTCGACCTATAACACTGATCCTTTTACTTCTTCCTTATTCATTTTTTTAACAGCTTTTTCTGCATCTTCAGGGTCTTTGAATTCCTACATTTAAGTCGTTATAGTACTATGAAACAATATTTTCCTTTCCAAGCAAATTCTTCAATTTTCCCAAATTTTTTGAATAGTTTTTTAATGTCATGTTAATCCTCTTTAAGAGAATATCCTGTAACATATACTCTTTTCTTATTCTTCTTTGGTGATCGTGACCTTGACGAACTTGAAGAAGACATTTTATTTTAAATAAAGGATACTTTTTTTAATATAAATTTTATACTCAATTTTTTTACTGCTTCTCCATTTTCTCTAATTAAATTTTTAACAAATTAAACCTTGACACTATTTCATTGTATTCCAAACATGTATTTTTATATTTCCTTCTAACATCCATAACTTCTCTAGCCAGAATTTTAAGTTTATCTTAATACAAACGTAGCGATTCATTGTTTTTTTAGACCATAATTTGGTTTTATTTTAATTAACTCTCCTTCATATAGAGTTATTAGTTTAAGCTACTAATTTTTTCGTTTTTATCCTAAATTATCTTTTCTAAATCTTTCACCTTCTCACTATATTAATAATTAAGATTAAAATACTTCAAAAATCGTTTAGCATCAGAATATAGTCCCAATTAAGTCTTAAAATCTTCATATTGATCCTCAATTTATTTCTTTTCCTTTAATAAAAAGAAGAATTTGGTCATAATATAGTAATTGAGTGACTATAAATCGTTGACCTCCTAAGACAAATGTTATCCATAAACAAATAATGAAGCTAAACAACGCTATAATTACGATAGAAACATCCCAAATATCGAAGAATCTTGAGCACACACTGTACTTAGATCATACAATCTAGTGATGATTTGTTGAGCAAACATTTGTGAAGAAGTTGGAAATTATTTTCTCTATAATTGAACCTATTAGATCGTAGTCTAGGGTTTTGGAAAGAATTGATTCCAAGGGAATTTCTCCTATACCAAACTCTATAATGCTGCCTAATAACTTTATGCCTATTGAGTTAAATAGCCCTGCAATAGGTCCATCACTAATTTACATAATATGCATATTTTACAATCTCTATTGTGCTAACTATTCTTCAACCCTATAAAGTTGTCACCATCTATTAAAGATTGGCATTCACGTAAAGTAGGAATGATATATTCAGAGAAATTAACCTTTAATTCATACTACTTTATCATGATTTCTCTTAGTTTTGGATCATCACTCTATTTGATAACACTCTATTATATGATGTTTTTAATTTGAATACTTTGAATTCCTCATTTACACTTTGCAATAGCTTGTACTAATGATTAAATTTGTTACTGAGGGAATTTACTGCATGTGGAATAATTGTGTTATGTGATATTAAGGAAAGATAGAGTTTGCGATTACAAATCATTAGACTTTGATAATCCTTTAGGGAGAGGAATTATAAAATCTTACTCTTCACTTTTGATGCCAAAACCAATTCAAAAGTTGTCAAACTCCCTCCAATTAATGCCTTCTCATCAATGAAGCCTTACCTTTTGATATTGTTAAAATATGTAAAATCCTTTTAGAGATTGTTTATTTGTTGTTGCAAACCTTTGTTTTGATTTTCATACCCATTGCTCACTTCATTTAATCTTTGTATTGTTAATTCTTGTCTTTAAATCTTTTTATCCTTTTCTGCAATTGTATCTTTAAGTTATTAGATTTAATCATTCATTTACAAAACTTTATCTTTTAACTCTTATCTCGCTTTCCTAATTTCCTCATACAACTTAGTAATAATTTATTTAGAATACTTGATTTGTTCTCTGTTATTCAACAAGATAATGATTAGAATATTACTCTTGGTTCTTTTTTAATTGAGTTCTTAGATCATCATTTTATTTAACAATAGATTAAATCATGTGATGCTCTTGTCTTAAGTAAAGCAACCATTTTTTCATTTTGTGCATAGCTGATCTCAGCAAATAGATTTTCGTTCTTGGAATTGTGATCCATCTATTATTTACAACATCGAAATGATTCTAAAATATTTTTTCAAATGAATGATATCCTTCTTATTAATGATGATAGATAAATGGATTATAATCTTCTTGATCGTCGGAATCATCATTATCTCTAATATCAGGCAGATTGAAATGGTTTATTTCTTAATCCATATAAAATAAATATAATATACATAATTAATCAAATTTCTTCCTCCTATTATTACTTTTGATTAAATTTGGCACTAATGTAAAGCACATTATTTCCTCTCAATAATATTTAGCCATATTTATTGATGAGTTTCTACTCCAAATATTCCTCACTATTATATAATCATCCTGCAAATTACCACTACTCCAAGACCAGATTCATGTTACCATCCAAAGCAGCCAAAACACCTATGTACTCTGTTCGATTATGCAATTTCACATTCACTGTTCTACCAAATACTTATTTAAAAAAGTCAGCCGATGTTCTCTTTTCATGAGACATTTAATTTTTTTTTAATTTATATGACAACTAAAAATATAAATTAGCTGAAACTGAATGCTCTCACATAACCAACCTACTAGAATTTAAGGATCTCGAGAAATGCTGCCAAACAATAATTAACTTACAATGGCTATAGTCCAAAATTAAAAGGAAAAAGTCCAAACTGTTCTTAATCATATATTCCAAGCCAATTATCTCAAATAGGGTCACCTCCAAAAGAGAAGTTGTCTTCTTTGATCAATATTTCATCATCAGAAAGAATTGCTTACTCATTTAAGATACCAACTCTCAGAATTAAATCAAAGTGTTTTCTGAAGAAACATTCAACAACCCGTTTGGGAATGAGTTCATATGAAATCAATCTGCAAACAAATCTCCAATCCATATTTGTTTTCAAAGGATCGATTCAAGATATGAGTTAATTCAAAGTGATCCAAATGCAAAGATCGGAGTTGCAGGCCAAATAATAAGATATTTACCTAACAAGATAAAATCTATTATAAAAGATGTAGATGGGATTGAACGTTCCTAAGTTTTACAACCAATTATCTTTGGGCAACTATGAAATCATTTAGTTCACAGAAGAGATTCCATAAAATTGCAATTCCCTAATTTTAAGCAATACTGTAAATAAGGACTTCTGGACTGTAATCTTAAATTATCACAACTTGCAATTCACCCAAGATAAATTTGTTAAACTCTTGACTATCATTAGTAATATTAATGATATCAATGATCTTTAAAAGTTCATCCTGGATAAGGACATTTTTTATACCTATATGGAAATTAAAGAGATTGTCCCCGATGAAGCTCTGTTAACAATGAAGCGAAACAGTGAAGCCATGAAGGAGTACTACAAGAGCATTCATGTTTATGACCATCAAAAACAAAAATTAATTGATGAACCAGCACATTAATTATATTCAGAAAGAAACATCGTTTAACCAGAAATAGAAAAAGAAACTGTCAGGGATTTTACAATTGCTACTACCTATCCTAAACCTTCTGAATTCTAATAAATTTTGGAAAAAGAGGGATATTACAATCCTAGTAAAAAGAGAACCTCTAGTAGATGTAAGTCATTAATACTCTATTAGATCTTAAATTACCCAATTTTAAAACTTAATATAGTGAGATATTAAAATAATAATCCATCAAATAAAAGAATCAGTATAATTATTTATTGATAACAGAAATTAGTACACAAATATCCCTGATCATATTGCTAGAAAGCTTCCTCACATGACCAATTACAATATTCCTTAATTAATGTTAGAAACAGGATTTGATAGATAAGAAATTTATGAGGTTTACAGTAGATATAAAGCATTGCTGAGTTATGAATGCTCTTAGATCCCAGGATTAACCAAATAAAGTAACTGTATTTTATTATGAAGTGATACCAAATGGAATCTCAAGGGAAGCTTTCAATGCTGGTTTAGAAGAATTATCAATGGCACCTCCAGGAGTTGTTGATCAGATATTCAAGTTTTTTGCCAAATAAAATACCCTTACTTTTGAAGGGTTTTTGAAAGCTATCAATTTAATCAAGGCCAAAAGAAATGACAATAAAATTGAATTGATACTAAAAGTATAGTAATTACAAAATGTTTAGTTAATTGATGAAAATGAGAATGGATCTTTATCTTATGATGAAATTAAGAAAAGATGTATATTTATGATGGAAGAAATGCTGAAAGATTCTAAGGGGGAGTTAAGTGTACCGAATATGGTTGAATATGTAACAAGATCAATATTTGATGTTATATTCTCATGGTAATTATGTAGGCAGTAAAGATGAATTATGATCAAGAAATTCCGATTGAGAGGATACGAAAACTGATAGAAAGTAAAACTCACGAAGCTCAGGTGTTAATTATGATGTGTTGCGGAGATGTCGATTATTTGAAATGATCCCTCCATATTTATTAAGATATTGCATTTTGACTTCTAAAATTCAATATCTATCCAATATCGGACTTTATTAATTATATTTTTTTATTTTATTACTCTAAATTTTTCAATTAATAATAATACGAAATAAAAAAATTAAAACAAATACAAATATTGCCACTAAGAATAACTTACTTTAAACTTAAGACTTGGACTTTTATTTCTTCTAGTCTATTTCATCCTAAATATTCTTTTTTGATAGTTTTGCCATCTATTCGAGTTTCTACTATTATGCTTATTGTTTCTACTCCTCACATTTACTGACTATCAATAATTTATAGGTTATTACTATATAATTTTATCTATTTTGCTAATTTTCCATTCACTTTCTAAACAGATTTTGGTTTTTAAACAACAACTGGCTATTAACAGACTTCTTATTCCTCTATTATTAGTTCATCATTTTTTGGTGTCGCTTCCAACACTTAAGATACTTATTATGACATTGTTTAAGATAATTGCCCCAATGAAAATCTTTAGATTGAAGCACTATTCCTTTAATTTAATTCTATTTATTAGAATGAGTATTAGTTTTTTTTGAACTAATTAAATGGAAACCTGTAACAAATTTTTATCATAACTTAATGTAGTCTTAGCAATCTGATGTTTTCGTTTTTATCTCCCATTCGATATCCATTTAGCTTTAATTAGATCTATTATTTCGTAATCAGTTATTATTTCATCTATGATAGTTTTAGTTGATAAAAAAAAGTGAATTCCAAGTTCAATTTGAATTTATCCAATTTGAAAGCCAATAGCAAAGTTGCAGCTTCAATTTTTTTGCTTTTATTTTTCTTTTCTCTCAATTCATTTAATGCAAATCGTTTTGAAGACACCTCCAAAATACTTTTGATTTTCTCGAATTTTTATGATAATTTTATTTGTTATTTTATTTAGTATAAACTATCTCTCATGACCTTGGATTAAATTAAATATATAATTTTACAAAGTTCCTTACCAGCAATTTGAGATTACAATTCTTATATTATCTTTATTAATTATTAATTCTGAATATTCTTCTCCATTCTAATACTATTTAATAATTATTATTACCCTATATCTTTCGATACTATTCCAGGAGAATGACTTCTCTAAGGAGTTTTAAATATACTACTGCTATTGCTATAATCTATTGCTCCTAATCGTAATATCAATTGGAATGCTTCCTACTTTTATTGCTTATTATAAAAGGCTTGCATTTTCTATAAATGTAGGAACAATTTCTGTGATGCCATCAATAAATGGATTTGTTCAAATCTTAAGGACAACTTACATTATTGATTCTATATGATTTCTTACTTCATTTCCTAGTAAACCTTGAAAGATGAACGAATTAATTAGTTTCGCTATTTCTAATCATTAATAGATTTCTAATATAATTACTGGTGATGCAGTTAAATATGATTGAATTGTGACTTGAGATTTAACTGATGAAGCCTCAGATGGAACAGTTGTTTATCTATATTAGTGATAAGAATTATAATTTTTCATAATAAATTTTATGTCAATAAAAATATTATTTTATTGAAAGCTCATAACCATATTCAGACACTCATTTATAAAAGCATACACACCACTGAACATAAATTATTTCCAATTATGTTTTAAATAAATACAAAAAATATAATCTCAAAAATATCTTTTGATATCAATAATTGACGTATTATTTAGATATTGTCTATCAATCCATTATTTTATCCATTTATTGGGAGAATTTATTTTTTGTTATATTTAAGTAAGAATAGTTGAATGTGTGGTATCAATCTCTAATAATACATTTTCTATTATAAAAATTCAATATCAGTTTTATAATTTCTTTTATTAATAAAACCAGAATTTTATTATAAAAATTATGAATTATTAATATTTGTTAATCTTTCACATTTTTTTGAAAAGAAGACGATTAAATAGGAATAATTTATTAATTATACCTAATATAATTCGATTGATCTTGCACTTTACATAGTTAAATTCCTTTGTCTAATTACTTAATATTTTTTCATTATAAATTTGAGTATAACAATAACTTTCCTTTTAAATTAAGTTTACAGATACTATCAATTTTGATTATGAGCAGACCCAGTTTAAATGTAGATATATGTTCTTTCATAATAAATGACATTTCGTGGAATTTGTTCAAAAAATTCTAAAGTATACAAAAATATTGTTGAGAGATAAGATTACTTAGAGATATTAATTGAATTGAATACAGTATAATTTATAGGTTTAGTTTATTTAATAATAAATTAATTGCATTGCTAATGTTAAAATATATTTAAGATCAAGATTTTGGAACCTTTGAAACATTACCAGTGCAAAGATAGAGAAAAGTGTTTTGTATGAATATGCCAATGTAGTAGCTAATTAAGAGTCGATCTGTTTCTTAAATTTTGCATGATGAACTCATTACGTTATAAAAGTCATCAGCAAGAAAAAAATAAAAAGAAGAATCATATTAAGAAAGAATTTCGTCACCAATAAAACCCATTGAGATGTCTTAATCTATTCAAGCACTTCCTAAAATTAATTTAAGAAAAACTTAAACAGAATAATTGAATAAAACAAAAAAGAGGATTAAAGTATTTCATAACATCTCAAAAAGACAATGTGATTTAGATTAATGGAATTAAGCATTCTACTAAAATAGATCTATTAATGGATAATCCCCAAGAATTTAGGAGATTAAAAGAGCACTTTAAGATTAGTTGAATGATGGCAGATCTTTAAATCTCAATTCAAGTACTCTATTGAAATTGAGTAGAACTGAAAGTCCTAAAAGAAGACCTAATGTAATTATTTATTGGAATTCAATAGCTTCAAACAGAAAAAACATTGAGAAATCTTTTATGTGAATATGTTTTAGATGATAAAATAGCCTTTAATGATTTAATCTTAGATAATAATCGCTAAGTCTAAGATCCAAAATACATGATCGAATAAGTAGTAATGAACTACGAGATTCTTAAACAAATATTTCGTATAGAAAAAACCATCACAAAAATTATTTTAAAAACCCAGGGTTTAAGCAAGTAAGTTTTATAATAAAACAAGAAAAATCATACATACCTTCTTTAAGGAAATTAAACCTAATTGTCCGAATGACATTTCGTAATTTGAATATCATTTTAAACTAAGAAGAAATATCTCTAAATCATTAATCATCTCTAAGTTTATTCTAGGAGTCGATCCTGAATTAGATTCAACTATAGACAAATTATTGAACCGAGAAGCATTATCACCTGATTTGCAATCCATAGTATTATCACCTGAAGAACTATTATAAAAAGCATTAGAAACATTGAAATTCGATTATGACTACTTGAACAAATTGAATTATTTCAATATCAACTTATAAGACTAAATTAAATAGAAGTAAGTAAAGGCAATCTAAAATAAATTGCTATTAAATGGAAGTATTATTGAGTAAAGTAATCTATCATTGGATTTCGAATAGCCATCAAGTCTGCTAGCTAAGATAAATGATTGTGAAAGAAGGTTAGGCAAATTTCAAAAAATAAGTAATTAGTCAAGGTTTAAATGCTTGGAAGCCGAAGCATATTTATATTATAGGTGAACGCTAGTTTTTCTATGATAAATTATTTATTTATTTATTAAGATGTAATCTAGTTAAAGAATATTGTATCAACCCATAGGAGCATTTTGTTCAACACTATTGTGCAAAATTTGCAAAAATCTAACTATTGATCCAGTTGAATGTACTCAATGTGAAAATCTTTATTGCAAAGAATGTTATCAAATTTCTAAATCATCATATGATAAGTATTCTAATTCTAATTTTGAGATGCCCAGACTAAAATTGCGCTGGACCCTTTACAACTAAATAACCTCATCGCATTGTAAGGGATTAGCTTTCTAAAATATCATTTCGATGTGTCAATCATAATGAAGGATGTAAAATTGTGATGGCCCAAGAAAGTGTTATTAAACATATGGCAGAGTGTCCATATCAATAAATTTCATGCAAATGTGGACAAAACCTATTGAGAACCAATCTAGAATCACACGTATATTTATATATATTATTTAGAAAAATATATGTCATTATTATAAAACCTAAAATTGCCCTTTATGCTAATAAAATGTGACTTTATAGGAACTAAAGAGTCATAAATGCTTACAAGAACTTACACGAATGATATAATAATTATAAGAGAAATTCTAAGATTATAAAGAAGAATCTAATTATGCTATTATCGAAATTAAAAATTAATAGAATGAAAGAAACAATTAATTAACATAAGCTAAATAATAATTGTAATATCTGCAAGATGAAAATAGTCAATTAAAAATTGAACTACAAACTAAATTGTTGAAATTTAAAGAAAATATAGAGTAATTAGATTAATAAAGAAAACATTAAATGGAAAATAAAGAATAATAATAATAAGCTTAAATGATATAAAATGGAGAATTAATTGATAGCAATTAATAGTTTTGCTCGAAAAATCACAAATTAAGTTTTTGGAAAAAACCTTCAGGTGAGGAAAAGAAAAAGAATTGTTCGAAATGTCTAAAGTCAAATACTACCTGTAGATATTTCTGTCAACAATGTACAACCTTCACTTGCTTTAAATGTTTGTTTCCTGAATTAAAAATTGAAAAACAATCAATGAAACCTTAATGCTCTTCGAAGCATTAAATGAATTAAATATCTGATGATTTTAGATGTTCTGCGTGCGACAAAAAAGGAGAAGACATGATTTAACCAATTGCTTTTTATTGTGCTTAATGCGAGTTAAGAATATGCTTTTAATGTATTAAAAACAAAAAGTTTAAAGAGATTGATTGAGTAAAAATAAAGTATATTTTATTACCACATTAAACAATATCTATATTTTATGAGCATCTTATATATAATACCTATTAAATTAGAGTTCAGTTTGGATAATTGTAATCTTAATAAAAACACTGCACATTATTTAATCTTTACAGTAATTCCTGTTTATTAAGACAATATACATTGACAGTTTGGAGAAAACTCGGAAATTTGGATTTAGTTAGACATTATTAAATGGAATATATGAATCAAGTGCATCTTTAAAAAAAATGAATTTATATAATTAAATTAATAATATATATCCAGTAATTAATCAAAATTTAAATATACCTGACAAATTTTAGATAAAATTTTCATCAGAATTATTTCTTAATGAGTCTTTCTCAAATTATATTTTATACCAAGTATTTACATCAAAATTCTTCATTTCTATAAAATTTTAAACTAATTTTAATGCTTAAAAAGTATCTAATCGTTATTTAGGATCTTCTTTAAGAAATAATTTAATTAAATCATAAATTTAACCTTATTCTTCTATATTTATTAAGCAATTCTGATTTTAATAATAAGTCGATTATTCTTTATTATATGGGAACACTTTTTTCAATGTTAGTATTTCATAGAAAATGCATCCAAGACTAAAAATATCAACTTTATAGTTATAAGTTAAAATTGTTTTTTATGCATTTAAGACTTCTGGTGCACAATAACCCGTTGTACCACAATTAGGAAACTCATCCAATTATTTGCCACAAAAACATGAAAGTCCGAAATCAATGATTTTGATTTTATTATAATTGTACATGATATTTGATGGTTTTAGATCTCTGTGTATTACACGAGATTGATGTATTTGTGTTAAACCTTTTAAAACTTACTATATTTATTTTTATCAAATATACTTCAACAATGTATAATGACTCTTATAAAGAATATGGAGTTTTTCTTGTTGATAATAATTATTGCAAATTGTATCCCTCTATAAATTCTGTGACAATAAAATAGGAGTATTTATCTTTAAATACTTCTTTTAATTCCAAGATGTTCTGTGAATAATAGTTATAGATGGTTCTCAAAATGTTAATTTCATTTTTTATAACTGGCTATGAATTTTTCTGAATTTCTAGTTATTTAATGGCTACTTACTTTTGTGAAAGCTTACAAATACCTAACATAACCTAAAAATATTTTTAATTTACTTTTCCAAAAGATCCTTTTTCATTCTTCTCATTCAGAAAATAAAATTTTTTTATATTATCATATATAACTAATTATCCCATTTTTTCTCTTAAATATTGCATGTCGCTTGCTTTTCCATAAAATTCCTTAACTTATCCCCTATAAAATAAAGTGAATCCAATTATATTTTGTTAGTCCAATAACCAAGTGAACACAATGTCCAGTCCCAAAAGTTGCGTATATTTAGGGGACTTTTAATTAGGACCCTATTTAAATAATCGTGACAAAAATTTACATCACTCAAAGTTAAAGAATGTTGAGTTAATGATAAATAATATTATCTGTCTTTAAAAAAGTGCTTTCTAATTACAACACAAACTGCTAAAATATTGTTAGGGGAGCACTAAGATGTTGTAATTTGATAATTATTCATTAAATTAATAATTATTTGATTCAGTAATACTAAATGTTGCTAAGAACAAAATTTCTCTTAAAGTCTTTCTCAACATCATAATATTCTGTATTGGTTATTGAGTTTTCAAAATACTCAATGTTACTATTAAAAATTATCAATATAATTCAAAATTGAATGAATTACATCATATTAGAATTATGTAATGTATTAATATTTTTCTTATAAAGTAATTTAATAATAGTATAAATCAAAGCTTATGTCAATTTTTCAAAAATGCCGATAAGAATTCATTTTCATCATTTTCTGTTAATAATTAACTGGGAAAACTGCAAATCATTAAAATTTTAATTATTTAACTCTTAAATAGTTACAAGATTACTATTAGTTATAATCATGATATTTATTTATCAATTAAACTTCTCCCATGAATTATAATGAGATATATAATTTTGGACTTTTTTGCAAAAATCTAATGAAATACCTAAAATATTTGAGTTTCTCATTACATTTGACATTTGATTCTAATTTCAATACTAATAACCTGTAAAAATAATCTTCTATTTTAAAAGCCATGCAAATGACTTCAAATAATTTATTATTTTATAGAATCGGTTTTTCTTTATTATAATTCATTCAATAAAAAATGGTTTCAATTCTAATAATTAAATATATTTTAAATTATACTACTTTAAAGGAGTCATCTTTACTCAATCTTAAACTAATTATCGTTCAATTCCCAACTAATACCGTTTAATAATCTTGATTAGCTATTTCCTACATGAAAAACAAATAAATTTTAATTTTCTGATTAATGATCTAATTTTAGGATATATTTCTTACTAATATTAATACCATATAAAAATTAGGAAATATATAATAGGAAAATTGGGCAGGAGGAGCAATTATTAATTCAAAACTTTAATATTATCAGTGATATATTTAATTTTATAATTGTTGTTATTTCAATAGTTGCTTAAGAATTCTAATTTCATCTCTTAATTATTTTTTTTATTTTTTCCATTAAAGTTCTTTTGCTTTGTATTTTTCTAAAACATTCTGAGTTTTTAAAAATAAATTGTGTAAATTATCATTAATTAGTTTTGATTGTCCTTTGGAATAATCAGACTTTTGCTTTGGAAAGTATTTATCTTGATTTTCCGACTCATTCATTTATAATTACTACTGTGCATTTCTGGCAGATTTACAAACCTTGATACCTTCTCCAGTTCCAGCCTCTAAATTAAAGTATTTAGTTACATTTCTGTTAGCTTTTATATTAGATATATTATTTCAAGACTTCATTCAAAGATCCAAATTGTTGTTATCTTTAATTAGTACTTGTAAAAAACCCTAAAATACTGTTAATGAGTACCAGATGAATATCTATTTTCAAGACTTTAATTTTTTTCTGAAGCACTTTTTGCACTCTGAATATTGAGTTTCTCGTTTTCTTCGCCTAAATATTGCAATAAAGGTGGCCTTTTTATTTTAAAGCCTTCTAAATCGCTGAATTACTTAGGAGTTTTCGAAGTGATTAGTAGTTTCTCTAGGTTAGTAGTTTTTTTGGATTAGCTCTAAGCTTTTCTTAATACTGATATAAGTTCATCTTTTATCTTTGTATTCTTTTAGGTTCCGCTATCGTTATTGTTACTAATTTTGCCGATGCTTTATCTTAGAGAGGAATCTATAGTATTTTTTGGAGTCGGTAATTTGTTCTTAATTCTAAAATTGAACATCTCGCATTAGCTGGAACTTAAATGTTAAATAGATTTTTGAAGACTCTTTTATTTTTATGATTCTTGATGTTTATCATTTAATTTGATTGTCTTATTAAATGATAGTAATTTATGAAGAGCAGTTAGAGGTGCAATTTATAAATTATTTATCATATAATGAGTTTTTTTATTGAATTCATTAAGATTTCATGAAAACAATAGGGAATCACATTAATATTATCATACGAGTAGAATAATAGGATCTATTGGGAACCTTTGACTATGCATTACATAGAGACTAACTTCCAACTTCAGAGTAGCAATGAAAAAAGATAGATTCTTATTTAACGAGAGATACATATTCATGAATAAGTTTATTAGTAATTGTTGTAATTTATGAATAATTAATAATTATATAAGTATAAAAGTTGGAAGTTAGGAGTATAATAGATAGGTCCTAAATTAAACAATGTCTTTTCTGTGATAGTCTTATCTTTCTATCAATATCAATTGATAATTTAAAAGAGTTTTGTGATTAAATCGAATATAATTTAGCATTATATATATTATAAATTAATTATTAGTAATGACTGACTTACCACCTATTCCAAACTTAAGAAAGCAATCGTTACTTGGAGCTGAAAATTTCATACCTCAAACTCATAATTTTATTCCTCTACCGTAAATTGTGGAGAATGTTAAGCCTTAAAAGTAAATAGTTATTTATATAAAAGGCGAAACTTCAATCTAAAAGTGGGTGACATAATCTATTTCAAATCCTATTTGAGTGATGATTTTAAAGGAGTGATATCTGGTGATGGAATTGCAAGCAATAAATTAGAATGTATTCAGGTTTTAGGTAAAAATAAATTATAAGACGTCTAATCTCAAAAAAGCCTGTAATGCAAGGTTGGCAGCCTATCATTCTAGAAAAGTTTATTTTAAATCATTACAGCCAAAAAATACTTATACTAAAATTAATACAAGGAAGAAAAAGAAAAACCAATCGATACCATAAGGGAAATAGCCGCAGATGAGACATACTAGATGGAGTTGGATAAATTGACTTCTGATTATGATAAAAGATTAGTGGAATTTCAAAAAAAGTGCGATGAAGAAATAAATGAGAATGAGAGATTATATACTCATCTCTATGGATCTAATATAGTATATGGATAAGAAATACAACTATTACATATATATTCAGGATGCACTCTGTCTCTGAATAGTGATATCCTAGCAAAAGAAAATTGTTGTAGAGAACTATCCTTGGAAGAATTGCCAAATTTAAATTCAAACTTTAGAATTTTATCTATGAATTCTGTAAAGAATCCTGGAGAACCAATTCTCTATGGAGATTAAATTATTGTTTAAAATTCCGGTTAATCACAGTGGAACTTAGGAATACAAAAGCCATCTGCAAAATTTGAGAAGAAGGATGGACTTGAAGTAAATGCCTCTGAATAAGCTTTCCCATTAAAGATTTCAAGTTATATTGACAATAAAACAGAAGAAGAAATCAACAAATAATAAATCAAAGGAAAATACTTGTAGAGTGGTGATGTTGTAACTATAAAAAATAGATATTTGGGAGGATACTTGTGTATCAAAAGAATACAAAGAATAACTGATGGATTAGATAAGAAACCACTAATTATTAAGGATTACGAGACTAATATCAATTACGCAATCAATCAATACTATTTTGATGTGGATAAAATAAGAAATGAAAAGATTAATTAAATGTATTAATTATATGTTGATACTTCACCTAAAGCAGATGAAGATTTAAATTCTCTTTGGTAAGTGTAGCATGTAGATAGTTTAATATATTCAAGACCCACCTATGAAAGTGTGTTTTTAATAAGACATGTTTGTACTGGATTGTTCCTACACATAACTAATTAAGGAGTGGGATTAACATATGATGGATTAAAAATGGAATGTCATATAAATCTGAAATCCAAAAAAACTTCGAATGATCCTATTTCGTATAGTGAGGCCTGTAAAATATAATCTGCAATGAACTTTTAAGTGGATAACTATGTTGCATAAGAAAGTGTGGTTGTTGTTTGTTTAGATGAAACTAAAGTGGCTGTGTAAAGGAAAAGTTAGAAGTAAAATATAGAAAGAGCAACTTTTCTATTTAAGTAAACATCTCAAGATCTTTCTAAAATATCATTTAGACTTAATTCACTGCAAGAATATTTAATTAAATTTTATATATTTTTATAGGATTGGGGTATTGTTAAATCTATTGAGCAAAATTAAGAAGAAAAACGAAAATATGAATATTATGAAGCTTTCAACAATCAAAAGTCTTTATTTGATGAGATTTTACAACTGTTTCAAACGTTGGATAATCTCAAAATGTATTTAACAAATGAAGGAAAACCTTAATCTAATGAGTAATTACAACTTAAATAGAAGGCTTTAAGGGATAATGATATTATTAATATACTCTTTGCAATTTAAAGATTGTGCAATTGTATGATTTACGGAAATCTCAGAGACAACAACAAAACCATCTAAGACAAAAGTCCTTCAAAAATAGCCAAGATGAAATTAGATCCAATTGTAACTTAAACTCAAAAAATCAATTGTATTTAAGAAATCTACTCTTTATTGAGTCTCTGTGTTTAAAGCAATCCAGAAACAAGCAATTATGTTTTAAGTTTGGAAATGAATAAAGAAAGCATCCTAGATTTCTTGCTTTAATAATTGAAACATCAAAGAGAACACGTTTCCAATTTAATTAAAGAAAGTGTTCGTTATACCGATATGAGTGATACAAAAGCCAGTATTAAAAAATGGGTTAACGAATTATAGCCATTGACTGAAGATAACATAGAAGATCAAGCACTATATATTGAAATTCTAAGTTTGATGATGATTGATCCTTACGAAAATCCTAATTCTTTGTGTTAAGATTCTTGTAGAAGATTACTATTTGGAACAAAAAGGAAACCTGATTCCTCTCTACCTTTCCAAAAAGCCTTAATTGCATTAGATATATATGAGGAAAACCAAAGCTATTATCCAGTTGTCCAATTTTCTCCAAAGAGAGAAAAAGGTATGCTATTATAATTGTCACATTAATTCGGATAGAACAATCCAACATTTTGTTAATTGTACTTAAGATTTGTTGAGAAATAGATTAAAGTTGCATAAAGATTTATAACAAGGAGACCTCCCTTAGTTGACGTAACAATAGATTTCTTTACTACCGAGGCGTTAAAGGAAAATCAGTTAGTAAAGCAAGAAGATCTTAAGGCAGTGATGCCAATATTTTTAAAATATGAAAATTATTTGATGAATATTATGGATTTGTATTCTTCATTATGCAAGGGAAGAAATTAAAAAAGTATCAAATGCTTAATGAAACATTGCTTTTTAAATGAAAGGTTTTTGGAGATCTGTTTGAAAAGACAATAAAACATTAAAACTGAATTGAGATTCGAAAGAACTTTGATTGAACTATTCTGTAATTTATATTTAGATATTGATCCGTTGATCAAAGTGTCATAATTTGATAATAAATGTTATTTAAATGATGACTTGGATCAATTTGATATTTAAAATCAATCAGGAGTGTATTTCTATGAAAATAATGCCTCAAAATAATTGAAAAGAAACGAAGAATATCAGAAATTTCTAAATTAAAAAGAGGCAAAGGCAGAACATCAGTATTTGAAATTGTATGCTTCCAAAATGTTATCCAGAAAATAAATAAATGATGTTAGAATATATTATCTAGAAATTTTTACTTAAATAGATTATCCAGATCATTTTAAAGTTCAAGAATTTAGTAGCACTCTAATTTAACCTTTAAAATCCACTATTAATAATATCAACATCGACTATAAAAGATTAGCTAATTACTAGTTATAATATTTCTTAGGAATTTTGTAAATTGTAAAAAATAGTATTGACTTGGGATATAATTAATTAGATGAAAATTAAAGGATCTTTTCAATATTGCCAAATATTTTTGTAGCATTAATTTTACAATAAAGACCTGATAACAAAATACATAAGTTTAAGGAGAATGAAAATTTTGAATCAAACTTATATAAATTAAGTTAATCTATTGAGAAGAATGTTTGGGTTACAACTTATTTACCTACTGCTTAACAATTATAGGAGCAAAGGAAATCTAAGCATAAAAAATAAGATAAGTCAACGAAATAATCTGAATAAATGATCAGATCAGATATTTAATTTTAAAGAAACTGGATTCTTTAATTTTTGATATGGACATTCCAATATTGTACTGATGATTTATTAAAAATGAAAATATACTTAGAAGGTCTTTAGATTTTAAAGATTTTTGGGTTCCTAAAATTGAATCTGTAAATTCTTGAATTTCTATTCAGTTAATAATAATTCAATGAGTCAAATTTAAGTTCTCCCAGTTCTAGAGATCTTGATTAGTTTGAGTTCAATAATCATGAAATTGAAGATAATATTTAGGAGGAATAGATTAAAAAGTAAAAGACACCATCATAAAAAGCTATATTTAATGTTTTTAAAGAGCCTGATGGAAATAGATTTAGTGCATTATTGTTTTCTTGTTTACTCTCGTCAGAAAAAAGAAATAAATTGAATGAAGAGTTACTTCAAATTCTTATAAACAACTTTCATGCACCCAAAAACTCAACAAATGAAATTAAGGAAGTAGAAATTATCGATAATTTAATGGAGTTAAAATATTTTTCAATTATAAATGGAAATTCTGATTCTGTTTAGATCCTCAGTCCTAAAGAAGCATAAATTTTAACAAAAAGAGCAATAAAATACATTCAAAATAGTAAGAGGAGAAAAAATACTCAAAAAAGAGTAACATCATTTGATTCCTTGAAGAACTATTAATCAAAAGTAATTGAATAATTTGAGCAATTCTTTAAACCAAATTCGTAAGATGCTTAATATTTAAAATCTTTTTAAAATATTGTAAGAAATGCAGGTGTTCACTTGGTATTTCTATAATTTTTAGTGAAACCCTAAAATATTTGTAGTACTCCAGACATTGTGTAATTTTATAAGAAATTAATTCTGTTTTTTGAATATTTCACAAAAGATAATGAAACTAACATAGCTATTCTAGCCTAGAATGAGTACTTATATAAACTACTTGATATTATTTAAATTGATTAATAAGATGCAGAGGATTGGTATTATGTACCAATAAAAATTACTAAACTTGTTGTATAATTGTTATCCACAATACCAGTATCTGAGCATGATAATTTCATTATAAATGTTTTTGATAGAATTGAGAAATTAGGGGCTGAATTAATGCAAAGTTAAGAATTTTTTGTGAATGCTTTTAGTTTAAGAGATTTATATTTTGAAAGGAAGGTCACTCCAAGAAAGAAGCATTTGGATGCAGTTGCTTATTTTAGTTTAATTTAATACTTGAGAATTCTACGATCGTTAACGAAGACCTTTGAGACTCCAGCTGAACAATCTCCTCTAAATAAACATCTGATTTTAAGTTCTATTTTACAAAATGATTTTTTGAGAATCGTATTAGAACCTGTAAATTACTATAAACGACTATTAGTTCCAGGATAAGAATAAGAATAGTAGAATGGAACCGATAGTTTATATTATCATAGAATAAAATTGCATGCATAATTAATCATTTTAATTACAGATTGTTGCCAATATTATAGATTAGGTATCTAAGAGATGCAAAGAATAATTTTATATGAATAACTGAAATCAATTCTGTTAAATTCAAATTCTGAGTACATAGTTAAGAGAGCATATCTTCAGTGTTTATTTGAATTATATATAAATAAAGCAAAGGAGGGAGAGTTTATGAATGACACAGTAGAGAGTGATGAAGTAAGAGACATTTTATCAAGAATAATTATACCTGAGTTAGATTAAAAACAAATATGCAAATTTTTGGAAGGGCTGGCTAAATTAATAAATTTAGATAAGAATAAAAAAGTTACTCAGAAGGATTTGAGAGAACAAATTGCAAAATAAAAAAGAAATTATTTTGAAAAAAGATTATCTATAGATTCCACTTCTGATAAAGAAGTAGGAATACTTAGAGATTGTAGTGAATTTTGGACATATTTGAGAAAAAATGGTATTATTCATTTTTTAGTATATACTTATGATGAAATGAAGGATAGAATTGATATTGAAAATCCTGAGAATTCCAATTTGTCTGATGAATTTGCAATTATCAAATAAAATGTGTAGAAAATAAAAGAGATCTTTAATGTATTAGAAAGAGATTTTCGAGTCAAGAAAGAAGATTTAGATTTGGATGATTATAGAGAATTAATAATCTCAATTGAGGAAATTATACCTCAAAGGAAAATTACGAAATTCGGTTAGAATTTTAGAATTGGATTTATTTAAGACAAAAATACTGATAAATTATTATTTGATAAATATGATACTTTAAAGGAAGATTAGAATGGAGAGAAAAAGCTTTAAGAATAAGATAATGTTTAAAGGATTGAAAATCCATTTAAGAGAAACTTTAAAATATATTTGATAAGATATAAAGTTAACATTTTGTAGTTTTGTTATTATATTGAAAAAAATTCATCAGAATTAACTGACTAAGAAAAGTCAAGAAAAATTGTTAAGACTTGCAATGTTTATAAATAGTACATTTTATTAAAGGATATAGAAAATATATATTAAACTGATGTTGCGCGTATTAAAAATCAAGAATCTGTGAATAACAGAAACAAATAATTTGTAGATTGGGAATTATTTAAATAAGCAATGAGAGAGTTATTTGAAAGAAAGTTTAATGCAAATATTGCTTAATAATAAATTTAAGCTTATTAACGTTAATAAGACAGCTTGGATAGCTTGAAGAAAGACTTTTAATTGTCTACAATTCGATTAATAGCAAAATATTATAAAAAATTAGGAGGGTAACTTGAATTAAATGGAAATTTGATATCTGAAGATGTTTAAATAGAACTCTTAATTAAAACATTAGAGAAATAACAAACTAATGTTTTTAATTTAGATAATCTCAAAGATTTTTTGAAAAAATGCTAAGAAATATTTCTTAATAAAGAAATTTATCTAATCAAGCTTTGCAGAATATTTTTATAACTCAAAAGGCCAACACAAGATGAAATGGATTCTTTGACAGAAGCAAAGGATGAAGATTCTAAATAATTTGTTAGGGAAAAGAAGGAAACATATGTAAAATTTTAAAGGGCTATGGCTGATGGACAGCTTGATATTTTGGCATTGGAAATGTTGAATTAAACAGATGATGATCAATAAAAAATTGAAGCCTTGTCTTTTCTTATACATTTGTTAGACTATGGAAATGAATATGTGTAGAAGAAGTTTTATAAATTATTGAAGGAGGAATAAGTGAAATAGAAGTTTTTAGTGTTTTTGAGAGGATTCTTCCTGATAGATTTAGATGTTAGAATTAAAGAATTAGAACTAACTGATGGGGACAATACTGAATATAAATTGCTTTGTCTTAAGGTTCTATAGTTACTATAAGCCTTATGTGAGAATGTAAATATGGAGTTTTAGAGATTCCTTGTATTTTAGTACGATGACGATTCGTATTAAGCTAACATCAATATAGTAAATGAAGTAGCAGGATTGCTGGCTGACCTGTTAGAAAAAGGATAGAGAGTTTTTTATAAATTATAAGAAATTTATAGATAAGCATTAGAGAGTTTAGTTGAATTTTCTACAGGGTATGTTGAAAATAAGAAAGAATTATGCAAAAACGCAAGATTATTCACTTTATTGAATTCAATTCTTCAAAAATAAGACCTATAGAATTTTAATTCGCTCTATAAAGAAAATAGAATGATATTAAAGGAGAAGCAACAAATGAATTAGACTTTGGATGAAGACATAGTTTTAGATGGGGAAGGCATTGCAACAAATGAAGGTAAAAAGAAATTTTCTTCCTATTAAACATTATAATCCTTTATAAAATTGCTGTTATTACTAACATAAGGAAGATCAGATATTCAGTCTTTAGAGTTCATTTTAAAAACAGTTGATATTACTATTTTGATAAGGATAGCCAAATCTATTTATGAGGAAAGAATAAAACCCAAATAAAGAAACATCGTTTTAGATAACATTTGCGATGAATCAGAAACAGGAAATCATAGGCATTGTACTAATAGTTTATGCCACTTTGGATTGAGAACAGATGAAGACAATATGTTAATACAGACTGGGTTCAATATATTTATAATTTGTCTAAAATTATCAGAACATTTCCCACAGGATTCTTAATTGGAATTATTCAAGTTTGATGAGGAATAAGAAGAATAGGAAGACCTTTTAGATTTGGATGATTTTCAAGAAGAAGAATTATAAAAGAAGAAGACGTTGTCAAATTAAAAGATTTTACCTATAAATCCAGGAAGCAAATATGATTATAATTAAGATGAAGGTGATGGATTGTTGCCTAGGGGAGAATCAAAATTAGAAAATTCAAGCTTAAAGAAAATTTTCCTGGATGTTCAAAATGATAAAAGTTATTAATTCGATAGAACCTAAAGATTCTTTAAATTTTATAGGCAATTCACAGGAAGAATAGAAATACAAAATGAATTTAATCAAATAGAAAAAGTATTTTTCTAAAAACCATTTGTTTGTAATTTTATTACTCCAAACATAAAACAACATTTGATCTATGAAATCAATAGAGAAACAGACGAAGATAGAATGTTGGGATTGATAGAGTTTTCTGAGTTTTATCAAGTTCAAATGAGGCATTCTTAATACATTAATAATAGAAAGGTCATGCACTTTGGTGCTGTATATTGGAGATTATTAAAGGATGTCTCCTTCTTGTTGTGTCTAATTATTGTAGTTCTACTTATATTTATGCATGACACGGTAATCAACAGTAAAATAGGATCTAATACTGAAGCACCTGAAGATTAAAATATTACATCTGGAGAGAGCTTCGTTAGTTATTTAAATAATGTATAGATTTCTTATTCTATATTAGATAATTACGATAGTGTAGTTGGTTTTAAATCTAATTATTGTATTCTTTTGTGCCATTGAAAGATATCCTATTTCCATTACTTATAACAGAGGACAGACAAATGCAAAGAGAGTATAAATCTTAAAGAAGGAAGCAGGCTTTTAGATCTCTTGGTTGACAATGAAATATTACAGCATAATAGGTTATTTTGAATCTGAATTCTAAGAAGATAAAGTGAACCAAAGTTCAATCAAGAAATTCATTTTGGTTATATTTTTCGACTTTGATAATTTCTATAATGTAAGATATATTCATTTAAATTAGATTTGCATTTTTGGATTAACAGTATATGCATTCTTTAATCCTTACATTTATGCTATACTACTCTTGGATATTGTTAAAAGATCAGAGGATCTCTAAAATATCATAAGGTCAATTACATCCAATGGGCGTAATCTAGCAATCTTTTCATTTTTGGGGTTGATTGGTTTGTTAATTTATGCAATTATCGCATTTTCTAATTTTGAATCAATGTTTGATGATGAAAGTGGTGTTTATGGCTAAACATTCATTCTTGCTGTCACTTCAACAATCAATTTCGGATTGAGAAATGGTGGAGGTATAGGAGAATCATTGACCAAATATCCTGATGCTTATGATGACCCCACTTTATATTGGGGCAGATACTTCTTTGACTTCACTTTTTTCATCATTTTTAACATCCTTTTTATCCAAATCATATTTGGTATCATTTTGGATACTTTTGGTGAATTGAGAGATGAAAGATAGGCTTTGGTCAAAGAAATTGAAGGCAAATGCTTTATTTGTAGCTAAGATAAAAATGACATTGATACTAAGTAACATCTTCATTTATATTCATATTAGAGGTACAAAAGGATGGCATTACCATATATATCTGGAACACAGCGTTTACCATATGTTATATTACATAATTTATATTAAAAATAAGGATCCGAATGATTGTAACGCATTAGAAAAATATGTTAATAAATGTATTCAAGAAAAAGAGACTAAATTTTTCCCTTTTGGTAGAGCCCTTTAAATAGAATCATAGGAAGAAGATTAAGACTAAACAGAAAAATAATGAATCTTAATATTTATGCACCTAATTATATATTTATTTCTATATAGTTTCATTTTAACCTCCCTTATTTTCATTTAAAAATTCAGATTCATCACCTTATAAAAATACTTTGTTCATACTTTCCTTCAAACTTAGTTTTTGAAAAAATTGTATAAAAAAGATTTTCAATCAGAAAACATTTTGATTATTCTTTTGGGAGGAGTAAAACTTATTAGTTGCTTTGATAATCTATATGGCTTAAATTCTAAATCTGATGTAAATGAAAAATTCTTTATTTGATTAAAATTTAGTTTCAAAGTTTGATTAATTTAAATATATCAACAAAAATGTATTTCAATTTGTTAATTGTGATCATTCCTGTGTATTTTTTAGAATTCTTCAAGTTTATTCGTAGTATACCAACTATTCCATCACTACCTGTAGCTTTAATCAATCGCTTATAAATAAAGAAATAAGTTCCAATCTTGATATGATATTACTTAAATTGAATTAATTCAGCTATACCTCATTTATTAACTATATTAATCTATTCTAAAAAATTTGATATAATTAATTACTTCTTGATTGTTTTCAAAACAATTTCTAGTTCCTAAAGTCAAAGTCTAATAAATGATTTAAAATACATCATAGAATTATACCCTTCAGAAATTAATGGATTGACTTTAGATGTTCATGCAATGTAGGATTTTCTTATGAAATAGCCTGTAACTAAAAGGCATTGCTATAGTCTTATTAAGGTCCATATTTTGAAATTGCAAATAGTTCTTATTTAGATGAAAATAAGATCAGATTCTTTAGTATTACTTGGTGATTTGGGTCTCTTTCAACAGAAATAGAATTGAGATAAACAATAATGTGTGATTTCACAATTATTATATATATAATTATTTTTAAAATGGATGACAAGAAAAGAAGAAATGAAGATAGAAGACTTAAATTAGATGTGATATAATCATATGGCAGTTTATGTTCTGCAAAATTTAAAGATTGCATAAGTATTATAGAGGGTAGAAAGTCAATATATTAAATTATTAGATGAATAGAGGAGATTACTCTATCCAGTTGGTAAATTTATAGCTTAGAAATTTATTGATAAGCCAGACACTCAATTTATTCGATTATCTGACAATCTGGACATTGTTTCCTGTATGACTGTTGCTCCAAACAAGAGGTAAAAAAGCAGGTTTTAATTTTAATAGGACATTAGCAGTTGCAGAAAAAATGAAAAATGAAACAGTTCCTTAGTTAGTAATTTATAATTTGAAAGCCCATCCCAGTAAAATGGAAGCTGAGAAGAAACCATACAAATATTTAGATACTAAATCATCAACATTCATTAGTATGGCATTTTCACATACAGATTCAAGGTAATATTTAAAATTGAATCCCAATTAGATTTTTACTTTGTTTAACAGGTCCTCCAGACTATTTATTGATTTTTGTAGATTTGATTAGAATGAAACATTTAGCATTATCTGCAATAGGATAAGAGTTGACTAGAGTTTCAATATCTCCAAAAGATAATCATATGGTGGCTGTAAGTGGGAAAAACTACTTTAAAATCCTCAGAGTTCAAGAAAACTCCTTTATTTCATTAACTGATTAAATTAAAAGATTGGCTCCTATTTAGACATTTACAGACCATACATGGTTCGAAGAGAATAAAGTGATTTTGGCAAATGACAAGGCTGAAATTTTCATTATTCACGATAATGATGTTAGACAATATATAAATAATGCGTTTAATGATATCAGGGGTCCTGGAGTTTCTTCTTTAATAGCATTTTCGAAAGGATTTTTGGTAGGATCAGATAGTGGTCATTTTGCTCTATGGATTAGAGGAGATGATCATGATAAATAGAAGACAGAAGATGGTATTGAAGTTGTAATGGATTTACAATTCTTAAAGAAATGGAGATGCGAAAGAAAGAGTTAAGTTGTTAGTATGGACATAACAAAATAAGAAGATCTAGTTGCAGTAGCATTCTCAAATAATGATATCTGCACAATTGAAATGGGACAAGTATTGCCAAACTCAACTGAAGTATTGGAATCATATAAGAATAATGAGAAATTTTTAAAGAGAGAAGTTAAATTTGATTTTTTATTTAATGGGTTTCATAATTCCCCCATAACACATTTAGATGTCTGCTTATAAAGACCTTTAATAGTAACGGCAAGCAAATATGATAGTACAATTAGAATATGGAATTATGCTTATCCCAGATGTGAATTGGCTCGTAAATTTTATTTAGGAGACGATGGCAATTAGTAAGGTTTGGGAACAAAAGAAAATTAAAGTACAACCTAAGACATTTCACCTTTATGTTCTGTAGGTTTTCATCCCACAGGTTATTATTTGGCGGCAGGATTTTAGGATAAGTTACGTATTTTCCATGTTTTACACAGTGAATTGCGTGCTTATAAAGAAATGGCTGTGAAGTGTTGTACTTAAGTGAAATTTAGTCAAGGAGGCCATATGTTGGCAGTTGCATATCCAAGGGCTAAAAGCAATCATTATTATATTAATATTTATGATGCTTACACAATGGAATTCATGCACACTTTAAAAGGACACAGTAATCAAATAACTGATTTGATCTGGGGAATCAAAGATACCTTTTTGGCCAGTTGTGGATTGGATGGTAGTATCTTCGAATGGACACCCAATGATTGGTCTAGAAAGGATTATGTATATAATACAAATAAATATACATCATTGATTTATGATCCACCAATTGGAATGTTGATAGCTGCAGGAACAGAGAGTATTAAAGATAAGACAGAGCAAGATAAGATAGATACCAAATATATAGTTAGAGAATAGAGAATTGTTTAGAATGGAATAAGCACTGGCAAGGATCATCATTTCCACGATCTTGGCCAATAAAAATTAACCTAATTGGCTTATATTTAATCTCTTTATAATTAATTTGGAATTATTGGAGGAACAGAAAATGGCTAAATCAAAATATATTCCTATATATTCAATCAAATGGCTTTTGAAACAATGCCTGTCCATTAAGGAGAGATCACTAGAATTAAATGCAGTCCAGATGGAAGATATGTGTTCTCAACTGGATCTGATGGTGCCCTATTCATATATTAAGTGTCTGAAATTTCAAATGATGGTTAAATCTATGCTTCTAAGACTGGGGCTGAAGCCAAAGAGTAGATGGATGATATTGATAAAATTAATCCTAAGGCTGGAGTTGTAGATGAAAATTTAGCTGATGTTCTATTAGTCTCAAGAAATGAGATTGAAACCTATATTGCTGAAATGAAGAAACTCCATAATGATTTGTAAGATCTTGATTAGAAGACTGATTTCAAAGTTTAGGAGGAGAAAAGAAAAGTAGAAAAGGAGAAATTAGAAATAGAAAAGTAAATGAATAATGAAATTGCTGCCTGGGCTGCTCGTTATGATTAGTTGAAGGCTTAAAAGTCAGCTGCAGAAAAGGAGTCTGCTAATTTATTTAAAAATGTAGAAAATAACCATTTAAAAGCAGTTGAAGAATTAGAAAATTTATATGAAAGAAAGTTAGCATTTGAAAATGAGAAATATCTCTAATTGGAATAGGATTTGATGGAAGAAAGAAGAAGAAATCAAGCTTAAGCCAAGGAATTTGAATAGAAACATACATCATATATTGACGAATTGAAAGAAAAGTTTTATAAGAATTTCTAAATCACTGCTAAAGCTTTGGAGAATAACTAAAATCAAGCAGATTAATTGAAGGCTACATATGAAGAGATCTTAGCATAATAAGAAGAGGATCATGAATTTGAAATTAAAGATTTAAATGATAGATAGAAAAAAGAGATTGATAGACTTAAATGCTTACTTGCTGAAAAAGACTCGAAGTTTAAATAAGAGCAGAAATTAGTATAGGAATTAAGATTGGAAAATGAGAAGCTAGACAAAAGATTGTAAGAGAAGGAATAAGCTTATTAGTTACTAGAAAAGAATCTTAAGGAAGCTGAAACCAAAATTGATGTTTAATGTAAGGATTTAGAAGACAAGGATGATTAGTTAAAGAAAAAGGATAAAAAGATCTCAGAATACAAAGACAAAATTAATGTTTTACAAAAATCTAAACATGTTTTATCATTTAGAACTACAGAAATGAAGAAATCACTAGAACCTAAGGAAGCTTAAATTGAGAAATTGAAGGAAGAATTATTTAGATTGGAAAGTGAATTTGCAAAGTAATTAAAAATTAATAGTGAATTGAACTCTAAAATCAATGAAGAAAGCAGTAAAACTAATGCTCTCACTCATGATTTAAATTTATAAATTCAAACTACAAAAAAGAAGGAAAATATCATTTAGAATATTACCAGAGACATTCACAATTGTGTTCATTACATTGATGATAAAGTAATTTATATTCCTTAATTTAGGAATGGAAAAAAGAGATGACCAAATTGTATTAAAGATATGTGCTTCAATAAGAAATTAAGTAAAGTTCCAATGATCCTCGCTCTATTGAGGAAATGAATAGACACATCAATCATCTTGAGAAGAGTGCTATATAGATAAATTCGAGTACAGAAAAAATGATGGTTAGAAGAGAAAAAGAAATCTATAAAAGAACTAGTGAGAATTAATAATTAATCCATGAACTAAATGAAATTAGAAAATAATGTAAGGATTACGAAACTGAAAAATCAAATTTAAAGATTGAGAATGACAAATATAAAAAAGAAAATGAAAAGTTTAAATAGGAAATTAAAGTATTATAAACGAAGCTTGGCAAAAACATAGGAGAAGTATTCATATTCTTAAATATCCTTAGTAAAATGTGGAAATGATGAACGAAGATGTAATGCAATAATCTTAGTAACCCATATTACCTTCAGCTTTGAATATTAATAAACAAGGAAGTGCCTAGGCTAGACTATAATCATTGCCTCAAAAGAGTAATAAAGTCGGTAAGATCTTGAGAGGTCCCAATTTCGATAAATAAAAGTTATAACCATTTGAATTCCAAAAGAATGTAGAGTTATAGAATTAGTTGCAAATCGCCATCAATTAATTGCAAGCCAATGAGGCAATGATTAAAAACTTCAAAAAGATTCTTAAAGAAAAAGGCATTGAAGACCCTTATGCGGATGCGGAACAAGAATAAAGCTAATTTGGAAGACCTTTGAGCTCTATCTTTGGTAGTAGAGTTTGAACAACAAATTATTAAATATATATTTAATATGCAATAACCTTAAAATTCCTTTTTGGAGTACACAGAAGTTCAAAGCTATAAATTCTTATTTTTGAGAGACGTCAAAATTACTTTAGAAGTGGCTGCTGAAACTGAAATCATCCTTGATCATTTCTAAAATGACAAGACTATACAACAATTGGCTTTAAATAAAATGATCAATCAAATCAATAATTCTAATAAAATTCATTTGGAATTATAATCGGAAGTTTAACAAAAGGATGATAGTTTCAAATTAAAAGTATTGAACCTAAGAAAGGAAACAAGAGAATTATTCGATATTTTGATGGACTAATTTGATAATGATTAGGTGAGGGGTTTGCTGTATAAGTACACTGATCATAACCTAGAGGATACAGTCAATCCTTTTTGGCAATTAATAACTCAGGTTAAACTAAATGAGATACCAGAATAATAGATGAATTTCTTAAAAGCTATCAATAAAAAAGGGGAAACCTTAAGAACACTAAGTGGTCAAATTTATACTGAGTAATAAATCAAAAAATGCATTGATGAAAAAAAGGCATTCATAAAAGAATAGATAAAAACACAAATTAAGTGATTTTCACCAGATGAATTTATTATAAAAGTATACAAATATTATGATTAATTTCAAAAAATAAAATAAAAATAAAAACTTACTAAATGAATAGTTCCAATTTGCTTAGAATACCAAAACCTTAAATAACAATAAAATAGAGTGAATGGAGTAAACAATTAGAAAGGTGTAGATTAAATGCTCAAAATCCTATGAGCAAAAGCTTTTTCATGACTTAAAGCATGTTTGAATCTCAATAAATAAGCTTACACATATAAAGTCAAGCCTGATTAATCTTTGCACTCTGAGTTAAATATATATATTAGTAAATTATTATAATACGCATTCACCATAAATTTAAATGCTTTTCTTCGCATTATAATTGATGCTATTATATTGGTACATTGAGTTGCTTCAAGAATTAGATTTACACTTTTTTCCTCTGTTTCCCTAAAGCAATTCATAGTTTTGATAGCAGAAATATTGGATTTAAGAGTACTCGTTAAAGAATTTTAAGTTAACAATTACCTGCCATTTAAAACTTTAAATAATACCTATAAAAAAGGTGAACTGCAGAAATAAAAGGATTATTTTTAGGTGTCTGAGTTCTTCTGAATAATTTTGGCATGCTCATCCATTTTATGAGGGCTAAGTTAGACTTATATTTAATGTATAAACTTCACAAATTATTTGATCTAGTTACAGAATATACTAATTAAATCTGTTAAATGAAATATAATTTCTTTATTATTTATTATTCATCAATTCTATGCATATGTTGATATGAGAGTCTAAATTTAGATCAATTTAAAATTAATTGAAGAATATTGATAATTGGAATAATAGGCTAACTAAAATAGATCAATCATATTTTGAATAAAATAATTTTCGGAATTCAATGAATATAAATAAGAGTGGCATATCTTAAATGATTATAGGGTTTATTTTCAAAATATATAGAGAATAACTGATTATCAAACTAGAAAATATACTAAATTCTAAACAGATATACATCTTGAATATTGGGATTAGTAAATGAGATAGATAAAATAGTTTAAATAGTTTAAATATGCATAATAAATTCTATTTGTTTGATTTTTGTCCTTTTAAAGATAAAAGATCTTTTATTTGTGTAATAAGTTATTCTACTACTGCAGATCATAAAGAATCTGAAAGAATATATTAATTTGCTAGTAATTTTTTGAAAATACATTCTTCAAAGTATGACATTATTTTTTACTGATCTAATGTCTAGGAATCCAATTAATATAATATTTCTTAGTTCATTGTTTCAACATAGTTTAAGATATATAAGATTTGAAGAAATTGACTAAAGATATGCATTTTATCAATTCAATTAGTAGTTATCTTAAAAATGAATAAATTAATAGAATGGACTAAAGAAGACATTGATAAATGTGTTTAACATTCTAATTAGTTATGCATAATTTTTATAAAACTGATATGATTAACTTGGAATTAAATATAAATCTGAGAGGTGTAAAAAGTAGTTAAATTTATATTTTTGATTTAACATTAGATATAAACCAAATATGACATCATTTAGTTATGAATTTCAACGCATGCTTCTCAGTATTGCTTTTTAGAGTTACTGAAAGTATTTTAGAAATGGTTGATTCCAAATCTTATTCTAATAATCGAGATTTATTAAATACCGTCTGCATCTTCTAATTAGGAATTGGAACTCACTCCTTACAAATTGATTAATCTCAAAATTTGAATAGTTGAACATAACCTGAATTAAGAAGCCAATTGTTGATTTGCCCTAAAATATAGATATTTCTGTACAATCGAAACTGCATTTTTATTTATTAGGTAGGTTTAACGATTGATGAGGAATAGACAATAGTCTTAGCAAGGCTCAAAAATCCCCGCATATTAAATTTTAATATTTTTATATATTATTTGAGTTTTATAAGAGCATATTAATTAAAATGAATGATATTGTTTTAGGGGAAGATGAACAACTTGAACTGGATAGTGAATCCCATGATTCTAAATTGTTGCCTCAACCATAATAATATGTTGAAGAGAAAGTGGAAGATATAATTAAATAATAGCCTATATTTTTTGAATAAGAGATCCAATCAGGAAATTTCAATTTATTAATATTACACACTCCAGAAAATTTAGATGAATTAGATTCATCAGGATACGCATTAATTCATCATGCCATTTCATTTGAAAGATTGGATATTGTTAAATACTTGCTTTTAAAGGGTGCAAATCCTTTAACCAAATCCCAAATTTAATAAAGTTGCTTGATGATGTCTTGTCATTTTGGAAACCTGGAATTAGTTAGACTCTTTATTGATTTAGGAAATAAAATCAATGAGCAAGATAACTTAATATTTACACCTCTACTTTACGCAATTAAATGTAATTAATAATTGATTGCCCTCTATTTAATTGCTCTATAAGCCGATACGGATGTGAAGGATAATGCTGGCTGCACCATTATGCATTGGGCTGCCTATACAAATGATGTGTATATGCTCAAGTATTTTGAAGGGGATAAATCTTACAATCAATAGGATTCGAAGGGCAAAACTCCTTTAATCAGAGCAATCTCAAATTACTCTAATGATGCTGTTGAATATCTGCTTAGAACATATCCAGATATTATGCCAAATTATGAAACGGATTTGAAGACCTAAGCTATAAAGAAAATAGTAGAAAATATTCAATTAGAAGTATTCATAAAAACGCATAACACAAAATTAGTTCAATATATTATTGTGGGTGTATCCTATTTGATGATCGGGTTTCTTATTGCATGCAATTTTTTAAGATTAAAAAGTGATGATAGTTATGGTTATAGCATATCTTTAATCTCCTTAATTTTTACACTCTACAGCTTATTTTATTGCCTCATCTTTTTATCTAAGACTACCAACAGACAAGATGAAGGCAAAAAGATATCTAAAAATTTAGCACATCCGAAAATCAATTACGAATGCCATAACAATGATAATAGGGAACACAGACATCATATTTTGGAAGAGGATGAAATGTAAGATGATTTGGAAAATAGGGATTAATCAAATCTATCAGAATTATTGAGAGCTGTTAAGTTGCATTTTGAAAAAGATGAACAATTTATGAATTTTGATTTATCTAGGACTTGTCCTAAATGTAAAATCATCTAAAAAGTATAAGTTTATCACTGTGAACATTGCAATATCTGTGTAATTAATTTTATCATTTAAATAGGTCAAAGGATTTCAGTTTCACTCTATATACTTGAATAAATGCATTAATAACACTAATCATTTTTTTTATGTGGTCTTGCTGCTAACATACTTTATCACCTTTATAATTAATGTTTACTCTACTTTTTACACGATATCGAATGATCAAATAAGCATTACTTTGTTCTTTTTCATTCCTGCCTTTTCCAATAGTAGTATAATTGAATTTCTTGCATATTATGGAATGATTTTTGGAATATATCACACATCAATTAATTTAATAATTTAGGTAATTTGTTATTTCATTATTTAGGTGGTGTGTATCTGTTCCAATTTGACTGAACATGAGTTAATGAATTCTGAGTAATACAAATATCTTTACGAACTTGTATTAATTTAAGAATTTTACTATATGAAACTAAGAAAAATAGGAGATATTTTTGATAACATTAAGACTTATATTTGGAATCAATATAATGAACTAAGAATCTTATGATAAAATTTATTTTATGATTTCTATTTTATAAATTCAATGTAACAATTGTAATCGGAAATTCATTATTAAAATTTGCACAAAAAGACTATCTATTAAAAATACCTTAAAAATTCTTATTTTTTATATATCGATTAATAAAAGCCTCAATTATTTGTGCTAATTTTATGTTTGGTTAAACGATGATAGAATACAATAAATTATATATGTTATAAAATATAAAATAGCATAAAAATATTTCATTAAGATTTAGCACAACATTGATTATTATTAGTTGTAGGTTGCTATTACAACTATTTAAGTACATTATGATCTTGTTGAACAGGTTTTCTATTAGAAACCACTGTTTATTGTTCAAATTGTGATTGATTTACTATAAAAATTATTGAAATAAATTACCTTAGGATTGAGTTATAAGAAAAGAGTGATCAGCAGGTAATGCTAAACAAATCTATTCCATAGCTTCTTCAATTCCCTTACCTGTTTTAGCGCTTACTTCATAATAGAGAATATCCTTTTTCATCGCATAATCTCTGGCTTCCTATTAACTGATAACTCTTTCTGCATCTATCTTATTTCCTAAAAGGACAATCGCAGCTTCATTGCCCCTTGTTTATTTAACCTCATTAAACCATCTATCCAAACTTTCAAAAGAATGTCTAGCTAATCATATAAGAGATGTATTACATGTTACATCAAAAACAATTATTGCACATTACGCATCTCTTACATAACCAGGAATCAATGAATGAAATCTTTCTTGTCCTGCAGTATCCCATAAAAGAAGACGCATATTTTTTCCATCTATTGTGATATTTTTACCAATGAAATCTATTCCAACAGTAGGTTGAGATTTTGGATCGAATGTATTTTAAACGAACCTTTCAATTATACTGGTTTTGCCAACAAATGAATTTCCTAAAAATACAAGCTTTTATTTTTATCTTGCTTCTGATTGCATATATTATAATTTTTAGAATTAAATTTTGAAAAAAGCACTCAAAATTTTTATTAGAAAGAAATTTCATAAATAATAAGCATTCCTGATTTCTCTAATTTTTGATTAAAAACTTAAGTATGATAAGATATGATTAAGATACCTTATCAAAATTTGATTTATTCTAAAGGTCAAATAGCGAGTTTATATAAGTTCCAAATTCTGCATGTTTTTCTATGAATTTAAGAAAAATATTAAAAGAAGGTCTTAAATTTATAATATTTTAAATTCTATAAAAGAATATATTTTGATATTTATTTAGACGATGAATTTCATCCATCTATATTTTTGTATTGCAATTCCCCTAAAGATGTAGAATAAATATAGTTAACATTTTTATATCAGAAGAAAATCTTTAAGAAATACAAAATTCTAATAGACAGAAATTTAGGATTTTAAAACTAAAAATGTATTGCTCTAAGCCAGGATAATACATTCTAACGAAATCAATTGTTTTTTTATTTAAATTATAATGTAAAATTCACAAAAAGTCAATGATTAGATGAAATTTAATTCATTCATTCTCAAAAATCAAATTGATAATAGATGGTAATTTAAGAAGAAAAAGAAAAAAAGACCGCTCTCAAAAATTGCATTTGGATCCTCACAAGAGAGATAGAAAAATGGGAAATCACCTTAGCTGTTGGATTATTAAATAAATTATTTATCAGTCCTGCCTAATACAAGAAATGTGCTGATTTCCAAAAATGAAAGAACTCAAAGATCTGTAACAGAAATTTCTAAGTCTTGCCATTGTCCAGTTAATATCAGGCTTCCAACTTTAAACTAATAACATGTATAAGAAAATATCAAACCATGTCACTTTCAAGTAAAAGAATACACTCCTAAATTGTATGATGATCTGCCATATACTTCAGATCAATTAAAAGAATTCTTTAATTAGCTAACGTAAGATATTTATTTAGTTATTTTAGATCTAAACATAAAGTTAAAAAACCCGATTAATATTTTAATTTTTGAAAGTTTCACTAAAAGAGTCTACATCAGATCAGAATAATTACTATTGATTATTTTTAATTATTATGCTTAAAAAATTATGATTCCTAAAGATTTATTTAATTTAGATGACAATTGTTGGATTAATTTAGAGAGACAATTTCATTATATTTGAATTATTTATAGTATAAAAGAATGCAAAACTATATATCTAAGGAATAATACTACCTTAGAACACAATGTAAAAGGTTGAAAAATTCAATTCTATTATAAATTTGGAATTTAGTTAAAAAATGAATAATAAGATAAACTCATAATGATATACTTTTGTAAAACAAAATCAATCTTTTTCAGAACCAGAAGAGGCAGAGTCTTCTGAATTACTAGAATCGTCTTTTTTCTTTTTCTTTTTATCTTTCTTCTTATCCTTATTTTTTTGATTCTCTTTTTCTTTGGCATTCATGAGCATCAATTACTAGACTGCATCAGCTAGTTGAGCTGGTTTTTTAACGAAGCGATTAACACCCTTATTTAATTAGAGTTTAAATAAGGAAACTAAGTCGTCGTCTAAAAGTTTTACTAATTTGGGTGTAATTTCATCATCCTGATCTTGAAGGGATTAAAAGGCCTTTTAGGCTTCTAATGCTTTGTCAAGATCGGAGAGTTCTGGCTTTAGAATAGAGCAGTATTCATTTTCACTTGGTTTCATGTGTAATCCAAGTTTGGGTTTAGGTAAGTAATCAAAGAGTTTGATTTAATCAGAATTTAATAAAATCAATTTTAATTTATCGATTTCTTAAAGTTTTTTAATGATATAAGTAATATCTAGAGTGTGAGTGATTTTGCTCATTGAGAAATTAATAAGATCTCTCTTGCCTCCCTTTTTGCATTAGCAACAACCAAAGTAATCAAATAATTGCAAATCTAATTTGCTTTCTTATTCTTTGAAAAATTGAGTGATGTCACTAGAAATTTAATCTAATAATTTAGATTTTTATTGTTCTTCATGCTCTGCAACCTTGGACATTCTATTGAATTTTTCAAGTTGAACCGATTTGTTTAAGATTTCCTTGACTTTCGAACTACCCCGATGTTCAGGATGTATTTTATTGTCAAAGTCAAGTTCGAAATTGAACAATTCATTCAATAAAGCCACTCTGTATGATAGGTTATTGAAGGGCATGATGAACAATAAGGAACATAGAAAGATGATTTCCCAGAACCCTCCTATATCTCCCAAGAATTGATAGACTCTGGGATAGGAGCGTTAAGTAACCAGGGTTTTTTGATCAAGTGAGATGTTGATTTCGAAGACATGTTTATCAGAATCTTTATCTAGGATGGTTTCATAATAGTTAGAAATGGAAAGTATTGTCTCCTGGTATTGGTCTTGAGTAATGTATCCGTTGTCGGTTTGAGTTTGTTGTGGCTGGAGAATGATGTTTAACTTCTTGGCAAAGTTTGTGAGGGAGGTAAGACTGAATGTCTTGCCAATGAGGGAAGCAGGCGTTTTGAAATTGGATATGTCGGTGTTGGCTGATGTCATTTTGAATATGAATTGATCACTATCCAATATGTTTGGATATGTACATTAGGTACTAAGGTTAATTAAAAATATACATTGAAGTGCATTATTTAACTATGATTTATAATGATTTGTCTTTGGAGGATTCCAAACCTCCCTCAATAACGAGTGAACTAATGGAACTCCAGTCTATACAGTACCAGATTTGATCTGCCTTGTCGAAATAAGCATTCAAAGTGGGGTCATTGAATTGGAAATCGATGCATCTGGTCAAAGGGATTTCCTGGAAATTCGGACTATAAATAATTAATACTGATAATACCTGTCTATACCTCCCAGGGCTCCCTCCAGGATATAGGAATCCTAGAGATCATATCCCTTCTGAGCAATGGCGATGCTGAAATTTTAAGGTGTCAAATAAAACGCACTTTAATGCTCTTGGTATTGGGTATAAGTGATAACGCTTGGGTTATTTCTGACGATAAGTGATTCAAGTCCGCTGTAATAAACCAGAATTACAAGGCTCACTAGGACAGTTGTGAGAAAGACTCCTAAATATGTTCTATGGCCTTGTTCTTTCAGAAGCAATAAACTCACAGGTCTGGTGTAGACATTGAACTTTTTGAAGGCGTTGTTCAGAGATTATAGAGTTGGCATGAAAGTGAGTTAAAATAATTAATATCAAATATTACTCAAGAGCCATTAAGATTTTAATATCACTTATTCCATTTGTCTCTCCTATGTCATATGCAATTACACTTGTTTGGCCTATTGAATAACTCGCAATAGATTACCTTATATTTCTCATTGTATTCCTTTAACAAGAATAAAACACCACCGTTGATCATTTGAATATCTTGGACACTGATTGGATCGATCTGCCAAATGAAACTTTTTTTCTTTCTGTCGCAATTGAAGAATTGTTAATACATCAAAACAAAAACCAATTCCGTACCTCCTGACTCATATTCAAAACTATCATAATAATAATAATCTTCAAATTTATTATTCATGTTAATTAAAAATTGCATAATTTTAGCATCCTTAGCATTATAATTTTTATATAATTATTCCTATTAATATATTACCCTGATGTCTCTGGTCCTCTTATCATTTGCCTTGTCATCCCAATATTGAGCAGTTGCTTTGATGCCATCAGTTGTCTTACTCACAAAATCAAACACCCCAGCAAACGGTTTGATAAAGAACCCCGCCGTACCCTCTAGAACTCCAATAGTTAATCCTTTCATCCCCTTTCTCTTCGCCTAATTTACAGGCAAATCAAACACCCCTACAACAGCCCTGGTCACAGACACGTATAACAGTTTCCCTCCCAAATAGATTCCAGATACAATCTAATTAGGTTTAACAACTCTAAATTGTTCTCTCTCCTGTTTGTATTGTTTATCCAAACTGATATAAGCCAATCCACCACTAATACTACCTGCAATCTTGCTCATTGAATTCGATATTCCACTCACTGTGTTCTACACTAAACTTCCAGCTCCTTTAGCTATGCCAATCCCACCTTCTATAGGTCCCTTAATGAACCCTTCAATGGGTTTATCAAATAGATCATAAACTCCCCTTGCAATGTGCTTCACTAAACCAACAGGATTACCAAAGATTTCAATGGAACCTATCAATTTTAGAATGAGATTAAAAAGCATATCTTTATAATGAGTAGCCAACTTAGTTAGAATGGCATGAGAAGTATCAAATGAATTTTCTAAAAATATGCCTCCCAAAATTAAAGGCGCCTCATCGATATTTCCAATGACTATACCAATTGTCTTCAATATCTGCATCAACATATTGTATTGTAGATTGGTCTTTGCACTGCTGTAAAAGGTCAAATTAAAATTTAGAGGATAGATCTCAATCTTGTTGATATAGGTTGCTTATTAATCATTCAACTCGATCTTTAACTGCTGCCATTCTACTCTATTTAAAATGCCATAAGATCCTACTCCGTATTTATTCTAGACCTTATTCGATAGAGTCAAACTATTTGCTTAATGCAAGTTCTATTGCTCCTCTTAACTGATTGCATACTCAAAGTCAAACTACTTCAATTAATCGTCTACTCTCATATTGGATATGAATGACAATGTGATCTATTTATAAACAGAATAGAGTTATTCTAACATTTCAGAAGTCAATCTAATTGTTGTTGGTTGAAGACAAGCTCTTATATTTTTGATTAATGAAATCGATTTGACCTATGTGGATTGTTCGAGTATCAGAGATAAATGAGATCTATTAAACTCAAAGATCTCTTTGAATTTCGTAGGAGTAAAAATCACAGGGAACATCGTCTTACTGGATGTGTTATTATCGATGTTGATGTATTTGACTTTGAATTCAGATCTCCTACTCTGCGTTGTCTATAATAAGTTAAATTCTAGGCCTTTGAAATAGACATATATTAATTCCACTCTCTTTTTATAGAATTAGTCTATGAGTGATATGCCTACTTAATTTAAATTGATATCCAATTTCAGAATATTTGTGTCATGTTAATTTTATTAGTTCTGCACTTCCTATTAGAACTTTAATTTCCTGCTAGCACCTTCCCAAAGTGAAATAATATAAAATTTGTATTGTTCTGATTCATTCAATACACTTGAAATGACATACTCTTACACAGCCTCAGCCTCTTCAAGATTGATAAAAATGGGATTTACTCTATAATGTGTACTAAGTTCCCCTTCAAATTTGAGTTGTATTACTAGATCCCTTCTTTCACAGGGATATTCCCAAGAGAATGCACATTGCTAGTTGTTATTTATATACAACTTGTACTCATTGAATTAATAACGATGACTATACTTTTCGTCTGAACAGCAATATTGATAACAAATCAATGTCACTAATTCCAAATTATTAACTATTACATAAGGAGGATCCACCTGGTTGATGTTTACTATTTATGACTATGATTATTAAATCATAGAGCTTCTTTGTGATTAATCATAGATCGAATTCTAGGTGACAATCGATTTGCATTCTAAAATAATCAGATATACTATCTAGTTGTCTCTTTTAGTTATACAATTGAAGTGCTTGATAGTTTATAAATTGTTTGCAGCTCTAATGGTAAAACATTAGAACCCGTTGCCATTGGGATCAATAGGATTGGTAGGTTGCCATTCAATAAATCCATCTTGATAATGAATAGAAATATATTAGTAACGTAGATTATACCAAACCAGAGGTTGTCTATCCATCGACTTGATCTCCAAGTATTAATTGCTTGATTCTTACAACACATGAATAGTGTTTTGAGTTTGATTAACTATGATAAATCTTGGAGAAATAGTTAATACCTTGGTTACTAAGGGTTTCTATTTGTCTACACACATTAAAGATATATTATAGCCTACTTCTATAATTTAATTTTATTCATTTTAAATGCGCACTGTTTGATTTCCTGTGTAATTCAAATTTAGAGTTTCAGAAAACTGTGTATAGTTCTCACTGCTTGAAAATGCTAGATATTACTAATCGTTGAATAGAGTAATGTTATGGGTATCATTCTGATCATTCTCCTCCAAATCCTTCATAGGCTAACCAGCTATTATGGATGGATTAGTCTTCTTTATGTCTGTCACTCCATAACTATAAACTTTAAAGGGGATTTCATTTACTATCATTTATTGGCAATAGATATAAAATACATTCTTGATCTGATCAATCAACACATATCCATTTGTATTTCCAAAATAATCACATAGTTGGATGTTGTCAACTTGGAAAGGACCAAATTTAGCATGATACAACATATGAATTCCTGAAATCTAGAAAAAGGGCAGTTTTATTGTGATTGCCAATCTCCCTTTGGATGAAATTGTATGTATTAATTTTTACTCCTATTTCATAATCTGTCCCTTCTCTTTCTGATGCAGGTGTTCATATTGGTATTTGTCTAAATGTTTAAGTGTTACATTGGTCAGATTAGATTACTCATTATCTATTGGCTGTTATTGTATTATGATAGAATCGGTTAATAAGTCTTGTTCAGAATCACCATACAACTCATATGAAATTGGCATAGGTAGACAATTCTTAATTTGAAATGGGGATTCCAAATACACCAGAGTTTAATTCACATTTCTTTTAGAACATCTAATAATTGTATAATAGTCATTATGCTGTTGCTCGTATCTCTTTTCGATATTATCTGATAAATATCTTAAATTGATATAATTGCTATATTTTGGATGTCCTGAGAATTTAAAGTTGAAATACTATCTAGTTCGGTCAATGGGCACACTAAAGGCTCTATAAGGTTCAATTTGTGCTTGATAAATATTTTGCTCTTGTACTCCTTCCAAATCGAACAATTGCAAATCAATGATCATATTGGTTTAATTGAAGATAATGGTTTCAGAAGATATCAAGAGCAACTTTCTGGTGTCTTTGGGCACTACTTCCACGAACAACATGAATATCTTATCAGTATTCCTATTAAACGGTTTGATTGGACATCTGGTTACCTTGATGCAGTCTAAATCGATGGATTTCATGGGTTCGAATTAGTATTTGTTATGGATGACCTTGATGGTCACTAATCTTTGTTATTATTATTGCAAATCATCTCTTTCTCTTCCAAACATTTAATCAAAATCAGCATCGATTTCGTAATTGATAGATGAATTAGATTACAATATGTATTTCTTATTGATATTAGTAGTATCACTAATTTCAAGTATGAATCCAGTTTCATTTCTAATGGTGTAAGGAGAAACATAATCGACATTATCGACTCTTTCATCTTGGAATATTGATTCCTGTAATTTTTATTTAGGCTATTACAGAGTTTGTAATGACTTATCTAATTAAATACTGAAAGATTTCTCCAATTATTTATCGAATTGCTCTAAAGGTAACTATTTCAACTTTTTATTTTCCTCCATCTCCTATTTCCAAGATATAAAAGTCTTATGAAACACACTGATCATCTGTGCGGATAAATTGATATTCATGGTTTACTATTCCTGAGTCATTTCTAAGAAGATGATACTCTGAGGTTCTCCTTTGGGATTTAAAGAGACATCAACTGAAAAATTACAACTCTCCAGAATAGGTTCCCAAACTGCAATTTTGGGATTGTAAAATGAACTACTTAATTTGATTACAGTAGAGAATATTGACTTCGTATTGACTTTTTAAAACTATAACTGAGTCTCTGACAATGTCAAATCAAATACTGGGACATATGCTTCTCCTGCGTCATTTATCACAACAATTTGTAATCCACTAATGATTGCATCGTATAAGTTGTTGATTGGCTATTCCTAATTCACAACCTACTCTTATTAATAGATAGGTTCACGAATAACTTCCTATTTGCTGGATTTCAATTTATCTGAGATACTCATTATTAATAGCAAATCCTGATATGAGAATTTGCATATTGTTTTGTCTATGTGAAATGAGAACTTATTGTGATAATAGATGAATTGCTTACTGTATTCGACTTGTAACTCATTTTTTAGACAGAAGAATAATGAGAATGGCAAAATGATATGTCTCTTTCTCACTTGTTTCAGATCATAATTGATGTAATCCACAAATTTACATTTAAACAATTCCAAATTCTTAAGATTTACCTTATGCTCAAATGCATCTCCGATCACCTCCACTAACTTTTTATCCAATTAGTCATTTTTCAGATTTATAATTATTTGTTCTGGATGCAAGAATCTACTTCTATTCCAAACATACGAAATATCACCCTTTGTTCCAAGGATATAATTATTATCCAACCCCTACAAACACAAACTTGAATTTAGGATTTCAACTATCAATTTAATACTTGGCATCTCTCCGAATTCCGTCTGAATGGGCCAACACTACTACTCCAATCTACTCCACAAACCCACATTTACAAACACTGTTGGCTCAACTATCATTCTAACATTTCTTAATACTATGTGACATTCCTTATCGGAACTAGGCTTCTGAATATGGAATAGCATTTGGAACTAAGACTACTCTTTATTGAATTCTTAATCGAATATGTACTTATTGAATTCTGATCTCTATTTTGTTGGTTAATACCCTTTAATTAATTGATTGACTTGGAAGAGTTTCTATTGATCTGGTATCAAATTCAACTCTCCCACAAACATGAATTCATTATTTTAATCATCATAGTTATACATACTGATCAATTGACTGAATAGATTCAGATCAATGTGTTTCTCCTTTAGCCACTCTAATCTCATTTACTTCATATTCACTTACACCAATGGCTATTCAGACATTTTACTAAGAGCAAAAATTGAGATATCTTCAAAATCCAACCAAAACGATATTGGAGCTGGCTCAAAAGAACGACTCACTTCAAAATCATGAATGTAGAGTTTATCCTTTAAATCATCATTTGTAAAGTTATGAAAAATCATTTTGCATATCTCCAAGTATTCTTTTCTGTATAATTTCAAAATAGTTGGGGACATACATGATCTAATTCTGATACTCCTATCCATTTTCACGTTATCGTACAACTCATTTATTTCAAAGTAATGCAAAGCTCTTTCGAAGGATAAATTAAATTCAAACAGAGTGCTGACTTGATTGATCCCATTCTCCTAATATTGAAGTTACATATTATGTCCTTCTATGCAATAAGCTTCACTCCAGGCCTTTATAATTCTGCCATCAGGCATCCATTATTCAAGTGACTGTATTAATGAAATACCCCCTGGTTACAATAATCTACTCATGTCTATATACTATTTATTATACACTTCCACCACCTCGCAATCCAATTAAAAATATTCAGAGAAATGGGGCCATCCCTTGATTATTGCCAATGGCTTATTAATTATAATTCTTAAGTCAATGAAGGTTGGACAAATGAATTTGGATTAAATTAACTCGATGTCTCCCCACACTCTTTTGGCCTTTAACCTCGTATTATTCTTTCTTTTCTATTCAATAAACTCAGTATTCATTGTTAAAGCATCCGGTTCTCTTATCAAAGAAACTATTTAGTTTATTATATAATCAATCTATCTCATTAATGGCTGATGTTGATAGATTGCAAAAACAGGATTAATTTCAATTAATAAAAACGCATTGGTTCTTTCTTGATTTGCTATGATTATTTCATCGTATCCACTGAATCGAAATCTGACTGCCCATTCATCATATACATCTCTCTTTCCCACTAACTTCTATGGCTATATCAAATGGAACTCTTGATTACTATCTATTGTAAAGGGGTAATTAGTCATATCATACAAACTTATATCTTTCAGTTGAGTGTCCAAATAATTACTAAATTACAATTTCTTAAAAGTAAACTTAACTTCATCTAAATCACACTTAAAAAGTAAGCAATGACTGGTTCTATGAAAGAAATTAATTGAGATGAAATTGATAGAAGTCTCCAACTCCATAAGCGTATCTTTGCTGCTTTTTATTTGATATTATGACAAGATCTCCTCCTCAACCCATTGATAATCATTTAAGAAATTCTAATGGTCAATCAAAGTATTAAACTTATGCTTCACTTTCAAATTTGATTAACCGTATCTTTAACACTTGTTAAATGCTCTTTTTAATCCATCTATTAGCTTGTTTCGTTTAACTTCCTCGTGATCGCAATTCTTGCCCCTTTTTAATTGATCTGCCTCGAAATCTCTTACTCCTGCAAAATACCACTTTCTAGATTTCCTATCTGATATTATTTATGATAATTATCTAAGCTTTAAAAAAGTATCAGGTTTCCAATTTATTTATACTTAATCTACATTTATTAGTTGTTTCTTTCCAGCAATATCTATTCTCAATGAAGGCTGATTTTCAATCTTATTACTCAATATGATCAAATCCTAGAACTAAGGATTTTGATAATCAAATATCCAATCTTAAATGGATAAATTTTCAACCTAAATTACTTGCTGGATTTGCTGCTATTTAAGGGTTTAGAAACTTAAATTATTCAATTTGAACAAAAATAAAAGGTGCTCTTGATAAACACTTGGATAATTATTTTCCTTATATAATTTCACTTGTATTTTCTTGATTTATATATCGATTTACATCTTGTCATTTTATTTAGCCTTTATCTATTCCTCTTATTTCTATTTAATTTCCTCATATGATTGGTATTATTCTATTTATAGTTTTATTTTATTAATCCAATCGCTTAATTCAACTTGATTCTCACAAGCGAATATATATTCTCCTTACTTATTTATTATTTTAAAGGAATGTAACTAATCATCTACTTGTAACGATTCTAAAGTTGAATTAAATAAACTTAATTATGAATTCGCCATTAAAATTTTCTCTTAATCATAAAAATACAAATCAAAGTTACTTAACACAACATACTAAGAAGTCCATGTCTTAATGAGTTGTCCTTGTCTCTTCAAATACCCATCCTTGACTTTATACTTTAATATAAGCTACTTCTCTAATTGCAATTATTATAATCTTTAATCTTCAGATAATGTAGGATAGATAGTTTCAGGTAAATAAATTAAATGTTTATATACTTTTTCATTTATCATAATGTTTATGGGTTCGAGTTTCCCGAGAATTATTATTAATGGTTTATTTTGCTTAAGAATTAGTTCATTGTGGATACTCTTCAATCTTTATACTAAAACTACTAGATTATAGTCATTCAAGATCTGAAAGATTTGATTTCCGAATCTCTCTGGATAATAGAAGAATTTGAATTTGCTTATAGAGATCTCAAAATTTTCATACAAATCTTATTGATTAGAGGGCTTAGTACGAATGTGAAAGCTATCCATCTTCACTAACCAAAACTCATTACTATTAATAGATAGTTCCAAAATGGGTTCCAAAATCTTAGCATCAATTTTCAATTGTATATTTGATTACAAAATATTTTACAAAGATGACTCCGTTGAGTCTTGTATTTTCTCTATTTGATTCCATGTTGCAGTTTTCAATCTCTGCTCTACATAGTCTCCTTTCTTTACTTCTGTAATTTCCCTAATAATCCTAATTATACAAGGGTTGTAATTTATTCTTAAACTTTACATTAGAAATCGAAAATCAAGTCTACAAACCTTGCTGGTAGTTGTTTTTGTTAGGGATACTTTAATAAACTCATTAGTTTCTGAAGTGGGCTAACAAATTTCTTCAATTTGCCTATTTTTTACCAATTACAGACTGACTTTCTTAACGATCATGGAAAATGAAAAATCCTTGTTCTCAAATTAAGCCCAATCTATATCTATCTATTCTAATTATTTAATTATCCCTTCATCCTATAATGTGTTGTTGTCTTTAACTAATTAGATATGAGCCTTCTTCAATTTAGCAATAAATTTCAATTTCAATGATTCAGAAGGCCTGCACACTAAACTAGTTTCTTCATTGTCTATAAAATCTTCCAACTGTTTTAATTCAGAATCAGTAACCTCCTCCTATGTTTATCCTCCCAAAAAACTAAACCAACCCTTCTTAGATTTTTATCTTTGATATTCTTACACCTTTAAGTCTAATAAATATTTTTTTTATGCTATTGCACTCCAAGATTCTAACGTTTTAAATGGTACCACTCTAATTATGTTTTTAAATTGTAAGATTTGATCCTCCTCAGATAATTATTCAACTTCTTTCATATCATTTTTCAAAAACAAAAAGAAGAGATCACAAAATGTTTGTTAATGGATATTTACATCTAATTACATTAACTCTTGTTTCTAAGACCATACTCTACTATTATAATTGGAAATTAATTCCAAAAATGAAATCATCTGAATCAATTGAGAATGCTTCAAATTTAGATTAATCTCTTCCAATTACATATCTAATAAATAGTGAGCTTTCTCAAATCTTTCCTTGTGATTTATTACCATTTTGCATTAAGCACTTATTTAAATAACCTAATCAAATATTTTAAGTTATTCTTATGGAACATACTAAGATATAAAAATTGTCTCGTTGGCATTCCAATAGAGTTATAACTATTACAGATCTATTAATTTATTCCTGGGCACAAACTTTGTATCCTTATCACCTCTATCAACAAAGGCTACTACAAACTATTCATTAGTTGTCAATGCTGTCAGAGAATCCATCTTTATTCCGAATGAATAGTTCTGATCTTCAAAACGAAAATGTATACTTTTTAACGAAACCTAAAGATTGTCAATCACCTTGAGTGTTAATTTCTCGAAATAACTAGAATTTTCCCCTGGCTCCTTCTTTTTAAGGGAAATGCTTGACCTAGCCTTCTCCAATAATTTACTAAATTTCCTTTTTATTTATATGGAATCATCAATATTCCATCTTTATTAAGGCAAGGGATTAAAGACAATTAAAATATTTTCTAATACTACCTCCACAGGTGCAGATGATAGTTTATTCCATGGTATTTTCAATATCAACCTACCTATAGAGCTGAATTTCAATTCTAATGGTAACTCCAAATCTGCCAAGATTTCTTGCTTCAATGCTACATTTTCTATCACAATATTTCCACTCCAAATTCCTAATTGCAAATTGGTCTGGTCGAACCCTGTGATAAACTTACCGAAATACGTCAATAAAATTCTCTAAAGAATTTTTTCAAACATTATTAAAATTATGTAAACTAAACCCCACTTGAGCATAACTGTAAAGCCTACAAAACTACCTCGAGACCACGATGAATTAAAAAGGAAATGCTTAATAAAATCCTTATATCCTTATGCCATTATTTCAATTACGAGCTTAAAGTTCTAAACAACGACAATAAAACAAATTAATCAAAGTTTGCATCTTGGAATGAAACATTTTAATTTGCATATATCCAACAAATCTAAACTTAAAAGTTGCTGCTTTTGATGCGGACTTGCTGAAAAAAAGAATTCTGGGGAACGAATTGAAGAATGACTACTGATGGATAAAATGCAAAGACTGTTCCTGAAAGGTTAATTTAGATTCCTAAATACAAAAATTCAAATGATATGGGATCACTAGAATTGGAATTCGATTTTGTTAGAAAGTAACATTTAGTTGCTAAGAAAAATAAGAGCGAACCAGATTAGATTTTTCTAATGATGGTTCCATCTAATTTATATTAAAACTCAAATAATCTTAAGATGGTAAGAATGATTTTTAAACTGTATGCATAAGAGGATAATTGTCATAGCGGAAAAAATGGATACAATTAATAGAAGATGCAGAATATATTTATATATAATTTTTGTAAAATACTGGGAGGATAAAAGGTTGTAGACCGTGATAGAAGGGGCTCTAAATGAAGTTGTGGAAAAAAATCCTAAAGATTAAATTTGATTATTTTGCTGATTGTTTATTAAAATTTAAGTGATAATGACAAGTATTTCGTATAATGCAAAAAAATTAAGGCCATTCAAAACTTAAAGAGATGCTTTGCTCAATGATCTTAAAAAATAAATACAGGAATACCAAGAAGAAGAAAAGTTAAATGATCAATATTTTGATGAGATTGGAAGAGCAGAAAAAGTATTTTTTTTTTCAAATTTATTTAGGAATATGATGCTCTTTTAAAATAACTTGAGCATTATCGGAAATAACATTAGGATAAAACTTAAGGTGCTGTGACATAAGAATCTTAGGGCATAGATGCTAAATTAGAGCACGAAGTAACATAAACGCTCAAATTATTTCTTTTAAATATTAGCAAAAAAGAAACATTGGAAGCGATCCAAGAAAAAGAAATAGCAAAAAGATTATGTAGGATTCAAACTCTACAAATAACTCTCAATCCAAAACAAGAAGAAGATAATGCAAAAGTTGATGAAGAAGAGTTAGATAATGGGTATTATGTCACACTACGAAACTAATTCAACTCTGTTTAGGTCAAAGTGCCAGGTACAATAAAGACCTTCAGAGAATTGAAGCAAATTGTTAAATCCTGCTTCATGGCTCAAGATAACGAAATATTTTATACAGATTAGATGGGCAATTTATTGCAATTTGAAATGAATGTACTAAATGAATTATATCCTCCAATTTATGAATTACTCAGGAACTATGAACCTACTGTTGGGGTTCTAATTATCAAACAAAAAAAGAACAAGGAAGATAGAAACAATATGTCTCAAATCGAAGAGGTTTTATTCACAGAAGCATACCCTGATGGATTAACGAAGGGCTTTAGATAAACTAGAAGATTGGAAAGTAAAATCGATTGGTCAGTGTATCTAGGGTATTTAAACAAAGTTAAATATTTTTTTGAATCTTGTCTCTTTATACTTTTACTGTTTTTATTTATCTTTACAGAAATCAACCAAATCAAGTTCGTTACTAATACTCAAATACTAGCTTCTTTCTAAAATTCATATCCTATTCAAAGATCTTACCAATAACCTGTATTCAATTTATCAACTCTAATAAACCTAACTCTAGCAGAAGATAATGATATTCACAATTTTTACAATTATCCTTTAAAATCTGGATTGCTAATTTAAAAATTAATATAGGAAGAAAATTTAGATGATTGCCATATTCTGAATTCAAATCAAAAATAGATGTTTTTAACAAAAAATTAAAGCTGCCTAAATTTTAATGAATTATTTTTAGATGATTTAGAAGGTGAATATACTCAAACTGAATTTGATCCATCTAAATATGATAGCTACTATGGAGGATATGTTTGGGAGCTTAATCTCACAAATTAAAATAGTTTCTAAAATAGTATTGAATCGATTAAATCTTAAGAGTGGTTAAAGTACAATATTAAATAATCTTAATTTATTTTAAATTATTTTAATAGTCCGAGTTAGAGATTAATATAAGCAACTATTACAACTCTATACTTATTTAATGATGTACAATAAATACTTAATTTAGGAATTACTCAATTACAACACTATGTAAACTCAAGCATTTGATTTAAATTCTAAAACAGATCAAGAAGTTCTTGCTCATAATATGATGTTCTATATAGCTATTCTTTTACTTATTCCTTCGTTTTTTGGTATTGAACTTAGTTATAATTATCAGACTTTTTTGGGTTTTATTTCATTGGCACATAGAATAGTTTAGTCTTAATATATTAAAAATATATAGAACTGTTAAACAGAAGAAAAAAGATGCAATCCAAAAAAAGGGAGTTAGCACCACAAGAAGAGAGAGAGTTTCAATAAAAACAATTAATTGTAAGTGATTTTTTCATCTTTAATCTAAAAGTGCTTTATGTAGTTATTAAAATTCCACTGATTTTCGATATTATTTGTAAGTGAAATTATATCTATATAGATATGCTCAGCAATGTTAGCATATTAATAAGAAGCACAATATCGAAAGCATATCAAGATTAGTTAGATTTAATTGATGTTGGATCGAATTCATATTAAGATGTCTCAAAGTTAATAGTTCCTCTTTATACAACAAGAATTTATGATGGGATTCAAATGTTGTTCTTAATGATAGCTATTAATAGATTCCTAGGTAATTGGAGTCCTTATCTAAAGTGTTATGGATTGGTTATAATTAGGGTAAATGTTGAATTGATTATTTTAGTTTAATAAGGAGTCTTGGTTCTTACTTTTAGTGCTGATATTTATCATTAGCATATGCGCTATGTCATGGAGCATTACCTTATAAGGGAAGTTAGTAAATCATGACAACTTCTTTTATTCATTTCTTGGTTTATTGAGATGCACTCTTAAGTATGGAATGCATAATGATATAGCAGAATAAGGATTTGATAATAATTATGTTAAGGATGTAAGTTATTCTTTCGATACAAGATATGTATTTAGATTATTAAATTTAGATTCAATATGTCATTGTTATGGTACTTTCTATGATTATGGTACCAATATTTATTTCTTTGATGACATAATAAGTACATAATACAAAAGAAGAAGCCAAACAAAAGATGATGGATTATAAAAAATGAATTGTTGTTTTAAATGCTAATGTACTTGTATTGATAATAAAAATGTCATTTTTTCTTTGATTCAATTTTTTTGACGTAGAATTCTAACTCCTTTCCTTCAAGAATGTATCCATCAGCTCTACCTGATTATCCTGGTCTAGATGTGACTCTCACTAACAGTCTTTGATTTTAGAATTGTTCTGCTACTAAATTATCAATAACTCTCTCTTTTATTCTTTGGTCTAATTTCTTTTGTAAGGATCTTGATTTCTTGACTTCTGCTTAAGCTGGTTGATCCTTATGGTTATTTTCAAAATTCTTACTTTCTTTTAACCCTTTTTAGCACCCAAATCAATATTGTATTTCTTCAAATACCATTATTTGAATGGTGTAGCGTCAACTTACACAATAGCACCTCTAGTAAGTGTTTTGGTTCTGACTAATTCATTATTTGATGGATGATAAACAACTTCAACAATCTTTGCTTTTTTTGCAACACCTTCACTAGCCCAAGAAAAATTGCCATCTGATAATCTAAGTGCTCTGAATTTAAAGTTTCCTCCTCTGACTCTCAATCTTCTAACTCTCTTTTCACCAGATACTAATTTAGTCATAGCAGCTTGTCTTCCTTTCTCGAATGCTCTCTTCTTCTTATGGATTGGCATACGTCCTCCTGTAAGTCTTCTCTTGTGTCTGCTATCTCTTGAAATACCCATGAATAATAAAAAAAGATTTTATTTAATTTCAAATAACCACACAATTATGTTTATTTTTAATTATATTGATAACTATAATTAAGCATTTTCCATTTATTACAACTGAAATTGAAGAAAAAAATTAAGATAATCCATGATATTTATCCATAATTTATCTTGATTGTTTCTGTTAACTTAATGTTTATAATCATTTAAGTTTAATTGATCATAGAAAAAATAAATAAATGTTATATTATTTTTATTAAATCATATTAATGTTATTAAATTGTAGATTAGAAAATCTAGGTTTGAAAATACATATGTATAATTTTTTTGGTCCCTAAGTTATTAATTTATAGTGAGTATTTTTTAAACAAATCTTTTGATTATGTTGTTAATTCATTATTCAAAGTATCTAAAAAAATAATAAAAATAATATGAATATGAATAATATTATTTATTCCATGTTCCGAACATGTAATATTTTTTCTAAAAATTTAGATTAAAAAAATTCAAATATTGTAATTAAATAAAATCCTTTCTAATTAGAATAATCTTATTGGATAGACTTTCAATCAATACTCAATTTTATAAGTAAGTATAGAAAATGAATTACTTGTTAGCAATTGCTATTATCGATTAGCAATAGTTATAAATTAAGAGTTAAATAAGTAATATAAAATTAAAAAAATCAAAAAATAAAATTTTTAGTTTATAATTTCACACTATTTTTAATTCAAAAATAATCAAAATATCAAGTTTAAACAATATATTTAAAGTAAAATAAATTAAGGATTTATAACGAGAAAAAAATTTAAAGGAAAAAATGATGTAAGTATTATAAAAAGATAAAAATTTTAAAATTATATATATGAAATACATTCCTTTAACATAACATTTTGAAACTGTGGCCGCCCTCTATGAAAAATGTGCTACTATGTCTGAGTAATTGGAAGCACTTCAAAAATAAACTAATCCATCGAATGGATAGTTGGAAAGTGAAGATACATAATTTCCTTTAAAAAATTCTCCAAAACATAGTGAAAAATCAAAGAAAACATAGCAAAAAAAGAAAGCAGGAACCATTCAAATTGAAGATGGGAATGATAAAATGATTGAAGAAAATTAAAAACCTTAAAAAACTGATAATAAAATTAAAAAAAAATAAATTTAAAAGTAACAAACATAAAAGGTCTAAATTGCTTGTGATCATTGCAATAAAACCTTTGAAACCCAAAAAATTTATAATAAACATATCTATTAATTGAAATATAGAGCAAAATATCTCAAAAGGAAGCAAAAGCAACAAATGAAAGATGCTATTTAAATAGAACAGCCCATAACTAAAGGAAAAAAGGATAGTAATATCAATAAAAAGACAAGATTTTCTATTGAATTGAGCCTTTGACATTTAAGCAATTAAAAAATAATAATAAATTTTATAATTAGCTAACATTTATTTATTTATTTTACTTCTTAAATTTTATAATTGAGAAAATAAATATTTTTTTTGATTAAAATTAATATAATTAAAATAAATGTCAGAAATTTAATAATAATAAGTCCATAGCTCCAAATTAGATCAGGAATCAGCTACTAATGCTAAAAATCATTTGGTTTTAGTTAATGTAATTAGATTCTTAAATTTTTAGAATATTACTGAACTGTCTAATGAATTGTTATAAAGCTATAAACATGAGATTGATCAATTAAAATAGGAGTTACATTTGATGAAATAGAGAATAACAAATAATAACGAAGAAATTAAGAATACAACATAGCCTACTCTTGATGCTATGCTAAGAGATTTAAGACAAGTATCAAATAACAATGATATAGGCAATAAATACCTAAAAAGATGAGAATTCTAAATTGTAAAGTTAAATAACTGAATTAAAAAAAGAAAAAAGCTAAATTTAGCAGTTAATTCTAGCAGCAACCTAAAAAGTAGCAGAACTCGAACATTAAGTAGGAAACTATACGTCATCATGATTTTATTATTATGCACATTCACAATCATTCAATTTGTCGTTTAAGAATGAATTTTAATCAGGCTTCATCAATAAAAAACACATCATTTGCATCTTATTTTTCTAAAAAATTATTCTAATTTTCTAAATAGGTTACAAAGGATTTCATGGCGCTAATGATATTCAATAAAAAGATGGCAATAATAATCTTCACTAAATAGTGTAGATAATGAGTTGATACAATCAAAGGATAGCTTGATTAGTAAATATTTATATAAATTGGAGGAATAAAATGATAAAAATTGTAAATATTCTCAATTAATTTATTCTATCTTTTTAATTATTTGTCATAACTAAATTATTGTATAAATATATTTGTTATAAATCACCAAAAAAGCTCAGAGTAATTTTTTTTTTATAATAACTCCTAATACTAATGATGCTGTAATCGCTGCCAAATAACTATATTTAAAAGAAAAGCCTTGTTTTTATTATATCTCCGTTTATTGATTCTATGGATTTTGATTAATCTCTTGTGTGAAAGATACGTCTTTTTTTAGCACAAATTATTACTTTATTCAATTTCGTCTTATTCTTTATTAGAAATATCAATTTATTTCTATGCAGTTGTTACACTTTTAATAAATTCAATTGGATCAAATTTAGGTCCTTGGTCTTGCTTTCCTCTATGTAATAGTTGCTTCAATTCTTCCTGATAGACCTATAATTTTTCTAGCGTTTCTTCTGTTTTTAGATTGAGTTATTTCACGCAATTGATATATTTTATTTACTACTCCGATTAACCTTCTAAGTGTTGGCACTCTAAAATAATAGTAAATGCAAAACCCCTGGTTAAATCATCATTTTCATCTTTGAAACCCTCGATTTATTGAGCAAGGATTTGATTTTATTGATGATATTCATGGCATTGTTAAAATAACATCATAAAGTTCTCTTTTTGATTCTCATATCAATATATATTATTATATAAAATACATTTGCTCTTGTTCAGCAGCTAGCTTTAATTCTATCTATAACTACATTTCCCTTTATTTTTAAATCTATATTTCATTTTCAATTTACTAGAGTAATTGCTTTTCCTGCTCTAAATGGTTGAATTATTCGGAGATATATTCGTTTAAGGTTTCCTTGAGATGAAAATAAATATACTTCTTCTTTTTTCAATTATTCCAACTACTTTACTTATTCTTGATAATACTCTTGCTTTTATTATAACTCCTCTTCTTCCTCTCTTTCTCCCTCTATCATCCTGCCAATTTCATTTGATAATTCTTAATATTGCTATTATTTTAACAATTATTCACATTATTCAACTTAAAATTTCATTAATTATTTTAATATAATTTTGATCAAAATTGTAAGATCAATATTGTGACTCATTTCAATAATAAATGGAACGTTCACATCCTTTTGAGATTGCTTGCAAGTATGTTTTTTATTTTGTTTTATTTTTATCTTATTCTTTTCCAGCCCATTGCACAATCATTGGATATTGTCCTGGTCCAGGTAATAGAATTTATTTAGATTTACTTTTCTTTGGGTCTTTGAATCTAATATCCTTTCCAAAAGTCTATTACAAATTATAATAATAATTACATTCCTATCTAATTTATCCTTTCGTTTTGTTAAAGCTTATAATTTATTGAAAGTAGTGAATTATACTGGTTCAGGTTGATAGGTCCCAATATCAGGAAGAGCAGACTTGCCTCTTTTCTTGGCAAGTTCTTTGTCTTTGGCAATAAAATCAGCCGGTTTAGTTTGATTGATTTTTAACTTTTTTGAAATTGGCTATAATAAAGATGATTGAAACCCTTGGATTATAATTTCCTGGTCCTGGATTGATGACTGCTAAATGTTAGATCTCATTCAAATAAGTAGGTCTTTCAACAGCCCTAAAAAAGTTGATAAAATAATTACTCTATTTTCTTTTTCTTCTATTCTTCTACTTATTTCAACACATCCTCCAATGGTGGGACTATGTTATATTTTCCTGAACCTGGCACAGCTCTTAGCTTGGCTTCTTTAAAGATTTCATCAATAAACGTCGATCTAAATTTAAGAATCCTTATAAAAGACTGACCTTTTTGGAGGAGCAGATTTAGATCTTGCAATTTAAAGTGGAATCACCCAAGGTTTTACAATATCGTATTTGTTTGGAGCAGGAAGTTTTTCATAAATACGTTTTTGATCCTCTAAATAATGTCCTCTTCTTGTAACATATCCTAAGTTTTTTTAACCTTCGAATTTAATCATGAGTAAAAATGCTTACCTTTCTTCTGTGTAGCAAACTTACGATCTTCCATTTATTTAAGTGGGTCTGCATACTTTTTTGTGACTTCATATCCTTCAATTCCAAAGGCAGATGTCTATTTAGTTGCTATTTTAAACATGTCTTCCATGGTGAAATCTAAAGATGTGAATTAGTTTTACCAAGATTGGGTGCTGCTGATTGTACTCTTCTCATAATTTAGAAATTTATTAATATTAATAAGATAGTTACAATACTGTCATAATAGTGTTGAAAAAATCAGAATATTGTGTTAATTAATTATTTTTAATGGAAACAATTAAAGAATTTTGTTCATAAGAAACCATAGAGTACTAATCATATTTAACTAGTTTAACAGAACTATTGGATAAGTTTCCAGACTCAAGTGAGTATATTGATGATTTATCATTTCAACAGACACTTCGCTTCGTAAACATACCAATTTGTTTTAAATTAAATAAAATTGCTGAAATAAATTAAACACACAAAATAGTTTTAATCAAGGGAACAGTGATTAGAGCCGGGATGTATTGTTAAATTTGTAATCTAGTGCTAAATCCATGTCCAAAGTACTATCTTATCGATGCAAAGAATGTAAATTTGTCACAGAAGTTCAATCAAGTTCATCAAATTATTTTATGGCTGAAAATCAAATGAAGTGTCAAAACATAGTAATCAAACAATAAAAATATAACCCATTCTTCAAATAGAAAATCTAAGGATTCAAAAAGCAGAAGTGCAATTCCACAGCATTTGAAAAATTAGAAGATTCAAAATTAATTGATTATTAAGAAATCAAAATATAAGACACCTACACTACTATTGAACCTGGAACGATATCCAACAGTATCAGAGTGATGTTGGAGGGAGAGTTCGTGAGTAGTTGTAATTCAGGAGACGATGTCATAATTGGAGGCATAGTGACTTAAAGATGGAAGATGATCAAATAGATACCTCAAATCACTCTATGGATAGACTGCAAATACCTAAGATTATAAAATTAATTAAAGCTCCTTTAGAATATCGATGATGACTTATTGAACAGCACTTTTTAACATAGAAATTAAGTTATCAATTCATTCATACCTGAATTATGCAATCAATGGTAAGTTAAATTAGGAACACTCCTAAGCTTAATTGGAGGAGTGACGAAATCAAATAATGGAATTACAGTAAGAGGGGATTCACATCTTTTACTAATAGGTGAACCTGGAACTGGTAAATCAACTTTTCTTAGAAATGCATGCACTATTAGTGAAAAATCAATTTATGTGAATGGAATAGGGACTACTCAAGCTGGATTAACACTTTCTTTTGTTAAAGAGGGATCAGATTGGATGATTGAGGCTGGTGCTTTAGTGATGGCCGATTAAGGATTATGTTGCATTGACGAATTTAACTTATTGAATTAGCAATCGTAATAATCTATTTTGGAAGCTTTGGAACAACAAACGATTAGTAGTAGCAAAGCTGGTATATCAACAAAATTGAATGCAAGAACAACCATTATAGCTGCTTGCAATCCAGTTGAATAGGTGTATAATAGTAAATTGTCAATACAATATAATTCTGGGTTATCCACACCATTATTAAGTAGATTTGATCAAATATACATTTTAAAGGATCAACATGATTTTGAATTAGACAAATAGTTGTGCGATCACATTTTCAATCTTAACAACCATAAATAAAATTATACTCTAAAGTAGTTAAAGTAGTATATCATCTATGTTAAAAACACATTTCAACCAATTATGAATGAAGATTGTTAATAAGTCATATAGAAATACTTTACATTTATCCGATAATCCACTGAATAAGTAACTGCAAGGAAACTAGAATCTTTAATTAGATTATCTGAAGCTCATGCTCGATTATGTTCAAAGCGATTCATTGATGAATTTGATGTCGTGACTGTTATAGCTCTAATCGAAAGTACTCAATTTACAGGGATCTATCCTGAATTTTAAGATTGCTTGACAGAAAGTGTTACAGTTGATAAGATCCAAGAAATGTGGAATCATTTGAAAAATATTTGAGAACTTTATTAATTGATTTCTAATATATATTTAATAATGATGTGTTTTAAGGTATTAATTGTAGTATGATGCAATTTAATTGGAAAATAGTTTTCATCAAAAATAAATAAGTTCTCACTTGAAATTTCTTGTATTTAAGCTATGAATACTTATATATATAGAATATAATTAAATAATTATTCTAATATGAATTAAGACTAACTAAATTTCGATTTCTCTGTGAAAGCCTTATTCATTTTTAACCCATTAGCCGTTCCCACAATACCCAAACCATCTGAATAGGTATTTAATTTACTAAGATCTAGGATTAATAAGATGCGAAATTAATCTATTACTATCCATAAGGTGCAAATGTTGAAGAAAAAAGAATTTAAACAGGGATGGCAGAAGGTATCTTTCAATTTTTTGCACAATTTAATCCTAGTCCTAATCTATTGGAGCAGTAGGAAAATAAAAGCAAAAATGAATCCTTGCAGTTTCAAACAATACATTTGGAGTAACAGACCCACATAATCTGCAGGGTGAGAGAGGATCTCTTTCTATTTATAACCTTGGCTCATTAGAAAATACCAAAAATAAAAACTATTGTTGAGGATTATTTTTTTAGTGAATGCAATAAATTTCATTACAGCTTATCAAAAAATTTGTATACTAATGTTGCGGAGAACTTTGTGGCAAACTTTGATTTATTTTATGGATGCGATTTAACACAAATTAATCATTTCACATAGAGATGGATTTTATGTAATGCAAGATCTAGTACAACTATGAATTTATTTAATTTTTAATCATTCTCATTAAAATATGCTTAGATTGATGCTGCCATATATTTGCATCTTTAATCAATCCTAACTTTTGCAAGATAATAGGAAGATTAGATAACCGATTACGTAGTATTTTATGCAGGATATTTTCTGTTTTCAACACTCCCCCATCAAAAGGCAATCCTATTTAAAGAGCATTATTATGGTAGTGGATTGCCTTGGATAAACTTGGATACCAAGATAAATCTGAAATTCCCAGCTAATGCAGAAAGTTAAACTGCCTACCTTAATTTTTTTAATCTAAAAAATGCTATTAGGGATGGATTTACAGGTCAAATAGTTTATCTAAATAAATAAAAGAAAAATATGTTCACCTATTTGGATAAACAATTGCTAATAATTGCTATAGCAAATCCATTGAATAATTTACAAAATCTACCTAAAGTGGCCAATGTCTTTTCAAAATAGATTGATAAATTAGTATATAAGTTAGAGATAGTTATTGAGCAATCCTAAAAGTAAGATTTTGTAAGATTCATTTATTTCAATGGAGTTAATTTGGCTTATAGAATATCTAGTTAATTGAATGTCCCCAAATTGGGTTCTGAAAATTTAAGAGTACTGCAATTGGTGTATGAGAAATTGAATACACGCAATCAATATGTCATAAGAACGTAAAAATATGAAAATATATTAGAGCAGGAGTGTGGTTTTATGGAAATAGAGTATCTGAAAGAAAGGTTGTATATATATTGCCAGCTAATATACCATTAAGCAAAGTGGAAGAGGAAGTAAATAAAATTGCTGAATCAACATTCCCTAATTTGCTTTTGTGATTTTATTTATTAATTTTAAACATTAATCACCTTTTATATCTTAATGTCTGTGAAAAAAGCAATACCAATTCAAACTCTTTAGCTTGAAGTTATGGCAAATAAATAATCGCCTTAGGTTAACAAGGATTAAGTTCAGAAGGCTGTGATTGGATCAGGAGGATTCAAAATTCCACAAACAGTTATTGAAGAGAAAAAAAAAATGTTTTCTACTAGTCAAAAGAAAGACGAGCCTATTTTGGACATGTAAGTGTCTCAACTTGAGATATACTAAAAAATGGGATTACAACCTTATAAGATGTAGAATGCAATGGAAGATAAAGAAAAAATTGTATTTTAAAATCTAAAGGATTAACCATTGGCTAAATCAAACTTCATTTTTGAATAAAGAAGAGTAGTAGAAATTGAGTAAAAAGATATTGAAAATCGAATGAATTAATTTGTTATTGAGGAGGAGGCTCCACCTTAAAATGAGCGATTAGATTAAATTCAGAGTGAAATTGATAAGCATTATGACAGATTGGATAAATTAGAATAGTAATTCATGAAGTAAGACTTAGTGGATAGTTATCAACCTGATGATAATGTTTGGGAGAAAATCAAGTAATTAAGAGAGTATAGAAATAACATAAAGAAAGAATAAATGTAAGCTAAGGAAGAATATGAGGAAAGAAGAAGAAAGGATTAAGTATAAGTCAAAGTTACAGTTGTTGATAAATAACAGTAATAAGTTTTAAAAAAATAAAATAAGAAGGAAGAAAAAGATTAGTTCATCTAATAATAAATAGACGATTATATAAAACAGAAGGAATAGAATAAAAATAGACCAAGATCAAAGGAGAAATATATTGAGTAGGTAGTTATGAAGTCACCGGAATAACAATTATATGAGCATTAATTCTTAGAGTATCAAAAAGACAAGAATTTGAAAAAACAAATGGAAATAAAGGCTAAGGAATTTCAGGTTCCAGAATTTGAAAAGTATCATCTTAAAGAAGACAAGGAAAAACCTAAACATTAAGTGAATATTACAGATAGAGCCATTCTAAAAGTATAAAGTATTGATGAGTTGCATCGTGTATAAGTATAAGCATATACAGATAAGTAACTTGATTAATTGGATGATGCAAGTAAAAAAGCCATTTATAAATCTATTGTAACTGAAAAATAGTAAGAAAAATAAATTGAGAATGAGAAGAATGAGTAATTTGTACTTAAATTTTCATTCTAATAAATTGATAAAGATCATGCTGGAGTTGTATCAAAGGGAGAAGTGCTCGAATTTTTATGCACTAATAAAGATATCTAAATTATATTCGATTTAGATGTGAAAACTATTGAAAGTGAACTTGATAAATTATAAACTCATCGTAAAGGATTACTTGATTTTTCAGAGTTTAGTAAGTTTGTCAAGAGATTATAATAGGACAGAATTAAATTGCTTTCTAAATTAAAATAGGATTCTAAACTATTTGAAGAGAACCAAGAAGAAAATTTAAGACTATAATATTCTAAGCCCATTAAGGAAATTTTTAAAATATTAGATTATCAAGAACAAGGAGTTGTGAATAGATTAGATTTGATAAGAGCTATAAGGAATGATTTATCAAAAGGTAAAGGTTCCATTCTGAATTAACCAATAAGTCTTTAGCAAGGAAGTCCTACTGTAAATTAAGTATTAGAGAAAGTCTTGGCGGATTATAGACTATCTAAGAATAGGAAGTAGATGGAATTAATATCATTGAATCAACTTGAGGAATATTTCAAATTGTCATTACCTTATGAGGAAATTAGACTGATGTAGGCACGTATAATCTTGGCTCATTTTGGCCCTGGTTCCATTGCTTCAGAGGGTTATTATGAGAAGATGAAAGGGAGGTGCTTATTGGAGCATGAAGTGATCTAGCAAATGTTGGAAATCTTTATGAAATTAGATAAGGATTGCGAATTGATTGTCAGCAAAAAGGAATTGATTTAATAAATCAGAGAAACAGTGGATTGTAATTAAGAAGCTGCAATTCTAACTAAAATTGGAAAAAAGTATACATTAGCCAGTATTTTGGATATGATGGAAAGTACATTAAACTAATTGGAAGGTCATGCTTCTAATTTTATTAGTTTATAGTAATTTACAGAATATTTGACTAATTTCAATCCTCTACCTCCAAAAATACCAAAATTATTCTTTGTGAATGAATAGAAGGATCCTCCAACTGAAGAACATTTAGTAATGTAAATTCCAAGTGTATACTTTTAAATTATAAATGATGTATTTGAAATGATTCCTACAATCTGTGCTCATTTTATTTTAAAAGAGGAGTTCATAGCAACCGTTAAAAATGATCCTCAATCTAAGAGTCTTCTTTCACAAATAGCAAAGATTGATCCAATATCCAAGAGACCTGAAACAATCAATTCTATTATTTCTAAAATTGCTAGAACTGAAATTGATTTTATTTAATGGGCTGATATAGTCTACATTTTTTCAGATAAAGGAGAAATCCCAAGAGAAGATTTAGAAAATAAATTGGATGTCAAGCCTGTTCCTAGGAGGGGAAGGAAAATTTATGAGTCTGTTATCAAAGGTTAAATATAAGAAGAAGAAGATGCCTTTGCTGAAATTGAAAATTTATCATTTGATGATGCTTAATAAAAAAGAATCGATAAAAAGGCATAATCTAAAATGCATTCAAGTTCACTTAATAAAATTACTGTTCCCAAAGAACCTAAATTTCATGAGAGAAAGAAGAAAACTATTAGATAATAAAGATTAGAACAAATGGTTAAGGAAATTGAAGAAAAGGAAGAATTTGAATTACAAAATAAATTTAAAGCAAATCCTATTCCTCTGTCCATGTTTGTTCCTGCTCATAATTTAGATAGGTTTTCACCTCCTAGAGTCTAAAATGCCAATCCTCCAAGCTTTTATTAGAAGGATGTCTAAAAATTTATGGAAAGAAAGTAAATTGCAGAGGAACGTTTACAAACTAAAGAAGCTCCAAAAACTTTCAAGGCTAAAGAAATTCCAGTAGAATGTACAATGGAAGTATTAAAATAAAAAGAAATAGCTGAAAATCAAAGGAAAAAAGAATAAAGAGAAAAAAGAAAGGCAGAACTCTAGAGTACTAACTTAATGCCTAAAAGATTATAAGAAGATGAATAGAAAAGGAAAGAAAAGAAGAAGAAGATGGAAGAATTGAATCCTCAAGATATTGACCCTGAATGCAAGTTTAATCCAAAAATTAATAAAAACTTTGTTTCCAAAAGGGATAAAGACAAGAAATCTCAATAAAGCAAAGGTATGGAATTGAATTATCTTGACGAAGATAATCAAAGAAACAAAAGAAAAGAATCCTTCCATGAAGAAGAATAATAAAACTAAACACAAAAATCTCAAACACAAAAGAGTTAAACTCAAAGATCATAATCTTAGAAATAATCAGTTTAGAAGTCTTAATAAAGTTAAAAGTAAGTCAGTTAATAAATCAGCCATAATTAATTGGAAGAATCATAATAGGAAAAATCTGTAAAAGTATCATAAAAATAACAAAGTCAAAAGTAACAAAATTCCAATCAAGATGATGGAGAAATGTCACCTGAACCTGAAGATGACTATTAAGATCAATAATTTGAAGACTAAGCTTAAGAGAAATAAAATGAAGATGAAAATAAAGAAGATGATTAATACCAAAATCAAGAGAATCAAGATCAAGATGAATAAGAAGTGTAGGAATAAGAGTAAGTAGAATAGCAGGAAAATAAAACTATGGAATAAAAAACAGAATAAGAAATGTCTATTCAATAATCAAAAAAGTCACAATAGCTTTCTAAATAATCTGAAATTAAGTAAGAAGATGTTAAACCTTAAAAAAATGTTAAGATAGTTCCACCTGCACCTTAACCAGCTTAATAGAATGATGAAAAGAAAGAGAAAAAGAAAGTTGTAAGCAGTCAAGATAGGGAACTGCAAAGACTACAAGAAGAGAAATAAAAAAAGCTAGACGATAAAAAAAAATAAAAGGACAAGCTAAATCCAGAATACAGATAAAAAATATAAGATATGGAGAATAGAGTTTTCTCTAGACCCTTAGTCAGAGATGCTAAATAGCATGGATCATCAACATTATAGAAATATCGATAAATGGCTAAAGAAGCTAGCTTAAAGAAAGATGAAAAAAACGAAGAGAAAATTCCAGAGGATTAAGAGCCTTAGAATGATGAAAACTGATATATTTTATTTGTTTATAAAAAATTTTTCTTTTCCCAATATAATTGTATTTGTGTCAAGGAAATTTCAATAAAAATAATTCATAATTTGACTCATGTTTTTATTTTCTTCTTAACTTATAAATTTTCAATGTTAATAAAATAAAATTCATTTTGTGGCAGAAATTTCATATTGAAAATATTATTTCATTTTTTTTTGTTACAAGTTTTGGATATTTAATTATTAATTATTATTAACACATTATTTTATGTATACAAATATATTATTAATGAGTATAAAGAACTATTTAAATTACTGAAATTTTCATATAAAAATTATGAATATTTTGGATTCAAACTCTATAATTAAGTCTATAAGTATATCGAAAGATTGCCAAACAATAAATTGGCTATTCCCTAATAAATATATATTCATTTCATGTTATATAAATATTCAAATTAGTTATATCGTTATTTTACATTAAATAAGAACCTATTAGGTAAGAATAATAGGATTTCTAAATGCTTTTTGCCAATTTGTTTGAATATGAAGAAAATATATTGAGTTTAACTTTTTGTTCAAAGTACATTTCATAAATCATATAAACAACAATAATGAAAAATAATATTTCTTGACAATTTCTATTCATTTTATATAAGTATCTCAATATCCCATAAATCTTTAAAAATTTTGGTATTGTATTTGTTGATTCATGTACGTCACCATCCAAAAATGTTGCAAGTAAGTCCAGTCATAATTATATTACGGTATGTGTTGTATTGTTAGCCCGTCGTTAACAGTAGTCTGGGGAGGTTGATCCATTTTAAACTCCTCTTTGGTCTCTGCGGGTTCTTCTTTGAGAGATTTTTATGTTTCCTTTTCAGAAATATTATTGTTTGAAAGTTTTCTTTGTCTTCTTTGCTTTTTCCCTATCCTGCCCTCATGTCTATAAATCGATAAAATTGCTTTTGCGGTGGAAAATTTGATTCCAAATTGCTTTGCCGCTTGTCTTATTGTACATTTCTTTTCAGATATTCTTTTTATGAAAGCCTATCTGACTTAATTTGATATTTTGGCGTATTTCATTAAATCTTGAATATATATATTTAAGTTCTTTTAATCTCAAATTGATTATAATTAGTTAAAATGATAAGATATTGCATTTTAAATATTTATATAATACAATTTAGTAATTATATTGATGAGTGTAATTTATAAGACATTCAAAAACAATTGAAATTATTTATTTTCTAAGTTGAATAATATTTACTATCAATGTAAGCACTTGAAAATGGAATGATATCTCAATTTTATCCCTATTTTATTAAGCCATTGTGCTTTACACCTAATTTAATTTTAAATATAATGAATGAATTTACTTTTCACTTAAAATCATTTTATTCATCCCTCCACAAAATGGGATTAGATCAATTAATTGTTAGCAATCTAAATTATTGATTTCTAATATTCAAAAGAAAATTCGCAGAATTTTTTTTTTAGTAATTAAAAATTAAATGAATTTTATTTTAATTAACATCTTAATTCTAATCAGATATTAATTTAGAATATAAAGTTTTTCTCGAAAACTTTAATGAGTGGGGTCATGCTTTTAAAAATGATCAATACCAAGCTTATAGTATTTTTACTGAATGAATAAAGGATTTTACTGGGATATTATAAAAAATATGAATTATTGTTAGATTAAGCTAGTAAACAAATACTATTATTTTAGAAATAGTTAATAATAAATAATCCTTTAATTTATAAAAATAGATCTACATTTTGAAAATAGTAAAATTTCAGAAAAAACAAAACTAAAATTAATTGAACATCAGAAATTAAAATAAACTCTCATATAACCCAAAGGAAATTCAGGATAAATACAACTCATAAAGAATCTACATCGCTGAGTAAATTATGAAGTTAATGATATTTTTCAATTAAATGTTGAAAGAAATCAAATAAAATTTGCTAGTGTCCTATACTTTATATTAAAGTTAATGTTCTAGTTGCCTTAATTTTAATATCAAATGAAAAAACATAAAAAACGAATATATACAATGGAATTCTGTTTTACATCTATTGTTTAATAAAAAATAAATGATGTAAAATTAGAAAACTATATTAATTCATTCTTCGTTTTTTTAAAGATTTCGCGAACCGGCACCCATACCCATAACTTCGTTATATTAAGATTGTTATTTGTAAGGTTAAAACTAATTTATTTTACTTTCCTAAGTTAATTTCTACAACTTTTGATTAGCACTTAGCATTGAGTCTTCGTTGGGGTTATTTCTAATTAAATAAAATAAATTACTTTTTGCTTGAATTTGATTACGATTACTAAATTTATTATTATTATCCAGCATTTTATAATGGTTATCTTTTTAAATTACTTTTGTTTTGCAGGGTGCCTAAAGCAGGTAAATTTGCAGTGTTTCTTTTCATAATTGTGTTTTATTTAGTTAAATTATTAGATTTATTATTCAAACTACTTCCATTCTAGAATTAAATTATAATAATACTTGCATAGCTTAAGGTCCTTTAGATGAACTTCTCATTTGCTTATCTTTTTCTTCTTTTTCTTTTTATCCTTTAGATCCAATTTCGATTGCTTTCATTTGACCTTCTGAGTATGTTTAAGCCAATCTGATGGCAGTAGATTTGGCAATCTTTTTTAATTATTATTGTCTGTTATTAAAGGCACCTAAATAAGTAGTAAAAGTGCTATTAATAGGTAATTTAACTGGAGTGCCTTTGCAAATCAAGTCAAATCCTCCAATTTATTCTTCATTACCTGTCAATACCTTTTCCAAATCTATTATTGTAAATACATCATCCAATAAACCGCACTTCAATTCAAAATCTACAGGGGTATTGGAAGTCATTGAAGGACTTAAATTTAGAATTTGATAAAATACCTTGCATTTACTTCTAAGAGCCATGGTTTTAGTTGAGCATCCAGTAAAATATCAAATCCATATAACTCAAAACAATGCTTGTCATTAATAATAATCTTTTGAACTGCCTAGAGTGATCTAATCATAAGCATTTAAATATTATAAAAAGTTTCAGCAACCTTTTCTTAGCCATATTTGGTCATTAAATAGAGTTTAAGTGTTTATAAATTCCACTTTCCCCCAAGCTTTTCATCATAATTGTCAGATGTCTTTTGAATGGCCACATTGGTTAAATGAACATCTAAAGATATTGAATAAATATTTAATACATGTATTTGAGATGTCTTCGCTATCATAACGATGATGTGTAAATCTTGCAAATCCAGTTCTATATAAATATAGTGTTAAGGGTTAATAGGAAGTGCATAATAAATAGATTCTCATGTCGAATTTCTTGCCTCCAATAAGCAATGGGTCTGCTATGTATTTTTACACTATGTAGGCTTCTGCTTATGGATTATCTTAACTATATCTTAAAGTATTCTTCCATTGAGATATTTATTAAATTTTGTTGAAGATGAATATACCCTTGCCTTGTGATTTACCGATCTTAGAAATAAATTAATATTAATACAGGTTTCATTATCCAAGCTGTTTTGGTGTCACTATTGGTGGATTACCTTTTGAATTCCTCAAAAAATATAGGGTATTCACTGGGCAAGTGGAAAGTTAGAGGGAAGAAATTATAACTGTATAAATTAATGTAGCAATTACTTATTTGCTTCTTCGGATTTTCCTTCTCTTTCTAAATTTTTCTTATACCTTTTAAAATTCTTGATCATGAGATCCTTCCTTGTTAACTAATTTATTAGTTTGGATAATACTTCGTAATGATTTCTGAAATGATTGATTTTTTAATTTGCTTAAAGATGAGTGTGATCCAAAACTTCATGAATCCATTCCTTCTCTGCCCACATTATATCCCAATCATCGCCCTCTGTCTCCTTCCATAATCTTCTTTTAAAGGCCTGATTTAATAATTGTTAAATACTTCCAAAATGCAATTTCTGAAAGATGTTTTAAATTTTAGGTTTGAGCTATAATCGTATTATAAATTAATACTAATGATTAGCATAATGCTCTTTTTTGATATACTTTCTAAAATATTCCGACATATTAACAAAAAATAGTTTATATTAAATAATATCAAGTTTTATAATCAGTTGGAAATATCACAAACTTAATAAAATGCTTTATAAATTATATGGTTGAATATTTTTATAAATATTTATATATGGTAAAAATGTATATGGGTTGTTTTTATTACACAATATCTCCAAAAATTAAGTTAAATAGAGATGGTTTGATGTAAATAAAGTTTATGTATCGAAAGTAACTATAAAGTCTAATAATTGATATAAAAGACATTAACTATCTTTCGAATTTTTATTTTAATTTAAATAATTTATCAAATTTTTTTGTTTTGATATTTCATGTTAAAATAAAACATCAATAAATTTTATTGTCAATATTAATATTAAAATGTACTCCTACGCTCCTTTAGGTGTTTCATATGCTTCTCCCTTAGCAACATCAATTGCCAGACCTATTCCAGGTATAAGTTAATTAGACTAATTATCAGTTGGCTACGCAGCTCCAGTCTCATATGTTTAACCTGTATCGTATGCAGCTCCTGTTAGTTATGCTCCTCCAGCCTATTCTCCTATTAGAGGTGAATCCAGAGTCGAATACGTTCCATATTAAAAGCCAGTCGTTGAATTGGAAGAGGAAGTCAGAACTGTCTAAGTAAACAGTAAATTTACACGTAGGTGCCAAGATAAAAATGGGTGACAGATTATTATCCAGTCGAATACTAAAAGGAATACATCCCTCAAGTTTCATATGAAAAATAAATTGATTATGTGCCAGTCGAAAAAAATGTCCCAAGAGTTGATTATTTAGAATATGAAAGAGAGGTTTAATTTTAATTAATTCCTTATAGGTTAGAAGAGCTCCTCCTGCTCCAGTTTCATATGCCTCACCACTGTCTTACAGTTATGCTGCACCTGTAGCACCTGTAGTATCAGTGGCACCAGTAGCTCCATTAAGAACCAGCTATGTTGCTCCAACCTATGGATATGCTCCAAGTTACAGCTATGTTGCACCAACATTTGGTTATGGATCAGTGTATAGATATTGATTTTTATTCAATATCATCATTTAATTTAATCTTCTTTAAATTAAATAACAAAAATAGTTATAAATTTGTTCATTGCTATTTATGACGATTTTTGACTATCTCTGTTAGTCTATAATTTTCCTTCGTCAACAAATTTAGTTTTTCCTCAAGATTATTCATCTTTTGTTAGTCAATTCCTATCATTTATTGTAAGTATTGATTTTCACATTCTAACTCCTGGATTGTCTCTTTAAATTTATCACTAAACTCAAACATATAGATTACTTATGAACATATAACTATTTATCATCTTATTGAGACATTTGATTATTATTTTAAGTTAACTATTATTTCAATTGATAGTTCTCTCTAGCCAAAATTTCTAATTGATCATTCTATTTTTTAATTTTCCTCTACAATTCTAAGCACTTTGATTCATCTCTAGATTATGATATATTAAATTACTGTTGTTATTTCATTTTACTCTCCAATATTGAGCATTTACTTTTATATTTTTCGACTTCGATCTTTAGTTGATTTTCTGTAAATTAAAATCTTTCATTTAATTCGCTTAATTTTTGATTTTCATTTAATACAATTTATACTTTTTCCTCTAAATCATTTACTACCTTCTTAGATATAATCAGTTAATCATTAATTTATTTAAGATCTGAGTTATTTGACTATTAATATTTATTCATCTTCTACACATCCTCTAATTTTTTGATAATTTAATTTTTTGATTGTTGCTATTCTTATAATGATTGATTTAATTGAATTTATTAATCTAAAACATGAGCCAATTTTTTATTTTCAGATACATAATTGTTATTCTATGATTCTAATTGTTTAATTCTCTATTTCAAATATTAGTTTTCATCAGCCTTAAACGAAAAATGCTTTCCAGACAATTAATTTTCTTTATTATTGTTTTAACACGATTCACTCACATAAAGCTTCTTATAATTGTTAATATCTTTTAATGCTTAATTTGCATTGTTAGTAGTTGAATTAACTTATAAATCGAAAGATAAATCCAACTAACATTTAGAAGGCGATGATCGAACAGCCAATGAATTGGATCTCACCTATTTTACTTCTGGAGCTTTTTAAAATACGATTGGTCTTATTCTCTCATATTAACTCATTTTTATTATTTAACGATATATATATATATATACTTCAAACAAATAAAAACCTTGTTAAATCAAAGGCCGAATAATCCTCTTTGTTTTATTAGCCCTTCATTAATTAATAAATGATTTCTGCGCAACCATGACATTGACTCATTCCTCTAGAACCATGTCCTGCATTTACATATACATTTCTATTCAACTGCAATTTACTCAATATAATTTTGTCATCTGGAGTCAAGGGTCTGCAGCAATCTCTCACTGAAATGCTCTGTGTATCTAAGTCAATATTAAACTGCTCTTTCATCTATTTTATAAGAATTTAGGCTCCCCATTCATTTAAAGGGTCATCTGATTTATATTCTTAATCTATCAATTAACAACCTGAAATTCTCAACTTATTATTAAGATTTGTGATGGATAATGTAGGTAATTTCAGTACCATTCTATCTAAGACAGATCCCTTTGCGGATTAAGGTAATTCAGATTCAATAATCCATCCTCTACATGGCATTATGGGCAAGGTTACTCCCAATTTCTTAGTTATGTATTTGCTATGCAATCCAGCACAAATGATAAATGCATCTCCATATATTACACTAATAATAAATGAATTTTACATACCCTTTGTTTGTGTTTATTCCTAAAACATATCTATTATAATTCATTATGAATTCTTTAAACTCTGTTCCATAAAGTATATTAAACTTATTTGGGTAATGCTTTTAACAATATTTCAAGGTGTTTATTGATAGTTATTTAGTGTCTAAATTATTTTCCTTATCTAATCTAATAACATAAGGATAATTTTCAAATAAATGTCTATCTATATCATGCTAATTAAATTTAGTTTTATCAACTTCTTTAAATTCAATTCCTGCTTTTTGAAATGATTAACTTATTCGTTTCCCGTATTCTGTAGACTTATAAAAACTCAATTCTCCTTCAGCAGTTAATTGTTTTTCAAGCAAACCCATTTTTTTGATTTTTTCAAATTCTTATTCTTAAATGTGCCCCAATTTAGTCATATCTTAAATTGATTTATCAAATTGTTCATCAGATGTACTCAACCTTAATGCATTAATCAACCATATTAACCCTCCAGGTTCTAAAAGACTATTAAAACTGAACCTTTATGTTGCTGTGTCAGTAGGGTTGATATAGTTATTCAACATTGTTTTAATTGAATATTTAGATATTAATGGATTGAATAAGTAGGGATTGTAGATATTTCCATTAAAAGCGCTACATTTAGTTGAAATAAATTATTCCTTTTCAATCAATATGACAGAATAACCTTTTTACAATAACTTTAATGCTTAACTTAACCCTACTATGCCTCCCCCTATAATTACTGCAGTTTCTGTATCCTAATTTCTTTTGATGTTGATTTCGTGATATTTTAATGTTTTTTTGTCCACTTGTAATTGTTTATTTTTGCGAAAGTCAGCTACCTCTTGTTAGCTTAAAAATATGTTAGACATGTAGTCTCTATATTTAGTGTATTGATTTACAAATCCTAAACTGAATAGGAATAATAATAAATTGAGTCCTCCCTTGCTTGCCTTAGGTTTGTATATTTTTTGTTGAACACAAAATTTATACAATTATGAATTGAATAATATTTTTTTTATCATTAAAATTATTGCTAAAACAATGAAAAATGAATTAAGAATTTTATTTAAACAAATAAGAAAAGATATAAAAATATAACCTGAATTATATGCTCAGTAATTGAAACAGATTATTTAACCAGAATCATCTATTTCAATTTATTACCCTTTAGTCAATGAATTAAATATTTTAAGTATTTTGCCTTATTTGAGTAAAAATAAAATTTTATTGCCAATAATGTAAAAATAAACAGAACCCTTATTATTTTCAGTTTACATATAGAATAAAACTGAATTATAGTTGAATAAATTTAAAATATTAGAGCCTGTTGATAAAAACTATGAAATCCCGCAATTTTGCATTGTAAAATAATTAATTAATTAAGGTACCTTTATTGTGCTTTGATCCTTAAAATAAGCATAGGATTGGCTATGGTGGAGGTTATTACGATAGAACCATAGAAGATTATAGATCTAAAAACTATAACACTAAGTTTATAGGATTTGGCCATGAATTGCTAAAGGTTAATAATATTCCTTACACAGATAATGATTAATAATTAGATTTCATTATAACGGATCAATAAATCTATTGTTGATAATAAGGTTTATTATAGGTGTTTCTACAAATAATCTATTAATTAATAAATCAATCTTAAATAAAAGTGAAATTTAATATTACTCAAAAATAACTTATTTATTTTCCTAAAAAATAATAATTAAATCAAAGAATTCTGCATCTAAAAATTTCTGATCTAAACCTTTTTGCTTTAATTTATTAAGTATTTTAACTATTGTTAACATAAATTCTTTCCTCATTCAAACACCTATTTATTGTTACTCCATTTTTTAAGTCAAAAAAATAAATAAAAAATGTTAAATGAAAAATTAGATCGTCTTATTCGATCTAAAGGCAGCCAATATATAACTAAAAGTACGTAGGCACTTTCTCCGTATATACGACAAGTTCCTTTATTAAACAATCACTCACATAACTATTCACCTAATTATTCAATTTAAAGAATTCAAGCATAATCTACTCATTCAGGAATGTATGAATTATCAGAATAATAGAGCTCCATAAACAGATAGATATAACACATAGTTTATTGCTAAGATATAATCTGCTTGTTAACCTTAGTCAGTTTCTCCTGTTAGAGTGATTTAATTATCAACAGATAGGTCATAATAACCATAAGAACTCAGTGAAGTACAATATAATGAAAAACCTCTATAAGTAGTATCTGCATAAGATATAGAAAATAAATATAAATAGAAATTATTATTATTGGAATAGTTGATCAACAGATTGTAGAATGAAAATTAAAGGTTAAAAAGGAATGAATAAAATCTAAAATCTATGGATTACATGAGCAGAATTAAGGAGTTGGAAGTTATTATTAAGAATTTTGAAGCCTAAGAAGATAGGTTAAACAATGAAATTTTACAATTAAAATAAGACTTATTTTAATCAAAAGAAGGTTTTACTTCTTTATAAAAATAAATATTGAATAAGAATGGCAATAACGAAGATATTAGGAAGTTGAAAAAGTAGATGTAACAATATGAAATTGATAATAAAGAAATGTTGAAGCATCTCAGTAAGAAAGATGCTGATATTTCAAAATTAAGAAGTATTTTAAATGAAAAAGAAAATTGGATAGATTAATTGAATAGTTAAATCAAGGAATTATAAACAGTAGAAGAAAACTATTCAAGAATGGAAATAACTGTCATATCATTACAAGGAGAAATTGATGTATGGAGAAGGAAGTTTAAAGAAAAGAATGAAGAAGCATCAGAACTGAGTGAAAAGTTAATAATGGCAGAAGCATCCCTCGAAGCATTAAAAAAGAGATAAATCACTTAAGTTAAGGAAATTAACATAACAAAAAGTGATAGTTAAACTAATAATAATAATATAATCTAACCAGTAGATACTAGAAATAGATTAAATAGAGGATCTCATTACTCTTAAAGATAGTAACTTTGATTTATTTGTATCCTAATATATTTATAAATAGATTAATTAATCAATTATTGTTATCTAAGCTCTTTCCTAATGTGTCAAAAGGAATAAAACAAGTAAAAACACTTCCTAAAAAGGAAGCTATGGAAAACAGGAGAAATGGAGCAATTATTGAATACTAGGAAATAATCATACAAGACCATGGCATCAAAATGACACCAAGTCTTCCTATAGCGACTGCAGTTCCTAATCCTGTAGTTCTCAATTTAGTAGGATATAGCTCAGTTGTTAATTGATAACTAATTTTAATTTGTATATGATACCAGAAGATATAATTCATGGAGAGAAACAACTTTTGTAAAATCGCTAAAATAGCAAAATGCTTTTGATATTCATAAAGTTATAAAAACGAGAATACTGATGCTACGAAAAATCCAATAATTAATGAGTTCTTTCTACCCAATCCTTTGATATCTATAATTAAAGTTGCTAAAATGGCACCCAGAATATCACTTAAACAAGCGTAGACTAGTTGCTATAATTAAGATTCATCATCTTTAAGTTGATATAGTATTTAAGGCATAGTCATTAAGTTACCATAATAAGCAAAGCATAGCAAAAACCAAATACTCCATAAAACTAATGAAACGTATAATCTTTCTCCATTGAGCAAACTTTTAAAGGATGCATGCTCTGTTTTTTTTGCTATACTGTTCATATATAATGACCAGATTACTAATTTATGTTCATTTTCAATGGATAAACTAAACTCTGTAGTTTTATTAGTCCTTATCATCAATTTTAAAGTTTAAAAAGCTTCATAATACTTGCCCTCTAGTAGTAAATATCTAGGAGATTCTTCAATGTATATTAAAGATAATATCAAAGCAACTAATCCTGGTAATGAACCTAAGAATGTAAGCCACCTCCAACTTCCATTTATTCCTTCCATAATTATTGAAGCCATGAAAAAACCATATAATTGACCTATTGCAACACTTAATGTAACAGATCCTGTCATTTAACCTCTTAACTTATTTGGAGTTATTTCTTATAATAAAGTTACACAGCAAGGAGCGAAGAAACCTACAAATATACCCATAAATCCTCTCATTATCAAAAGCTGATATACATTAGTGCAGAGAATTGTGGCAAAGCATATCAGTACTGTCAATAATGAACTAAAAATGAATGGTAATTTCCTACCATATCTATCAGTGAATTGACCTGATAGCATTGATCCAACTAGAAAACCTATGAAAATAAAACTTGTTTATAAAGACACTATAGATTCAGATATATCCCATTCTTTTTTTAATATCGGTACCATCAAAGTAAATATAGTAATTTATGCTCCTTCCATTATTCCCAAAATAATTGATACCAGGTATTACATTATTTAAAATCTTCCGAATCCTATCTAAGTTAAGGTATCATCAAAGTTTATTATAGTGTCTGATTTTATTATAGAATGATCTTCTTTGTGAGATACAACTTATATTTCTGATTTTAATTCGTTTATTGTTGAATAATGTGATGCTTCTTATTCTTCTAATTCATTCATTTTTAATATATATTAATTATTAAAATGAAGAGTAAAAATCCCATAAGTAAGGAATTTTTATTAAAGAAATACAACTTTTCAAAACTATCTTACTAGTTATTGAATAGAATTTTACACATAGTTGGACAAATTTTAATTTTTTGTGGAAATATATATTCTAATAAATTTATGTTACTTTTTATCTCAAAATCCAAAAATATATTTTGCAAATACTAATCAAATAAATAAATGCTTCTAACAAAAATCAATTACTTCAATTGTTTAAAATGAATATTTCTTATGATATCAAATCAATTCAACTGGTATTTTCTGAAATTTATGAATGTGTGAGTTTTATGAAAATAGAAATGTAATAACAATTGTTGTAAAATACTAAATTTAGCAGCCTAACTGCAATAGAAATCATAGTAATTTGTTAAAGTGCATTATTTTTATATAGCATAATTAATAACACCAGCAAAGTAATATCATTCGACTATGGATAAATAAATCCTTATAAAGAGTAAAAAAATTAGATTTAATATTTAAACCAATAATTTAAAATAGACCAAAACTAACTTTTCAAGAATAATCCATAATACTAAATTTTCCATAATTACATTTATGATAATAATAGATAGATATTTAATAATATTATATATTTTTTATTTATAAACAATTTCCTTAAACCAATAAAAAAAATATAAATTATTAGATTAAGAAATTTTCTAACTTAACTTCATTCTAAAGAAATTGGGATGCTTATTTTATCCATCTTAGAATCAAGAATAGTTTATTACATTTATTATTTGAATCTTGAATTAAATTATTTTATATATTTCTCAAAATATGTAAATATATCTCATATTTTAAAGGGTTATTGAAGATACTACTTTGGATCTGATATATAAACAGATGGATTATATAGTTTTGGATTATATTTGATTTTATAACATTAAAATTAGTAAAAAAATATTGAAATAAATTGGTTAAATCGATTTATTTATATGTTTATGTTATATTAAAAACAACAAATTTTCAACCTTATTACAATTGATTATAATAATAACATGCATTATGATATATAGTAGTATACTATTCTATCTCATCATCTGTTCTTTCTGGATCTGTCATTATGGCTTTAATGCATTCTGAACCAACCGCCAAATTGCCACATTTTACTTGATCTTATGCAATTTTTAATTTTTATATGATATCCTTAAATATTTTATAATAATTAACATCTTTCGAAAATATTTATTCCATGGTTTATAATATAATGATAAATACAGTAGTCATTGGATCTTCTTGCTTAATTTCTTATCTCATATCAACCTAAGAGTATTATGGTTGATATGGGTTTATCATATTTGGAATCATGGGCTGTTAAATATCGACATCTTCATGATATTTAAAATTCAGTACCATGAGAATATTAGCAGTTTTATCCATTTTTGCAATAATTTTAAGCATGATATTTGCAAGGAACTAACCTCAAAGCTATTTCATACTTTTAAAAGCAGGTTATTAAGCCATCATTGGCTTCATAATTTCCTAATATTGTGGAGGGACTGCTAACACTGTGATTAGAGCTGAAGGAATGGGATCTTACAAACTAAGAAATGCAAATATACCATTTATGGATCTCATTTCCTCTTGTCCATGAGCAAATTGGCATTTAGCTCCTATGGCGCATTATCTTGTAGCTAAAAATCAAAATGATAATACCCTAATAATGTCTACAAAGTGTCGTTTTGTATTTGGCATTGGGCATCCCTGCTGAATATTGGTTACCAAAGGGATATGACATTTAATATTAATAATATTAATAATATTAGCATAATCATAAATAATAAAGTCTTCTTATAGAGGAATAGTAACTCATAGCTTTCTCTCTAGAAATCTGCTAATCCAACTTAAATGATTGGGGACTATTTCGTTTCTTTGGAGTATCATCAGAGAGTGTCTCATGAAATGTATAAACAGGCTTATCACTATTGAAGGGTTACCTGGGTGTCAATTTATCTAATACTGGTATCATCTTATCTGATTTAGGATAGATGACGGTGTAATTGAGATCATAAATTTAACCATTCTTTTACTACCATTTTATCAAATTATATTTTTACTTCTTTAAACTTCAATTTAGAAGAACTAGATCGTGGTCTAATGATTGGATTTGGCGATCTATTGTATTAAGATTAAGGGTATTGTTGGTATTCAAATCTATGCTCATTAGGTCCCTCGGGCAAAGGGAATCTATTAAGGTCTGGTTAATATTCTTAGGCTCTGAGTTTCCTTTCTTCTTACAGTTATTTTTTCTCTAAATATTCTTTACTAGTATCGCAATTATGTTTCAAAGTGGGTTTCTGTAGTTTAATAGATCTTTTAATAGTTTTTGAGGATAAAGATCGATCACTATTTATTTATCTAAAATGATCAGGTCCATCAGTTAAAGGTGACTTTTTCTGCACTAAATGATATTTGGGATTATAAAATCCATATCTATCCAACTCTTTTTTGGATTCCACCCTTCCCACTTATTTAGAAAAGGGTTAAACTTTGAGTTGAGAGGTTTCTCTTGGAGATAGTTTAGCATTTTCTTTGAAACTTTTGTAAGGTCTTTTACTGTGGGGAATATCATCAAAAATTGAAATTTCATATGTTTTTTTTTTCTCCCCATTGATAATTGCGTCTCTCTGTTGTATCCAGGGAAATAGCTCAATTGAAATTTTACCAGCTTTGGAATACATCATTTTTTTTAATAATAAAAATATAAAAGAAAAACATTTTTCTTTGTTCAGTTGTCTCTATTTATATTGAATTAATATATCTAAATTCACATTTAATTATTTTATAGAGAGACCAAGATTAATAATAAATTTATAAATATTTATGTAAACGGAATAATTTTTTTTTGATTCTAGTAATTCGAATGAAAGGAATTAATGGGTGAAATTAAATTCAATTAGACGTCCAATCTCCACTATTCGATTATTTGAAGGAACTTTATTTGTGAAAAGCAAGAAACATGATTTTTATAAACCAAAGTTTTTTAGGTTGTTTTCTGATAGACTAAACATTTATAATGTAACATATACGATAAGACATTTATAGAATCCCAGAGAATAAAAGGAAGTAGCAGCATTATTTTTAACAAATGTTTATTTAGATCTCAACTCTTAAAATATATTGGAAAAGGATAAACATCCTATTGTATTACTATCAGGGTCCAAAAAATACGTCTTTAATGCTAGGTCATAGGAGCAAAGACAAAAATGGATCGATCAATTCAAGAAGACTTGCATTCTGAATAATTACCGAGACATCTACTTGAACCTCAAAGTAATAGGAAAGGGGACTTATGCAAAGGTAAGATATTGAATAAATAAGGTTCTCTTAGCCCAAAGAAAATAAAATTAAAATAAGTATGCAGTTAAGACCTTCTAAAAGTCGGCATTGATGGACAAAAATAATAAATAAAGAGTAACATTATAACTGATATCTTAAGCAAGGATTACTTAATGAAATCGATTTATTGCGTTCTTGTGATCACCCCAACATTATTAAATTGTATGAGATTTACGAGAGTGGCGATTACATTTATTTAGTGATGGAATTATTAGAGGGAGGAGAATTGTTTGATCTCATATTAGAAACATAATGCTTCCAAGAATCCAAGGTGGCTCTAATCATGTTCAAAATATTTGATGCTTTAGAATATTTGCACACAAAGGTATAATCATTTATCATCGATTAATTCAGAATATCATGCATAGAGATATAAAGCCTGAGAATATACTATTGAAAGATAAATCCGAAAATTTTGATTTAAAAATTGCTGATTTTGGTTTGGCATCTTACACTGAGGCTGATCTACTTATTACTAGATGTGGGACTCCTGGTTATGTTGCTCCAGAAATTTTAGAAGACAAGAAATATAATGAAAAGGTTGATGTCTTCAGTGCAGGAATTATCCTTTATATTTTGTATACAATTTGTGTGATATTAGACTCTCTGGTCAAGCTCCCTTCTACGGAAATAGTCTTGATGAAATTATAGAGAAGAATAGAGATTGTTAGATTAATTACAAAGATCTTAAGGTTTCTGAGGATGCCTTGGATTTACTAAAGCGATCCTTAGAACCTAACCCAGATGATAGAATTTCTTCATTAGAGGCACTTTCTCATCCCTTCATATCCCGTTTATACAGGAGAGAATCTAACCACAACGATGAAACAAATTTAACTCAACATTTAAATGAGAAATATAGTATCATAGACAGCATGAAAAAGTTTGGGTAGAATGATTTGAGATCCAAGATTTCCAAATGCAAATAAAATGAATTGATTCAATAAACACCTTTTTTGGGTGTAAGAGAATACGATCCCATTAAAGCATCCTCTGACAGTTGGTTAATGGAGAAGTCAAGCATTATAGATTCAAAATAGATCTTTTGCTCTCCAAATCTATAGTAATAATCGTCTGATTCTGATTGTTCCATTCTAAGCACTCCTGAATCCAGAAAAGAAACCTAAAGATAATTATAATTTAGTGCACTCTAATAAATAGCATTTCGACACTCTCCTAGTTAATCTATTTAATCACCTTAAAGTTAATAGAAATCTTAACTACAAATGAACCTTAAAAAAGCCAATTAAATTAGGGATCAACTCAAGAAATTAGGCTCGTGACATATATTATGAGAAGATTTTGATTGTATTTTATTATATATTTAATATCAAATTTGAGAATGGATGTACCGATATATTACGAATAATAAAAACTTCAATTATGTGGACTCGCCTCTGTTAATAATTTATTGCAGAAATAAGAATATTCAAACCAAACTATGAATAATTTAGCAAATTAATTGCCAAAAGTAGAAAATACTTTTTTTAATTTTCACTCAAGGTATATATAAATCTATCTGAGTTTCTTTAAAATCGGAAATTATTCAGCTGATCTTTTAATTACAGCTTTAGAAAAAAAGGGAAAGAAAGCAGTTTATTTTGATAAAAGAAAACCTGAAAAATTATAAGTTATAGTTTAAGAAAATTCAGTATTGGGGCTTTTAATTCACAAATATAAAAAAGGTCTAATCAAAGATACCAATCATTGGTTTGCCATCTTGTAAAAAAATTAATTATGGTACAATTTAGATGGTAAATTGAAAGAATACGTTTGTCTTGGAAACTTTGATAATTTATTTACTTTTCTTAAAAAGGAACTTGAAAATTTTAGTATTTTTATAGTACTTGACAACATATATTAAAATTTAAATGTTAATAAATAGAATGAACATTCTAACATTGATCCTAATGAACAATATATTGGTGTTTAATAGGAAAAAATAGTTGATAGACAAGAAAATTCAGATAATAGCAATATAATTTAATAGAAAAACCAATAATAAGAATAATTTTAAGAATTTTAATAATAATAATAATAATAATAATAATAATAATAATAATAAGAATAATAATAATAATAACAAGAATAATAATTAGAATCATAAGAATAAAAATAATAGGAATAGTTCTAAGAATAATAATAATAATAAGAATAATAAGAATAAGAATAAAAATAATAGGAATAGTTATAAGAATAATAAGAATAATAAGAATCATTAGAATAATAATAATAAGAAAAAGTAGATCCTATAAAATAAATGGATAATCTAGAACTTAAAGATAGTAATTAATAAACTAACAACTGAATTTTTAAAGAAATTTTATTTGAAATAATTATAAGATTTAAATTAACAATTTTTGAAATTAAAATTAATAAAATTCATATGGATTTAATCCATTTATGATCTTCTGCTCCAGTCTAAGATATAATAAATTTTAATACTTAAATTTTGGTTAGGAGATCAAATAATTCATGTGATAGTTCCCCTGCATTTAATTTTGTATCGTACTTAACTTCATAGATTTTATCATTGTATCCAATAGCTTCGATTGGCTAGATGCTAACAGCAGTTCCAGATCCGAACATTTCAATCATCTAAATAATAAGATTTATCATATACTCTTCCTGATTCAATAGATTCAATGACTTCTTAAATATATACCTTCTTTTCAATCACTTTAAATTTACCCATTCCTCTTGTAATTTCCTATAAAATAAATAATAGATCATACCAAAATAGAATCTCTCATAATTCCTGGTAGTATAGTTCCATCGAGCATAGGTGTAACTAATTCCTTTTCGCCTTTTTCATTTTTTTGGAAGAAAAACAAATTGCACACTCCCATTTCTTAAACTAATCCATCAGGTAGCATCCATAAATTTTAATGAAATCCTATCTTCTATACTTCTTTCAATGGCAACACTGTGGGAGCATAATTACCAGCTACTTTATATCCTCCAACTCCTCCAGGAGCAGAACGAATCTTGCAATAAAAAGAAAGAAATTACTGTTGACGTATTACAGAATACTCTAACAGGTTTGAGTCCTGATGGAAAATAGGGACCAACAGGACATAAGACAACAAATAATCTAGCCCTACTTGAAGCACGAACTCCGAGTGCTTCTTCTGTAGCAATCAAAGTTGGTCTAATATAACAACTAAATCCTGGTCTGTCTGGAATCCAATCTCTATCTACTTTAAGCAATTATTCAATGCATCTTTATAATTCAGCTCCATCAAAGTCAGGTAAAGACAATCTCTTAGCAGATTGTTTCATTCTGTACATATTACAGTTTAATCTAAATGTTCTAATAGTGTTATTTGCACCTCTGTAAGCCTATAGTGTATTATAAATATTTCTACTTTTGCTCCTTCAAAACATTCAATAGCATAATGGAGACAAGCAGCAAATGGATGGATACTAAAACTTTTGAATGGGACTATTTGTGGTCTGCTCCATCTAGAAATGTAAACATGATTTCTTACCCCATCTTTTCAGACCAATCAATTTCCAATAAGTGATCTGTGTGAAAGGCTCCAAATGTCATGATCTTTGGATCACAAGGAGGCTTAGTAATATAATGCATTGTATGAGTTATCGTGAGATCTCTGGACTAATAAAGATTCCAAATTTCAAATTACTTAGAATGATGGATAAGGACAACTGAGATCCAAATTAGCATAATAAGAGAAGGAGTAGATTTACTTAAAAGGAGTTTGATATGTAAATACTTTTGAAATGTTTCTGAGCATGATTTACTTATTCTTTGTTTATATTTAAAATTATTAGTATCATTCGAAATTATTACGCATTATAAATATAAATTATAATTATACTATTAATTAAGTGCATTAACTATCAAACACCCTAATTCATTGTGGGATTCTCTTTTCTTGCTTTAAATTGTTGTATCAATTCTGCTAATGGTGCAAGTTCTTTGTTATCAACCAATTTGAACTCATCTAAATTCTATGGATATCAATACCAATGAAATAGATGAAATGTTTGAAACAAGTGTTTAAATGGTACTCCAATTCAAGTGCCATAATATGCTAAAAATGAGAGTGATAAATATGAGCATAAACTCTGAATAATCTCTTAAAAATAACTTTGACAACAGATAAAAATGTGTTAGGAAATGGAATTCCTTAATAACATTGTATGATTACCAATTTAACATGGAAATAAGGTATCATTATTAAGTTAGTTCTCTACCCAAGTCATTAAATAGTCAATATATTCTGAGGCAGAAACTTTAAGGGGAGTTCTGACGTTCTATCCATCTGCCCATAAATATTCATATCTTGAAACAATTATTTCAATAATTACTTTGGGCCTGCTGACATAATTGGGCAAAGTTCAGGATTGCAGAATTCTACTAGTGTTCCATACAGAATTGATATCTCATTATAAAATTCGATTGTATTGACAGCCAACCATTCATTCAAATCTTCTCCATTAGGCAATTCTACTGCCAACAACATATTGCCTGAACCAAGAGTCATTTTGGCAATTTATTTTAAACCATATCCTCTCTAGTTTTTATCAATTTGCTTAAGTGGCTTGAAAGTCTTGGCATCAGTTGGTTACATTTTGAATTTTAATATAAAAAGATAAAACAAACAATTCAAAAGGAATGTATTAATACATAAATTATAAAGTATTTGTTCATTAATTAATGACTTGTTCTATGATCTTAGTTTTAATTTATATAGTATACTTATGAAAGAATCACACTTATACTCCATCTGTTGCAATAATATTTGTTAGGTATTCTTTGATCCTATACATCAGATTCCGTAAAATACACAACGTAGATGTTCTTCACAGTCGAAGCCTTCTACTTAACAGTTTCTATCATGTCTTGTTCCTTCTAAGCTTAAAAGTCATTCTGATCGATATTAAAAATAAGTATGTAATTGGAAGTTTAGAGAAAGTAAACTATGATCTTGAAATGGACATACCATTAATGATTGGACCATAATTCTATATCGTCATATCATGCATGAGAAACTTGACAATGTGCAATCCATTTTTTTCTTGAATTCTCTTTATGGCTAAATCTAAACAAAGTTTGCTTAGTGTGTGAAATATTAATATATACCTTTTAATCGGAGATATCAACTCTTCGTCGAAATCCTCACTACTATTTTTACGACTCTACATGCAAAACATGGTTAACGATTGCTTCACATATTAATTGATATCTCCCAATATCATTATATGATGAGAAAATATATCGTCTCCTGATTTCAAAACTATATCGGGAGGTAATTCAGAAGTGTCAATATAATCCACCCTTGGAGAACTATAGTTATGTTCGAATCCTTCAATATCCTTGAGTACTTCCTCATCATCATCTACTTATTTACTCTTGTTTAACCAATTTAATTTTTTATCATCATAGAATAGGTTAGTTTAATTCTACCCAATAGTTGCCAGCTCATTTTTAAATTATTTTCTACTTAAATATATTCCTCCAAACTATCTGAATCGAAAGCACAGCGTCTTTTTCTTTGCATCAATAAATAAATAATAATATTAATCACTAAATCCTGCTATTCATTATTGTATTAATTTTGTTTGCTTTTAATATAGAGTTTCCAAAGTAATTATTAATTATTTTACTTAAAATAAAGTCAACTCTCCTTTTCGTCATTGTTCTTAAAATCTCTTCGTTTTCATCAATATTTATTTGGCCAAGTTAATCTTATAAATCTTTAAACTTTTGTACAAAACATTAAACAATTTCTATTTTCTAATCAACCAAAACATAATTATAATACGATTCACCATACATAATTAATAACAATCATATTAAGGCTATCTTTACAGCATCAATCATGATAAAGAACAATCTTTAATAAATTAAAATCCTAACTACCAAAAAGGTAAACAACTTATTTGTTCAAATCTTCATTTTCCTAAAAGAAAAACTATTTTTAATTGATCATAAGGTATTCTTTATTTGTAAAATGCATAATAATTATCTCATTACAATCAAAAAGGTTTGAAAAATGTCATTATAGTAATCAAAAGTCAAAAAAATATCAAAAATCCTATTAAAATTCCAAATTATTATTGAAAATATCACTTTTGTAGGATGTAAAGGGAAATAAACTTGATTTTCTTCATCTTGAAGTATTATTATTTCTTTATATTAAATTAATGATATTAAAGAATTTTACAAATAATAATATTTTAAAATCTTAATTTTAATTTTTCAATACTTATTCAAATATCCTTTTGTAAGTAAACTTTTGATGTATTTTAAATAACATTTCTAACAGAAATTATCGGAATTAAATGGATGGAAAGAAACTAATTTAAAGATTGATAATTCCAATCTATGTTTAAAAATATGAAACATATTATTACCAATTAATTAAAATATGAACAGTTTTTATAATATTAATATAATTTATAAAATGTAAGTCAATAATCAAAATTAAGTATTTTATCTGTGCTATAAAAATTAAACTAAAATAATACTCTTTTTCATATTCTAATAGTTCAGAATATAAGACTGAAGATTAATCTAATTTGTTTGGGACAGTCGTATTTGCAGTACAACTTTTTTTTGATGGATGCTTGGTTTAGTGGACTCTTGAATGATCTAAAATGTTGGAAACATCCGATATTGCAAAAGTTGTGCTATTATTTCCAATTTGATTCATATTATTTTTTTTCCTTTTTTCAAATTAATTCATCCATTCCTAAGGTAATGGCTCGCTACAATAATAATCAATATTTGGCAAATAAATTAATCCTTATTTTTATAATTTGATTCTCTCTACATTTATACTTCCTTGCTAACTTTCGACTAATCCTATGCTCAAATCAGTTGACCATGATAAAATTTATTTAATTTAAATTCCAGAAAAATACTTTATATACTCTTTAATTGTAACTTAGGAACTTTTGAAACCTCCTAATTCACATTCCAATTCTCCTATTAACTCTTAATTACATAATAAACCAATTTTTAATTGTGATAAAATACAATTAATATCCTATCTTTCAGCTGCAAAAAGATAAAAGAGTTTAACATGATCAATATTTAATACATCTTTTGAGTGGTCTATGCTCTTTTTCATGTCTAATTAAAACCTAAAATAAGATCAATAGATTACTTAATTTCTTAATTGAGAAAGTTATAATAAATGTAATATTTGCACTGATTGAATTATGATTCGATTGGAATCTGAGATAGAGTTTTAATATAGATCATTATTCTAAACCTCTTCATCTTTGGAATGGTTCCATAATCAATTTCAGGTAGATTTGGCATTAATTTTATTTATACTTCATTTAACATTTCCCAATCAAGAGGTTTGATAAAATATTCCCCGTTTCCATAGATAGTGTTAGCTTATCTCTAAATGACATTTGGTCCTTTCACTCGATAATCTTATTAAGTAAGTGAAATAATGTTGTTTTTTTCATACACATCAATTCCTAATTTTTATGCCATCTTGAATTCAAGCTATATTAACTCATCGCATGCCATAAATAATTAATAACAACTATCACAAACATAATATTTATGAAATAGCATAGCACTGTCAAGATGAGTAAAGTTTATTCTATTTCTAATTTATAGATGTTTTAATTCAATATTTCTACTTAATAAATGTAAATCACACTCTATTAACATTTTTAAAGTTAATTAATGAGTTAATTCTTTGGCTGGGTATATCAATTCACAAAACTTACATACCTATGTCTTTGTAAAATTCCATTATTGGTTCGAGTTCGTCGTTTGTTTTCTTTCATAATCCTCAGGTATTTATTCATCATGAGTAATATGCCTAGTAAAGATTATATGAGAAGGATTCACCAATTTGAAACCTCTAACATTAAGTAAATACCATTTGTTATCTATTCCCTTTGTAAAATCACAGCCTAATTCATCAAATTCGACATTCATATTCTATCTGCAATAGAGTAACAGATTTTAAATGTAAGGGATGGTTTCTTCAATGAAACGACCGCCCTTACATTGTATTATATTGGTTGATTTATATTTGCTGGCACTTGCAAGGCATCTTTAAGCATAATCTCCTTCATCATCTTGAAATGTCAGTTTATTGGTAATAACCCAAGCTGTAGTTTATCCATTCTTTCTCCAAATAGTCCTACAGATGTAAGCCATAGGACCTTGGCATTTAATATATTTTTATAAGCAAGTGATTTCCTACTTAACGCTCATAGCATTTGAAAATATCAATGGAACATCTTTTTATAAAATTGGTTTTGTGTCATTTCCAATTAATTCCATATCTTTGTAGTGTGGCTTCTTTGCAACAGCAATCAATTCATCTGGATCATTGGAACCATCAGTAAATTTTTAGGCTGCATTTCGAGAAGTGAATGAATCTGTTCTATAAACATAACCATCTGCACTGCTATACAGCCATATTGCACTTAAATCTAAATCATTTAATATGATAGTATCTGGAATCCACATTTTCAATTTGCATTTTTGATTTGTTTCATCATATCTCTTAGCCATGTATTTAAAAAAGTGAATATAAGGCATAAGTGTACTATGTGAATATTTATACTAACTGCCTAACATAGATAACTATTAATAAGTAGCAAGAAACTTTCGATAAGCATCTGAGATAACTTTATTGTGTCTTGAACCCTTCTTCTCAGGGCTTGATCGACAATAAGAAAATGATTGATTAAGTCTTTGTCCTTCTTTCATCAAGTATAAAAATTAATAAATTACATTCTTTTAATGACAAATAATAAATGAATAATAGTACACCACATTTAATATAAACAGATATTGATCAATTATTAATCAAACTAATGTAAAATTTAAATAAGAATTGTTACAAACAATTTCTTAGAAATAATTTGACATTTTAAATAATTACTTAAATAATTTATTTTTGGGGCTTGCTTTTTAATACATTAAAATCTCTTATGATATTTTAGTTAAATTGCATGATATTTTAGTTAAATTGCATGATAATTTAAATTGATTATATCCTAATAAACCGAAATTTCTAAGAATTTGAGCATATAGTATTCTGTTAGTCAGAATAAAACTACTTTTTATTAATTAAGTTAATCTTCATTTTCGGTATGTGTAAATCATATCATAAGTTAATAAATTGAAAAATTGCTTAGGTTTTACTAAGAATTCATAAAAAGTTAAAGCAAATACAATTAATTTTATATTTAATATTATTATTGATGAAACTAACTACTCAAAAGTTAAAGTAGGCATAGCAACTAATTAGATAATAATAGTAAAATGAAGCATTATTGACACCAGCACTTGAATATTTCATCAACCCATCATCTTAAAATAATTAATTGATAGATTCTCTACTCCAGATATCATTTTTTAAAAACAACTGTCCAGAGGGAACTCAGTTACAAGATTTTGTAATGCAAGCAGCAAAATACGCAAAATATGAGTGCTTCTCTTATGGATAGATAATATTCAATTATGGAGAATTCGGTGATAAGATGTTCATCATATTGAAAGGACAAGCAGGAGTCTACATTCCAAAATCACAAGAAGACATACAGGAAGAATTGGTTTAAATTACTCAGAAAAAAAGCAAGAAGATGATCTTCATAGATGATCCTTTGTCTGAAAACAAAGATAATCCATTCTACTATTAAGATGGTATATCAAAATTCCACAAAGTATATAATAGTATAAACTATAGGTATTTTAATATTTCGCTGGACAATGCTTTGGCGATGTGGCCTTAATCTCAGATAAATCTAGAACGGCTAGTTTGATAGCCATATCTGATATTTTGCATTGCATATCAATCAATCGGACTTAATATAAACTAATGTGTGAGAAAGCAATTTAAGAATAAAATAAGGCTATGGCATTATATACTAAAATTTTACCTGGAATATAACCTTTTAGCATTACAAAATTTGTCTAAAATCTCAGGCCTATCAAATTTGCTTCACAATCTATTCTTTGGTAAAAAGGAGACGAGCCTTAATATCTATTCATAATAATTAGTGGCCGAGTTGACATCTATAAGAATATTGAAGATTAAAAGTAAATTTAAAACAAAACTGCTCCTAATAATACATTCACCATTGTTCTCAAAAAAATTGTTGTATGGATTTCATTCATATCATTAGCTAAGTTCAATAACTGATGGAGGTGTTGTTGGTTAAGAGGAACTTATTGAAGAATTACATTAGCGAAAATATAATTGTCAATGTGTTGATAACACCATTGCCTATTATATGGAAGCAGAAGTATTCAGAAAAATTCGTAAGAACTTTCCAGATATTGTCAATCTCTTAAAAGAAATTTAAGAATAAAACAACTAATACATCTCTTTAAGATAATAATAAGTCATACAGAGCATTCAAAATTACTAATAATAAATTATTAACACTGCATAGAGCTAAATTACTCCAAAGTCCTTCTATGAATATCTTGATTTAAGGAGAAGACAATTCGATTAAACTAAAGTGCTACGATCTGAAAACAAAAAGCTATTGACTCTCTCATAAAGTGTGAAAAGAAACTAGGAAGCATTCTAATCAAAATATAAAGATAAGTTGCCAAAGGATTATCTTATAGCGAATTCTGAATTACAATAAAATATTCAACAAAAATAAGAAAGACTTTATTACATTAATAATAAAAATCTGTAATATAAAAACTCAAAAAGCAAATTAGGATTGAGTCTCTCTAATGAAATTAAAAACTTAAAACTAAATTTGTCTAAATCTTAACTCAAATTTAATCAATCTGATTAGAATTTAGAAAATATCATAAATGTCTAACATTAATAAAACTAAACTGATGGAACTTCGCTTTCTCCAGATAACAGCTGCAAGTTAGCATAAATTAATCAATCTCAAATAAGCAACTCTATAAAGAAATAGCAAATTTTATTATAAAAGATTTAAACAAGTTTAAAAATAAATAATCATAATAATTCTTAATCAATTCGTCATTTGAAAAGTCTTCATTCTGACAGTAACTTAAAAAAAGGAATTAAAACTGATCAAAGCTTTCTAAATGAGTAATAACCGCAATAATTTTTTATTACATCTTGTAGAAACAAATATGAAAAATCTCCTCAATCATTTCCTAGATTATTATAAATAGAAAATGACAATAATTGATTTTATAAACTTCATTCTTTGAATAAACATCATCTTTAAACCATCTCAATACCACCTCATCCTTGTATTTACTAGGTTTAATTTTGTCAAATATTTATAATTTATTAAATAAAAATAATATATTATTTATATTTTAATGTATCATATTATATTTAAAAGTGCTTTAAAAAGCCTTTAGAACATGATAATAAATTTTAACTTAAAAAATAAATTTGCATAGTAGACACCTATATTCATACAATCTTTCAACATCAATTTCTCAGAGAAACAATTACTATTTAATATTTTTAGAATATAAAGTAACGTTCAATTTTATAAAAATCAGAATATCAAAGTAAAATATCAAAGTAAAAGTAATTCAAGCTGCTCCAGTAAAAAAAATAATCGCGAATATGAATTGAAATAAGATCAATTAATTTATATTCTAAAATACTAGTCTTAAATGAATAAACTTAATTTATACGTTTTTAGATAAATATGGTTTTGAAATTTATTTAGTAGGTTTTCTTAGAACAAAAACCTAGCAGCGGTAATTTATACTACATGATATTAAGGTTTTCGAATATTTATAACATTTCTGAGATTGTATCAATCTTATTTAATTGAAATTAAATACGTAATTCTTGATTTACCATTTATCAATATTTAAGTATTTTTTATATTAAATTGTAATATGGGTTGTTAAGCCATGAAACAGAAAAATCAGGATGTTCAGAAAGGGAATTTGGAAATAATACTCAAATAGCAAATTTATGATATAGTTTAGTAATGTAATATCAATATCCTAATTAATAGAACAACAGATTACTATTGACAGTTAAGAGGAAGTATTCATATACGACTAAACCTTGGAGAAGGAAGTGAAGGTTCCAAAGTTGAGATAACCAAGTATATATTTATTTAAATATGAAAGTATTCAATTCTCTTGTTTAACGAAGAAAGTTGTAGAGATTCTAAGGTAATGTTAAGTTATAAGATAATTGAACTAAAAAATCTGATTAATATTTTGTATTTAGAATCTCTGATTTAAAAAAGTATTTAATTAATATTTTTTGTTGTGTTGTTCAAATTAAGAAAATACTTAAATGAACAAATAGATTACTTAATTTTCTGATTTTTCATTTGATCCAGAGGTAATTATCATTAAGAAAAGTAGTTTGAAATATATACTGATTATTATCAAAATAAAATAGCCCAAGTAACTAATTAGGGAACAGTTCGTATATTCGAATTGATAAATAAAAAAGATAAGCAGATGAAGAGGTTAGCAGCAGAATTCTAAGCGTATGTTTTTATTAATGAAGCCATTAGGGACAAATAAATTCAATGTCATGGTTAAGTCCAAAATATGAAAATTTGATTGCTACTTGTGGTTAAGATAATCAAATCAAAATTTGGAAGGAACAAGCAAACTAATGGAAGGTTGAAAAGGAAATAAAACTAAATAATTTGTAAGCCAATATTATTCAATGGGCGGAAAACAAGTATATTTTGGCAGTCGGATATAATAATGGATACTTGGAAGTAATCGAAGGATAGGAATATAAAGTAACTAATACTAATGCTTATAATTAAACATTATTATGCTTGGATTGGTTAAAGAGTGATTAAGAACAAATTATAGTAACTGGAGGATTAAGTGAGAATCAATCAATTGTTAAAATATGGAATGTGATTTCAGATTCATAAACCATTATTGCTAAGGTCTATGAGTACAAATGCGGATAAGGAATAAGGCATGTCAAATTTGCCCCTCAAATATTCAATTCAGAACTCTAATTAGTAATCAGTTATGAAAGTTGTGTAGAGATTTAGACTCTTCGTTACGATGTTGAATTTGCCAAACCAATAGAATTATAAAAGTCATAAAAAATACTATTGAATGTAAAATATTAACTAAATTAAGAATGTTTGCTAAAAGATTAGTTGGTCAATATTAGGAAATGAGCTTACAATTTATGTTGATAATTAAATGCTTCAATATTACTAAAGCGAAGAAAATGAGTATTTAAGATAAATTTGAATATGTTCAAATTAACAAAATATGTATTATATTAAATATTATTCTTTATTCAATAACATTAGCAATAATACAGCCATTTTATTGTAGCATTAGCACATTCTGCATTTTAAAAGCCTATAAACATTCATATTGAGATATTCAATAAATTCAAATTCTTCATTAAACTATAGATTATAAATTTTGTTATAATTGAGTTTGTATAAAAATTTAAATTGAAGAGAAATGAGAAATAGATATGAATAGTATTATGAAACCAAAAACTAATTGCTTGGATAAGGTGCATTTTCTTAAGTGTTTTTGGGTGTCAAAAAATCTAATTAATAAAAAGTTGCTGTCAAAATTAGTAATAGAAATCTTGCTATCTCTTAACAGGAGAAAATGATCTTAAAACAATTATCTTTATTTAAGCATCAAAATGTAGTTTAATTGCTCGATATTTTTGATTAACCAGAAGCCTTATTTATAGTTTCAGAATATTGTCCTGGTGGTACATTATATGAAATGATGACAACTAAGTCATTTACTGAAGAATAAATAGTCAATATAGCTCTTTAAATTGCTAATGGATTGGCCTTTTTACATAGTAAAAATATTGTCCACAGAGATATTAAGCCTGAGAATATTTTAAGATATGTCGATGAACAAGGAGTTGAGATCTATAAAATAACAGATTTTGGTTTAAGCAGCGTAAAATTAGATAGAATGACTACAACAAAAGTTGGAACAGCATATTATGTAGCTCCAGAAATATTAGAAAAATAACAATATGATAAATCTGTAGATATTTGGGCTTTAGGCTTAATAATTGATGAGTTGATTCATAAAACACCCTTTTATAATGGATTAACTGAAGAAGAGGTATTCGGCAAGATAAGAGCCATTAGTTATATTATAAGAGATAGTTAATATGCAAAACCTGCAATTTTTGATACCAAAAAGAATGTGATTAAAAATATATTGGTTAATTCTATCCAAAAGGATCCTAAATTAAGGAAAGATTTATCTTGGATTATATAGACTTTAAGTGAGTATTATTAACAAAGCCCAAATATTAGTTTCAAAAAAGATTATAGAAATTTATCTCTCTAATCTCAAACTACTTCATGTGAATAACCATAAATGTTTCAAATACCAACATACTCTGCTGATTAGTAATAAACAGAGGAATGTCAATATCATTAATAACCAATCAAATATAAAATTTTAGGAAACGATGAAAATGCTATTTTTAATGCTTGTCAAAAATGCCTATAAATTTATGGGGTTTTTGATCAAGTAGAATTTTAATAATATTTGGAATAGACTAATGTTGAATTGATTAGTTTCTCAGTGGACTTTTATTTCTCTTAAAATGAAATTATCATTGAAGCGCTTAAATTCCTTAATTAATTTAAATTATTCTCAGAGAAGGAGAAACTAATTTCTGAATTGAGAAACATAGTTATCAAACACAATAAAATATTGAGGCAGGAGTATATTTAATATCAAGACGATGTATAATCAATGAATATTAATGCAAAGTGGATAAACGATGCCTTAAAAATGAATTAGACAATTTCTAAAGACATGCCAAATAAAATAATTCTATACTTAATAACTAAATGTCAAGAGAGGAAGGATATATCACTTATAGAATGTAGAGAATTCATCAAAGAATAACTTAAATCACTATAATAATACATAGTTTCTTTATTATGAATATTATTTATAAAAATAATTTATGATTTCAAGAGAAGATTTTACAATAGCTTAAGACATTAAAGAGGAATATCTTTGTGGTATCTGTTATTAATTAGCTCTTAATGCTGTTGAGTGTCAAAAATGTGAAACTCTCTTTTGTAATCAATGTTCTATGGATTGGAAAAAAAAAAATGATATGTATCACCATAAATAAATATTATAAGTTGTCCTAATAAATGCGAAGAACCTTTTGATTTAAAGCAAGCACACAGAATGATTAGATCAGAAATACTTAAAATAAAATGTTTGTGTAAATACAATAAATTCGGCTGCAAGGAGTCATTGGTTATAGATCAAATTCTTTAGCATTTACAGAAATGCGAATTTATCCCAGTCAGGTGCTGTTAATAATGCGAATGGGAAGGTTAAGCAAAAGAGTTAGAAAATCATGTATTAAATTGTTTAAAATTTAGCAAGAAATATGCAATTTTATATTACATGTAAAATGCAAATAATGCAAATAAAAGGTATTAAAAGAATAAAGAGAGACACATAATTGTTTTGACACATTAGTCAACTTAATTACAAATTTATAATTAGAGTTATCTGAGGTGAAGAAGAATTCATAAATTAAAATAAATGAACTTGAAAATAAGCTAGAAGACTAATAATAATTATATAGTTCAGTTATTAAATCATCATAATTCATTTTAGAAAAATAATAGGAATAGATAAATAGTCTTTCAGCTATTAAATCTGATAAACCTCCTGATTCCATAATCTTAAATTCATTTTATAAAACATCTTAAAAGTCTGTAATATAATAACAACAATAGCTATAACAATAAAAGCAATAATAACAATAATAATAATAATAATAATAATAATAATAATAATAATAATAATAATAATAATAATAATAATAATAATAATAATAATAATAATAATAATAATAATAATAATAATAATAATAATAATAATAATAATAATAATAATAATAATAATAATAATAATAATAATAATAATAATAATAATAATAATAATAATAATAATAATAATAATAATAATAATAATAATAATAATAATAATAATAATAATAATAATAATAATAATAATAATAATAATAATAATAATAATAATAATAATAATAATAATAATAATAATAATAATAATAATAATAATAATAATAATAATAATAATAATAATAATAATAATAATAATAATAATAATAATAATAATAATAATAATAATAATAATAATAATAATAATAATAATAATAATAATAATAATAATAATAATAATAATAATAATAATAATAATAATAATAATAATAATAATAATAATAATAATAATAATAATAATAATAATAATAATAATAATAATAATAATAATAATAATAATAATAATAATAATAATAATAATAATAATAATAATAATAATAATAATAATAATAATAATAATAATAATAATAATAATAATAATAATAATAATAATAATAATAATAATAATAATAATAATAATAATAATAATAATAATAATAATAATAATAATAATAATAATAATAATAATAATAATAATAATAATAATAATAATAATAATAATAGTAATAATAGCAATAATAGTAGTAAGAATAATTTTAAAAACCTCCATTTATCTAGAGACAAATTCCAATATTTAAAACTTGTGGAAAATTGGGAGAAATTAGTAAAGATAAAATGTGTAAATAAAAACATTTATTACGTTTTTGGTTAACTCCAGGTATTGACGCTAGTAGATAAACTTGCAATAATTGTTTAAAAAATCAGATTTGCAGATACATTTGTGAAACTTGTTCTGAATATTATTGTTTAATTTGTGCTCCACCAGATAACATGTGCAAAGGAAAAAGCTATCCTTCATATTGTCCAACTGGTCATAAAATGGAAGTTAGAAAAGGTGTGGGTTATGTATGTGATGTTTGTGGATAAAGTGGCTCAGATATGCCAAATAGCAAAACTTAATGCTGCTAGCAATGTGATTTTGATATTTGCTAAAATTGTTAAGAACAGATGATTAAGAATAAAGAATGTACCATATTTTGAAAGTTGATATAATTTATTCTTAAATTTGCTTTAAATATAAAGTTATGATTATTTTTATTAATAAAACAGTTGTTTTGAATATACTTTCATGAAAAATAGAATTACAATATTAATCTATTTAATGATATTAATAAATCTTAATTAGAAAATTTTTATTTGTATCAATTTAATTTCAAGTCAGAATTCTTGAATAATAATATTATTTCTATAAGGACAATAAATCTAGGGGTTTAAACATCCAATACGATAATAAATCTAAGATCGAAAATATGAGAATGGCATATTATTTTTTTTTTATCCTAATATTTGCTAAAACAATTTAATATAAGTAGATCTTTAAATTTGAAAAGATTTCTCATTCTCTAAATTCATAAGATTTTACATAATATTAATTGGTTAGTGTATCTCTATCAAATAAACTACTTAAATTTTACCTTAAGAATAATTTGGCTTTAATAATTTATTAATCATAATAATGCAATTCAATTCAAAATAAAATGTTTAATAAATTTTACACTTTACTGTCATTAGAAAACACTTTTTTCTTGATAGATTTTATTATTTGAAACTAGAAAAAGAATTTATCATAATGAGCTCTGTAAGTTATAAATTTTATATCAAAGGAAAAAGATTTTAAGAATCCAAAATATAATTTACAATTATCTTCCGAAACCGAATTCGAGTGGATTATAAGAAATCAATAATTAGTTGGTTTTCTATTTCCTTACAAAAATAAGATTAAGGAGTTTTATGCCGATAAAAGTCATTTGAATGATCTAAAATCACGACTTGGAAAAATACTCCTTTTTAAATCTCTCTTGATCCATTATAAATTTTTACAATATTTAGATTAAGGAGCATTTGGCTCAGTAAGATTATTAATATTTAAGGTGTCATTACAATACAATTTTACAACAGAAAATAAATTTGCCATCAAAACTCTGACTGTTTCTAACAAATATTTGTTGAAATATATTATGAATGAGATTACAATTTTGAGAAGCCTAGATCACCCTAATATTCTTAAATTATATGAGGTTTTTAAGACTAATTCTACATATTCTCTAGTGACCGAGTTTATTGATGGGAAAAACCTAAAATAATTATCTAATGATTGTCCTCTAATGTAAGATAATTCAATATTAGATTTGCTCAAGGTAACCATAACATACATAACATAGCAATTATTTGAAGCCTTATGTTTTATACATAGGAACAACATAATTCATAGAGATATTAAATTGGCTAATTTGATACTTTAGTAGGATGGAGTATTGAAAATAATTGATTTTGGATTGGCTTGCTTTGATGGAGAGTAATTAAAAAACCATCCAAAATGTGGCACTCCTGGCTATTGTGCTCCTGAAATCCTGTAGAATGTAGGAAATAAAAATCAATATGATTCCAAAGTTGATGTTTTTAGTGCCGGCTGTGTACTATAAAAATTACTGATCTTTAAAAGTTTATTTGAAACAGAGACTTTAAAGGAAGTTTAAAAAAAAAATAAAAATTGCTCATTTCAGATAAAAGAAAAGGGTAGACTATTTGACTTGATGAAAATTTTAGTTAAATAAAATCCTTAAGATAGACCAACAAGTAAGTAGGTCCTTTAATTAATTTAAAATATGATAGATGATGTTTCATTTGATGTAAACACTTGGTACAGAAATACATTTAATTGGAATTAATCTACATCCATTTTGTTTAGTAACACTCCTAAAAATGGAAATATTAGTAAATCACTTTTTAAGACCCAATCTACTCCAAATAGTTCAATGTAGTTTATTTCAAGCACAATGAACAAAATTATTAAATGAAAATCTGCGATTGATAATATTTTTTAATTTTTTATAATTTAATAATAACATTTATGGGAGATGTATTTTATAAAATGTAAATGATTGATTAAATTAATTAATTTAGCGAATTTATAATATTTTTTTTCAGTTGAATCCATAAGCTAATTATTTTGTGAACTCTTGTAATTACTAATACTCCAAAATCAAAGATTTTATCTATTAGATTAATTGAATAATTTACTTCAAAAGGAAATTAAGTTTTAAAGTTTAACTTGGAATTGTCAATAGTGCAACAAAACTCTGTTGTACAAGCCTTCATCTCAAAGAGCTTTCCATATTGACATGTAAAAACTACAGTCTTGTTTTCTGGTTTCATGAGGTGAAATCCATTGTAATTTAATCCAATAAAGATATTATTACTCTTAACTTAAAGTTTAAACTTCTTCTACAATACTGAAATGGTTTCCCTGTTACATTCTACAAAAAATAATGACATTCCATAAAGTTAATTGTTTTTAAAGAAATTCATAATAATTAATTAGGCTATACCTGTTATAGAGGTCTGCAACTTTTTGTTTTAATTAATTGATAATTAATAGTTCTCTTTTTAAACTAACTTTAATTATTATTATAAAGAGTTGATATTATTAACCACTTCTTTTAGCCAAATTTCTTCTTTTTTACTTTATAAAGTATTCTTAGGGATTGTTTTAGTTAGGAGTGTTGAAAGTTAATCTTGACTTGTATTTGTAGAATAGAAAAATAAAGCAGACAATAAACAAAATTCATTGAAATTGAATTAGTATTTTTCATTTCTTGTTTCCCAAATTAAATCATAAACCATATATCTGAGTCTTTATTCGTCTTATTTATAATCAGCTTCTTCCTATTTCTAAGACAAGAAGAAGTATTTTCTAAAGATAAATTAGAATTTTTATTCATAGGTAAATAACTTCTTAAATGCATTCATAAAACCATTATTTTGATTTTTATGAGCATCCAATATCGATGACATTGTTTCATCGTCATCTATAACTCTTTAGTCTCTATTCTAATCTACAATAAACAATCTAAAATCTAGCCATTATTTTAATCCAACAAATTTGGCAACTTCATTTTTAATAAATAATGTTAAGGTTTGCTTTTTAAATCCAACAGCAATTGTACGACCATCCATCAAGCTTACATCTATAAAATATGGTTATTTGTTAGCAGCCGGTCCAATTACAATTGAATTATCTTATTCTATATTTATTAGACTTGATCTCTAGGCTTATGCTTTTGCTGCTTATAGAATGTTTGTTGATTATCTATTCATTATCATTGATTAAAGTAGATTAGGTTAAATGCTACCAGAAAATTGACTTTATAATATCATTTTCATCATGTCTTCTTCCCCTAATTTAACTTAGGATGTCATATTCTTTTTTTTAGGAATCTAATAGAAATCCTAACTTAAACTTAACAGTTCTAAAACCTATTTCTAGTATTCAATATTGTTTTGACATTTAAAGGAATTCAACACTGATGATAAGAATTTCTCAATTAATATTTTTCTTTCTTCTATTACTTTTGAATCATTTGAGTGGAACCAATTTAAGGTTGAAAATACTGGTACTTTTAAACTTGAATCAAATTTATTGACAATCGATTGTAGTGAAACTATCTAACTGTATCTTACAAATATTTTTGTTTGACATTCTTAGATATATATTTATACAATATAAATTGTATATGGATTAGGTTTGTTATTTCTTGTTTCTGTTCCAATAATAACTACTTTTATTTCATACTCTAATTTTTATTATTCTTGCAAAAGATCCTTAGCTTCAGATATTGAACTAGCAGTTTTTTTTAGATACTACATGTTTATTTGTTTTTGTTTCAATTCTTGAATGATGTCTTCAATCTTCTTCATTAATAATTATTTTGATTCTTTATCTTGATTGATTATAATGATAGATTCAGTCTTATTTACAACTTCAAAAAAGTGTTCAAAATGGTTTGTATCTTCTTTATCTTTAACATAAGATAGATAAGTTAGTTAAATATGAAAAGCATAGGCCTACTACCCATTTAATTTCTTTTAAGCAAATAATAATAGGTTATTAAATGCATACATAAGGATATTATTCTCTTTTTTGTCAGTATAAATGGAACAAAATTCTTCAAAGCAATAGACTCGATTAGGTTCAGCAATCTTTACATATTGGCTAAATTAATTTTATAGTTCTATTATTTTTAATTATTCTAAATAAACCTTCATTTCATTGTTATTTTTATCATTAATTTCTTCAAAAAACTTTAAACATTATTCGATATTTTTGAAATCTGGATGATCTTTACTAGTGTGTTTTAATAGATCTTTATATAATAATATATATTTAGGTAATCTTTAGACAGGTTTAATCAAATAACTTTCTACATCTAAATTGCTGAGTTATGTATTCTATTTTTTTTTGAGATCCATGAAAAATTTTTTATAGACTTAATTTGTATTGGAATAATTATCTCTCATTTTTTTAGAAGCATCAAACTCCTTACAATAATCATAATAAAATTTGAAACCTGCCAATAAAACAGTGATCTAATCCATAATTTTATCATAAGGTTTCTCATTAACAATCTTCTCCTTTGTTTTAAGAATTTTCAAAAACTCAAAGTTAAAGTAATAAATACTATCCAAATTAAACATAAACTTCACATGATCTTGGTTTTCTATTATTTTTAAAAGAGGTTACTAAACATTTTCTTTGATAACTAATAAATCATTGACATATTTATTTTCAGTTGATATTAATTCATTTATCACATTTACTCTATACCTATGTTATTTCCTAAGTTTTTTAAATGGTTTGACATATCTGAACTAAATTTAAATTCTTCTCACTTTACGAATATAGACATCATCTTCCCTTATAATTACTGGTGTCTAATTGATGAAAACAATCTTAGATTTGAATATATCATCCTGCTAATTGCTTTTGGATGAGTTATTAAGAGACTTTTGCAATTTAAGTTGCTTTTATATGGATTAAGTAAATTTTGTTTGCATAACACTCATCATAATTCTGTTTTCAGCTGTTACTTCATTAGCTTATTAAGAGACTCCCCCAATCTCTTAAATTACTTCATCGGCAAGCTCCTCTTTATTAGAATCTTCATCTTCAGAATCTACTTGAGTAATTAACACAACTCCAAAAGATGACTTATTAATTAATTTATCTTTCTAAATGTTTTATCGGTTTAAACTGTAGTTAATTTAACTCTATTTTAAAACCTCTTCAAAATCTAATGGCTTCAAATTATCCACTTCTTCTTCTTTTTAGATCTTTTTTTCCTAAAATTATTCTTTCTTAGGATTATTGGGGGTTTATTTTTTCGAAGCCCATACCTTGACTTCAGCTTCCTCATCATCATCATCCTCTTCTTATTTTTCATTTATATCTTAATTACCGTCTTCATCATCTGAATTCACAATTTGAGATTTATATTTTCTAAATTTTCAAAGAATAATTTACACAATAGCTGCTGTTTTTGGTTAAATGGATTTTCTGAAGGCTTAAAATTATCGACTTCGCATTAATTCCGTTTCATCTACTTCCTCCTTGCTTATCTCTTCTTACAAGGATTATCTATTATTTTACATTATTTCACGATCTTAACTAACTTCTACCTTCTAATGAGGTTACTAATTAAAATTGATATCCTATTATCTCTAATTCGAATTCTTAGATTGTTCCTAATAATTGTTTCTTTGCCTAACATAAAGTATATGACATACATATTGCAATATTAAGTATTATTATAATATTATAATATCTCTCAGTCTATATTCTTTATTTTAGTTAAAATGAAATATGGAAATATGATTTTTGTTATTTATATAGATAAATCATTCGGTCATACATAAAGTTGATACTATCATATTTAATTGGATTTGAAGTAAGTTTGTGCTATCACACATCTCTCCAAACAATTTAACGTATTTAAGACCATAGTCAGTCAACTTTGTGCATTTGTCTTCAAATGTTTCAATTGCAGACTTAAGGCACTTCTAGTTCAAGGCAAAGTGATAATCTCCTCTCAATTTCAATGTTTTTTACAATTCACCAAACTAAAGTAAATTATAAGATATACAATTGTGTCAAAGTATGCTCTTGATTTGATCTCATTTTCTAATTCAATGAAGTCTTCCAAATCACCTGTCTGATTGTATCTATTTTAATAGAATAACAATTTATTGTCTCTTGAATCCCATCTTGAAACATTCTATATTTTTTATAATTATTTATATACCTCGTTATTCATGAAAAAGGTATCCTTAGGACACATCTTTCTTTTCTCTTAGAATCTACGTCCCCAAAAGAAATCTTTAATTGTATCACTGGCAAATGAGACATCACCCCATTACATGACATTTGAGTTCAATGTATTCTCTCTAATAAATTCAAAATGTTCTTGGAGAGATTATGAAAAATCACCAAGATCCACATTTTCTAAGAAAGTGACTGAAAATTCATCTCCCAAACAAGTTCCTAGATTCTTTCCATTGACGATATCATCAGGTGGACAATATGTACCCCAGGATGATTCATATGGATTGGCAGCTGACAATGCATAAATTCTATGATTTGTTGGTAGATTGACAAACATGGATCCAGATTCGCATGTTTCCAAATAGAATACAAGCTTGTTGTATCTATCGTTCTCATACATGTATTAAAAGGTTTCTAATAATTCTTATTCATAGAGGTAAGATGTTGGGAAGGCTATTAAACCTGGAGATCCGTGATCTGAGAAATACACAAAAATGTTATCTTCTCTTGTGGAGTTAATGAACTTATGACCATCTGGCAAGTGATCATAATTTCCTTTCAAAACATTGAGAAAATTTGTTGGGTTGACATCAGTCTTAGTGTAATCGATAACACAACCCTCATAAACATTTTCTGAAAATCCATCTTTATTTGGTTAGTTATAGATAGCTCCTTTGTAGATGTTTTATCTATTCTAAGCTATATCATCATATGCAAAAACAATGACATTCTCAGGAGAATAACCATTTCTAATTAATGTTTTGTATGAATGGCACACATCAGCTTGATGTCTATAGTTATAGAATGCATTTGAACCTGAAACCAATAATGCCCAATTAACAGCATTTACTTGGATCAGTCCAATAGTCAACAATAACAAAATATATTTCATTAAAATAATGGTTATATCAAAGATAATTTCTTCTTTTCTTTAATGTGTTGACGTCATAATGATCATAATATTTAATAATTCAATTATAATACTTAATTGGAAGATCTCTATGACATTAACATAAATATCTATAAATAGTAAATTTATTATAAATTTGATTGAAATTACAAAAAAATGAATATCACTCATGATTTTATTACTATTCTTATTATTATTATAGTAATTGTTTTAGAAATACAATTTCACTTCTTAAACTTTTTTTTTATTGTTTCCAAATCATTTCTTTGGTTTAGTATGCCTTCAAAATTTGAGCTGCATACAAATATAATTTGTTCAATTATTATGAATCATAATATTATGAATGAGATTGTTATTATTTATTTTCGGATAGATATATTTGTTTTTCTTATTTTTATTCTTGGTTTCTTGCTGATCTGCATACAACTAACTTTGTACCTTCTCCAGTTCCAGCCTCTAATTAAAGTATTGTAAATTACATTTTTAATAATTCCTCTTTTGAACATATTACCCTAATATTTCATTTAATGAGCTAAATACATTCATACCTTTGGGATATTTGATTGATTTTTAAGATTATTGCGATTTCTAATTAGGACAATAATGCAAAGGACTCATTTAATTGACATTCTTTGCACTCTAAGGATGCTTCTAAATGTCAGTGCTTTCTTCAACATTAATTTAAGGAGGTCTCTTTTTTTGAAAACTATTTCTCGCAGATAGTTGTTATTATGACAATAAAAGATAATTTAGACTATGATGAGGTTTTAAAGTTGATTTGATGGATTTCTCTTTGCTACTGTTGAGCACAGATATCAATTCATTTTTAACACTGTAATTGGGTTCGTTTGATAAAGATGGTTTAGAGATGAAATTTTTGAATTCATTTTTATTAATCGATCTACAATTCTTACTATTCTGATTCGATTTGGGCTTTGAATCATTTTAACTTTATTTCTTACTAAATCATAAAATTCTTACATTATTGGAGGAATTCTAAGACAATAATTTAGAAAGTGCTGTTATAGCTTTAGGTGTTATTTACATAAATTTATTATATTATTTTAAAATACAATTCATCACTCAGTTTCCTCATCGTAATTCCATAATCCCTTGCTATTATTTTCAGCCTCCTGACTTGCTTTAAGCCATTCCTCTAATTTTTAAGGTAAAGGAGGAGCCTACAAATATTAAATCATTTTATTTACTGTTTTATCAAGTTTAGCAAAGCCTTATGCTAACAAAAGAATGTTAAGTGATTTATTGGGTTGATTCTCTTTGGTCAAATAGACAATGACTCCTTTGCTAATATCATCCTAATACTCAAAAGAAACAACGACTTCCTTTTCGAAGATTTAGTCTCTGATGAATTATCCAACCTTGAAAATTACTCAAAATTAATACTTTGTTGCCTAGCTCATGACTTATCGTAGGTCCATTGACATAAGCTAAACTACATCTAATAGCTTAAGGAGGCAAAGCAGCCAAATTTTCAGGAAGTTTTCTGATATCATTTTGTGAGACAATATCAACATTTCCATAATCAACGAATAAGACTTCATATCTATTCTTTAACTCTCTTGTAATTTTAGCTCTATACCAGTTGCCATCAACAGAGAATTTAGCAATACAAAGCAAACCCTTTTTGAATGGTGGAATCAATTTATTGGCTTCAGTAGCTGTAAATGATCCAAGACTCTTTTCAATTTATCCTAACAATTTATCTGTTGGATCTTAGAAGTAAAGAGTATTGCTATCTGCGATTTCAACCAATACAAGTTTTTTCAACTAAAATGATAAGTTTATAAATTACTTCTCCATTCAATAGTTTGATTTCAGATCTAACAGGCACATCATCATCACCCTTTACAATAGTTAAATCTAATCCTTTGATATCCCATAAACCTTCTCTCTTCAATTTAGCCTTTGATTCAGCATCAGCAAATAATGCTTGATATGCGTGACTATTAGCAACTGGGTTAAATGTAACTGCTAATCCCAATTCAAGAAGTGTTAATCCTAAGTTGGTTCTTTATTTGCCAATGAAGACATGACCGTGGAAGATACCCTTTTTATCGATAGATGTCAATTCGATATCGACATCTCTTTGAAGAGCATTTTCTTTGACATATTACAAAGCAATATTTGAGAATTTTTAGAATTCTGGTAGATTTTACTCGTTTGGTAAGCATTTGACTCCAGCAAGTACAACAATGGAAGTAAAGTTTTATTCATGGAATCTCAATTTTAATCTGGATCCATTCAACACTAATTCAACAACTCCAGACAGTTTTCTTAATGTTCTTAAAGAATCAAATGCATCTCTAGATCTTTATAAGTTAGGATTAACAGATAAATCAGTCGTTTTAGGCAATTAAACTGGTTTACCATGGACTCCCTTTTTAGCCTTATTTGCTGCTTCTTAAGCTCCTGTTAATTCATCAATGTATCTAGAAACTCCATCATCTCCTCTAGGAGGTTGAACAGTTGCAAATCCTGCTCCTACAACTAAGGCAGCTAAATTTTAGTCGCCATCTTCTGTTAATATAATGTTAACGAAGATCATATTTAATTCTTATTATAACTTTTTCTTATCATCATCATCAGCCAATCCTTCAATATCTTTTGGTTTAATTTTCTTTTCATATTCAACTTCCACTTTAACTGTTTTACCAATAGCATGTTTTCTAACAAATTCTTTAGCTTCATATCCAAAAGGTTAAGTTTCCTTTAGTGAATATTTTGGAGCCTTGATTGATGCCAATAGCACTCTTGATTATTATCTATTGTTGACGTTCATGACAGTCAATTGATCTCCCGAATGGACTTCAATAATTTTGGCTTAATATGTCTATTTGCCACCTTATAAGACTACTGCTTATTATTGTTGTTATTATTTCATGGCATCCTTCCATATTCCAATCAATTTAATTTCAGCTTGACTTTAAGTCTCCTTCAATTCATTGTATCTATTAAAATTTGATTAATTGTATACCTCTTTTGATCGTTGATTAATTAAAATGCATTTGGCGATAATCTAAAGTATCCCAAACTCACAAGTTCTTTCTTTACATCTAAATCTTTCTTTTTGATATCCACTCTCAAAGACTAAAACTTTTCATCTTGGCCTTGGACTGTCAAGGTGACCTCTTATTGAAGGATCAACTCTTAGATTGTCCATTTAGCTCTATTTTACAACACTTATGAAACTGAGGTTGGCATAAAGACTTCTCCGTATGAGCATTTGACTAAACCTTGTAATTCTGGGATGTAAGCATAAAATACAAACAATCCTTGTACATCTTCAACAAAACATTAAGTATATTATTTAGGTTTCACGTCCTTCAAGTCAATTTTATTATATTTGACTAATTCCTCTCTCTTTGACCATATACCCTTTCCATTCTATTTAGCCAAATTTTATGCATTCTCGTATTCCTGACTTGGCTTTCCTTATTATCTTAATTAGGCCAATCCTTCTCTTAATTACAATTCTCCAATATCCTATCCATTTTTAAAGATTCTACCAATGACTTTATCATTTTGGTCTTTGATCTTGTGTTCAATTGTGAATTCAATTTATTATCCTAATACTTACTTTCTCAAGAATTCCCTTGCTAAAAATCCAAAGGGCTCTTATTTTGGATTCTCCTTATCTGTCAATGAGAATTCTGGTGCCTGAATTCCTTACAAAGTCAAGAATTTAGTCATTGGCACTCCTGTCTCATTATTAATTGGTCCAGATATTAACACACAATTCGAGGATACTATTTACTTTACTGCTCCTTATTTTTTTTCCATTTTAATTAATTTAATATACGTGGATTATTAATTAAATTTAAATAAAGAGAACAATAGGTATTATATTGGATCAACAAGTTTAATATGATTATCTTAACAGATTCAATATTAGAGCCTTGTAACTTGATTTAATTCTCTCGGTCTTATTATTTAATTGTGAAGTATCAATCTTACACTTGGATAGATTTAACTTTTTTTTGTAGTATGGAAATTGAAAAGATTCAAAATTCTTGCATTCCTCATTCTTTATAAACGGTCTTGCTGTTAATTATGAGATTAATTTGTAATAGGAATCCGATAGATTTAGTGTAATATTTGTAGAGCTTGATTTTTGGTGTTGTCTTATTTCTCTTAGAAATGAATACACCTGAAAGTCAACAGGCTTATTTTGAATATGTGAATTTGCCAATCTCTCTAGATACGTCATGTATCTACAAATGTATCTCAAAATCAAAATGGCAATTAGACTAGTACCAAAGGCAGCTGATAATTGAATAATCAGCAATGTTGCAATTTGATTGTTCTTCTGATCCCTTATCCAAATTAGCTGGTTTTCTAGATCTTTGTCCTGCTCTAAATTCTTTAATCTTAAAATAAACACTTTTTTACATAATCAATATTAAATTGGAAAACCGCAAAAATCTCCCAAATATCATAACATTTAGCTCTGTAATTTTATTGTATCTACATAAATATTAAGAATTGGTAGTTGTGCAATTCGAATCTAAAATATTGTTATCCATGTAATTCTTTACAGAGTTCCAATCATATTCATTGAAACCTGTCAGACTTTCATTAAAAAAATAAACATTAGTTCTGTTTGGTTAAAAATACATTTATACATTTCCAATCAATATTAGTCCATCTTAGTTGAGAATTAGGAAATTTTCTTAAAAGAACTTCTTAATTATTTTAAATTCAAATTACGTGGCTACAATTCCATCTGTTACGTCTGTTGTAAGGTTTTTTGAAATTGTGACTTTATATTCTTTTTCAAAGTTAAAAAACACATCACTAAAAATATACTGAGATGAATTAGCTTTTTTGATATGATTTATATAAAATGGCCTTGTAGCAATATCAAAAGTAGAATAATAACCTATAGCCTAGTAGGCTGAAAAATAAGATTCCTTGCTGTACCCTATGGACCAATTTCCAATAATAAATTATTCAGGATCAAAAAGCAACAACAGTTCCTACAACAAACTCTAATGTTTCAAATAGTAGAATAAATGTTTTTATTGTATTTAATTCAACTCCTATCCACTCTATTAGTTGAAAATATTATAGCAAATATTCGATTTCCTATAGTTCTGAGTTTAGTTTATTGGACATTAATCACTTTTAGAGCTCACAAAAGTCATTTCAGATTACACAAATTTAAATAAATTTGCAATTGTATCAAGAGCTCGATAATCTTCAATATTTCGATATTGTACTTTTATTAATAACATCAAAAAACAAATGCATTTGTGCTTCAAACTAATTTGATATTTAATTATCTGTCAATTTAGTTGATATCTATTAAGTAATCTAAACTAACTCTTGATACACAATATTCTGAGTGACGACGAGAATAATCCCAATCAATAATGTAGAGAATAGAGATAACAGTAAAAAGTAGAGTTTCAGCTAATTTCTCATTCTCCATTTTTAGATTGATTTGAACATTTCAAAGAAAATATTTAACTAATAATTTTTAATATATCACAACAAAACACTATTACTCAATAATTTTCTAATTTTTACTTTTGCTTTTGTTTTTTTTTATATTCTTTTTTATCTTTCTTAGAAAGCAACTCAAACTCATCTGAATCTAATTCTCTCTCTTCAACTGGTTACAATGCTCTAAATTCGTCTTTGAACACCAAATTTTCTTGTTAATAATTTTCCTCTTTTTCCTGTACCTATTTTCCTAACTTATATCCTAACACATGGACTGATGTAGATTCATCCCCAAGACATATTAAATGAGTAAAGTTATTTTCATCCATGATAAATTTGCATTGGCATTAGTTTTGTTTTCCTTTCAAAGAAGCAATCAAAATCTTCTTATTGCTAGAAAGTCCATAAATCTTTGCTTCGCCTGTGCCAACTAAAACTATTTAAGTAAATGTATAACAGAGCAAACCATTTTCCTCTTTGTAGGTAAATTTCTGTTTGTCTCTTAGAGAAAGTCCAAAAAATGTTCTTTTTATCATTTATTTAATTTAATGTCATAATAAGAGGAAATTTAGCAATAACCTCAAATAAAGCCATCTCCTGATTGCATCGAATTCAAACTTAATTTTTATCATCTTCACGGCATCTAAAATTGCCCTTTCTGTAATAAACCACAGGAATAATAATAGATTCCAAAGGAGCTTACTAATAAAGAAATTGAAGAATATGAAGCTAATGTACTTCAAAAACAAAAAGATGTATTGAATTCCCTTAATACAACCAGCTATTATTGATATCGATCCTGAGGACCCTGATTAGATGATGGATTTATTTGAAAAATATAAAGATTGTCCTTGTTGCAAGGGTTTCGTATTGAATTGCGAAGGTGCCATTTGCGATAAATTAGGGTTGTGCTATTGCATATAAAAGGACTTATAAGACCGTCAAAATTGATTTAAAAATAAAAATTATATATGTTTAGATTTCTTTCCTTCAATAGTATTATGGATATTAAACTACTAATTATATTTTATTATTATTGGGAAATGCATTCAAATAATTAAATAAATTTTATTTATAATGAAGGGTTTCCATATGCTGAAATACACCTTACCTGGAGAGTAACCAATTAGTTTAGTGTTGTCAGAGAAAGAAAGAGGAAAGTTATTCCTTGGAAATTTAGATTGCTTACATAATTAAGAAATTTTGGAAATCAATAACGTAAATTGCATATTGTCCATCTGCACAGAAGAAAGTAATAAGTTTCAATACTTAGAAATCATGATGGGCCCTAAATACAAATAAATTTATTTGGACATTCATGACAATATGAATTCTCAAATCAGTAATGTTTTCGAAAGATCTTTCTTATTCATCGAAAAAGCATTGAAATCTTAATAAAATGTTCTTGTTCATTGTGCAGCAGGCATCTCAAGATCAGCTACCCTAGTTTTAGCCTATCTCATGAAAAGCTATCAATATACAGTAGAACAAGCACTAAGGTTTCTAAAATAAAAAAGACCATATGTAAGACCAAACCCAGGGTTCTTGCTGTAATTACTCGATTATGAAACGTAATTAATTGTTGTGAGTGTAGAATGTTATATGGATGCATCACAAGCAATTTGGGACCAGACCTGACTCCTTTTGACATTTAAAGAGAGCCTTAATATAAGCCTTAGCCTAAAGTGGATTTAAGGAAGAGTCTACCACTTAAATAAGTGCCTGGTCCCTCACCTGTTGCAAGAGTAGATAGGAAGACACATACAGAAATCTTAACAAGAGTTTCATAATCAATATCTACATTCTAGCCGAAAGCCTTTAAGTCCTGATTGATTTTAGTTGACATTTTTTATTTGTGTAATTAAAAATCTTAATGAAATTATTTCATTCTATATACAATAAACAAAAATATCAATAGAGGATACTTTAGGAATAAATTAGCGATGAGAAGAGTTGGGCAGCTTTTACATTTGTGGAAATGATGTTATCTTCACTATCCGATTCTTGTGGATTCTCGTTTTCAATGACTTTCTTATTAAATTAATTTTCAATATCGCATAGAGACAAGGCTTTCTCTAAGTCAACTTGACCATAGGATAGTTATATAGCCAATATACAAGATTTTAGATTATCTAATATTATAATATTAATTTTATACCTGCTTGAGAACTGAGACTGACTAATTACCAATTATTCAATCCTCTGATTAAGGATTCAATTTTGACTATATTTTGTTGGCTTAGTGATCCAATCTGAACTCCATCATTTGGTTAAATGTCCATTCCGAATTTAGAATTGAAGAATCTTAATTGTGGATCCAATTATTGTTACTGAATTTAGAGAAGTTGGGACTTTTAGTTTCTACGATGTAGAATAACATCATTTTCTAGATGGTTAACAATAGCTTTTTCTATGTATTCTCTATTGGTTGCATCGTAATCTAAATCAATAGCATTTCTAGCAAGCATTAAAAGAGGCATTTGTTTGAAACTCAAGTATTCTTTCTGTCGATTGAATTCTGATGCTATGCAGGCAGCCAATTATGGAGAAGGGACTGCCAAGATGTTGCGTTGCTGAGTCTTGACACTTTTGCCATCAAGCTAAAAATATAAAATTTAAGATTACTTTGATGAACCATTGGTGATATGGGTTGATCGGATTTATGGCCATTTCCACAGTGGCTTCCTTGTATGATCGTTTTAGATAAGTCTGAGATTGTATGGAGACTTATTCAGCGAATGCAAAGCGTATTATAAATCCTCTCATTAATTTTTATTATTGAATAATGATGATTTCAAACTATGATACTTTAATATAGGTTATTAGACAGGGATGACGCAGTATTTATTATCAAATTCCCGTAATAAATTTTTATGGTCGCTCTCATTTGTATAGAATTTCCCATATCTCGCTGAGCTTACTTCAAATTTATCACCCTCCAAACCATCCTTGCTGCCAAATGGGTTTGTTTTTTGTAAATACCTCAGACTGTATTTACCAAATCTCTTTTGATGTTCTTAAATTGTCAAATATTAAAGTACCTATACTGATTGTTGTCTTCATTGGTTCAACATCTAAGGACTTCTTATTAGATAATACATAAAAATAACTTTTAAATTCAAAATTTTGGGTAAGATTTGCTTATTTTCAGTTTCACAATTCTGATTCTACACCTCAACATTCTCCTCTCCTTTCCATTGCAAATTTATTTACACTTTCAAATTCTTGTGATCTAAGACTTCGTTTTTGGAAATTACCTTACAGTTACTTTCTGCCATAATTGCCTTCCCCATCAAACATTATGTAATTGGGCATGGGCCTAGACTTATAGTAATGATGTGTGCTCTTACTCCAATTATCTTCTGCAATTGTTTGGTTGCTCCTTTCTCATTTAATTATTTCTCACTCTCTTTATTCATTAATTACAATAATATTAATTAATGGACCTAGACTTCATTTTTTTCCCTGCTCCAAAGCAAATATCCAATGAGCATGAACAAGGACAAATATTATGGATTCCCAAGTACAAAAAACTTTATCCGACCTTCTAAAATTACGTCCCCAGAACAACAAAAAAACGAGGAATGTACTTTAAGTAGAGTGAATTGGAATTTGAAGATGAGCATTTCTTTAATGAAGAACCCACGTAATCTTTATTTATTCAACTCCAATAGCGAATCTCAATTATAACCCATCCCTAATTTTCCTTGCAAACCTCTTACTTAGAGGTAGAGAAGAAGATAAACTAGTGAAATTAATTCACCCTCATTTGATTCTAACGAGGGAAGTCCTGATGTTTCATCCAAATTGTAAAAATTAAACATGCAATCCATTTAAATTACAACCAAAAAGCCTCAATTGTGTAGGATGTCATCCAATTTCTATCCAATCAAAAAAACCAAATACGAAAAAAGCATCTGTTTCAGTCAACCTCTCATTAAATTGCCCAAGGAATTAATTGATAAAAAGAAAGAAAAATTATTAGAAGATGAACCCATCCCTCCAAGATCCAACTCCAGAGAATCACATCATATCTTCGGACATATCCCATGCATGTATGTAGATTCAAGAATTCATTCTCCCAACATTGTAATGTATTTCCATGCCAATTGCGAAGATATAACTTAATCATATAAGTTCCTTATTCATCTGAGAGACAACTTACAAGTACTAATCCCATAATTAGCCTTAGGTATCAGCCATAGCCATGGAATACCCCGGATATGGTAAGTACAAAAACGAATAGCCCAATGCTGAATTCATATTGAAAGATGCTGAATATGTTTACAATTATCTTACCAAAAGATTGGGTTATAACGAAAATCGTATCATTATTTTTGGTCGAAGCATTGGTAGTGGACCAGCCACCTATCTTGCTAGTAAATACAAGCCAGCCTGTCTTGCTTTGATGTCTCCATTTACATCATTAAAGGCTGCTGTCAGAGATTATGTTGGGTCATGGGCCTAATATCTTATCAGATAGAGATTTGACAATTTAGATCAAATTAAAAAAGTTAAGATCCCTACCTTTATTTTACATGGTAAAGCAGACAACATTATTCCATACACTTAAGCACAGGAGTTATACAGTATTTTCTTACATATAAATTAGAAAATTGTTAGGCAAGTTAATGCATTATGCATTTAGCAGATGATATGGATCATGTTAGTTATAGATTATACAAAGATCTAATAAACCCATTTACTGAATTCTTATTATAAATCAAATATTATCAGAACTGTTCTTAAGCGCCTAAATTGCCTACAGTTCTGTTCTGTGATCCTACCTTTGAATGAATAATATGAATAAAATCAATTTTGGCTTTATTTTAGAAATTCCTTACCTTTTTTGTTTTAAATAATACTAATTAAATATATATCATAATATTATATTTATATTAGAAAAAAAGTGTTGATAATTAAATTCAAGTAATATTTTAATCGAAATAAATGTTTTTATATTATTAATCAATGAATGTTTAAAATTAAAATACATACTTTATATTAATAAATGGGATGTTCGATAAATAAGAAAAAATTATCCTGCTCTACTTCTATTAATAGTACTAAAACAACAAACGACAATTTTGAGCAATATCTAAAGAGTGTGGGCTCATTGGTTGAATTCAACGAAATTAGAAGAGGAAAGGTCTCTTATTAAATTTCCAAAAATCCTATCATACTTAGGAGATTGAATAAATCCAAAGAAAAACTTGATGACATAGACTAGGACAAGATGTTTGTAAACTGAATTCATAACTTTCTTTTGAATTGAGTATAATATAAACAATGAATTATTCACAGATTTTCAATATTATTAATAGTACGAAGTAATATTTTCTTTTGCTAATTCGTATGCATAAAATCCGATAGCATTGGCATAGAATGATCTTAAAATACAAACAGAATATCCTTTCCATATTGATCCAAGTCCTTCTGAAATTACTTTTTTTCTTAAACAATCTAAAAAACCCCCATCATAAAATCTAACTTTATAAATTCCTTAATCTGTTGGTTTTTAGCATTACAAAATTGTCTTTATAGTCTAAATTTTAATAAGGACAAATACATCTTAAGGATATCCTATCGTCCAGCATGAAACTCCAGCTAAGCCTCCTGAAATTAAAAGATTTGTTGTGGATGGTTCTGCCTTTTAAGACAAATCACATAAGAAATCTTTGATCAATTCATAGACAGCAAACTAAGCCGAATAACCTAGAATTTCTCTTTATTGGGTAGCACACATTCCACGAAATAAAGATTTAAAACCTTCCTTTTGATATATCTAAAAAAATATGTCATTCAAAAACTTACTTATTGAATGCAGTCCATAGGATTTTTATATATTTTTTCTGTTGATTGCATTTACAATTTACACTTGGTCAACTCTATTGGGCATGAAAAAAAAGCTGCTGAGCTTCCTGCAATACTTCCACAAAAGGCACTAATAATTATCTCGAAAAAAATTACGTTTAGAAATATGTTAGTTATTTGTTCGAATTTCCAATAAAAAATGATCTCCAAAATTCATAGACAGAAAAAACAATCGCATTTGTGATAGGTATGGAAAGTATAGGAAAGGACATTCCTTTATAGAAACCCTTTGTTCCTTCATTTTTGAAAATTTTCTTTAAAGTTGACAGTACTCCATCATTAGACATTTGCATCCTAACTTTAACAGTGTCTAATGGATGACTTGATATACAATTTGCTCTATTTAGAGTAATTAATTATCAAATACATTCCACTAACTGAACCAGCTGCTAAGTCTATAGAGATTTGAAGTCTATTATCATATGTCCATTGAATAAAATCAGACATTTAATTTTTTAAAGTATTAATTCGACAATCAATTTAAGTATTAGCAGCATTTCATACGTCACTATTTATTAATCTTATAAATCATATTACTAATTTCTATAAATAAATATATGGCAAATTCAACTGATTATTGCGTAAACATACTAAGTACAATTACGCATTATTAAATATAATAATAAATATAAATTATATATTGAAAATAATCATTCTGGATTCTAAAATAAGAACAAAATATTCGAAAACTAAAATACAACAATAAATAACAGGAATAGTTTGACTAATAAAAATCAAGGCGATCTGCTCATGAAATTCTAATATTCTTAGAAATTATGCATTAAAAACTTTATTACAAAAAATCAAAAGGGAATACATAAATAACTAATTGAAGTAAAAGGATGAATTATAAATAAAAAGATAATTCTCCTTTGATATATATATATAAAATTGATAAAGCGAATAGTAATATAACTTTATTTCATTTATCTAAAAATTTACTTATAGATAGATGGATCTGATTTGAAATAGAGAATTTCAGGAAATGAAATGATAATCTAAATAATATGATGAGAATATTGTATTTTTTTATTTTAACTTTCATCTTTTGGACAATTTACATTACTCACTTAATATGTATTAGATCACAGCTATACAGCCTCTAACATCTCCACTTATCTTAACAATAGTCTCTTGTCCTATTTCCTATTTATCAAATATATAAAATACAGAAGGAAGAGTCTATACCTTCACATTACAATCTTAACAAAGTCTAATTAATTATTTATGCATCATATCAATTAGAGATTGCTTGACAACTATTTTTGTCTTGAGGACTTACTATCTGGGCTTGTGTTTATGGGAACTTCATTATAATCTATAAGTACCTTGAAGACCTAGATCTTCTGATATGTTTCTATCTTTTATTCGATGATCTTGATCTCTGTCTTCTATCTGAACGCGAGGAAGATGACTATTGTCTACCTAATTAATGCTTCCACACTAACCTTCTTTGCTTCATGTCTTAGACCTGCACTGAGTTTTTGTATTATTGTGCGAAGTTTTCATTGATGTACTTTCCGCTTTCAAGGATCTTATTAATTATTTATATACAGGTCCTCCATTCTTGAAACATTCAATTTATTCCAAAATCAAGATTGTTGCTTCCTATTTATTTTCCATTGATCCTGTCACTTATACCAAACAATCTAAAATTCCTTAGGATTCTAACCTTAGCCAACATCAGTGTCATCCTTATCTGACAGCACCTTAATTTATGCTCCTCTAGCCTTATTGGCTAATTCCTTAATCTAACATCCCTCTATTATGTATTATAAATAGATTCTTTACTCGCTCCAATTAATTTCGATGCAAAATTAGCAGGCATTACTATTCTTATATCGAATTCGTTCTTCTTGAATTGCTGAGTCACTTTCTTTATTATATTTTAAATTGCCTCTTAAACATTAAATAATGTCCCATCAATTTATAATATTCCTTCATCCTTTTTCAATTTGTTTTTCTAATTATCTTTTTTGATCAATACCTTTATTTTTATATCATTAATAGATTTGCCCTTTAATCTCACAGAATACTTTTTCTCTATTTCTCTATTTTTTAATATATATTCTATTATCACATTCAAAAAAGCAAATTTGGCCTCTAATATTAATTCAAAATACTTTTGTCATGACTCTTCTTGGATCTAGAGGTTCTGCCTTTTTAGCATAATCTTCATTTGAAATTCCTCTTTCCTGTAATTGTTTTATGATCAATTTAATTGCATTATAGATGCGAGAAGACTCGCCTATGATATTGAAATAGCATTTACCAATAATTGTGACTGTTCTTAATTTGAACTCATAGATTGGTTAATTAATCACAAGATGGGCTTTGGTCTCTAATTTAATGTTCTCAATTTATTTTCCTTGGGTTCCAATTACATATGAGACAGTCCCTAGGTTATTAATTGATTTTACCTTCGGGAATCAACATAATTATTTCTAGGATTTGTTTACTTCTTTGTTCTATTAATGAAAAGATTTTATTGACTGCATCGCATCTTGCATTTAATTTATTTTCATCATGATCAATTATAGAAAATGCTGTTCCTTCCAAAGCTGGAATTTAATTCTATGGATTCAAGTTGATGGATTCAACATTATATTAACACTATATTATTATGGTTGAATGATTACTCTAACATCATCCAAAATTGGTTTCAAATCCTCCTAAGTGATAAATCTCTTTTCAATAAAAAAATCAAGGGAAAATTAATTCATTCTTTTCTAGGTCTGCTAATGAGAAGGGGATTGCGAGGACTAACCTGATAATCCTTGATCATAACCTTGATCTTAAGACATTTAATAAAAATATATATATTATTCAAAACATAATCTCTAAATTGAATTTTTGATGTTAATTGCTTCAAACTTATTGAATTATTAATATAATATAAAATATAGATAAAATGTTAGAAAAGATTGGTTCTAAATTCACGTATAAAACATTTGTTGGAAGTTCAACTAACAAAAACGAGGTTTGTGAATTATGCAACTAAACCTTTGATTGGTATTAACTAGTTTTACAAGTATCAAAGGAAACACAAATAACATCAATGCAAAAGATGTCTTAGATATGTGTGTTACAATTGTGGTCCTGATAAGGCAATTATTGCATCTCATGATTTAAAAACTCCTCATAGAATTTGTAAGAATTGTAAAGATGATTCAAAACATTAAACGTAGTAGATGGAAGTAGAAAAATGCAAGTTTGGACAACTGTCTGGGATTGGAAAAAGGTGGGCATATCTGGCTCAGGGAGATGAGTATTATTTTATTCATTTTTCAGCTTTGCAATTGATAAGGCATAAGAGGAATACTAAAATTAATTACCTTAAATTTTGAAAAATGCTAGCAACGAAACAAAAAATTAAATTTAGACCAATCTTCAGAGATATTTTAAAGAGGTATTTAATTTCCATTATTATCCACTTTAGAATAAAAAAACCTTAAACTATTCTCTATACGAATGGAATTATAAAATGTGTGCAGGAGAATAAGAAATTGCAATATTGACAAGGATATCAAATGTCTTGCATTGCTTCTTCTAAACAAACCCTATTAAATTAACTAGAAACCTAGTCTTTATAACTACCTACATCTTGTATTTTTGCGATGAGGCCATCTGCTTAATGCTATTATTGTTTTTACATCAAAAGGTGCTTCCTTCCAGATTTCAATATCATAAATTAGATGCCGAAGAAAGCAAACCTATTGATTAAGAAGTCAAATTTTTATTAGATTGTATCACTGAATAATCAAATTCTAAAATTGATTCTTTCTTGAAATCCAAAATAAAGGTATTTTTGGATACTTATTCATCTGATCTCCTTACAACTCTTATGTTTAATCACATCGAATTCTATGTTGGATATTTTCTCTTTAATCAATTGCTCATCAATAGAGAAGTATATTTATCTTATCTACTAAAAATAGTTTTCCATTTACGAGAAATTCTTAGCAAATATCTGTTTGGAATTACAGAAGGTCATTGTATAGGTACAAATAGATGAGATACCACTCTTAATTATGAAAAATATTTAATTGGAGTAATTAACGTCTTTCTTATAAATGGAAGATACGCAAAAAAGGAAATACAGGACTAGCTTGACAAGCAAGGATTAATTAATTCCATAATCTTCAAATAATATCACATAATAATAATAATAGTTGAAGAAAGAGGAATAATAACAACAAAGATAATCAAGCAGTGATAATGCACTACATTATTTATTAGATTCATTTATAGGATTTTTAAAGGATAACTAACATTTTAAAATAGAGTATATGATACAAAACGAAAAGTATGATAGCAATAAGAATTAAATTTAGGAATTATATTAAGCAATCAAAAAACAAAATGAAGAATTATCAGGCTTAAGAAGTTCTATCAATTATGCAAAATAGGAATAAGATTTAGAATATGATGCTAATAATTCAAGAATAAGTAGAAGTTCAATCAAATTAGATGATCCTGAAAGAACTTTTTTTCAAAGAGAATTATAAGAAAAAACTAGTTTAATCAAAGAATTAGAAGAAAAGGTATCATAATAAAAATAGTTAATTTAATGTTATATTGATTAACAATAATAAAGTGAAATGGATAATTATAACACTGTTAGTAATTTAAAAGCTCAATTATCAAATAATAATTAGATTACAGCAGATAACAAAGAAATCTAAACTAAGGCTTTTGAATAGAAAGAGGAGGATTATAGAAATCAAATTTCTAATTTACATTCTGAGAATAGTGGGTTAAAATTTGAGATAAACAATTTATAAATCCAATTATAATAAATTTAAAAAAACAAAACTGAATTTGAAAACTAGTTGAAGGAGAAAATAAATAGCTAATATGAATCGGAAGTATATCGACTAACAGAAGATAGGGTTTCATTATTAAAAAAAACATCATTTTTACAATAATAGAATTCTAATTATGCTGTAAAACTCGAAGAGAAAGAATAAGAAAATTAAGAGTTAAAGAAATAGCTTGAAGAGTAAAAAAAAAACACAGAAGAAATGAGATTACTTTATGCCAAATAGAATGAGCAATCAGATAAATTAAATAAACATATTGATGACTTAAATGCTTAAATTTTAGGTTTGAAAAGAAAAGAATTTGATTAAAATATGAATTAAACTAATGTTTAAACTCATAGTTAAACTAATGTTAACAAAGAATTATAAGAGAACAATATCTAAATTAGAAATAATCTTTTACATAAGGAGAAAGAACTATTTCATTTAAAACAAAAGTTTGTAGAAGTGAATCAATTAAAAATTGAATACTTTGATTAGATGTAGAATTACGAAAGAATTAACAAAGAAATTAATCAAAGTCTTAAATAATATGAGGGATAGGAAATTCATTAATTAAAGTCTTTTTATGAAGAAAAGATCTCATTATTAGAATCAACTCATGAAGAATAAATGAATCGATTGTTATCATAATTTTAGCAAAATCAACCATACTAATTGGAGTAACAAACTACAAATCAGCACTAATAATTTAGAGAAAGCTAACCTAATGAAGAAAAGCAAACGATTGATGAACATTAATAAGAATAAAGTGTTTCATAAGTTGATGATTGCGCAATATTCTGAGTTTATAGATTATATAATACATTTCATTACAATTTTTTGTATTCCGGATTTTCTTATAACATTAATTTATAAAATTGTTCTTATAATTAAATTGCTTTTTTCCTTGATTATTCTTCACATCTTTAGATGCATTTAGAATCCTCATAGCATTTACCTTAACAATCTTTATCATCTATTTCAATTTGATTGAATCTATTTCTAAGTGTAGCTGAATTCATATTCATTCTTGTATTCAAATCTTCAATGCATTGTTGATATTAAAGAGGGTCTTCACTATTATTTTTATAGCACAGGATTTTGCGTTCCAATTATTATTTCTAATGATTAACAAGTTGATATACCTAATATAGATTATAGTGTTGATTATATTTTTGTTTTAGCTCATTTTGAATATCTGTATAATATTCCATTATTAAATATTATTAATGGNCAAAGAAATCTAAACTAAGGCTTTTGAATAGAAAGAGGAGGATTATAGAAATCAAATTTCTAATTTACATTCTGAGAATAGTGGGTTAAAATTTGAGATAAACAATTTATAAATCCAATTATAATAAATTTAAAAAAACAAAACTGAATTTGAAAACTAGTTGAAGGAGAAAATAAATAGCTAATATGAATCGGAAGTATATCGACTAACAGAAGATAGGGTTTCATTATTAAAAAAAACATCATTTTTACAATAATAGAATTCTAATTATGCTGTAAAACTCGAAGAGAAAGAATAAGAAAATTAAGAGTTAAAGAAATAGCTTGAAGAGTAAAAAAAAAACACAGAAGAAATGAGATTACTTTATGCCAAATAGAATGAGCAATCAGATAAATTAAATAAACATATTGATGACTTAAATGCTTAAATTTTAGGTTTGAAAAGAAAAGAATTTGATTAAAATATGAATTAAACTAATGTTTAAACTCATAGTTAAACTAATGTTAACAAAGAATTATAAGAGAACAATATCTAAATTAGAAATAATCTTTTACATAAGGAGAAAGAACTATTTCATTTAAAACAAAAGTTTGTAGAAGTGAATCAATTAAAAATTGAATACTTTGATTAGATGTAGAATTACGAAAGAATTAACAAAGAAATTAATCAAAGTCTTAAATAATATGAGGGATAGGAAATTCATTAATTAAAGTCTTTTTATGAAGAAAAGATCTCATTATTAGAATCAACTCATGAAGAATAAATGAATCGATTGTTATCATAATTTTAGCAAAATCAACCATACTAATTGGAGTAACAAACTACAAATCAGCACTAATAATTTAGAGAAAGCTAACCTAATGAAGAAAAGCAAACGATTGATGAACATTAATAAGAATAAAGTGTTTCATAAGTTGATGATTGCGCAATATTCTGAGTTTATAGATTATATAATACATTTCATTACAATTTTTTGTATTCCGGATTTTCTTATAACATTAATTTATAAAATTGTTCTTATAATTAAATTGCTTTTTTCCTTGATTATTCTTCACATCTTTAGATGCATTTAGAATCCTCATAGCATTTACCTTAACAATCTTTATCATCTATTTCAATTTGATTGAATCTATTTCTAAGTGTAGCTGAATTCATATTCATTCTTGTATTCAAATCTTCAATGCATTGTTGATATTAAAGAGGGTCTTCACTATTATTTTTATAGCACAGGATTTTGCGTTCCAATTATTATTTCTAATGATTAACAAGTTGATATACCTAATATAGATTATAGTGTTGATTATATTTTTGTTTTAGCTCATTTTGAATATCTGTATAATATTCCATTATTAAATATTATTAATGGATTAATAAAACAATTGTGATGAAGTACAATAAAAGGAAAAGCTATTAAAAGCGGAAATACTTGATAAAGGATATGATAGTGAAGCATTTATAAGTTTCATGGAATAATAGAAAGAGAACGGTACACTCCAAACATAAATTTACGATTAGGTGGATAAGACATTGACATGTGGACATATCAAGAACTAACTTTAGCAATTGTTTAATTTTAATAGATAAATTAACCATAATATGATCAATAGATGCAAAATATAGGTTTTGGTAAATCATCAGATGTTGATGAGAAAAAGCTGTAAAATACAGAATAGGATGAATTAAATTTAAATTCAACACCCTAGAGTATAAAGAAAGAATAATCATAATCTTCGCTTTAGAGTGAATTGATCAAAGAGAATAATGATATCAAATCAAGCTTTTCTAAACTGCATTTATGCAAAACTCAAGACAAAAAAGATCTATTTTTATAAAGTGGAATAAATGTCTATATAGCGAAATATCAAAGAATACCCGGAGGTATTTTCACATCATCATATTATTCTTATACTGTGTAAACAGATCCGATTGGTTGGATTGTATAAAGAAGATATAGTGATTTCCTATGGCTAAGGGAATTATTATGCAAAATCTATCCTGGCATTAATGTACACTTTAATATTAGATTAGATTCCTCCACTACCAAAAAAGACTGTTCTGAAGAATGAGAAGGAATTATATCTTCAGAAACGGATGAAATTTTTAGAAGTAATTATAAAAAATCAATTAGAAATTCCTAAAATCAGTATTTAATTGTGAATTACTAAGGCATGACAAATGGTTTTATGCTTTTCTATCATCCAAAGAAGAAAAAGAATTGAAGTAAATTTAAAAATTGAGTACTCAAGTTCAAAAAGTCACTAAGCTAGAATAGATTATTTCGATTGATGGTAAAATTTAATTAGAAATTAACGAAAACTTAAATACTTACAATTTAGAAGCTACTTAATTGGCTAATTCAGTTGATATCTGTTATAAAAAATTAAGAAAGGAATCTAAATAATTATTACTTGATTTTGATTAACTATCAAACACTATTTTTAACATGGGATCAACCTGCGCAGAACTCTATTAATTATCAAATAAATTTAATTAATCCATTTCATAAGGTAAGATATCACAATTAGATATATTGTATATATCAATGAACAACATGCTTGTTTAGTGGGGAAATAATTTAACATCTCAAATCTAGATAGTCTAGGAGGAATTGTGTCACTTTTTTAAATTCCATCATCATTCAGTGTTAGTATTAAAAGAAGTAATCAATCCTCATATTTTAGTTTATGAAATAAAAAGAACTAGCTCAATAGGAGTATGAAAAATTCAAGTCTCGATTAGAATATAAAAAGAATAAACTATTTGCATCTTAGGATTATAGCAGATGGGAAATTCCGGCTGTTGAACTTAAAGCTTTTTAAGATAGCAACTTGACTTAAAATAAAGAGTTTAGTTTTTAAATTATGTTACCATAAGAGACTATAATTTAAGAAGATTTAAAAAACATTTTTGCTTACTTTAATAATTAATCATTCTTGGAGGTTACAAAGCTATTTGAGAATACAGTATCAGAATTCTCATAGCATTTTACAAAATTTTGTAGTCTTCAAAAGGAATAAATAGCAGAAGTAAACTAATTGTATATATATTTAGTAAAAACTGATATGGGATTAAAGTATTGTAAACTTGACTAATTTGCAATATCCAAAATAACTAATTAAAAAAAGTACTTGATTATTTATTGTAACAATTGAATGTGAGCGAATATAAATATAATATTATTTTAATATGAATTCAGATGTAAGGGAAAGAAAGATTAATTTTTTTCAGAATACCCTTGAAACTCGTGGCAAAAAGGAAAAAGTTAAGGTGTAAAACAAGGATATTTTATTGAGGGTGGATGAATTATTTGGGTAGGTAAGTTATTTTGAGTTTATAAAAAAATAAGATTGAATAGAATCGAATCAAAGAGTAGGAGAGTGATAGAGTATTTCCAATAATTGATAACATTTAAAGAAGATAGTTTTAGTATTCAAAATATAGAACAGAAGTATTAAGTAATTCATGTAATAAAGATAATTTGGTATTAACAAAAGTATTGAGTTCAATGCCTCTTTATAAATAAGAAAAAATATTTGAATTAAAAAAATAAGGGTTAAAAGAATTTTTAGAAAAATAGTTAAATAAAACTCATAATTTAAAAACTTAACAGTTACTCCAAAAAAAAGATTCATTATTTGAAGAATAAAATAAATTGATAAATGAATAGAAATTACTAGATACATCATAAATTCATAGCGATTCAGAGGTATTTATAAAGGGGGGTTTGAGAATGAGAAGTCCAGATGAGACTATAACATTTTTGAAAAACCATTTTGGAGTAATTGTTAGATCGCCTCAGAAATCCAAATTAAAAAGCAGAAAGGAATTGGATTAGGAGGAAAAGCAAATGGAGAGAGATAGACGGAAACTATATAACGTAAAAGATAAATTAGAGATGTATTATACAACTCTAGAGGGAGTAAACCATACGATAAAAAGAAGATAGGAGGATTAACCTCAATTATTAAATCAATCACAAATGTTAGATTATTCAAAATCAAGTGAGATAACTCCGATGAATGACAAGGAGAGTAATAACAGTATTTTTAATCGAAACTAATATTATGTTGATCATTATAATAATATCAAGTTAGGGAATAGTAGCATAAAGGATATGAAAATGAGAAGCACGTTTTATAGGAATCACATAGCTAATGAATCTAATGAATGAAAATGAGATATTTAATTTTGTTTCTCTTAATGTCAAAATTGCTATAAAATAATATTAATTATATGAAAAGTCAATAATAATTCTCGAGCACCTAGGATTTAAGGTCAACCTTTACTACACTTAAAAGATAGACATTTTTTTATGTGGGAGAGGGGAATAATGGAGAATTAGTTAGGTAGATTCTATCAAAAAGACCGAATTTTTAAGAATAGAGAACTCCTTTCAAGTAAGAGATACATATATTAGTGCTCATTTAATCTGGAAACAAAGCAATAAATATTTTAATTATTTTTAATTGGGACAGCTCAAGAGCAAAAAAGTGACCATTAATCATTTAGAACATCATTATGTGATAACCAACAAGAATAATTTATTTCACTCTCTCGAAAATTATTGTAATGTAAGTTAGCATATGATTCAGTATAGAAAACTAAGATGAATATGGATGATCTAGTTCCAAAGACTTTTATTATAAATTTGGACTCAGCGCATGTTTAAACTGATTTGATGAAATTTTTGGAATATTTTACTTAGTGCAGCAAATAATCTTTAAATATATGGCTAATGAAACCACCAGATTTAAATAGAGGGAACGGAATTAAATTATTTAATGATTTAGATTAATTTGTTGAGTTGATGGAGAATCTTAATAAAAAAGCGTAGACTTCAGTTAAATAATAAAAATCGATAACATTAACAATGGATAATAAAAGGAAGATCAAATTATCAATAGATGATCAAGATAAATAAATTGTGCTTTAAAAATATCTCGAAACCCCATTATTATATAATTAGCGTAAATTTGACATCAGAGTATGGGTGCTGATAGATCACAAATTAAATTATTATTTCTTTCGTGAAGGTTATTTTAGATTGGCAACTGAAAGATTTGACATTAATAATATTCGTAATCTCTACATACATCTGACTAACAATGCAATTTAAAAGCATCATCCTTATTATGGCAAATTTGAAATTGGTAATTAAATCAGTTTTGGCGACATGTAACGCTATTTGAAATTTTAAAAACCTTAATTGAATTCAATAATCTAAGAAATGAAAAGAATAGTTAAACTAACTATAGATTCTGGTTATCATAGATTGAATGAATGCAGAAAGAATTTTTAGTTTGAAATTTTAGGCTATGATTTTATGATAGATAAAAATGGACATGTCTGGCTAATTGAAGTTAATACAAATCCATGTATTGAAGAGAGTAGTCCACTCCTCAAATAACTGATACCAAGAATGCTCAGTAAATAATTCATATAACTTAGACGATGCATTTAAATTAACGATAGACCAAATTTATGAAACTGAGCAATAAACGTAGACATACCCTGTAAATGGATACAAATGTGATGAGAATTTGTGGGATAAATTAGGAATAATCTAATGATATTCTATTATTTATATTATGTATAAAGCTAAAAATTATCATATTAAGAATAACGATAATATTTAAAGTCCCAGGACAATTAACTATTAAAAGCTATCTGCTGTATTGTTGTTAACAGTATCATTAACAGTGTTATTTGTTTAATTATTGCTTGTAGTAGAACATTACATGCATTTTTACGTGGAAGTGTTGTATGTGTAAGTAAACAATGTTAGCTAGTAGCATTCACTTGGTCCATAAGCTTAGGGATCTATTTCTGAGCATACCTCATTTACAAGACTACAGACTCTGATTTAAGAAGGCTTCCAGGTAGAAATGTTAATGCAATTATTCGTAGATTTAAATTACAAGTCGCAAGTTAAGTCAACACATTTTGTGGAATCGACATTCCAATAACAGACTGTGTTCATTTTATTGCACTAATTTTAATCTAGAGCATTTGAACAAGCTTAAAATAACGAACATTTCGAGGTAGTTGCATTCCAAAGGCATGTTCCATCAGTTCCCGAAATTTCACAAGGCACTTAACTAGTATAAGAAGCACAAGTTGTTTTAGCAATGCATTTTGTACCATCTGTAATACAATTATCTAAAGTATTACAAATGTTGTTGGTGATATCACTGCATGTCATAAGTTAGCATTTTGTATTTTCAGTTGAATATATGCATTTTCCATCAGTACCAATACCATTAGTACATAAATCCTTTAAAGAATAAGTCGAACATTTATCCATAGTATAACAAATAGTGCCATTTGTAGTACAAGTCATCATTTGATTATTGCAAATAGCATGTGTGGTTCCAACTAGATCCTCACAAATTTATGGTCTACAGGATCCATCCCATTTACAAACTCCTGTAGACTAAATTTTATTATTAGCATAGACAGGTCCTTTGGTATCTAAATAACATTATTCTTATATCTTGTAATCTTTACAAACTAGTAATTCAATGCATTAGGTTCCATCGGTTGTGCATCCAGGATTAGCTGAATAGCAATCTGCATGAGTTTTGAATTTGGCATCAGCACATTTAGTGAAATTAGTGCAAACTTTAACATTTTTATCATTTAATGTCATGATACATTTGCCATCAATTCCCAAGTAACACCCTCCATAAATATTAGTTTGACTGCATTCAGTAATAGAGACACATCTGTTCCCATCAGTTGTACATTTATCGCTAACCTACTGACATTGTTCGTGTGTTGTAAATTTGATGCTAGTGCAATCTCTGTATAAATAACATTTTCCAGTAACCCATAGACAGGGGCCATCAGCTCCAATTATGCAGGATTATGCATTAAGATATGAACTACAATTAACTATTTCTGTGCATTTACCAAAACCATTGGTAGTGCAATTACTCATTTGTTTATTGCAAGATTTGTATTCAAACCCATTGAAATCAATACATGATTAATTCCTGCATTATTAGATGGTATCATCCCAACTACATATATCTCCATATTTTGAAGTGTTACATGCTGCTTAGACATTTGCAGCTGAACAAGTCGATTTAACTGTACATCCTCCACCTAATTTGGTTGTGCACCCATCATAATATTATAGACATTAAGCTTCAGTTGTTAATGTAGTGGGTGCAGTAGAGCAATTTCTCAATGAACATGTCTTTGATATTTCATTCCACTGACAAAGATTACCAAACATGTCTTTTTTACATCCCTATTCTGCAACAGCCTTACTGCAGTCTAATCTTTCTGTGCAGGTCTTTCCATTTGTAGTGCAATATTAATTCTATTAAATGCATTCTTCATCAGTACTGAATTAATATTGAGAGCATGTCTTTGTACTACACAAGTTGCTATCATATGAACAGCCCTCAAAGGGTAAATCGCTACAATTTTTATCATTATATTCGATTAATGCAGCATTTTCACAAGTCTTTACTATGCAATTGCTAGATAAATAGACACATTTAGAATTGGAATTACATATTGATGGATCTGAAATCAATTAACATTCAGGGAAATCCATACATCCAAGATTTGTATTTGTATTTAGAGTGCAACTGCTCATGAATAATTAACATTAGTCATGGGTTGTTGAAGTAGTATTCAAAGAACAGATCTTCTCATAACAATTATCATTAGACCAATAACAAACCTTTTGTGTATTACTTATAACGCATTATGATTCTTTTTTATAATTATTACATGATGTCAATTCAATACAACCATTACTGTTATTATTCACAGTGCATTTTAATCCTGTTGACATGTATTAATAGCAATCAGTATGACTAGTATCAGAACTCGTTGCACAAGACTTCCTTTGACATTGACTATTCTTATAAACACAGTCTTAGCCATTTCTATCTAATTAATCACAATTTTTATCATTATAAGATGAGCATTCATCCTTATTCATACATCCTTAGCCTGTATTGTTTAAGATACACCTTGAGATTGCTAGTTTACACTATGAAGATGTAGTATATGTATTTGGCAATGCAGCGCAATCATCATTATAACAAACTCCACTCACCCAAACACAATCACCTTTATTATTGATCCTTTTAATGCATGAAGTCTAATATGTATAACTACTACACTCATTTTATAGTGTAAGTTCTGTACAAGTATTACTACCATCCAAATAGCAATATTTACTAATCAAGTCATAAGAGAGATTTTCTTTACAATATTCTTTTGGCAATAATGTACAGGTAGTAGGAACATCCATACAAGAAGTTTTGGCATCATTATTGATACACTTCTTTGGAGTTTTATATGTTGTGCAATTAGTTTTTTGATTACTGCAGGATTTAGTAACGCATTTATTGTTTTTCCATTCACATACATCCAAAGTACAGTTCTATTGGATCTAACTATCCTCGCATCTTGTAAATTCAGGAGTGCATCCCTTCTCTTAATTATTGACTACACATCCTGATAGATATGACTGACACTTTTAAGTTGTATTATATGAAGTAGCAGCTAAATTACATTATCGCACAACACAAGTATTCCCTTGCCATTCACAAGCACTAGTAACGGATTAAACACATTATGCTTTAATTTTATATAGGTTGCAAGCTTGTAACATAAGCGAACATCCTTATCCTGATGGAGCAATAGTGCATGTATTCTTATATTGAAAACATTATGAATGAGTAGTATAAGATAAAGGAGCAGTGAAACATGTTTTGATGAAGCACGTTGAACGAGAATAACACTATTGGTTTTAGATACATAGGTTATAATCCTAAACATTGTCACATGTGTAATTAATACAATTAGTAGCTGATTAATTGATTGTGCAAGTTTACATAAATTCATTACATTTGACATGGTCAAGAGTGACAGGTTTTTAACCTTATGTTTCTTGATCATAGTAAGTTTTGGGAACATTGGTACATATTTTTAGTAGGCATTTACCATCATTCCAAAAACAAGGACGTTACAAATTATCAACAATACAACCAATTTCTAACTCAACTTCTTCACATGTATTGATAGTAACACATCCACCATCCTTTTTAGGAATACAAGATACATTATGGTATTCTTGACATCCAATGAGAGTAGTGACAAATACAGGTGCATTTTCACAAGTTCTATTTTCACATCCCTATTTAAGTGAGTTAACAGTGCAACTCGATAAAAACTTACTACATTACTCGAATGTTGATAGACTTTAAGGAGCATTGCTACAAGTTCTATCCTTGCATGATTGAGTGATTGAATCCCAAAAGCATTGTTCTCCCCTTAAGTTCTTTTTGCATGCATAATCCACATTGGCAATGGAGCATTCTCCATTAGTCATACAACCTCCACCTGATTTGGTTATACAATTTGCATTAATTGCTTAACAACCGACATTGGTAACAATATCTTTGGTGGCATTGCTACATAGTTTTGATTTACAATAACCGTCCACCCAAAAACAGTCGTTTCCGTAATAATCTTTAGTGCATGCGTTTTATGTGTTTGCTGCATCACAAGATGATCTTAATACACAACCACCATCCTTTTGAGTAGTACATTATTCTAAAAATTACTTACATTAATCGTCTGTTTTCAATGTTATGGGAGCATTTTCACAGGTCCTTACTTTACATTAAGGAGGATTAAGAGAACTATCCCAAAAACATTATGCAGATTGGTCTTTATTATAAAAACATTAGATTTCAAGAGTGATGTCGGAACAACTTTATTATGCATCAATACACCCACCACCTGGTTTGGTTGTGCAAGTAGGAATTTAGGATCTGCATTATGCATCAGTATCCAAAGCAGATGGTTAAGATGGGCAATCCATAGCCTTGGAACATTTATTGAGTTTTGAATCCCAATAACAATATCTATAATTTACATCCATAAAACACACAATTTAATCTGTATAATCGATGCATTCACTTAATCCAATACACTTTTTAAGATCAGATTTATAGCATTTCTTATTTATGCTTCTGCATTCTCTATCAGTTGTTAATTTATAAGCAGTGCACCCTGTAAAAAAGGTGCATTGACTGTTGACCCACTAACAAACATCGTCTGATTGACATTCCGCTTCATTTAAGTAGCTACAATAAGTATTTGATTTGGATTAAGTTATAGTTTTGACATCGCATGTTTTATTCCAAGCACAAGAAGTATTTTTTACGCAATCATTTTGTGATAGTTATGGGCAAGTACAAGGTCTTGTAGTTTCAATAATATTACATTAACCTAATCCATAGAGGATGGCTAAAAGGCCTAAGATTATCTTCATTTATATAAAAAATTTAATATTCATTATTTCTTAGGCAATAAACCTACATAAACGCTTTTGTAAAACTCTGAAGCCAAAGACGCTCCAGAAAGAGGACCAAAGATATAGATCCATATATTAATCAGTCGATCCCAATTACCATCCTATAATGACTCGAAGATACCTAAACCAACTCCCATTGCTGGATTCAAACAACCTATGTACATAGAAAAATTAAAGATACCTCCAGTATGAAATGTTAATATTCTTCCGAAATAAAGTGCAGTTGCTATAATGCCAATCCCTATCAAGTTGTTTTCAGTTAATTACGTTTGTGGATGCACTTGAATATGAATAAACAAACAAAATACAAATGTACCCAAAACCTTAATGGATCACATGATATAAAGTACTTCTCCGCAAAAATCAGCCACCATCCATTGTATTGGCTGTGTCTCAATGTACGGAGATGTGACTCTTCCTACAATCACAAAAGCAGCCAAAGCTCCTGCTATTGCACCACCCACTTGAGCTGCCCAATAGACTCTCATTGTAAATGCACTTATCTCATTGGAACTATAAAATGACATCGAAACTGCAGGATTCACATGGCCTCCTGTAATCTTGCCGATCAAAAATATTGCTCCAAACAGATATACACTCAACATGACATCATTTCCTCTTGAACACACTATCCCATAAGCAAAAAAGGCAGTTCCTAATGCTTCCCATATTAATATTCTCATCAATTCACTATAAGGCTTGTCGTCTATGGTATTTTTCAATTTAGTTTCTAACGCTTCTATCTTCTTTAACAGTTCATCCTTCTCGTTTTCCTAAACTTCAAATTAATGCTCCTCAACATTGCCTTAATTCTACTTCTATTACGAATACTATTGCCCATATGAGTAAGGCGTTTCTTCCTGCAAGAGCCTCTCTTCTGACATTAATTTGATTTATATATATAAAACTCATTTTAAATACTATCAATTCATACTATTGTTGGCAGGTTCTCTGTATTTAATCCACTTTCCTTTCCCTTATCTATCTCAATGCTTCCTTACTCCTCCAAAGTATTGAGTTATTAATATCTATTTTTATAAAACAACAATATAATCGATAAGCCGATTATTGTTAATATTACAATTACTATAATGGCCAAGAATAATTTCGAATTTTCTTCATATAAATATATTTCCAACCCCTAGAAACTAAAATTTCTATTGGATTCACATATAATGAAAGGGTTCTCATTCTCAAAGTTCATAGATGGGCATTTCTAAGCCTTCATTCTCAATTAATAAAACTACATTCTAAACATTTCATACTTCTTTTCTAGTATTCTCAGCCAAGCATAAAATCCAAGGAGATACCGATTTCAATACAAATACGTTAACCTCCTTCCCTGAAATTGATACCATATACGATTCCTCATACTATAGCATCATAGACGAAAAGAGTCCACTTTCAAAGGGATAACCCAATTGTATTTATTTACCCCAAGGCAATTTCAAACTATCCACCTAAATTAAGTCAACTTAATTGAAATAGTACTCTTTTTCATTTTCATTTTCATAAAACCTATGATAAATTGAGTTTTCAATAATTGAGTGCAAATCATTCCCTATTAAAATGGTTAATTTCTCACCCACATACAAATCGTATACTTCTTACTCATACGATGTAATCTTATTCAAATAATGTTCTCTCTTTTCTAAATCATAAAATAACTCTAACACATATGGAAGTTCATCCTCTGTTTCCAATAGAATAAACATTCTATTCCCAGAAATATCAAATGCTCTACCCCCTTTAATCTATATATTCTGTTCACTCAGAGTTATTTCACCATCAGATTTATCAATTTAATATATAAAAATGCCATATTGTTGGTCTAGAATAAAGATATGCGTTCCATTTTCATTTGTCTTAACTTGCAGCAGATTGACTTCTTGAATCGGTTACAATTTTTAAATTAAAGTTAAATTTCCATCAAGAAGTGATTAAAACACTAAAACCTCTCTTTAGCTCAAAACTAATAGCAATCTATTTTGATTCTCCAAATAGACATCCAACACTTTAGAACTTAATTCTACTGTCACTTTTTTAACAATCAAAATTTTATTTCTTCATATGTTAACATAATTTACTCATCTTAGTTATATTAAAAATGTATTGTACCAAGTTATGTCAACACATAACAATATACAATCTTAATGTCATTTTCATAACATTTGAGTACAGGATCTTATATTTATTAAGTTCCAGGCTATTTAGTTAGAACTGAATTTAAGTTTATGTGAGTTACATTTTACAAATTGATAATCTCTTATAGCTCTTAGTCATATAAAATTTTCATTATGAACAACTTGAGATCGCTTCTTACGATAAATATATTCTAAGTAGATGAGTAGAGTGAACTCAAGTTACCTTGGATAGTTTCGATTGTTTCATTATCAAATAATGGAATGAAATGAAATAATTTTTTATACTATATTTCTCTATCATAAGGTCGACATCCATGACTTAAATGAGAATTTTACAGATCATCTTTAGTTACTTAAATAATTTTTTCTTAATTTAAGGACGATAATGATATTTCAATAATGTCAAAGTAACTAATGATTTTAATACATACTTTGCAAATTGAAGTAAGAAAGAAGAATTGACATTAGTAGAATATTGTTCTTCATTAATCACTTCCTTAATGATTCTACTAGTAGGAGATGTCTATCGATGGGATGCCACATGGAGAAAATTGTAGACTAAAAAAATTAGAGAATACATTTAATAAAATTTATGAATTAAAGCTAATCACTCTCTAACAAAGGGATTGTTAATAAATTACAAAAATGGACATTAAATTGAAAATTAAATAGCAAAATTATGCATAAACTAAAACATCATGACTTCCATAATCTTAATATTACTATTATAAAAATTAAATTAAGCATTAGAATACTCTTAAAAAATGTTGAACAAAAATTTTAATGATGCAATTTTAAGATTAGTTGTCAAAGCATTTGCAATCCTACTATTTATTATCTAAATGTTATAATTTATTTTAACTTTCCTACCTTTTCTGGTTATTATTTTAGTTGCATCAACACATGAACCCTTGTCTGTAAAATGAGAGACTTTTTTGAAATCTTTAGGATAATAATTCAAACGCCCAATTAATCTACTGAAAATTTCCTTAAATATACAGAGCTCCCTTAAAACACTTGTTACAATATATAGGTAAATGAAATTTAGATGAGCTAGAATAAAAACTAGTAGTTTGAGAAGTATTTATATAAATTTAATACAAAATTAAAATTATGTTAAAGAAATTTTAGTACGATTTGTTCGTCATAGGAGGAGGAGCAGGAGGTTTGGCATCTTCTAAAGCCTCAGCTTTGTTGGGAAAGAAGGTAGGAATGGCTGATTACGCAACTCCAAGTCCTCATGCTACAACCTGGGGAACAGGTGGTACTTGTGTAAATGTTGGGTGCGTGCCAACCAAATTGATGCCATTCTCAGCAAGAATGGGCGAAATAAGAAAAGATTAAATAGCAGCAGGATATTAGGGGATAGAGAGTGAAGGGAAACATAATTGGAAATAGTTGATTGAAACAGTATAAAAACATATAAAGGAATTAAATGTGCGTTAGGAAAGTTCCTTAAAGGATCATGGTATCGATTATTATAACAAATTTGCTAAATTTATTGACAGACACACTATAGAAGTAAGATTTAGATTTTGATAATATATTATTATAGCTTACAGATGTGAAAGGAGAGAAGGAAATAATAAGTGCAAAAAACATAATAGTTTGTGTTGGATCAAGGCCTATGCTATATTAGGATCCAAAATTGGTTATCACATCAGAGGATGTATTTCAATAGACAACTCCTCCAGGAAAGACTTTAGTCATAGGAGCTTCGTATGTAGGTTTAGAATGTGCAGGATTCATACATGGTTTTGGGTTTGATACAACAGTTTTAGTTAGAACAAGAGTTATGAGGAATTTTGATTAAGAGATGGCTTAAAAAGTAGAAGGATATATGTCAGATAATGGAATTAAATTTGTTAAGAGAGCCTTATTGCAATCTATTTCAGCAGTAGATAATGGAAAAAGGAGATTGGTAAAGTGGGTGCGTGATGGAGTAGTGGAGGAGGATATTTATGATACTGTATTATATGGGATTGGAAGACAGGCATCAACCAAATAATTGAATTTAGAATCGATTGGGGTTAAGATTGATGCAAGAAATTATAAGATCATGGCTGATGAATACGATAGAACAACTGTAGATAATATTTATGCAATTGGAGATTGTTGTTTGAATAGATTAGAATATACGCCTATTGCAGTAATGGCTGGTAGGAAATTAGCCAAAAGACTCTATGGGGATAGTAATGAGATCATGGATTATGCTGATGTGGCTACGACTATCTATACTCCTATTGAGTATGGCTGTATTGGATTGTCAGAAGAGAGAGCACAGTAAAGATATGGATAGGATGGAATCAAAATTTACAGGACTCATTTTAAACCTTTACAATGGAGTTTCAGATAGAGAGATGATGCAAAGTATTGTGGAGGCAAATTGATTGTTCACAAAGAGTCGGATCGAATCGTAGGATTTCACTATGTTGGACCTGAAGCTGCTGAAGTTACTTAAGGCTTTGCAGTGGCTATGAAAATGAAATGCACAAAGAAAGATTTTGATAACACTGTTCCTATTCATCCTAGTCTAGCAGAAGTATTATTAATAAGTATATTTATAGGAAATGGTTTTAATGAAATGACAATTTTAAATAAGTTTAATTTCTATCTTAAATAACATTTATTATATCAATTAACGTATTTGGGTGTTCTTGGTCTACCTTATGGAGCATTTTTTTTGTCTTGTGATTTTAGAATTTGAAATGAACACATCAATGTTTCATCCACACTCATCAATGCACCTATTTTATTATTACATGAATACTATACCTGAATTGTCGAATTCTCCACAATAATTTGGAGCTGAAAATAGTGTTACTAATTGCCTTTTTGCGAAAAACTCATATCCTTCTTCTACCACCTAATGGGCTCTACAAACCAAATCCATATCATTTTTCTTCAAAAAATTAGCTATCACATCAGTTCCAAAGATATATGAAACTCCTCTCTCATTATCTTTATATTATTTTAAATTATTAATTACCTTACCAACCTTGTACATCCTTCTCTGGATCTGACCATAACAAATCGCACAACAATCCTGTATCTGGAACTTCTATTGGTCTCATTATTCTGTGAATCTACTCCAAATTCGACAATTCTGGTGAAAGTCCACCATGCATACAAATTATTTTCTCATCTATTACTGCACACACTGGCAAACAATTAAAACAATCAGTAAAGGTTTTCCACAATTTTATATTATACCTTCGTTTGCATTCATCATAAAATCCATATATACGATTTATTTATGAGCATTCATGATTACCTCTCAATAAAAAGAAGTTCTCAGGGTATTTTATTTTATATGCTAATAGCAAACAGATTGTTTCTAATGACTGTCTTCCTCTATCCACATAATCTCCCAAAAACAAATAATTCGCCTCTGGTGGAAACCCTCCGTATTCAAATAGTCTCAATAAGTCAGTGTACTACCCATGTATATCACCTACATAAGTTAAACATTTTACCACATATCTTTATTGGAGCTTCCAATTCTAGCAACATTGGCTGACTTAAAAATATCTCTCTACTCTTTACACACAAAGAACGTATTTCATTTTCTGTCAGATTCACAGCTTTCCCTTATTTAGCTCCTTTGCTTTCTAAAAGTTTTTCAATTATCTTCATACTTTTAAATTACTTACTTTATCGACATCGATATCCATTATTTTTAATATAAATTAGAAAAATAATCATTTTTTGAAGTATTTCTTTTATAATTCAGTTATAATATATATGATTCAATAAAATAATACCGATTTTGCAATTATCATCAACTAAATCACTGATTTTTATTACAATTAAATATTAATTTTAAATTATATTTAATAAAAAAGTATTTCATTATTATAAATTTCTCCTGCGCTAATCCTCTTCCATCTGTATTAACTTGGCCACCTTAAAATAATTATATTTCTCTGCCATTTACCTAGCTGTTCTGCTTCCCTATTATAGATTTATAATTTACATAATCAATTGCGAAGACATCAACCTGATAATTTATCAGTTCTTAACATATATCATAATAGTTGCGTTTGGCAGCCAAATGCAAACCTGTTTACCCTATCTACAATATATTGGAATAATACAAAATCCTTTGTCTGAATCAAAGTTCCATCTGAAATCAACATCAATTTTAGACTTGATAAGTCGTTATTTCTTATTGCAGTCAAATAATCATTTTCCATTTAATCCAATTATCTTACCACAACATGTTATTTTAATCTGTTTAGCAATTTATTCTCCAATTGTTCTTCTGAGAATTTCAATTAGGAAATGGTTCTAAGATTTTATAGCAGGATAAAACTTACTCCATTATGGTCTATGCTTAGCCATTCTAATAATTAATTTCTGGTATTTCATGATTTAATATTTCTCTGTAAGTATACCTACTTCCATTGTCTACAAATTGATAAGGAATGTTTAAGTCCTCATACTGAATGTCCCTGATTTCTGGTTCCGTTCCGATAGTATTGCTGTAATATTTATTATAAAGATTAACTTGTTCTTTAAAATCTTTAAAGGCACTAACACTTATTTTGTCTAAATTTTTCAAGTCAGATTGTAACTTTTATTGATTTTCATTGAGCATACTCTTTTTTTTCAATTAGAATTGTGTCTCCCTCATTTTCTTCTCTTGCTGCTACTTTTTGGTTTCCATCATATTGATTTATTTACTCAAAGGGTTGATGATTTTAAGAGAGCCTTGTTTATTTTGTATTAATTAATTATTGTTTCTCAAATCCTTAAGGTTCTGGTAGAGCTCAAAGTCCTATTCATTTTATTTCTTTTTATGTGTTCTTAAATCTGGATTGGGTTTCTTCTTGATGAAATAATCATTCTCAACTTTGTGTACAAATGTTTCTGGAGTCACGAATTTATGCATAATAATATAAATTAAATTATAATGGATATTGGGATTGGAATTGGAGCTTTTAAGTTTTAAAATTTAGTAAGCAATGAGATGAAAATAACTAAAGATCCTGAACATAAAACAAGAATACGATCTCAATCTCGAAAATCCATTCAGGAGAAATGCAAGTTTTAATTCTAAAATTCTAAGAAAAAGTATGCACACAAACAATAAGATTTTGAAGGCAAAGAAAAGTTTTAAACTGAAGTGGATGAATAAGTTAGTTCAGATAGTTAAATGGATGATGTTTAATTATTAGAGTATCGAAGAAAAAAAAAATAAGAATTTGTATTTGAAGTTTCTGATTTAAGTAGCTCAGAAAGTTTTGATTCTGATATAGAAAATGATTAACATTCTGAAAAAAACGTTAATTCAAATCAAGAACAACATTAAAATGCTTGCCAAAATCTCAAAAATTTGGCTTTTTCTCATAACATAAGTTTATAATCATAAAACACTTTATAATTAGTGAATAGCAATAAATCTTAAAAACATTCAGTCATTACAAAAAAATAAAAAATTTTAAAGTCATTCAGACCTGCTTTGATAAAAAAAGATTTTCAGTTGTTACGAAGTTTAAAACAAAACTAAGATTTTCTCAATAATGAATTAGCTACTTTGGATGAATACAAGATTGATAGGGAAATTGTGGTTGATATGGATTGCTAGGATATTCATACTTTTATGAGATTACAGAATGAAGTTGAAGAAATGAGAAGAAAGTAAATGGATTTCAATAAATAGAAGGAAAGACATTATGAAATAGTGAAGAACAGATCTTAACCGAATAAAGGGGCTACTAAATCAGATGAAAACAAACTATGGATTTTGATGATGGCTAAGAAGTTTATCAAAAGCATGAAAGATAAAAAAAACAATGATTAATCAAACAAATAGCCACCTCAACCAGTTGTAAGAAAAAGCACAAGAGGTTCTTAAATTAAATAAGTCTCATGATGAAATATTGATCAATATGTATGTTTAATATATAATTATTTATAATTATTATTGAAATGGCTAAAGAAATTGAAGAATATTTTGTGAAAAGACTTTAATCATACTTATTAGAATACTTACAAGATTTCTCCCAAAATAATATGGCTAAAGTATAAAATTAAGCTCAATATATAATAGTTTTCTTTGGGAATTTCATCAAACATCATCCTAAAGAATTTGTAAATCAAGAAATAAGCTTTACTGAATTTTTCATTCCCTATGTATATCATTGATGGAAAGATAAATTCAATAACTATAAATGTATTAAGTAATACTATTCTAGATGCCTTTGAACTATAAATCCTAATAGCCAGAAATGATAATTGAAGGGATAGACTTGTAAGTGTGCACAATTTAAGAAGCCAACTAATTTGTTTCGAATAAAGAATAGCAATCATAATAAGGAGTAGAGAATTTGAAAAAGCACAAATTAAAAATTTGGGAGGAATAAATGGCAAAATATTTTGAATAATTATCTCCACCCAATTGGATACAAAAGATAGTTGATGGAATTTACAATAATATGTCAGTTTAGGTGAAATCATTCTTCTTAAGATTTTATAATTTCTCAATTTTTGGTTACGAGACTTAATTAAAAATAAAGGCAGATATCAATATAAAGGCTACTGACAAATAGTTTCAGCAAAAATTTAATAGCGATTTAAATTGCATCTACAAATTAATAGAAATTAAGAAACTTGGGATCACTTATTTGAAAATTCCAAAGAAGAAGGAAGAATAGCATTTATTGAGTTCTATTGATATTACAGTAAAATTAACTATGTACAAGAATTAAGAAGAGTTGTCTTAACCTATTTAAAGCATTGAGGTTACAGTTGATAACCCTATCATCTTTTAAATCAATAAGGAATCAAAGAATTATTTAGTGAAATTAAATGAAGTACTATAAAATTTAGAAATTGTTTAAGATAATTTCCATTTCCGCCCAAAATGCGAAGTCAAAGCTAATTATTCTGAATGGTGGAAATACTTGATCAATGCTGTAATGCAAAATCAGAAGAATCACAAATTGGACTTAGGTTACAGTTCAAGAAGATTAGTATTAATGAAGAGATACATTGAATTGTATAAGAGGAAACAGACTATAATATTAGTTCCTTGGTTAACAAGTTGGACTATATAAGATGAAACCAAATTTAAGAAATGCGAGGAGCAAATGTCTCTGAAGGATTTATTAAAATACAGGGAATGGGCATTCTAAGAGATTAGAATTGAAGCCAAACGGTATTATCATTCTTCAAAAGATGGATAAAATCAATAGAGTGTAAAACCTGTATTGGAAATATGGACAAATACCATAAATAATCAGAATTCTTTTAAAGATTAGAAAAAAAGGGATGATGACATTCCTATTGAATTGGAGGATGATGAAAAAATTAATTTATATGAAATTCTTGAGAGAGATAAAACATAAGTACTTTCTAGTTATTTAAAAGGCTAAAACAACGATCCTGATTAAGTTAAAACTTGGATTTCAATTAATATTCATTCCATTTTTTTGATAATCTTAGAAAATCGTCCTCCAAATGTTGCTGCTTATTGTCCTAAAAATACAAAAATATTTTCTTCTTGTTAATGCAAAAGATGCATTCAATTAATTAAAAGACCATAATTAGATAAAAAAAAGAGTTCATAGTTTAGTCAAAGTTACTCAATATCAGAAGTCATTAAACAAACTTAGAAGGGTAATGATGAAGGATCTTTTCATACTGCTAAAGAGATAGATAGTTTTTTTGAAGATATGGAAGATCTTAATAAAGATGACTCTTAATCTTCTCTTGTATCAAGTTAAGATTAAAAAAATAACAATTCTTTAACCAAATATAATCTGGAATCAAATAAAAGTAATAAGCTAATCCTCATTATGAGTATGATAGGAATTAAAATACCTATTTCTATTTATTAAAATGGAAGAATCAAAACTAATGAGAAGGATGGTAAGGCAATCATTGTTGGAGAAATCAAGATGTTATCGCCAGGAATGATGCCAAAATTAATGGAGGAAACAGTAGATTCCGATGATCAAGCAGATAGATAGTCTCCCTTATTTGAAAGAAAAAATAATAAATGGGAGGATTCAAAATCACATCAAAAATAATTCTAGTAAACTAGAAGCTTTACGAGGGCAAAGTTATCTGAATTTGTCAATGATATATTTGAAGTATCCGTGACAAAAGATTAGTAATATTTTTCAAGTAGTGAAATATGTTTTTAGACTTTATGTGAATTTTTGGTTCAGAATCAAATGAATAATATAAAATGTTTTTTGATTGATTATGAAAATGATAAACATGCATTTCAAGATTTTGCCTAAGATTAATTTAAAAGCTATGACAAATACTTCATTTATAATGACAAAGAGGAGAGAGATGAAATTGATGACTCTATGTTATTGCATGTCATTAAACACTAGAAAAACGAAAACAGATGGGCATTATTAAAGTAAGCCGCAATGCAAAATTAAGATAAGTAAAACCAAGCAATGGGGGAAAATGAATAATATTGGCAAACTTGTTCAAACAAACATAGATTCTTACAAGAGGTTCATAATAAATTAATTGATATTATTAAGAAATCTTTATTTGCATCATTTATCGAAGAATTTGGAGATAAGATATTCCCATTGTGTATCATTAATCTTAAAGATAAATTGACCTATTCAACTGAAAGCACAGCTCACAATTTAGTAATATCACTATATCTAGAAGGTCAAAAGTCAGAATATAAAATATCTCCAAATAGTGACAAAAGGAAGAAGATTTCAACTCAACAATCCATGGATGAGTAATCCAATCAACATATAACTATTCATTTTCAAAGATTTTCACTTTTCCTTTCTACTAAAAGTTTGATCTCCTTATTAGATTTTTCTAAAGGCTTAGATTCTAGGTTGATGAATCAAAGATAATTTTATGTCTCACAAGATCATAAACTATTAGAATGCATCTTAAAGTCGAAGCCATTAGCATAGGAGCATTATAAAATGCATTAGATCAAATTTTTAGCCTAATTATAAGATAAACTAAAGGTTAGAATTGTATCTGATTAAATATCAAATTTAATTAAAACTGAATTAAAGTTTTAGATCAAAAGCATGACTTTTACAACTACAAAAATTGATGATTTATTCTCTCTTGTATAAAATAAGAATGAGTAAACTCTTTTTCAACAACACTACAAATTTTACTCAGCATTAAAGCTGTCTATTGCTTAATTTAAAATAGCTCATAAATATTACTCACCTGATTATAAGGCCAAAAATGAGGAACTTAAATCGTATGAAAAAGAGTACCATTAAGATGATAAAAAAACTCCATTGTCCAATATCAAATAGCCTATCAGTAAATAAAATACCAATTAACCATCTGAATAATTTTCAAAATAAACTTCCAAGAGTATTGATGTTAGATAGCTTTACAAAACTGCTAAGCAGCCTTCTTAAGCACAACCGTAATAATAAAACTAGTCGTAACCTAAAAAGCCAAGAGATAGTAAATTTCACATCAAAGGAATAAAATAAACTATTCTAAAAACCTAAATAGTTGCACTTTAATTAATGTCTAATATTGAAAATCATGCATTACTTACTGACCAGAAATTATACATCTAAATACCCTCATTTAATTTAAAAATCAATGATTCATTCACATGTTTTATAGAATTCCTTTTGATCTTAAAAAACAATGTCGAATTTTCCACTCTACCTCTACAAAAGACAAGAATAGGGTAGGACAGTCTATTAAAGGCAGAACTAGACACTTTATTTCATGATCACAAAGAACAAAGTTCTGATTGTAAACATTGTATACTCAAATACAGGAAAACTATTAAGTTGCTAAATATTCTATTTGGAAGAATAGAAAATATGAATAATTCAGCTTCCATTAATTCGTGGTTTCACATATTAAATTAAGAATGTTCAAAGTTTGGCAAATTGGAAGATCTTCAACCTACAAAAAAAGGGCAAGGAATAAAAATTACATTCTAAAGTACTCCCAAAGGAACAAATCATGGATATTACAAATCAATTATTGCATTCCCAATTTTTATTATTACTAGGGATGTCGGATATTTTAAAGATAATCTTATGATTCATTGCTCAGCCTCTAAGTTCAAAGACAATGGAGCCATAGTCAGAAGCGTCTAAAAGTTAGATTAGGAAATTGACAGCTCAGGAAACTAATTTGAAAAACCCAATTCGGGAGATAACTTATTTTCAAGGTTTCGACCTCCTTCTAAAAGGGATTCTGGCTAATCTAATATACCTGAAAGGCTGAGGAGGGAAACAAATTATATTTTGATTGACCCTGGGTATAAGGTAAAGGATCAACAATCCTTTTGGTAAAAGCTTGATGATAAATTCATCTTCTATTGCAGAAACAATGAAAAAGAAATGTTTAAGTCTGAAATAAGTCTTTAGGATCTAGATGATAAATAAGGTGACATTATTTTATAATCAGATGAAAATCTTATCAAACCCCCTGATCAATCTCTTTATATTTTGTTGTACTACAATAAACCAATAAGAAGTGAATTAATTTAAAGCAGAGATATTTATTACAGAAATGACAAAAGTTCAAAAGTGAAAGTATTTTTCTCTTTGTAAACTATCAAGGCTGTTTTTTAAAATTAATATGCTGCTTGCAACATATTAACTACTTTTAAGAATATCAATAAGATTTCATCAATTATCCAAAAAGTACATGACAATGTTTATTATTTTACCAGTATTGATGACTAAGTTTTAAGTAATAAATTAAAAGAAACACCTATTAAGCTCTTAGATGATATGATAGTTTCAGCTAGTATTCAATAAATATATTTAAAATCCAACGAATCCTTTTTTAAATTACAGATGCTAAAGATTATGCTAAATCTAGAATTATTGAATGTAGTCCTAAATCCCATTAAAACAAGTGTGCATAACAAAAATTCTAGTCTTGCTATGCTAGAAAGTCATTCGAAGTTAAAAACAAACTAAACTTAAGTATTTTAATTTGATGATTTACTTATTATGAAATGCCATTCCATTATGTTTAGCTTCAATTAAGTTAGTATTGTGGACATGAGATTACTTCATATTTCAAAATTATCGGATGCATTATAGTTTTAAGTTGAGGACATTTCAATAAGTATTATTAATAATAATACAAAACAGAGAGAAAATTTATTAACTATGCCAAAGAAGGACAAACAATCAAGTAATAAATCAAATTTCCAGTAAGAGAATAATAGAAAGGTTGATAAGCCTGTTGCAATATCAATAACTCTAGAATTTCAAAATCTGAACCCAAAAATTAATTTGTAAATTTAATAAGGCTAAATCTTATTATCCTAAAAGAGAGTATAAGATTTGCTTATTGCGATTAATAGTTTTTATCTAATCAATATTGAGGAATCTATTTCACTAAGACAGCATTTAATAAAATATATCTTTTTATAAGAATTAGAAATTTTAGGATTGGAGCAACCTTAAATTGTAAATTTGTATCTGAAAGACGACAGATCTAATTAATCGGCACTCAACTTATTCTTAGATCTTAAAATTGAAGACTTGTAGATATCCCTATAAGAAAAGGAGAGTGACTTTTTTGAATTGAATTTCTTTTAGATTTAAATGAAAAAGAGATTTAATCAAGAGTTAGAACTTTCAATCAAATAAATTGAATTAAAGCCTTAATATTGCAAGGGGGAGTATGGACAATACCCAAATTTAATTTAATAAAATGGTTAAAATGAAATGAAAATATCTTTGGAGAACAATATCATTCATATTGAAAATATCTAATTTTATATGATATCAAGATATCTAAATGAGTTATATGCATTTAAATTATAAATCGAAAGAATATTGGAAAAAAATAAATAAGATTTGGCTGAACGCTATTAAAATGACTTTGAACTCTAATTGCAATTAAAACAATAAGAAAATTTTGAGTTAAATAAAGAATAATTCAATTATTAAATTTTGATTAAAAATTCTTAGATTATTATTCCACAATCCTCTTCAGATAAAAATCTAATTAAAATAATGTTTGATTAAGCAGACTTAAAGATTAGAAAAGGCAAGATATTCTCAAAAATACCAGATATATTTGATTAGAAGACTGACATTATAAATTAAAAATTATTGATTGATTACGAAGATAAATTTTCAAAAACAATTGATAATAAATTGGAATTGTAGGATATCTTTGTTACTGAAATAAAAGGTAATATTCTTTTTGTTAGAGTTGATTATGAAATCAGTGGTCAATCCAATGACTCATCACTCATTAAAGGAAATTTGTTAAATGCAGGTAATTTTAGATTTTATTATCTTTTAGAAAGCTTTGATGTTGAAATGTATGTGCCTTCATTTGAACAGCTTTTGGGATTGAGTGGTTGGCAATATAAAGATAATCTTAAGATAATACCAAAAAAACTAAAAATGAAGCTAGATTTTGGAAAACTATTAAAGATCCAAAGTTATATTGATCAAAATTTTTCAGAAAAGTCTCCACTATTTGAATTTTAGATATCTCAACTACAAAAAATTAGTTTTGATGTATATCTAGAATATAAATGATAGCTAAATATATTGTCAATGGAAGCATCTTTAACACGATATAGTTAGATGGAAAAGGATTAAGCTGAAAAACTAAACAATATTAGATAATATAATCAATATAATCGAAAAAAAACTATTCATTAAGACAAACAATCTGCCAAATAACATTATCCAAAGAATTGATATAAGTTTGAAATTATAAGTAAACTATATGTTTCATAAATTCTATTAAATTAATACAAAATTAAAAGCTACTTAATCCTTGCATTTTCATTTATAGATAATATTTCTTATTAACTTAATTAATTAATAAATTTTTATATTATATCTCTAATGGAATATTGTGGAGGAATAATTAGAATTAAATCCTAACATCCAAAATTCCTTAGTGTCCTTTAGAGTTTAGATCCTACTGGCACTTAATAGAATCCACTTCATTAATAAAATTGCACTTTTCACAAATTTTAAGAGAATCATAATCTGATAGTCACAACAGGATATGTGATTGCCAAATTCGCTTAGGCCATCAATTCCTATAATATAAATTTAATAAATTAGCATATTAAATTTAGTTTATTGTTATAAGAGGATATGGAGATAAAATTAAACCTCATTTGCCTAAATTTTGATGATTGGATTGCAGAGAAATTAAACAATTGCTTTATTGAAATAGAATTGGGATTTATTATGTACTTTGAAATTCCTAATATCAATAATATCTAATACATATAAAAATATTGCAGCTAACTTTTGTCATAAGGGTAAGAAGTCTTAACAATAAATTCATCTTCCTTTTTGAAAGGTAAAGTGATGCAGAAGTAGTATTGTAGAAAGGGATATGTCTCATAAATATTTACAAATTAAAATCAATAAAAATAGCTTATAATGTTGGGATTGGTTAGTTAGATAGGGCAAGAAGGAGGAGCTATATTTAATTCTAAAGGAGAGTATGTAGGGGTTCTACTTTAAAACATTAAAATCGCAAGATTAAATCATAGATATTTTACATTTTGTGTTAATTGGGTTACTCTCAACTCAATTTTTAACAAAAATTCTCCAAAACTCAGTCCTTCTTATTTCAACTCTGATTTTATAGATTTAATACTAAGTGCGACAAAATATATATCATAAGGGGCTGGCTAATTTGGTAGTGGAATCTTAGTAAATGATCTATAAAATAAATAAAGCTATATATTAACGGCCAATCACGTTTTGTCAAATAATTTGAAAGGCTCTAAGTTATTCATTGGAGAAGAATAACATGAGGCGTACATCTTGGAGGACACTTCAAATAATATGGACTTTTCTTTAGGAAAAGCAAAGAACTATATATCATAAGGTTTAAATATTGAGGATGGTGTTATATTTTCGGAAGTTCCTGCAATAGGATCAACAGTTTATGCTGTCGGGTATTTATATACTCTATTTTAATACAAGCCTTGCATATCCAAAGGATCAGTTATTAAAATAATTTATGACTAATTCAATTAGATGGTGTCAATTGTAACAGATTGCTTCATCCATAATGGTTATAGTGGAGGAGGACTTTATAATTAATGTGGACAATTATTGGGAATCATTTCCTTTAATATTTGCCATTCGGTTGAGGGTGTGATTTGCGATTTATCATATATTACTCCCATTTTCCCATATTAAACAGTATTTTAGGATCTAGCACAACAAGGGTAATACATTTAGAAATATGTTTAGAAACTTGTCTCAAACCTCAAAGGATAAACTCAAATAAGAAAATAAATTAGCCTCTGAAATCAGAACTTTATGTACACTGAGAGAACTCCCACAAATAGGATATATTCCAAAATTATGATATATATAGATATAGTAGACTTATAGAAAATTTATTAAATATCAAATCATGGCTTTTTCATTTTTTCTTTAATTTTCTAAGATTAATACTAAATTATTACATCATCTAATTCTTTTAATTTATTTTATCTTTCTTTCATGAAAAGCTATTTTTATTTGATAACTTCTTCTTAATTCTTCTTGCTTTTTACTTCTGGCAAATTTTCATAATTTTTTTTTGTTAATGCAAACATCTCCTTTTCTTCAACCTAAATAAGTTCAAAATTACTTTTGCCTTTTATCCCATGGCTAATCTTTCCATTAATGGACTTTTCACTCTTTTGACTTATTCCTTTTGTGCACTGTTTTGTTCTTCATTTATTGGAGTTTGACTTTTATTTTGTTATCTTTTGCTTCTTCCATATTCCATCATTTCTTTTCTCAGTTTGATTTACTCCTCCTTACTTCTTTATTTGACATTCACTATCCAACTCTAATCCTCCTCTTATATTGGCATCTAAACTGAAACTCTTCTTTCAACATTGGCTGTTTTCTTTCTTTATGAGAAATAATCTGCGAGACACTTTTTGCTTGATTCATTTGTTCCATCTTCGAAATTAAATTCTAATTTAACACTTGGTTAAGACTGCTTTCGTATCTCTGGATTATGTATACTATAAGTTTTATCTTACTAAACAGAAGAATTAATTAAGTCAATCTATGAATATTTCCTTTAAACATCCTTTTTATTTTGAGTTTAGACATCCCTCTATTCATTGTCTATTTAGAATTCAATAGAATTTGTGTTAATTTGTTGATAACTTTAATTTTTGCTTTGGCATTCATGAGTTTAGAGTTGCAATTCCTATTAGGATTATTAAGATATCAGATTTCTTTGAGATAATTGAGTACCAAAAGTTAAGGATTCTACACTATGCTTTTCTGATTGATGAGATTTGATTTGTTGTTATTATGATATTTACTTTGGTTTAATACATAGGGATTAATTATGATACGATTCATTTATGTTTATAATTGATTAATCTTAAACAGATTTATCAGTCTAAATAGCTTGAGATTGTTGCTTTTTACGTAGTATTTTTTTAGGAGGAGATCCTGTTTCTTCTTAGGTATTTTGAGGAGGAATAGACTTTGATTATTATTGCTTTTCAGACTATGTTATATTATTATTTATAACTATTGGTTGTTATTATTATTGTTATTACTAGGACTAGAATTGCGATAGCAATTATTATTAAAACAGCAATCTTTAACTCTCCTACTTCTCTAATTGCTATTTTAAAATCATGTTTTCATTTTACAATTATAGCATTTGTTGTTAAATCAATAATAACCCCATATTGTCTGTTTGATCTAAATAGGGCTTGCTATTCCTTTGCATTTCATACCTGTTTGTTCTTTATGTAGTGCAATTTGAAGGTTGGTTTGATCTATGACATTATGGTAATATAGGTTATTTTAAGGGGTCTAAGAAACTGTTATTTGAATGGTTAGATTATTGTTCAATCCTTGAAACATCTATAAAAATTGACTATGCATCTTATATTTAAGAGTTTTAAGACACAACACTAAGAGGTGGTTGATCTACTCTTTTTTTCATCTATTTAATAAATTCATTTGTGTTTCTATGAGGTTGTAAATTTTCCATATTGGGTTTTTTTGAAGATGGTATTTATTAAGGTGATCGATATTAGTTTGCAATGTCTCTATTCATTCCTTATTCAAAATCAAATTATTAAAAAATTTAGGAGTTAAATAAATAAATTTCAATTATCATACACTCATTCATTTTTCTCAATCCGCTCATCCTTATCACTATCCTCCTATTCCTCTAACCATTGACCGAATTCTTCAAGTCTCTACTCCTCAACTTCCTTACTCTCTATATTTGATTTGAAATTTTCCTTCCCATCCCAATATTAAATGTGTATTTTTCTACCATTGAATTCAATCCCATTTAAACTTGTTAAACAAATCTCAGCATCATAGGAAGAGTGAAATCTCACCTTGGAGACACCTAAACTTATTGCATTTATTACCTTAAGGATGATCTTTAAAAAACTCTAACTTTTGGACAAAGATTTGCAAAGACTCTATTTTCAACAACAATTCACCATATAATTAGTTCATAAATTCTGGATTTTAAGCTTAAACAGGACTATATAAATTTTTGAATATTAGTATTTTTAATCCTTTTCCATCATCTTCCTGCCCTTCATCAGCCATCTAGGTCATTTCTTTCTGTCTAGCCAATGCCTTTTAAAGTTTATCGATCTTTTTATTTTCCCTTTTACGATATTACCCTTTTTATTCAAAAACTGCTTCAGTTACTTTGACAATTACACCTGGCCTAATATGAAGTCCATCTAACATTTCTCTTGCAGTCTATACACTTTCAACCATTTTATATGATATCAAGCCATCACCTTTACAATTTCCATTTTAATCTCTATATATTTTAATCGTAGGTTGTAAAGTTTCTGGATTGATTCTAATTATTCCTGCTTTGCTAAAAAAGACTTTCATCTCTTCCATAGTTATATCTTAAGGCAAACCTTCAACATATACATTTGTATTTATTTTAGGTGTGTACCATTAATTCTTTTTTTTTTCTTTTTCCTTTTGGGATTTCTTCCTATTCTTTTCTATTTTCTTTTTCAAAATTTCCATTCTCTACTCATCATTCAATTATTAAAATGATTCTTCGTCCTCCAATTATTCAACAGCCTCCTCGTTATCCTTTTCATTCTATTACTATTATTGTTATGCTTATTGATCTTCTGATTTTATTTCTTTGCCACAAGTTATTTACACCATTTCGTGTTCTTATTCATCTAAAAAACTCTTTAATTCTTCAACCAAGAAAATTGGTTTCCAATCTGTGAATCCTTCCTTATAAACATAAGTATCTAATGTTAAGATCATTAATTACGTGATGTAATAATGCTAGTTCTTAACATAACATCGATATCTCTTATTGATATTGGCCCTTTAGTTTGTTTCTCTGTTTCTTGCTCACTAGTATCGACATAATACCATATTAGTTCATCTTCCATTTTTATAAATTTATAGAAATATTGGAAAATAAATAATTAAATTGAAATTGAAATTGTATTTTGTCATCTATTATTATCTATTTAAAGCAGTAGCATTTCATAATCTATAGTAGAATTGATTACCTTATGATTTTAATAATTGTTGTTGATTCACATCTTTAAATAGAAGATAATTACATTATTTAATTATTATTTACTTAGTAGAGTTAAATCATAAATTAAATTTGAATAATAAGTATATAATTAATCAGAATATCATACAATTAAATTTCTCTGAGCAGCATTTGTGTTCAATTTCATTTTCATTCTCAAGGATTACCTGGATTTAACCTTAATTATTCTCTTCTAATTATTACAAACCAACTGTTTCAGTTTTATATAAATCAATACCAACTTTCCTTAAATTATCAACCTCGGAATCTCCTTAATTATTAAGAACTTCTATTTCCTCCTGTATAAGTTCATTCCCATTTTCCTCATGAACAAAGATTTTTATGTGGCTAGCAGATGAAACAGAATCTATTGATTTTTTCATACTAGTAGACTTTGAATGTTAATGTGAAAGTCTCCCCAAGGAGGAAAACTTTCTTAAATTTCTACATTTAAAATCCTAAAGTTTCCTTAATCCATATTAGTAATCTTCTTAACAATCATATGTGAATTATTTTAACAATTCAGAGGCTTATGGTATTTAAGGAGGCCTAAATCATTTAAAAATGCCTTACCAGAAGGTTGTAACATTTGAGCATTCTCCATTATATTTTTCCTCCAAATATTCTTTCGATATATATTATTGTAAATCATCGAGATTGTTTATCAGTTTAATCTTAGAATGAATTTGATTTCTGTTTGGTAAGTAATTAAGAATTTATGAGAAATTTAATTTAGAATTTACAATGAGAAGATTATTTAAATTTCCACAAAAATTAATCATTAACTCCTTGATGTGATCAAAGTCGAACTTAAATTATTAGTATAGATTACGTCAATTTCATAAAAGTTGTATTCTTAATTTTAGCAATCATAAATGATTGTCCAATTTTCAATGAAATAAGATATCAATACTTATCGCTTTACTATTTCCAGTAAATATTGAAAGGTTTAAAAGTTCTCATTCTCAAGACGCTTTATTATTATGACTGGTCTTGATTATTTATCTATTCCGAATATATAAAAATCTCCACATTTCAATTAGTCAATATTTGGTTCCATGTTTTAATATAAATTAAGCCAACTTAGATGAATTTATAAATTCTCTAATTACATATTTTGAATTACTTATAATGCACCCTGAATGGAAAAATCTGCTGATATAAGCATTTTTAAATAATCACTTGTCTTCCATGAATCGGGTAACTGTACTTATATTTTAGTTTTGAAATCATCAATCGATTTGATTTCATATTCTTCATAATCAACTTTTTCGTAAATGTTTCTAACTATCATTCCTTCTGTTCCCGATTTAATATAGAATTCTAGATTTTAAATATTATTACGTTACTTGAGTGCTTATTTGGAAATGACTAACTTTTAGGTCTCAAATAACTTATGTCTAATTACATCTAAATAATTAATATTAAAGTTAATTATTTGATAAATTATTCTTTCAATAAATTACAGCCTTTTAAAAACAAAAAATTAATTCAGAATGATACAGCACAATCATCTTTAGATATAATCTTTCATCTAGAACTATGGAATCAAATATTTAAATTAACTAATTCCAATATAATAATTAAAAATTAAAAGCATTTATAAAGTAATTGATAAAATATACTACCAACAATTTATTGTGAAAAAAACAAAGAATATAAACAATAAATAATATTGATAATTATTAAGTGAAATACCTCGAACGATAGACCTGATTGAATATATCATAAACAAAATATAAATTATCCTTTAAAAAACAATTCATCATTTCCTTTTCACTTTTTTAATTTCTGAATAAAAATTCTTAAAATAATTTTTATTTATGTTATCAGCTTTTTAAAAAGAAGTGAATACAAATTTTTCTGAAAACCAAGATAAACATTTAGAATCTTAAAATGAATTATAAGACAACAAAATGAGAATAATTTTAATGGCAATTGAAATTGAAAGATTACATAAGATCTTAAATTCTAAAATAGATTACTACAACTAAAAAATGCAAGACTATATTAAGAGAGGTTAAAGTTATATGTAAATCTTAGAGTTATTTTATAAGGGATAAATTGTTTAATACTTGTAAGAGAATACTGAATTGAATTAAAATATTCTAGAGAAAAATGCTTTGATATCTAAAATTTTTAAAGAAAAGTATAAGGAATTAGTTATGTAGTTCTTAATAAGAAATGAATATGCTTATAACTCAATAGTGTCTCTAATTTGAACAAGAACTAAAAAGTTCTTTGTTGAGGAATTTATAATTATAAAAGGAAAATTAGGAACTTCGCTACTAATTTGATAATGCTCCTTAATTAAGGAAATAATTAACTGATTTAGAATAATTATACTCATAATTGTTGATAGAAAAAAATGAAGAAATATAGCAATTGACATAAAATAACCCATAAATTTCACTTAAAAATTCCTTATTATCAACTCTTAATTAGCTTTTAGAATAAAAAGAATTAGAATTATAGGAATGGTAATATAGCTCTTAATAAAGTAATTTAATTCATGAAAACCAAAGATTAACAAAAGAGCTTAAATTCTTGAATGATAAATTAAATTTGCTATTAATTAGTAATGATCATCTCACAGTTAAATAGGATGATATTTACACAAAAAACTATTATTAACCGACTTAACCTAATTAACATACATAAGAAAATGATTAAAAATGCTAAATCCCCAGAAGATAATAAATGAATCATAATTAATTTTTTAAAAGATCAAATACTCCTTAAATATAACCATCATAAATACCTATAAACATTTAGTCTTTATCATAAGAATAACGAGAAACAAACAATTATCAAAATGGCAATTAAATTAATGAACTTCTCTAATAAGTTTTATTGATTTAAAATGAAAAATTCTAATCAAAATAAAGAATAAACAATCAAATTTCTTTATTAAGTAGAGTTTTAAATCTAAAGCTACAAGAAATATCATAATATCTTTGCTAAAACAAGTAAAATGTTTAATTAATTAGAAATCTTAGTAATTATGTAGTCAATTAAAAATTGTCAACATCACCTTAAATTGTAATTAATCCAAAATTAAAGAGATTTCAAAAATATTATAGTGTGTCTCCAAATAACTGTTATTCTTAACCTTATACTATTTTATAACCCTATTAAAAAAGTCCTGTTCATTAACATCATCATGGAATAAGGACTGAGACTACATTTCTTTCCTATTAGAATATATTTAAATAATAGTTGACTCCAATAGTTATGATGGTAAAATAATTAATTGATTAATAGCCATAAAATATAGTCGCTCATCCTTAAACCAGACAACAAACTTAAGTTCATTATAATTTTTCTCCAATTCAAAAAACTGTTATAAAATAGAGTTTTCAGAATCCACCATATATTGTAAGAGGAATATATCCTAATGAGACTGCTTAATTTTATTAGCCTATTAAGTACTTTATTTACTATTTAGAATAAATGTTAACCAACCTAATTTAAGAGTTTTCGAAAGATAGGAATAAACCCTCTTGGAAAACTCTCATCAACCACAATTCGATGTTTATACAACTGAATTCTAAGTTAATTCTTAAGAAAATATAAATAACGAAGGGTCTAAAACAGCTAACTAACAGAATTTCCAAGATAAATATGGTATTTATTAGTTCACAATATTATAGAAGGGAATGGTAAATCTCAAAAGCAAAAAAATGAATTAGATAGGACATTACCTAAAAATATATCTCGTTTTAATGAAACTGAGTCGGTATCCTAAAAGTCATTTGAAATCTAAGATTAACATATTTTTAATAAAATAATCTTATAAGATCCTGTGGCAATTGTAAAGTAGAATTTAGATAGTTAACAATAATCAGAATAAAATATTAAAGAGAATAATAGTTTATATCTAATTTACAAATAGTTTCAAGACTTTAGATTGATATTCAAGCAGAAACTATAAAGGCAAGAATAGGAAATTTAAAAAACGTATTCAAATTCTTTGGAACAATTATAAAATCTAGAGAATTAAATGTTAGTTATGATGAATGAAAAATAATAAAAAATTTAGAATTAAAGAGATAATAAATTTAATAGAATTTCTTAAGAATATCAAAGCTATAAGATTTAATAGCCAAATTCTGATTGCAAAAAATATGATATACAAACATAGGTTAATGAGTCTAATGATTTGGAATTATAAATTGCTTCGCAGAAGAAATTACTTAATGAATAATAAACTCATTTTTTATAATTACTTTAATTATAGGATGAAATTCAAAATTACTATGAGTCTTTAGTGTCTTAGTTATATTAAAGAGAATCAGAATTAAACAAAGAAGTATTAAAAATAAAATAGGATCATGAAAATTAAATATTAAATTTAACAAGATTATAAAATTAATCAGAAGAAATTAGTCACCTTGAATAATAAAATTCCTCCTTATAACAATAATTGCAAGATTATATGAAGGAATTCAAAGATATTCAATTTAAATTAAAATTTGAACAAGATTAACATCAGTTCACAAAGCATGTAGTTGAATCGTTGTAAATAGAAACTAATACTTATTAAAATACTATAGAAGAGATTTAAAAGCGAAACAAAAATTTAGAATAGGAACTTAAAAATACAGAATAATTGTTATTTGAAACATAAAACTCAAAAATGCAAACATAAAACCAGAATAAAGAGACTTAAACTATATCAGTAGAACAGTAATAATCATTTTACAATGATTAGATTGAAATAGAAAATCTAAAATAAAAGTTATTCTTTGAATAAGAATTATCTAATCAACTAAATGATTCTATTTCTGGTCTCTAATAATAAATTTAAACTTAAGAATAATTACTATAATAATACAAATTAAGCAACTCAAATCAATTCGAAGAAATTCAAAATCTAACAAAAGAGAAAATTGAAATTGCTTAATAATTAAAAATGATTTAGATTAAATATTTGTCATTAAAAGAGTAAAATGATTTAATGTAAAAGTAAAAAGATGTAAATCAAAATAATGAATAAATATAAAATATGGATGTCATTCAGAATTTAAACTTTTAAATAGAAGACATGAAATAACTCAACTAATTTCTTTAAAATTAGTTATCTTAAATGCAATAAAATAGTGAAATATAAATGTCCGCTCAAAATACAGTTTTATCCTCTAAAATTGCTCTTTTAGAAAAACAATTATCAACAGAAAAAATATTAAAAGAATAAGCAAATAGTAGAATACTACAACTTGAAAATTAAGTCCAAGGTTTTCAAAATCAGCTATCACATGGTCAAACAAATGACTTAAAAGAACAGATTTTTTAATTATCGAATTAGTAATTGCTATTAAAATAATAAAAAGATAGTTTGGTTTAATCTTTTGAATTAGACTTAAATCAACTTAAACAATAAATTATTGAATTGACTAATTAAAATAGAAATTATCAAGAACAAATCAAAGATTTTGAAACAAAACAGCTTCTACACTTATAATTATAAAAACAATATACAAATTAAACTCATTTGGTTAATTAATAAAAATAACAAATAATTATTTTGCAATAAGAAAATAATCAAAATCATAATGATTTACAAAAATTAAGATAAAATTTAAAATTGGATATAGAGGATTTTGAAGGCTATTAAAATGAATAAATTAACACATTACGAAAGCAAATTGATAATCTAAACTCATAACTTTAGAACTAATAAAGAGATATCAATTATTTATAAAGTTAAATATAGTTTGAATAACGAGAAAAAAGCATTATTATTTAAAATAAAAATATTTTAGATGGACATATAAAATAAATGCAAGAAGAAAATTTATAATTGTAGAGTTAAATCTATAAATAAAAGAATGATATTGAAGAATTACGGAAAAACATGAGATAATCTAATATTATTGATAATTCTTCAAATTAATAGGAAATATTCATTTATAAAGAATAGAAAACTTATAAAAATTAAAATGAATCACTTTAATAAGATATTAAAAATTTGAAATAAGAGAATCGAACTTTAATTTAAGAATGCCAAAAATTGAAAGATGCTCTATTATAAGTAACAGAGGAAAAAACTAGGTTAGAAATGATTTTTAATTATTAAAATTAAGTGCAAGAAACTCAGTTTCAAGAAATTCAATAATCTCAAATCATAACTTAAAATAATAAAAATGAGGGGTAAGATTAAGTAAAATAAGATGAGTTTTAAATTAAATAAAACTAAATTTAAGATTTGAGTAGTAAAATTTCTACAGCTTTGGTTAAATTAGATGAATTTGATGATTTGAACTTTAGGATTGAGAAAATAAAACAAGATTTATAGAATTAGATTCAGAAATTAAAACAACAAGCTATTTACATTTAATAACATAGGATTTAAAAAAATGAAGATGATAAAATTAAAAAAAGCAATCAGTAAAAAAAGTATCCATCAAATTAGCATAACTAATAGGCAGATGAAATAGCATAAATAATTTAAGCAATAAGTATAAGCATAGGGGATTATATTCAGCTTAATTCATAAATTCATTTGATTACTGAAAAGCTGAAGCAATTATTAGGTGATACTAATAATATAGCTGCATCAATTCAGTTGTAAAATAGGACCTTGATAAACTAAGAAAATGATTAACGACAAAAAAGTAGTTCTATTTACACTAATTATGAAGAGCAATATAAAGAGTTATTGATCGAGAATGATAAATTAAATTAAAAAGCAAATTAATACTAAAATCTCTTAATATAATTATAGGATGAGTATTACAAATAAGGATCTGCACTTAACAGTATAACAAAGGAGTACTAACAAATTAATAATAAAAATGAATTTAAAATAATTAAATTAATTCATTTTGAACAATTAAATGATAAAACAAAAGAGTAAGAAAAATAAATCCAGGAATATTTACAATAGATTTAAGACTTATAAAATTACATTGATTAAGAATAAAAAAAATATTTTGAAGAAATTACAAGTCTGAATCATTAAATAGAAGAAAATTAGTTGCAAGGGAAAAACTATATCTAAATTAATTAAGAAAATAGTACATTAAAACAGGAAATATCTAATCTATAGTCTGAAATACAAAAATAATAACATTTAATAGAAGAACTAAAACTCATATAAATATAAAATTAAGATGAATATGCACAACAAAAGCAAGAGGCTTAAAGATTATATTAACGATTATTATAAATATCAAATAGTTACAATGTACTAAAAGAAGAAAAAGAGTAGGAGTAGCAAAGATTTTCAAGAGAGAGTAGATAAATTTAAGAAAGTTCTGAAAAACACAAAAATGAAAATATTTAATATAAATTATACGTTGATAGATTGTAAAAATAGCTTTAAGAATAAAAGAATTAATCAGATAGCAATCTATAATAATAACTCAAAAAAGTATAGACTAAATTAGAAGCCAGTTTATAATAATAAAATTTAATTCATGATGAAAAGAAAATAACCAAAGATCAAATTTAATAATAATAAGAGTAATTAGCAAATTAATTAATTACAATAAATCAACTTAGATAGGAAATATCCAGATAGGAACAGGTTATATCCTAATTGTCTTAATAAAATAATATCCAATCATCATTTGTCTAAGAGGTAACATTTTTTGATGATTCCAAGAATTCTTCTCCTTTAGAATTTAAAGTAAAACAACTACAAAATGAAAATTCTCATTTGCATCAACTATTATTAGATATGGAAAAAGATTATACTCACAAAATCAAATTATAATAGCTTTAAATTTAGGGATTGAATGATAAATTAAGAGAAATGGTTTATGAATAAACTAAGAAAGTTCCTAAAGTAGATGAATTTGCCATCAATTATTAGAATCATTGAGATCATTTCAATTAATATGAGAAGAATGATTCTACTAATTAATATTTCAAAATTTTATTAATTTATGATTCAGCACTAATATTTTTGGTCTTTTTAATTTTAATTCTAAAAGTTCTGGAAATAAGAAAATGTAATCAAATCTATTTTCGTTATCTAATTTTATTATGAGATTTCTCAAATATTTATTATTTAATAGAACATTTAAGTTTGATTAATGAAAATAATGGATTATAATTATTATTATATATTAATATATTAAACAATTTTCATTAATATTAATACGAATAATGATTATTTATCTTTGAAATAAATTTATAATAAAATAATTATATATATATTACATCATCATTCCTTTAATAAACCATGCTTCTTCCAGATGGATTTGAAAAATTCGATTTCATCTGCACTTCCAACAATAATTTCACTTTTTTGTTGATATCCTGTAATTTCAGTGTCTAAAACTGAATGTTTGCCATTAAATGATTTTCCTTCAGCCTTCTCGATTAAGAAGGAGAGTGGGGCACATTCATAGAGATACCTGAGTTTAGAGGGATTTTTAGCATCTCCGAAACATGAGAAGACCCCAACTTCTTTTAAGAAGATTTAGCAAATATCTGGAGCCATGCCACCAGAGTATCTAAGAGTGTAGCCATTGTGAATCCAATAATCAACAACTTCTCTATAGGGGATATGATCGACAATGCATCTTGTATTTCCTGGACTGAACAATTTACCTTTTGGCTTAATCTTGATGTTATCCTTTGTCAATTCCCAATGACCTTATTTGTCTCCATCTAATGATTAAAATATTATGATACCAAACAATGTATATTCTTAAATTTTTTATTCTTTTTCATTCCAGAAGACAACATTAGTACGACTGCCATAGAGACAACAGCAGGCTGATACCATATCTCTTCCCCTCTTTCCGATCAATAGATTTTCATCAGATTTCCATATGGCCACAATTGTTCCGACTGCAAAGTTGGTTCCAATAATTGAACTTCCATCCAATGGATCAAAAGTGACAATGAACTTTCCGCCTTCAGACAGAGGCTTCATCTAAAAATGTATTAATTGATAATTGTACTTCTGGTGTTTCCTCACTTGCTGTATGGCTGACGAAGCCTGTCCTCTTCAATTCTGTGTTAACATTTAATTCGCATTGAACATCCATTTCTAATTAATGGTCTCCAAAATCATTTTGAGTGTTTGTGTAATCTCCACCTCCGGAACAATATCTCAAAACACGAGAATTCTCGATGAAGGCAAGAAGGAGGGCTGAACATACTGCAGATAGTTCTGGGTCATCACTTAACTTAACATGTTGGGAGTGCATTTGCTGGATATTTAATAAATTAGATCATGAATTTAAAGAATTTGGTTAATTAATGCCTATTTTCATGCGCATTATGAAATAAATTTATTCTAAATGACGCATTTTTTATATAGTTAATCATCATAATAGTAATCCAAAATTTAGCTATTTTAATATTAATTATGTAAAAACGCCATTAGAATGAATTTATTTTTGGAATTCCCTAATGAGTTGATACTAAAGAGCAAATTTATTTGTAATATTATTAGATAATAATCTTGCAATGAAAATAAATATAATTATCATTATTATAAAATTGTGTATTAATTCATCCTTCCAATAACAATCAATCTATTTGATATTTTGGATATTGTGAGTTTGCTAGATGGCAACACATCTAACTCAGCTTCATAAGTGAGTTTGTTTTTTTTAAGGGTAATCACTTGCATACGATTGAAACAAGTATAGATCAGATATGGGAATTTCACATCTATGCTTTCCCAATAATTCTCATTCGACATCTCCCAATCTCTGAGTGATATGGTTCTGCCTTACAAATCGAACACAAAGTAATTCAGGATACCATTTAGATGTTTAGTTACAATAGTTTATTTTAATAAGAATATTTAGGTTATATGAGGATAAATATCTTACAACGGACCTTAAAATATGATAGTAGGCGATTTATTAATTTTATAAGTCCAACTATCATTTTTATAATCCTAAATTGTCCACAACTTCAATTTCCCATCAGAGTATGCTCCGATCACATGTTCTTAATTAGCTGACACACACAAGACTTCTGCTTCCGGCGTATCTCCATCTCTAAGCACTTAAACAATTTATCTATTTGTGACATCCCACTAAATAATTGAGCCATCCTTAGATGATGAAAATGCTCCCTTGTTGTTACTAGCTAATCCTGTGATGACATTGTGATGTCCTTCAAGTAAGAAATATTCTGGATTTTCTTTGATTTCAACTTGGTAGACATATCCTAGGTCTCCCCCTGCGAATACATATAATTAGTCATGAATGTATGCGAAATGGCAGAACATTATAAGTTCTTTAACAGGTCCTGTTGTTAGTTATTTAGAATGTCTTAGAAACTTTTTTTGTTTCTCATTTTTCAGTCCATCATAGTCAAGATGTTCATTGGCTTCAAATTGAATAACAAACTCAAATAATTTATCTAATTTGGTTGTGTGTGAATATAATTTGATTTTAGCATCAGAACATACTATAATAAAGGATTCATTCTCAGAAATGTCAATTAAATCCATGCAATTTATTTGTTCTTCATTGCCAAAGAGATGAGAAATCTTAAATTGTTTTTACATATGGAATCCCACAATCTTGGACTCTATTTTCTCCCTGTTCTGATAGAGTTATCTTAACTATTCAAAAAAACCTGGTTTTTCTTCGTCCATAAATTTTCAAGTAAAAATTTGGTTATTATAAATTTATGAAATGAATTCATTTAAATAGTGTTTCACATTTGGACTGAAATTCAAGGAAGTTTCTAACTATCTATGCGCATGCCTCATCTACCTTATGCATTACAACTATAACTAATTCAGATATTATGCGATCATACTCTTATAACTCTTCAATTACTAATGTGCATAAATTAAACTACTTACAATGTTGTAACTCTTAAATCTTTAGAATGGGTGGATCCAACTTATGATCTACATTATAAGTAGCATGAATTTCATCAATTAAATTAAGTACTTTTTTTTCAAGTCGTTTCCTTTCAGCCATCACTGTCTCATTAACTCTATTTTTATAAGAACGCAAGGCAAAATTATTAATATATTCCCTTGCCCTTTCAAGTTATTCCATTTTATATTCATCAAACCATTTTGGCAATTTCCCTTAACCCTTGTAAAATTTATCAATGCTCAACAATTTGAATTTTTCTTTCACACTAAGCATACTTCCAAAGTCATAAGCATTCTTAAAATTCTCAATATTCTTAGTATTTTTAGCTATTGTTTCCTTAATCTTTTTTAGATATTTATCTAAATTTGAATGGGTGTTGTGGAAGAATGCTTCATAAATTTCATAGAATCCATAGTTTTCCCTTTATAAATCAAGTAATGAATTGTAAGTACTTAAGGATATTAAATATATTACTCATACGCCATTCTATCTTTTTCTGTGTCTAAAAGGTTGTTAACTTCCTCAAATAAACTCATAACAGAAAATATTTATATTATTTTAATTATAATCATGAACTATACTATTTTATAATTTACATCACTTATTTTCCACAAAATCTACCCAATTACCCTTTCAAACATGAGATCTCATTGAACTAAACATCATTCTTCTTTCCATTCAATAAACTCAATTTGCTAACGATAAATGGAACACTCTAAAAAGTGTGATCTCCATAAGCATATGGAGTAGTATGATCACCAGTAACAGCTATCACAGCGTCTTACAATTTATTATTACTCACAAAATAATTAAGCATTTCATCTACCTTCTATATATACTTAATTTTGAGATCTTTATTTTTGTCATGTCCTGCATCGTCAACTGCTTTGATGTGTAAGAATACAAAGTCATAATCATTTTCTAATAATTCAGTTGCCTTTTTTGCTTTATTAATGAAATTGCTATTATAATCCCCTGTAGCACCTTCAACATGATGCCATTCCAAGCCAATAGTCTTTCCTAATCCTTAGATAATGGCTGTAGGAGCAATGACAGCCCCCTTCCACCCATATTTCTCTTAGAAGCTTTGAACTTTAATTCTTTATCCACATCCTCTCAAAAGTACAATGTTAGCGGTAGGTAGTCCTTACTATTACCTTTGTATATTAATGGGATGTTCAGATAGCATTTAATGTATAGAATCGGAAAGTTCATTTATAATTTTGGCAGTCCTGATAGCCTTTTCACTTTGTACTTTTGGTTTAGCTTATCTCAAGGGGAGGTTATCTTTGAGTGGATCAGTGCCAATGATTTCATCTGTCAATTCCCCCGAGTACTCATTTGACACTACTTTCAATCCAATTCGATGCTCAGTTGCGTGGTTTGCTTGTATTTGAATGGGAGTCTTTAATTGAGTATTGAGGGCATCAATCAAAGGAAGACCCCATTCAGGGAATTCTCTATCTACTCTTCTTAATTTCACAATTCCATTTTCCATATAAGCAAAATTGCATTTGAATGCTATGTCTCCTACTTGCATATCAATTCCAGAGCCCATAGTCTCAAAAGCTCCTCTGCCTCTGTAAAATGTAAATGGATCATAACCAAAAATGCTCATATGAGCTGTGTCACTTCCACAGGAAAGTCCTGGTTCGACTGGGTCCATCAAGCCAGCAAGTCCAGTTGAGGCAATTTGATTCATAGTTGGTATTTAAGCCAATTGAAGGGGAGTCTTAAATTAAGTCTCAGGAGTACCAACATCAGCAACACCATCGATAATTACAAAAAGTATCTTCATAAATAAAATAATAATGAATTATAGCAGAACATTTTAAACAATGAACCAATCCGGATAATAACAAACCATTTAGACAACAACATATAATGAAACCTAATAAATACGATATAAGGAGGAAAGCTTTTCAGTGAGTCCTCAATAAGCAAATTGGGCTTCAACTTAGTTGCTTGGAAAAGTAGATGATAAAGATTTCATGGTTGTACAGCGCACAAAGACTTACGAGAAATCAGAAGCAGAAAGACAGCATCATTATGAAGAGTTGATCTAAGATAATCTAAGAATGAGGTAGTTAAGATGCACATATTTAGAGAAGTCATAGAGTAATTAAAGAGGGAAGTAGCCACTTACAAATCAAGTTCAAGTTCTGATGTGACCATTCTCAGAAAAGAACTTCTAATCACGTAATAGGAATTGGAAGCCACTTAGAAGGAATTAATGATGTTACGAAGTGAAAGTGAGTCAAAGAGCAGGACAGAAATAGAGAAGTTAATGATTGAGATAGAGTAATGGAAACGCAAATATTCAGAGCTTGAACTTAAAGATAAAGATAATGCTGAATAATTAAAACAGCTAGCGTATTATTAAAATAAATTGAAATTATTTGAATTAGAAGCAAAGAAGAAATTTGAGAAGTATCAAAGTGTTGATCTAATATAATAACAATTAAGTGATCAGGAATCATTGATTGAAGAGTTGCGATTAGAAATTCAAAGGTGGAAAGAGAAATATGATGCTGCTATTTTGGAAAGTCAAGAAATAAGAGTGAAATTATCTTAGAATGATAGAGTCAATTCATTGGAAGCTGATATTGAAGCATTAATTCATGAATTGGGTTAATGGAAGGATAGATGCAAGGTATTAGAAGCACGTCATTAAACTTCAGATGAAGCAAAATTATTGGCCAGAATAGAACAATTGAATCGTTTATTAGGAGAAAAAGAATAGGAAATGCAAAGGACTCGTCTTACTATTAGTTAGTAAATGACTTAGTAGATGAGTTTATAATAATCATCCAAAATGTCTCAATAATAACAATAAATTGCTGATTATGAAAGTTAATTAGATTAATTGAGAAGATAATTGGAAGCAGCACAATCTAAAATTGATCAATAAAATTAGGAAATGGAAGGATTCAGAATATCAGCTAATGTGTATAATTCAGAAAGATTTGAAGAAATAGAATAGGAGAAGTGGAAATTAGAAATTTAAATTGAATAATTAGAAAAAGATTGCGATACATTTATGTTGAGAATCAAAGAACTTGAAGAAACATATTCAGAATTATCAATTAAATTCAATGAATAAAGTGCAAATTATCTGAGATACAAAGATATTGTAGAATCGAATTCTTCAAAATATAAGAGTGTTGAAAATTTATCTAAGGAGTTGTAAAATATTTAACAAGAACTAGAAGTTTGGAAGAATCGTTACTTTTAAACTGAAATCAGGTTGAAAGAATATGATCAATTGAGAATTGAATATGATGCTTTGATCAAATAGGGAAGTAAATCTGTTACTAATATAACAACTATCAACATTGAAAATGATATTCAATACATCTCTTTGAAAAGAGAGAGAGATAATTATTAGAGATAAGTATAAGAATTAGAAATGAAAATCAGAGAATTGCAAACAACTTCAATTAGAAATTCATAGGATGATGCTTTAAGAAGAGAAAGAGATAATTACTATCGATAAATTTAGGAATTAGAATTAAGAATCAAAGAATTATAATCTCAATAATTCCAATCATAATCACTTAAATATAGTTATGATGATTCAAAAGTTAGAGAATTGGAAGCAAAACTTAAAGAACAATAGAATAAAATATCAATTTATGAAACCAGAATTAGGGAATTTGAAGTAAGAACCAAGGAATATGAAACTAGGAATACCTAATCATTAATTGAAAAAACTGTTGTACTTACAGATGAACCTAAGATTAAAGAACTCACTGAAATTATTTAACAAAAGAATCAAAAAATACTTGAATTAGAAATGACATTAAATTCTAATTCAAGTTCTGTTAATACAAATACAGTTTTAGTAATTAAGGAGCAAGTTAGGACAAAAGAATTAAGAATAAGAGAATTAGAAGCTTAAATTGAAACTCTGTAATTAGAAATTGAGAGATTATAAAATCTAAAAAGAGATCAAGAAGTCAGAATAAACAACATGATTTAGAAGGTAAAAGAATATTCTTATCTAGATTACTGAATATGAATCTCAAATCAATATTTTAGAAGAAGTCAAAATAAGATAATCCAAAAAATAGCCATCACAATTATAATAACTTACAACATCAACCACTCTAATTCAATAGCAATAACCTATTGTTTAAACCACAAGCTATGTTTAAAAGAGTACAACATCTAATGTTTATTAATCTTCAACATAAAATCTACCCTCCCCCACTCCCATTTCTTAGAATTATCAATTTTAGCCATTGCAGAACAGTACAACAACAACAACAAAGTAGGTGATTATCACTAATAATCTTGAGAAGTAATGTATTAATCTATTATAGAAATTTATATCCAAAAGAAGATAATGTGTCATCATAAATTATTGATAGAGTTGGATCTAGAGACTATACCAGCTATTAAGCTCCTTAAATAATTGTATCGTAATACAAACCCACAAATTGAATAAAATAATAATATGGTTATAATGTGTGTCAACAGCATCCATTATCTTTGACAGTATTCTATTATTGATCTGGAGTGATGCGAGGTCCAGTTTTTACTGGAATAGCTTCACTACTCTTTGCTACTTTTGCTTTGATTTCATTTGCTAGAGTAATAAAAGCTTTCTCCACATTTGATGAGTTCTTTGCAGAGGTTTCTTTTGTTAATTTTCATAACTACCTATAAAACGGATATTCAAAGAATCTGCAAGTTCTTTTCCTTCTTCAGGTGTTACTTCCCTCTTACTTTCTAAATCAACTTTATTGCCCACAAGGACTCTTACAACATTTTCATTTGCATACTTTTCCACCTCTATGTGATGTATTTAATAGAATTACCAGCTAACCAGTTTTCCACATCCTTGAATGATTACTTATCAGTCACATCGTAAACCAATATTATTCCATGAGCTCCTTTGTAATAAGAGTTTGTTATTGTTTTGAATCTTTCTTGTCCTGCAGTGTCCCAAATCTAAATTTTAATCCCAAAAGTACCTACAACTTTACTGTCTTCCCATTCAAATCAAAAGTACGGATCTTGAAATCTACACCAATTGTAGGTAAAAAACTTTCATTGAATACATTGTCAGCAAATCGAAGTAACAAAGAAGATTTTCCTACAGCTGAGTTCCCAATCAAAAGTATCTTGAAAAGGTAATCATACTCCTATTACAAACTCATTTTTATATTTAAATATTATTAACACAGAATAGAACAGATTCTATATAAATATATGTTTTATAATCTATTCAAATATGCAAGTTTATTTGAGTATAATTCTAAAGTCCTCAAACCCTATTTATTGTCATTTGGTACCATACCCCATTGTACAATTGATGAAGAATTTCGACCTTCCTATATTTTATTATACAACAAAATAACTTAACCATCACTTTCGATAATTTGAATGAGGATGATAATAAATTTTATTAAGCTTAAAACAAGATTAGATAGTTTATTTAGATGTCCTTTATTATGCAAACCTCCAAAGCCAAGAAATTTTATTATTAATTATTTAATCAAAATTAAAGAGTACTTAATTTTTATCCGAAATGAAATACTCAAAAAGTAATCCTTTACAAAAATGTATGCTAGGGATTCAGAAGCTTAAGGATACATAAACCATATAAAATAGGCTTCATTTTAACAATATTTTCTTTATAATGAAAAATAATAAATTAAAATTCATTGATTTTTCTAAGGGTTCAAGCTATCTGCTCTTTATGTTCTACTGAATTAACTTTTTTTCATTTATTCATCTTTTTATGCTTTTAAAGTGAAACTTGATTATTTCTTGATCTTTCCAATTTTTTATAAACTCTAACTCTACTATAGCTATTATTAGGGCGAATCTGGTTCATCTTCTTTTATTTTGACTTCCTTGATACTGTTCTCAAAAGCCAAACCTTTTTCTGGATCAAAGCGAGGTGATAATGATATGTATGAGTTAATTTTAGGTTTTTTATCTGAATTTGATGTTTGAGATGAGATGGATGATTATCGACTGAGATTTACAGACTTAGTCATTCCGAATGCTTGCTTTTGCATTATAAATAAATAAAATAAATTTTGACTAATTAAATTTCAGTTCTGGATAAGCAATTATTAAAGTTTTAAACATGAAATATATCTTAGAATTCACATCATCATCTCCTTGAATAATTCATTATAATAAATTATCTTTCTTCAAAATAAAAATATATTGTTAAAAAATTATATTTTATCTAATTAATTAAATAAAAAGCAAAGTAGGATGGATTATTTGGTATCAAATTTAATTTGATTATTATTGTTTTTAAATAATTATTGCATCTTGAGATAGTAATTTTATAATTAATTAATTCCAATTATTCATTAACATATTAAGTTGAAAGTTTTATGAATTGATAATTTAATTCAATAAAGATCACCAAATTTTAATTTATGTAAACGGTCATATGGAGATATCTTAAATATCATAATGCTAATTTTGATTAGTCTGCTAAACATTTAATTTTTTCGACATGGATAGCCTTCCAAATAGAAATAGTTTGATCTATTTGTGTTTTAACTATTTGTGATAAAAAATTTAAATTTTCTTCTATTTTTTACGAAAAAAATTAATTTTTACTACAATAAAATAAAATCATATTTCTATTAATAATTATTGCATTTATGTCCTTAAATTATGAACTGAAAAAATGTACATTTACCTCATATATTCCAATAATATATATAAAATTCTAAATTGAAAAAGACATTCTCAATGAAATATCGCCTTAAAATTTAATGATAAATGAAATCTAATTAAATTATTGATTAGCATTAGATAAAATTGTATAAGTTAAAAGAGCTAAAGAAATTGATTGTTAAATAATCATATAAATTTATGTTATAATTTCAAAAAGGCTTTTAAAGAATCTATATATTTTTGATATTAATCCCATAAATTTAAATTAAATTATATAAATTGTATTGAAAAAAAATTCAAATTTCATAGGGTCTGCTTAATTCTTCCAATTTGGAACAACAGATGCTCTATTAAATTTCCAATGAATCGCATGTGCAAAAGATAAAAGATTAAATAAAAATAAGCAAATGTATTTTACATAAAGTGTTAATTAATCCAATATATTGATAAGTAATTCAAAGGGAATGCTTATTAATATATAATAAATAGAAATGAGATTCCTTCCAATAATGCAGTTATTATAATTCACTTTTTAAAAGTTTTCACCTTTAAAAGAGTTGCGATTATTAATTAAGTCCTTTATTTTTATAATCATATAAATAATTGGTCTTGAACTTATTTTAGAAATCCTTTGAGAATTTGTTATTATTTTTATGAACTATAAGTTGGCAGACTTCATTAGCAATTACCTCAATGAGTAGAAACTATTAACTGAGAAATACACTAGACTTTTCAATCAGATTAAACTTGGAGATAGCAGTTTCAATAAAAGCAGTGGTCCCTAATTAAATTTGAAGAAGAGATCTCACAACTAGGATTATTTGTATAATTCAAACAAGGAAAAAACGAATTGTTAATACTGCGGTAAACAGTATACAAGCAAAATGCCTTTGAGGAATCATATAAAGAAGTATCATATTTAGGAAAATTACACGTCAAAAAATGAACTCTCAACAAAATAAAGTACACCTTATGATGATTATGATGAAAGGAAGCAAGATTATTCAAGAAGAGAGGACAGTTACAATGAAGCAGATGAGGAATTGAGACAAAAGTTGCTTAGGAATGTTCAAGCTATAGAGAAGAGGGATAATGGAAGTCAATCGATGCTGGAGAAGTAGGATCAAGATTTTTTTATTAGTGGATTGGATTCAGATTCAAGTTCAGAGGATGAATGAGCAAGTGATTGAATTGGCAATCTTAATTATATAATATTAATGATGTTTAAATTGTGCGAATGCAATATTTGCATCCATTCAATTTATTGCTAGTTTGTTTTGAGTATTAAACTTATTAATATATTCTGAAATTAAAAAGTATAACTTATGGATTAGGCAAATAAGTTACAATACCAATAACAAGTAGAGAAGTACCTAGAAACAAACAAGGTGTATAGCATCTTTGAGGATTTGCTAAAATCACTTATTATTAAGAAGCCTGATGATCCAATACAATTTCTGATCAATAAATTATAGGAACCTGAAAGTACTTTTCAACTCTCATTCAAGCAAAAAAAATATTCGTAATAGGACCTCCTGGATCCAAATTACTAGAGCTTTCCCTAACGCTTGCTGAATATATGAATTTCCATTGTGTTTCAATTGGGGACTTGATCGAAAAAGAATTAAGCAAGAAATCAGAATTGGTATTGATATGATACATAAGTGTAGAGTCAATAAATTTAGGATTCTTTGGATAAATTTTAATATGTCAGTGATGACATTGTGATAAATATTGCATTAAATCAAATTTAACATTTCGAATAGGAGAAAAAAAGTTACATCTTTGAAGGATTCCCTAAAACTAGAGTCTAAGGTTTAGCATTCTAAAAGGAGGGAATCATTCCTGATGCTTTTCTCATACTGGAAATGTCTGAGGAGAAGATCTATTAATGTTGTCTTAAAAAATTGGACACAGAACCATTCAGTAAATTGAGCAACAAGGAGGATTTGGCAAGAAATCATTCATTAGAATATCAATTGAATCTTAAACAAGTTAAGGAAATTTACAAGAATCAATACTTTTCTGTTGATGGAGAAAAAAACTATGAATTAGAAGATATGGCTGTATTATTCCTATATATTCATATTGTAGTAACGACTCAAATACAAACTATACAACAATGCACCAACCAGAGCTGGGAGAATTCTGGTCATAGGACCACCTGGATCAGGTAGATCTACATTGGCCAAACACTTATGTTCAAGATATGGATTTGTGTACGTTTCAACAAGGGAATTGATTTCGAATTTGGTTAATAAGAAAGGTACTACTGGTAAGGAAGCCTTTGAAAAGGTGAATAAGGGGGAACTTGTGGATGACAGGATTATTAATGCTCTGATAAAGGAAAGAATCAATCAGACGGATTGTGAATTGTAGGGTTATGTTCTTGATGGATATCCTAAAACAGAATAATAAATGGAATCCTTAAATGAACTCAACATTCAACCGACTTTGATTGTCATTATTGATGCTGTGGATGATGTTGTTCTAAAGAGACTAACTTCACGTAGGACCGATCCCATTTCTGGTAGAATCTATAAATCTAGTGATGAGGCAGACAAAGAAGTCAAACCAAGACTCGTAATTGCTCCGAATGACAAAAGAGAAATTGTGCAACCCAGGTATTGATTGATATTCACTTTAGATTGAAAAGATGGGATGATTTAAAATAACTAATTGATGGTACACCAAAGTATGCTTCAGTAATTTTCAAGGTTTCAGGAGATGCTCTTTTAAACAACATGATCGAATCAGTATGTTATCATTTAGAGAAAATGAATTGATATATTTTTGTTAGTTTATTCATAACAATTATAATAGTTATATATTAAGGATTAGTTTTTTTNGAGGATTTGCTAAAATCACTTATTATTAAGAAGCCTGATGATCCAATACAATTTCTGATCAATAAATTATAGGAACCTGAAAGTACTTTTCAACTCTCATTCAAGCAAAAAAAATATTCGTAATAGGACCTCCTGGATCCAAATTACTAGAGCTTTCCCTAACGCTTGCTGAATATATGAATTTCCATTGTGTTTCAATTGGGGACTTGATCGAAAAAGAATTAAGCAAGAAATCAGAATTGGTATTGATATGATACATAAGTGTAGAGTCAATAAATTTAGGATTCTTTGGATAAATTTTAATATGTCAGTGATGACATTGTGATAAATATTGCATTAAATCAAATTTAACATTTCGAATAGGAGAAAAAAAGTTACATCTTTGAAGGATTCCCTAAAACTAGAGTCTAAGGTTTAGCATTCTAAAAGGAGGGAATCATTCCTGATGCTTTTCTCATACTGGAAATGTCTGAGGAGAAGATCTATTAATGTTGTCTTAAAAAATTGGACACAGAACCATTCAGTAAATTGAGCAACAAGGAGGATTTGGCAAGAAATCATTCATTAGAATATCAATTGAATCTTAAACAAGTTAAGGAAATTTACAAGAATCAATACTTTTCTGTTGATGGAGAAAAAAACTATGAATTAGAAGATATGGCTGTATTATTCCTATATATTCATATTGTAGTAACGACTCAAATACAAACTATACAACAATGCACCAACCAGAGCTGGGAGAATTCTGGTCATAGGACCACCTGGATCAGGTAGATCTACATTGGCCAAACACTTATGTTCAAGATATGGATTTGTGTACGTTTCAACAAGGGAATTGATTTCGAATTTGGTTAATAAGAAAGGTACTACTGGTAAGGAAGCCTTTGAAAAGGTGAATAAGGGGGAACTTGTGGATGACAGGATTATTAATGCTCTGATAAAGGAAAGAATCAATCAGACGGATTGTGAATTGTAGGGTTATGTTCTTGATGGATATCCTAAAACAGAATAATAAATGGAATCCTTAAATGAACTCAACATTCAACCGACTTTGATTGTCATTATTGATGCTGTGGATGATGTTGTTCTAAAGAGACTAACTTCACGTAGGACCGATCCCATTTCTGGTAGAATCTATAAATCTAGTGATGAGGCAGACAAAGAAGTCAAACCAAGACTCGTAATTGCTCCGAATGACAAAAGAGAAATTGTGCAACCCAGGTATTGATTGATATTCACTTTAGATTGAAAAGATGGGATGATTTAAAATAACTAATTGATGGTACACCAAAGTATGCTTCAGTAATTTTCAAGGTTTCAGGAGATGCTCTTTTAAACAACATGATCGAATCAGTATGTTATCATTTAGAGAAAATGAATTGATATATTTTTGTTAGTTTATTCATAACAATTATAATAGTTATATATTAAGGATTAGTTTTTTTAATTATTAATTTGTGTCCATTATATCGAATATTTTCAGTATAAATAATAATAGTATTTATATTTTAGTTTGTAAGTGACTGTTAGGAAAAGAGTATTCATGTAAATTAAAATATTTTGGATTTACCTTGAAATATAATTAGAGTCATTCTATTCTAAAAATAGATTAAAATAATACCCACTGCATTTTATTTAATGCGCTGTAAAGATACATTTATTTTAAATATAAATAAAATGAACTCGATTAAAATGGAAATAAATAATCCATCCACCAAGATTGCTGTAATTCCTATGAATAAAGTCATCAAGAAAAAGAAATAAAATTCTAAAATGAAGGAATAATGTCTAAATTCAATACCCCAGCCAAAGGAGTTTGTGACTTCATTCATTATTCCAAGAAATATTAACCAGAACTAGTACTTTAGAACGAAGGAGAACATTTAGTTCGCACTTACAACCTTTAATGATAACACTCTTGGAGAATTGGGCATCAACATATTCAGTATTGGGTACTCTGTTTCTTAAACTGATATTCAACAACAGAAGGTGGAATATCATTTTTAGGCCAGAGACTTTGATTTAGCCGATATATCCACGATATTTTAGATGTTGAGAATATTGAACATGGATAAAGCATATAATAATTTAAGTAAATACTTATAAAGATATGACTAAATATCATCGATCCCTTGTTCAACCGAGCTTGAAATATAGCAAGTGGAAGAACTTGCTTCCAAATATCCCTATGAATGTTACACATTTCGTCATGAAAGAAATGAATCTGTTATTCTAAAATACACTCATAATATTAAATTTCTACATTTGATGGGGATTACAATAGACATGATAGAAGAATTTTTAAGAGAAACAAAAACACTCCCCTGTGCCATAAGAGTCAACAATTATTTAGAAGTTTGGCATCAAGTATTTGAGGCTGTTTCAAACGACTAATAAATATTTGAAATGGAAGTATAAAATTTTAATGGGAAAAGATTTTATGTTAAAATAAAATAAGCACAAATTTTTGTAGAAAAAGATGGAAAACTGTATGGATATTTATATTGGATATACTTAACTGACACTAATCAAAATTTAGCAATAAAAAACTACGAAGCTGAATTAGACAAATTATACCCAAAACCAAAGGAATGCCTTTACAAACAAATAAAATGATAAAAACCCAATTGTTCTAAAATCATTATTACCTTACACTTACACATACAAATATATTTTAATAATAATCCTTAATCTGTGATTCATGATTGCAGTTTCTAATTTATAATAATTTTTGTTCTTAAAAATCATAGAAAACGAATTCCTAAATTCTCCTAATAAATTGATCAAATATTTCGAACTTTTATAATTCTCAATAAATAATATAGTTTAAAATTAAAAAACTCAATAAAATCAATTAGGTTTCTCAAAAATGCAAATGTCTTTGTTTGTTGCCGCAATTATAGTATTACCAGAAGTTGTTATAGACATTGTCATTATTCCTCTTTCACATTCAATAGACACATCACTTTGATGACTTTCATTCAAATTCCAGAATTTAATTTTAGCATTTTTCCCGCCAGTTATTACCGTGTCATTATCCAGAAATCTCACACTCCAAATAATATCTCCATGATCATGCTATACCATTTTATTAGTGCTTTGATTCCAAACTCTAACTATTTTATCATACCCTCCTGAAGCTATGTATTTGCCATCTTTAGAAAATGCCACACTTCTTATAGTATTTTAATTCCCAGAAAATATATTAATCAATTACTTGGTCTAAGTGTTCCACAATCTAACTGATTTATCTTTTGATCCAGAAACTAGAAAATGAGTATAAAAAGACAGTGAAGTCACATAATCTGTATGTCCTTTCAATATCCCAATTTGCTTCCTATCGCTTTGATTCCAAAGACCAATCAAGTTATTTATCCCCGATGCCAAATGTGTGTAATCTTAATTTAATTCAAGAGAAAACACTGGGTCATTTGTATATTTTACATCTATCACCTTCATAGTTTTGTCATCCCAATATTTAATTGTGTTATCATCACTACCAGAAATAATACAATTTTATCCATATGCTACACACCAAACTATCCCATCGTGAGCTTGAATTGAATTACCAATCTAAGCATAATTTATCAAGTCCCACAATCTTATTTACATATCTCCTCCTCCAGTGACTGCCCTCTTCCCATCTGGAGATATGTCCAATGAATAAATCACATCATCATGTCCATTGAAATTCTTGATTTATTTCCAAAGAAATCTATGATCCAATTAATGCACTTTAGTATTCAACTCCTCCAATAATAACAGGGAATTATTCATCCTTTCTTCCAAAAATTACAAATCTATCACTTAATCTTACTATTTTGGAGTCTATAAATTAAAATCTGATAATGATTGGGCAATATTGAAAATATTATTGGTTTTCAGATTTTCCTTAAGTTTATGCAGTGTTGGTGAAAGTATTGCGATTAGATTTAATTCTATTGATTCAAGTAGACAATTGATTTTTTATTTTGATGAAGAGAATTGCCTCCAAATTTCAGTTGATTACTCACTTAGCTATTCTATGCACTCCTTCTCTTTCTATATTATCCATTTATTTGCATCTTCAAAGTCAACTAGTTTATGTTAATTGTGAAGTTGGCTGGAAATGCATTTCGTGCACAAAAGTCTTCTTCCTACTTAACATTCCTTCTATATGCAGATGAAATAGCATTTCTTGTTATGCTTATCACAATGTATCTTTTATTCCCCAATTTCCATTAAAAAAAATATCAATTTAGAATTATTCTCTGTACAATAATTTTAGAGTTTGGTTTATGTCATCAATGACATATTTGAATTTTCCAAGATTAATATAAATTTTATAGGGTATTATTGTAATGTAGATAAATGTCATATTACTAATACCATTTGTTGGCTTATATAATTGATATTTTAATATTTTAATATGATCGATTCTATGATATATTATTAATTTATTACATTTAAATTCAAAATCAACACAATTTAACTCTGTATTAAATTATTACCAATTTAAGTCCAATAACTTCATAAACCTAATTGATCAATCGCCTGCATTTAGAATATAACTTTTGGATTGGAGAATAAAAATTATAAATGCTAAAAATTTTATAATGAATAACTTTTTGTAAATCCATTTGATTAATTCAAATATTTATTGTAAAGCTAATAATTCATCCAATAAATTACACTTAGTAATAATCATTATAAATATTGACTAGAATACTGAAAAAGCAAATAAGTTATCATTCTGAGTCTTGAATTCTTTAAAAATAGTAAAAATTTAAATAATTATTTTTCTCACCTCCTTCTTTTAATCTGAAATTCTAAACGATAATAAAATGTAAAAATATATATTATAATA